TACGCCTCAGTCATCAACTTAGTAACTAACAGTAAGAAAATCCTACGTCCAAAATATCAACCCAGTAACTACCAACTAAAAACCAACAATCTTGCTACGCCTCAGTCCTCAACTTAGCAACCAACAACTAATAATCCTACAGCCAAAATCCCAAAACCAATCCTATTTCTTAAGTAATATCAATTTATTTCGAGATGAAGCTGTGTAGGTGGGAAGTGTGAGAACGGTATGCGCCTCGTTGGGCGAGATCCTTCATGAAGAACTATTGTGTTAAAACACGAGTAGGGTATCAAGGTGTTGGTAAATATATAGAGCTCTCGCACGTCGCCTGGCTATATTCCCTACCTTGTGTAGACCAGATTCAGAGCGCCATTTCTCCCCGTAGTCCACATTTCAAAATGATTGCTTTTTTGCTGTTGATTGTCCTTGGTGTTCTGGGGCAGGTGGCTTATGGCTGGGGTATGCACGAGTCTTGCCAGAGTAAGTCAAGGTTAACAGGACTGGCGACATTGCTCTGTGTGCGATTTGGATATCCTAAGCTAATGGATTAGGTATCGAACAACCACTCAAAAATGCCATGACCGTTGCCTTCCAACGCGCAACAGAGGCCAAGGCAGAAATTAGGAAGATACCTCGAGACAAGCATGTCGATGCGCTGGTGAAAGTGGTCTTCGGCAGCGACGACGCCAAAGCCGCCGACGCAGCACGTACGGAACTGAAAACCTAGTGCAGCCCAATAGAACTGACCAGTTCCAGAACGACTCGAAGCCATACAATGGCTTGACATCTTCTCCACCTCTAGGCCAACTGCTTACAATGTGGTATGAACCTGTCCCTATAGCCCTCCAACCAGCTTTTACTCACACCCGCTGCAGATACTGTACTGCTCCACCGACCGCATCACCGATTACATAGGCCGGGACCCCGAGAACAAGGGAAAGAAGATCGGCTATGAAGACCCAGACCGGAATGCAAGGGTGAAGGGCGGCGCGCTGATGGACGACTGTCGCAGTGAGAACCATAACGGCGACGCCTCGACGCGCGCCCTCACCATCAACCTGGGATCCAAGAAGGACAAGGATGGCAAGGACCAGAGGGAGAGGATAGCTGATACTATCCAGCTGTGTCCGTGGTATTTGAGGAAGCTTGCCGGGCCGCCGCCGAGCTACGACACGCCCGACGAGCTGGTCAAAAAGGCGGCGGATGTGAAGGCCAAGAATTTGTTGGCCAAGTTCAACGCGAAGCTAAATCACGAGACTGCGACGCCGATTGATTCGCTAGCAGGATTTGAGCACGTGCTACTTCATGAGGTGCGTCGGCTGCTTTGTGTGCTTGTGCTACAGCTGATGGGTGTAGATGACGCATTCTGCAATTGCGGGATATTCGGATGATACGCCAGCGGGGAAGTGCTATGGGTGGAAGCACTCGGTGAAGTGTCAGAAAAGCGAGAATGCTGGTATGTATCAGAATGGTGCGCGTGAGATAGCGAGGCGCTGACGGAAACAGATTCACTTGCTTATTTCGCGCTGGCGGTCGAGCTTGTTTTACATAGGGGGTACACGGTTAACAAGGACGGGACATTGCAGAAACTCGCTGATAAGAAGTAGGAGTTAGGATTTGGAAGGGAGCTAGCTAGTAGTAAATAATACAGGAGAGAAATATTTTATATAGAGTATTGCAATTAAAATTGAAATGCACGTCCACCCAGCTCGGAATGAAATTCTCACTCACCTCTCCCCTCTTCTACTTGCTGCTAGGCCTTATTGTATGCCTATTCTATGCTATTGTATTACCATTATCACCGCCTCCTCAGCCGCTCCCAAACCCCCCTCCCTTTCCCCACTCCCGGATTCCCCTTGTCAACATCCCAATGTACCATCACATTCGTGCCCTCCGGAGGTCTCCTGACTGCAAACCCCGCGTCCCCAAACTCGCCACTTGTTTCCAACCCCTTTGGCCACGGCAGTACGACCTCAAGCTCTCCCGCCTTTATATTCCTAAGCGGCTGTAATAGCGCCTCTTCTGGCACTCGTATTCCGTCATCTAGAATCTCGACAACCAGGGCGCGGACCTGTAGGCGGGCGAAGGCGCGCCAGCAAGCTTCCCACTCCGCTTCGGCGGTTTTGGGATTAGAATTAGCGGCTGTAAAGCCAATAGGCCAAGCGCGGGGTGGTAGGTACATAGGGCTGGTTATCCCGATAAAGAGATAGAGGTGCGCAAGGGCGATAAGGGGGGCGGGGACAGTAGTAATAAATTGTACGGCGGTACTCATATGGAGGCGAAAGGTAGTAGATAAATAAACGATTTCAATAAATTCTAGATAGCTATTAGACTAGGTCAGCTAGAGCAGTAGTATATTGTATATATCATATATAAGGCGAGGCTTACGTCTGTTTACAGCTCAAGAGCAGGGGCACTATCTCCCAGCCATTTTGTACGCTCTTGCGATAGTCGGGATCATATAACGGCTCACAGACAGTATCTCCAGTGATCCGGTCTTGGAAATAGATATGTGAAGTTGGGGACACACAGCGCATGTGTGTCAATTTGCTATTAGAGCGGGTAATATGTTGGACGGTTCCGTAGGAGTGGAGAATATAGGCGTAGATTTGACGCCGGATCTCGAGAGGGAGGGTGCTGAGGAGCCGCGAGTGGATCTGTGCGTGTGGCGGATGGCGGCTGGAGGCTCGTGGGAAGAGGTTATTGAGCCATGATTTGAGCTTTGAGAGGCGACTCCGGGCTGCTATTGCGGAGTCCTTGCCCGAAGGGGACGAGGACGAGGAGGTTCGATGAGGCATAAGAGACATGTTATGGTAATAGCTTGACAGAATCGGAGAGTGTCGATACTATTACTTATGGCTTGGAAGTCGAAAACGTGGTGTTATTCTAGCGGCTAATTGCCCTTCAGAGTATGTAATCCTGGCAGAAGGTGGTGGTACTGTAAGTAGAGAAATAGCCGATTATATCTCGCTATTAATAGTTGTATAGTCCAAAAGGCCTACTATTCAGCTCGCGCGTGATTACACGTGCTCGGCAAATAATAGTGGGATATCATTTTTAACATAAAGTTATATAACGTGGTTTATTAATAGGGAGCGTGTGTGTACACCCAAAGCCGATTAATAACTAGAACGGTTGATATAAACAATTTGAAAATTGAATGGTTTAAGAGGTTAAGATTCGGCGCAGATTACCTTGACAACCCCCTTTTCCCAAGCTACCCCACAAGCGAAACCTATCGAAACTAAATATTCGTAGCACAAGTAAAATAATTCCATACTTGGTTTGTCTCAGTATGGCTACTTGCCGCCCAGCTCGGACTTCCCCTCTCCTCTTTCGTTTTGCTACGCGCTTTTAATTGATTCTTCAATTCTCATCACAAACCCTCTGTCAGGATGTATTATGATTACTGCATTGGGAAGCTCCTTGCTATTATTTATCCAAACCAGCATGACAATAAAACTTCAAAACCCCTTTTTGCCTACCGAATTTTCAACTTATGCTACATCGTCAACCGATATATTGATTGGGATTACTTACACCCAGCTTTTAAGCGCTTTGCCTCGCTGTACCCCTTGGATCTCGTCACAAGCCGTCATGGTAATAGTTAGACGCTAACTATGTTATTGTGCAGAATTAAATTCCGTTGCTGGGATGGGATTTTCGAAACCACACTCGATATTCACAATCTAGACTTGTGTCGCCGTTGGTGCCCGACATATCAGATTTGGTGGGTATCTTTTCCTGCGCGCCTAAGATACGTCCATCCGGGATTCCAGATTATCACAAGCCTTCATGGTATGTTACCTCCCCCTGATTAGCAGGTAGTCTTACTGTGAATCTCCCAAACCCGGAAATATTCATATCTACGGACATATTGAACTGTCACATGGTAAGCGCTTGGCATGTGTTCTCGCACACCTCGACTCATAATTGTTCTTCGGCTTCAACCTCCCCGGTGGACAGGCGAGAAGGCAAAGACGAGGATGGAGCTGCCCATGTAGAATTCAAGTATCTCGTCCCGGCTATCTGGGTAACCGCCGAGAGGAAAACAAGAGTTCCCAAGCTGCAGAGCAACACCAATGGAACCGGGGCCTGCACATAAATTTGACATAATCCAAGCGATGCTGCGGTATAGTGCCTGACCTGCTTCGTATCGATCAGATATCGCCGCCGGTTAATTGTTGTGTTGGCACCTCTGGGTAGGCATCCTTCTTTTCAGCCGAGGCCCTTCTGTCAGCGTCGCTATGTCGTCGCTTTCATGTCTTACTGTACTCCGTAAGGATACAGTAGAGGTTGCGAGCGCGATAAGATCGCAGGTTGAGATAAATTATTACATTACTTGCTTGCATTTTCTTGTGGGTGTGGCGTTTCATGCGCCCATAAGGGATGGTGGGAAGGCGGTGATGGGTGATATCCGGCGGATCCGGGGAGCGGCGTCGCGGGGAGAGGCACAGCACTTGAAGCGCCCGGGACTTGGAGGTGTAACGGTTTTGTTGGTGTTGGTAGTTAGTGTTGGACGTTCTGTTGGTGTTTATGTTGGCCATGATTGGGGATTTGAGAGTGTGTTTATGCGTGCGTGGCTGTTATGTCTGTGTTTCTGGATGGGGCCAAAAGCCGTGTCGCTCCTTTGGCCCCCTTTCCCGCGTCAGCAGCAGAGTACCAATGAAAAACACCACCACCTCCACATCACCTCCACAAGCATCACCACCACTGCAACTCCATGCTACCATACAGGCCAGTCTGGGCGATGTTTCCAAAGCCACGGAAATCCATGCCAATACCAATATCAACGTGTGATTGTGATTGTGATTGTTCCACAGCAGCTTGCGCTTGATATCTCGGCCGAGGCACCAAGAGATATACGGAGTGCGCCATTGCGCGGAGACAGCCGGTCATCACCAATTTGTGCTGAATCCAAGACGATAGCGTCAGCCTGGAGCAGTTTCGATGCGTTCGTCTCGATAGCGAAATGTGCTCTCTCGTGCGCTGCCCGCCACTCATCACCACGCGATAGACGACGGTTCTCAGCACCGGCCTCGCAAGCTCGCAACGGGATTGTGACGGGGTGATTGGGGGCCCAATGGCTGCTCCAAAGGGCCCCCAAAGCGCTATGTGCCTCAAGTGTGCATCCCTCCGCATATTGATGGCGCAGTGATGGGCGGTGGGCACTGATGGCCCTGTGGTCAGGCCGGTCGGCCGCCAATCATTGGGCTATCATCGTCGAATCGAGTGCTGGATGTTGATGCTGGCAGGTTGCCGGCAGGGTCTCCAGTGCCTCCAGTACCTCGCATCACATCGCGCCCCCTGTTGCTGCTGCTCCCGTGTGAACCTCAGCCTGCTCCTGCTGCTCGCCCTCTCAATTATTGTTCAATAGCGATTGTTGGTCTCGTTCCCGGCTCATGGCTTCATGCCCCCTTGCCTTCGTGTCGTACAATCGGCCCTCTGCCGTCATGACCATGGTACAAGCAGACGGAACTGCGGAGAAAATGTCAACAAGTGCCTGCCTGCACCGGCGACCTTATACAGTGGACCGCACCCCCGACGTTTGCCTCTTTGCCATCCAGAACTCAGATCCAAGCGTTCGCAGGTCTGTTGACTTGAAGCTGCACCGCGGCCTCTTCTCAGACCCTCTGCCTTCTACGTCTTAAATCTTGCCGGTCAAGATCTCAACTCCCCCCGATTTGTGTTCAACAAAGGAAGCCTTCGACCTTCGGGCAGCAGCAGAAAGAGCATCACTACAAGCTCACCGAGGCCGCAGTGCCAGAACACCCCCCAGTCGACCAGCTACTCGCCCATCACGGGATCTAGTAGACGGCCTCCAAGATGCGGCCTTCCCTTGCGGCACCGACACTCGTTCTACTCACCACATTTGCGCCATCTACTTTAGCTTTACAGTCTATCTCCTCATCGCCATGTGCGGTACAGTGTGGAAATGTCCAGGGCAATACTACTGGATCGGATATCGCATGTCGTGATGATACTTATGGCGCTCTCCCCGGCTTAAGCTTCGAGACGTGTGTAAAATGTCAATTGACGAGCACGTATGTGGATCCAGCGACCAAGCAGACAGATTTGCGGTGGGGTTTATGTAAGTTCCCTTGAGCTATCTCGGACCCTCTATTTAATTACTTATCCTAATAATCGCCTAGATAACTTGAGATATGCTGTAAGTTGGTGTTTGTTCGGATATCCGAATAACACCAACGCGGGGAGTACGCCCTGTAAAACTGGGTAAGACTCTTTACCATCCACCTTGATTTCATCCATCTGACGGGCTTTAGCCCTGCTTGTGGTCCGCTTGAAAGTGCATTCGAATTCGACTCTCTCTCTCCCGCTGCAGGTACCTATTCATTCTGTCCTACCTATAGCGCGGATATCGTTGGCAAATGCAACCTCTGTCTAGCAAACCAGCATGACCAAATCTTTCTTCGTAACTGTAAGTTACCAATCTCTACTTTCCGTCACTCTTGTCCAAAACAAGACATCATATATACGTAATCAACGAGCTAAATTATCATCTATCAGTCGCCACGGTCCTAAATGCAGCATGTCAACAACAGCCTACCCCTGGAAAAACAATCTCCATCGAAGGCTCTGTCTTCTCAAGCGATGCAGTAAATATCACCAACCCCTCCTCTATACCCACTTCATCGTTCAACGGCCCGGCAACTGGTGGCCTAAACCTCGGTTCCAAAATCGGCATCGCCGTAGGAGCCATACTTCTCTTCCTCATCATCACCGGATTCTGCATCATCTGGAACGGAAAGCGCCGCCGTCGCCGTATCCTTCGCCAGAGACAACGCGAGAGCGGGTACAGTGACTGGCGCCAACAGCACCACTTCCAAGACGATGTCGGCGCCCACCCTCCCCAAGGCACGCCGCAAATGCAAGATGGGAGTTCCAGCGCAGGCGGATTTTTCGACTCCCCGCAAAGCACGCGGCCTCTGATGCCTTCAAGGCCTTGGGCCACGGGCGCGAGAGAAGAAGAGAGTCCTGTAAGCGCTGTGGGCGAGAAGGCGTATTTCAGCCCCTATTCAAGTCATTATTCCAGTCCTGTCTCCGCACATGATCAGCTACAAATGTCGGGCATGGAGTGGCCGATGGACCGCAAAGGTAGCGCGAGTGGTTATGGTGGGGGCAAGGGCAAGATGCCGGAGAAGGTAGAGAGAGAGCCAGAGGGAGATCAGATAGAGATGCAAAATGTTGCGCCGGTCTTGCTGCATCCTGGACATGGACGAGGTGGTTCTGCAGGGTTAGATGGGGACGATAGTAGGAGGGGAAATGCTTTGTGATAGCTCCCTTTCTGTCACTTGTTCGCCTTGCTTACTTGAATTTTTCCCTTGGATGGAGTTTTAGCGTCTGCTTTTGGAGCTTACGACCGGAGATGGTTGTGGGCTGGCATATACGGAGTGAGCAGGATAGGATACCCCATGATGAACCTGATAGCGAAAGTCTATCAAACCATCTCGCGATTGAGATGGTATCTTTCTAATTAGAGATGAAGCCAAAGGGGAGAATGACCCCCATAGTATTTTAGTACTACTTGTATAACAAAGAACTACATCTGCATACATATCGTTGGGCCCTCCCCCAGAATGACCTCTATCCCTCGGGTCCCCTCCTGAGTAATCACAAAATACATTTGTTTGGAAGTCTACTTGATTTCCCCCCGAGATACAATATCCAACCAATGTACAGCCGAGGCTATTGGAGTGGACTGGGCCAGGGCCGCGTTACAGACAGAGTCGCCCCCCACCTAAACAACCCGCAAACCCCAGACATGCAGCCATCCACATCCAACTTTTGCAAACACCACTTCCCAGCCACCTCCCTTCTCCCATGTCCTCTAATCCAAACAGTAATACCACACCACCTCACACCCACACACCCTCCCTTCCTTCACCTCGCCCCTGGCCCCCAAAGGGACCGAGCCCGCTTAGAGAGAGACCAACACACATGCATAGAGGATTGCGGCTCCGCCGCTTTCACAGAACTCCTAAGTTTCAAAGTTGGATACCGCGGATCTAAGCGCAGCATAAGTAATAATAGCCATGTTTGTCATAAGCCCCTTTTTATTTTTCATGTGGAATCCATTTGGGGGTTTATGGCATAATTGTGGCAGTGGAAATTGGCTGGTTGGAAGACCGAGGGGCTTAGCCGCAGGTTGCAGCTAGGCTGACAGCAGGATGGGAAACGCTGTAATTAGATGATCTCTTTGAGCCACCCTGTGGCTTGTCACTTCTGAAGCGTTTTCTGCTCCTAGGTAAATTTGATTTATGTGTGAGAAAGCCAAAGTAAATTCCTTCGTATTAACGCACTATGTATCTATTTATTTATCAGACCTTGTTGGGGGAAGAGAGGTAAAGTGACTCAGAGGTCTCTCTCCCCTTTCCTCGCTAGCCGTTACCCTTCATGTCGTCGCTGCCGAGTGACTGTGACGAGCGCGGCAGAAAAAAATCACAACAAAGGATATAACCCCAAATAGCTTTTTTGCTCATTAAATAAGCTCCGATGGCTCAAAAAGCACGAGGAGGCTCCGCAACGAGCATAAACTACGCTGAGTTTCCCTGGCCAAGTGAACAAACTGACGGTTGGAATTATGAGGGTATCGGGGTATGATGATCCATCTGGGGGCAGCGCAAAAACCAAAAAAGTGGGATATTATAATTGATTAAAATCAATTCGAAAAAAGCTACAATGGGCGCATAATAACCTAAATCCAATAACAAGATAACTGGCTTGAAAACTAGAGGGCATGGGAACTAATAACGAGGGCAGTGGGTAGAGTCCATCTGGGGGATGCTGTAACAGCCGCTACAGTAATTGGAATATCCCAATGATTAAAATCAGTTCGCCTGGTTTCTCTTAGCCCGACGGGGCTTTGTCTTTTGCCATTTTAATCTACTTTTCTTTTAATTTAATTATTGTGGTGGACCTGTGGCGAGGGGTGGTTGTTTTTGTTTTTGGCCGCAATTCGCGCTTTCATTTTAGGACGCGCTATCACCTTTGGATTTGACTCATTTCAGCTTCACGGCCTTGGATACTACGGTATGGTATGCATTCGGCAATACACACTACATTTAACGGGTGTATGTTTTCACACAGGGGAAATAGATAGGGGTATAAACCGTATAATGCCATTTCTGTATCTAGCAATATCCCGTATAAATATATATATATCAATATGACTTCGATCCAAAACCCAAAATCCACCCCGAAAGTTAGCCTAGATATTCCATTCAATACGCCGATTCATCCAAGAACGCCATCCATCCATCCATCCGCTCGACAATTCCGCTAATCGGAAAAAAATTGACAACACACAATTGCCATCCAACACCAACGCTATCCCGATTCTGCCAATAAGAATTAACCCATGTTCGCTCAGTTTCAAATTTCAACTCAACTCGTGAAATGGATACATGACAATTTCATCAATAACTGCCCGGCCACTGCTCCTCGCTAACAGCACTATCAGGAGTATCATCACCTCTCGACTTCTTCTTTTTCTTCTTCTTCTTCACTGGCTCCAGTACCACCTCACCTCTCGCCTCCCGCTCTCTCCTCTCCTGCTCCGCAAGCTCAAAGTCATATCTTCCCTCATATCGCGCCGCTGATGGCCCGGTGCTGCCATCGATCGACGCGTGGGTCGCAAGAGTGTTGGTGCTGATGCCCTGGTTTCGAGATGGGGCGCGCGGGATCTGCGGCGGTGCTTGGGTATTGATTGGCGTCGTGTATTTCGGGGAAATCCGAGAAGGAGGGGAAGGGAGTGGAGTATTGTGGCGAGACTGTGTAGAGGTGCTGAGGAGAGATTGGTGGGCTTGTTGGGAGTAGTGGGGAGACACGCGGGAAGGCGGGTATTCTGGGCTTGGGCCGGGCGACATGGAGAATTTGGTGGAGTGGCTTTCGGCGGGAGAGGCGATGTATGCTTGATGGGTTGGGATGGTGGAGGATGGCACATATACCGGTGGTTGGGAATCCGAATGCGACGGGGAGTAGCGATGCCAGCTATTTTGGTCTTTGACCTCGCCGACGTGGGTAATCTGGTCTTTCGAGAGTCGGGATTTCGGGGCGTTATACAGTTGGAGGGGAGCAGCATTGATGGGTGGGCTACCACCATAAGGGTTCCCGTAGGCACCGGCATTTGGGGAAGTGATATTCGTAGCCCCAAAGCGGGAATCAAGAGGGGAGTTGAGGGCTTTGAGGTGATCCAGGGCCCGTCGCTTTCGGCAATATATGAAAATGATTGCGGACGCTATCAAGAATAGCGCAGCAAGCCCGACTGCAATGCCGATGATAGCGCCCTTTGAGAGTGCTTTGTGCTCCTTGGCTTTCGGCGGGTCATTGGGATTGTAGCCTGGCCAAGTAATATTGACTTCCTTAGTGGTGAACACCGTGCTATCAAGGCCTATCATGGTGCCAGCTGGAGGCTGTTGCGTACATCCAGCCTTGAGAGCTATGAGGACTATTTGCAAATTTGTCAGTGTTGGCAATCTAGAAGTATAGCTTCGAGAACATACAATTCGATAGATAGACCTCAACGCCGCTATCTTGGAGGCACTTGGTGCATTTAGGTTGGAAAGACCCAAGTATCGCATGGTCGTCTGCAGTGCAATATGAATAAGTACCCTCGTTGCTTGGCACCAAGTCGGCATTTTCAATAGCTTTTTGGAGAGGGCCACAAGCTGTAGATGTCGAACACGGAGTAGACACGGCGTCCGAGGCATTCGCAAAGCCAAACAGACAGGACCCTAGCGCGTAGCGTAGGTTATCTGATATCAACGGTCAGGACGAAGTATATACCCCGCTCGAGACGACAACTTACAGAGAAACCACTCCTGATCATTCCCACTGCTTGCCGATGTAGTGCTGTTTTGCAGACAGCTCACACATGCTTTGAATTTTTTCCCTACGTCCGTCGTATTCAAAGTCTTGTCCTGACATGCTATTTCGCTGCCGAAGGTATTTGAGGTATCCGCTTCGGAGCTCTCTGGGGCAGAACCTTCGCGGCATATTTCCGTACAAGGCGAGCCCGGAGTAACCTTGAAAGCTAGACCATTGCTTGCCAGGAGAAGCACTGGGACGATCGAGAGTTTAGGGAGGAGAACCATGATGAATGTTTGGTTTGCAAGATACCAACGGCTTCTGAAAAGCCTAGAGACACCATTTGACAACTTCCCGTTCACAAACTTAGGCGGCAAGGTGTCACGGTCGGGTAGCGGCGTGTGCTTGTCCCGCGCAAAGAGTGCGAGTCAACGATGAAGCTCTCAAGTGTAGCAAAAGGTGCTGAGTGCCGTCATCACATACTCTCATAAGACTTTTGAGCCAGATGCATAGCTTGAGAAACGAAACAGCCACCCACACCTTGTGGGGGCTGCAGAACACATATACAAAAAAAGCCACCAGATGGCTTACGGGCCACAGTAGCACTCGCAGCCTCTTCGGGAGCCATCCACCAGGAAATGGTGGGGGGTAGCAGCAGCCAGAAGGGCGGAGACCAACATGTTGGACAAAGTATGTTTTGTTCCCTTAGCTGCATTTGCAATACACCTTCCTATGCCTCCACCACTCACGGGCAATGATCAGTGCCAGCAGGTCGGTTAGCCGCCCTGGACCACAGTCTCGGGATGGCCCCCAGAAGTCTCGCCCAGGCTCAGAGGAGATTGAAATGCCGGCAAAAGCTGGAGCAGGAAGCAGAGTCCCTTTACCAAACCATGCAATCCTGCGATTCTGCCAACATTCGGGATCGGCCACTGATGGTTCGGCTTCCTCTGCGTGTGGGGATGAATCGGGACGGTGGAAAGCAGGAGAGTGAGAGGCAGTGCCACCAACAATCGGTGTGTGGGTGTTCTGACTCAAGCCGAACTATGGATAAGGGGCGAGAATGTGTATGCCGTGATCCATAATGGCTCTGGTCAGCGGGCGTTCCTGCGCATGTCCCGAGTCTATCACCATTGGCCACTGGCGGAGCTTCCCGCTATAGGGTGATATTCAGGCTGTTATCGCAGCCCCGGTTGCCGCGTCTTTCATGCATATGTTCTTGCCGCTACAACCACTCAGGTTGATAGACTGGGAGTTGACGGGTGGTCACTTTGCACTGTCTTCGAGCAGTTGTGGTGGGCCTTCTTGTGTAACGGCTCCCAAGGCTGTGTATGGAACAGAGATATTCAGCTCCGCCCTGCTCCCGGAGCACCAACAAAGTCAGAGTACGATCACATGCCGAGCCTCGCGCCTCAAGATGAATGGGTGTTGGCTCAATAATGCTTGATCCGCGAGGGCTGGTCAGCCCTCGTGGGCTTTCAGTACAGGGAGTCCCCGCGGCAGCGCTTAGAGCAGTTCTTGACGCAATGTTGGCTGCAGACGGAGTTTGCTCGGCGATGTGCTTCTACCGCGACTCGTGATTCGTAGGGCTCAGGTAAGCTCGGATTTCTCCGCTGTTGCGGCATATGAGAGCTGTACTCTTCCCTTTCGAGAGATGCAATGTACTACGTGACAACTGAACGGAGATCCAAGCGATTGATTGAAAGGGGTGGGAGACCAGAGTCTCGAGCGTTGAGCCAACGGGCTCTCGAACCTTGCACCAGTTGCAGACATATCGGTAGGGTAAATAAAGTAGAAACGAGTGAAATGCCCGATCGTAAGCGCTTGGGATTCCAACATAATTAATATACATGAGATATTGCGATGACCGTTTGCTGGAGAGATCGTCGATGCCATGCGCTACGATACGAGGTGCAGCCAAGCTTGATGTGGAAAGGGGGCGAAGCAGGAAATGGTACGCTGCCACATTGGGCAAGGCGGACGGGGAAGCGAGCCATGCCGGGACGGCCCGAGACCGAGGCCGATAAGCTAAGGTAGCCACATGTGATCAGATGTAAGATCCTACAGTAGCTCTGCTACGTACTCTGTATGCCAAGTCAAATGCTAAGTCGAACTAATGGCAATATCCAAACCTACTCTCAAGTTCTTGTACGCCTAAGTGACTTGGAATCGGCTCTGTACTGCATGTGACTGGCTAGTAATCCCAAGGCCAACTTGTCGTAACTGGAATTACAAGTCCCCTTCTCCTCCAGCTGTGCAAGGGAATACTAGGAAAGATTCCGTAGAAGTAGAAGGGTAGAAGGGGGAACGACAAGATGAGATAGAAGAATAGGGCGAATAGGTAGTAGAACTCGTTATTTTCACTTCGGTCTTCATGTAACCAGAGGGCAAAATCATTACCTTGTCGCCGTGCCTGTAAAGTAAAATTTCATCATTTGTTCATTTAGCCCAGTCAATAGATATACATTGTTGTCCTTGAAGACATGTTCATTCTCTCATTCTCCTACCCGACAGCGGAGGGTATCGCTTTATGCTATATACAAACTCCTCGAATTTCCACTAACGCCCTGCAAATGCATATTCTAATGTGGAATCATCCATCTGCACTCATCATCGTCAAGATGTTATCGGCAGTTCCTTGTCCACCCTTCACAAACGCCGAACAAATGCTTTATGTGTGGCATTATGATACACTTCTACTTCCCGACCGTCTTTCAATCTCGTCCCTGTACCATTGTACTCCCTCATCCATTTGCTCCCTGACCCTTTTCGCCCTCTCAAACAGTGCTTCATCATCACCATCGAAAGACCGCTTGTGCCGAATTCTATTATCGTCTGATAGCACAGCCTGCGCCCGCTGCTTCAGTGCGTGGATGTGATCATCTCGTGGATCGCCACTTTCATCGCTTTCCAGGTCTCTTGTGGACTTGGACGGAACACTTCTTGGAGGTGAGAGGCGACGTAATTTAGAAGGGGTGTTTGGTTTGGTAATCCCATCAAAGGACTGTTTTTGGCGCAATGAACCCTTGACAGCTGAACTTGCGAGCGGTGTGCCATTGGGGAGCGTCACGATTCCTCTGGCTTTTAGGCGGAAATAGTCCGTCTGTACTCCACTAACCTGGCGACGAGTTTCATCCTGGATATCGTACTTTGGTAACAAGTGTATTCTTGAACCACCAGTCAAATATGATGGGTCCGATAACAAAGAGCGGCGTAGCGGGTTGTCAGATTTGCCACGTTTGTGTTGATTCTCGCTCGGAGAGCGGCCATTCATAGTTGTTTGAGCGCGGTGCCTCTTCTTGGTCCTAGGGCCCTGCTCATCGCGTACGATAGTTTGGAGTTCAGTGTCTGGATCATGCACGCCATTAAGAACGCCCGTTGCCTCCAAGAGGCTCTCCAAGCTTCCTCGCCGTCGAGCAGAAGTAGAAGCCCTGAAATCCTCAACAATATTTGCCGATTGAGCCGCCCTAGATGCTCTTAAACTTTCCGCCATTTCTTTTCGCGCTTGTCGAGCTTCCCTCCCCCTTCGCTTCAACCGCAAGCGGTGGGCACCTTCTCGCCATATATGAAAGTACTTTGTACCTAACGAGCGATATCTGAACCTGTCCGCCTGTTCATTGGCTAAAGTCTCCTCTTCCTTAGCAGCACGCTGCTCTTCCTCTCTCGTGAATATCTCTGCTGCTCTGCTTAGGATCCGTTCGACAGTATATGAAGTGAACTGATCGATTATCCCGTCGGTCCCCAGTGCAACCCATTCAGTAACTTTAGCTAGCTGTGCGTTTCGATCAGGTGCCGGGAGCTGCTTTGTCCCAAGCTTTGTGTCGACAAGTTCGGGTTGATGCATCTCAAACGGACTACTAAGATACTTTTCTGGAAGGTGCGTTGATGTTTGTTGAGTGGTATCCTGCGTAGCAATTTGGACAGTAGGTGCAAGTGGAGCTGGGTCTGGCGCAAAGGTATTGCTGGATAGCGACCGGCCTGAAGGGGTTTGTTTGTTAGGAAGACCCGCTTGACTTGAAGGCTCCGCAACTGGTGTCGGCGCGGCAACAGGAGGGTTTCCAAGGGAAAACGGGGCCTTTGAAATCTCAGGGGCTCCTGCAGCGACAGGAGAATTTACTGGAAATGAAGCCTGTCCACTACTGGCTTGTGCCACTGGAACTGAAGGGGATGCTTGTGGTGAAAAATTAAACAATGATCCGGGCTGGGTGATAGATGGTCGCGTGGAGGACGGTTGCTCCGAGGGCGGAACTTGCTCAGTCTCCTGCTTTTTCGGAAATAGTGAGGCGAAATTATCCTGCTTTGGACCCAGAGGGTGTCCTTCGGCTTTTTGAAAAGCAGTTGAGGAACTTTCAGGGGGCTTCGCAAATATAGAGGGCGGTTCTGGCTGCTTTGCTTCGGTGTGGCTTGAAAATAATAATGGGCCGTCTGCTTGCTTCCCGAAGATTGGCTTGCTATTTGCCGCAAAAGCAGAAAAGGAACTGGATGGAGTATCGCCCGCCTGGGGAGAGGATTGCTCGGCGGCAATAGGCGTAAAGACACCACCTCCAATTGGTGTCGGCGTTGATATTCGGTCAAACAACGAGAGCGGTTTTGCAATGCTTTGGTTAACAACCGATGACTGATTTGAGGTTTCTAAAGCCGTATCGACCCTATCCTCAGAACCGTGTTCTGATTCTGCCAAGGATGGATAAGAAATTTGGGGTTTGGCTTGCTGTTCATTTAAATTATCCTTCACGAACAGGCCTTCATCCTCATCATCATCCTCACCGGCTCCAACAACATCCCTGTGGGTAACCTCTTCCTCCTCAGCCTCATCATAAACAGTGCTGTCAATCACTTCTGGCAGCGAATGACTTCCACGCTTTCGCTCGACGAGGTGATAGGAATACGGCTGCTTCAACCGCGGGTGAGGATCCGAAACACCTTCTGATTCGAAAGACAAGTACAAGTCGTCATCGTCCTCACCAAACTGCAATCCATAGGCCTCGGCAAATGAGACGATATCGGTTTCATCGTCAAATCGTAAATATTGATTTAAATTTGATAGCGTCCAATCCTTGGTCTGGTCTCGCTGCTTGCGGTATGATGCCAGGATGGTTTTTAGGATAGACTTTCGCACGAAATTGAAATGAATTTCTGCAAAGCAGGCCATTGTGTATGATACCTTTCTATCCTCGACGACGGAGAAGAATCGGGCGTATGCGTTTTGAGCGGTGTCCATTGTCGAGTATGGTTTGACCGGACCATGTGTGTCCCAAATATTTTGCAGGGTTTCGACGAGAGTGACTGCAGTCCGAATATCATCCGATTCCCCCCAAAATTTCCATCCCCAATCTTGCACCGTCTTCAAAATCCCCGGACTGTGGCTGTTGAACAATACGTAGTACGATCTGAATTCGGCCTCGTTTTCACATTCTATGTTCTGGGCGTTGCAATCCTCGTAGGCGTGAATGAGTGAGAGAAGTGCCTTTCCAAGCTGTTCCACTTCTTGATGCTCCGAGAACTCTTCCACCGGCACGACTCCCATCTTTGACATTTGGTGCAATGAGACGACATGAAACCGGGTTATATGTTCGAGACAGTACACTTGATCAAGCAACTCGTCACGACTCAATGCTGATTGAAAGACAAAATCTCGGCGGATTGCTCGTGTTCGATCCCAGAGAAAATGATGAACTCTAGGAAGGTTTTCGTCATCGTCGCCCAGAACTGAGCGAATCAGATAATCAAGCGTCCTCCTCAATGCAGCAGGCGATCTCACATCCATGGGCAATGGCGCATCTTGACCAGCTGAAGATCTTGCCAGAGCTTTGACCATTTTATTAGTATCTGGCCATAGTGTCCCGGCAGGGCTGGTACCCATTTCAGCACTCTTGACATCGCGCTCGAAAATTCTAGTCGCTTTTTCAAACTCGGGACACATATCCTCACATGTTCCCTTGAAGTTGATTGCCTCGCTAAGTTTCTTGGGTTTGTCTGGATCATCTATTATGCCTTCCCTAATTAGGCATGCCCGGACCTTAGTCCGGTAGTTTCTTAATGCTCTCCAATAGCCCTCCACTAAGCCTCTGAATTGGCCATCACCAGGATTTGAATTGGGCCAGGTCGGCGCATTTAGTCCCTGTCTCTGGAGAAGCTGATCTATCTTTTTACCCAGTGCACTGGTTCGGGATTTTGAATTGTCTGACGATGGCGTGGGTACCGGTGCCAGGGATTTCGCCTGAGTAACAGATTTTGGTCGACCAGCTCCATTGGTCGCCGGCTTAGGAAAATCACCGCCAAAGTTCGAGGATGCATTCGAAGGTCTTGCTGAGCCAAATGGACTTATTGAACTAGGGGTACCAAAGGACGTTTTTTGAAGGTTTGAGGATACGCCGTTCGAAGATGCCCCAAATGTACTTGAACTGGGTGACGAACCCGAAGATCCATTCGGTTTTGATAATGCTCCGGGGGGGGTATTTGGGGGAACGGTTGGCGGCGTACCAAATATACGCGTCGGGGATTTTTGGAAAGGATTCGGTAGAGACTTTCCCGAACTAGTGTTCGACGGCATTCCAAAGACGCTTGTGGAGGGTTTCCCAAGCCCCGTTGCCCCATGGCTGTTCGGTTGAGGTTGCGAAGGCATACCAAATATGCCTTTCGAAGGGGGAAGCGGAGATGGTTGTGAAGGGGCTCCGAACGGATTGCTTGTAGTACTTGGTGCCCCAAAGGGATTGGCGGGCGCATCTTTCTTAGTAGCAAAGGTATTAAATGAGCTAGTAGCCGTGGATCCAGAGGAAGAATTGGGGTTCACCGCAGTCTCAAAGGGATTCCGTGGTGCTGGAACTGGGCTTTCGGTGAACGAGTCTCGCTGGTTGTCGGCCGGTTCATCTGCGAATCGGACCTGTTTGCCTTGTATGGGCGTGGGTAGCTGTCTACCTCCTCGGGCCTTGGCCATCGTAGGATTTTGGCCCCTCCGTTCGCGCTTCGCAGCATTTTGGAGTCGTTCTTCCTCGAATGGATTTGGAGGATCGCTCGTCGATGATGTACCTATACGTTCATATCTTAAGTAATTGTTCTTCGGGCCTTTGCCACGATATCCTCCACGAAATGAGTGGGTATTAGAGCTATCTCTAAGAGCCCGTGGACCTGTAGGGATTTGAGAATCATAGTACTCACTAGAGGAGTTTGAAGCTCCTCGACTCGTCGAACCGCGACCTCTTGATCCTCTTGAACGATTCTGCTGCTGGCCGCGCGCGCCGCGGGTATTACTGCCTCGGTGCAGCATCGTTCTTGTTGTCGATCATGAGGGAGGCGTGGGTTAACCGACGAGAAGAGGAGAAGCTATAAACATATCGAAGTGTCTCGCTGTCAATAGGAAGCCGCTGCTATTGTGCATCTTTATCCTTTGTTATTGTTCTTGTCTGGCGCATTCGCATAGCTTCAACAGATGACGCTAATCCCGTTTTAGCGGCACCTTGGTATTCTGCCCTCGGAAGCCGCCTTGCCGCCAAATAAATCAATATCGAAATGCGCTTCTAATCTCATCCAACCTCGTCACTTTGCAACTGGAAGAGCACTAAATAAGGGTGGAATAACTAGGAAATATTGTTTTCATACTCCAGTATATCTAGCGGCTATTCCGAACCCGAAGGTATCTATCTACAATGACTCCGCATACGCCAATGCCACCCAGACCGCCAAAACGCCCAAACAGTGCTACATTTCATATTTATCTGCTACGTCCGAACTCTTGCTGGGCCTAGGCCTTTGCGAACCTCATCAAGTTGCTCCATCCCGCTCTGATACTTCCCCTTCTTGACATGCTTCTTGCCGCTCATAGTATAGTCACCCAGGAAATCGTCCATGATGCTATCAAAATCTCCTCGGACTGGACCTTGAACACTGGACATTGACGAAGCGGCAGATACAGAAGCCATGTCATCCATATCCTCGTTATACTTCTCTTCTATCACTTCAAACCTTGCGTCCAGCGTGGATAAGCCTTCGGTTCGAAACATCGACGAGGATGTCATCGAGTATGTAGATGGGTTTGTCAGGGCGCCCTTCCTCTTCTTCCGCCTGCCACCATTTGTTGTGGTGGTCATAATCGAGGATTGCATGTCGGATGGTGAAGGCGCGGCTGCTGTCCTGGACTTTTGATCCTTCTTGAATTTGCTGAAATCTGCCATCCAGTCACCGTCCCCATGGTCCTCCCGCTCGTCGCTCGATATTTGTTCGGATGGAATGGGCGCATCTTTGTATTCTTTGGCAGGCTTTGCAGTGTCATCCGACTCCCACCCTCCATCTTCATCATCCCAAGCACCTTCTTCGAATTCATGCTCCTCGATCTCTTCCCCGTCCTTTGCCAACTCCCCGAAGACGTCCTCATCCTCATCTACATACGCCTCGTCCTCTAAGGCTTCCAGGACTTCCCTTAATCTTGGGTCCATGTCTGGCTGGAAGCCAGCCAGCGCATCGGGGATATCTTGCTGGGCTTGATAAGTCGCTTTTCGTAGGTTCTTTGACGGCAAAATATCCTCGTCCAACAACGCCGCTGCTTTATCCTCGAGGCTTGCATCCCTCAGCGCATCTTCTAGGGATTGTTTCCCCTTGCCTTTGTTTCTTGGTGCAGGAGCTTCGATGAAATGTGCCTCTCCGGCTCCGCTGCCCAACTCGCGCATATGCTGCATGTAATCGTACTCAGTGTCATCGTAGTATACGCCATAGCTGGCTGCTTCACCCTCGTTATCTCTAATCTTCTCTACATCATCGCCAAGTTCGGAGGCAAGGTCGTCTAGCTTTTTGACCTTATTGGAATTTGGTAGCGCTGTGGGATTGAGGACCATGGACGACGCAGAGGCATCGTGGATCAAGGGATCATTTTGAGGCCGATGTACCAGCGTAAAATGAGTCGCCGTCTTCTTGTCGATCCACTTGTTGCGAGCCATATTTGCGATTAATATCCTGGTCGGCGAAAGGGTGGTTATTATGAAGTCGCTCAGAAGATGTGAAAAAGTGCGTTCCGTCCCAAAAAGTTTGGCGGGGTACGCCGGATGCGCCAAGCACAAACGCTGTACAAAATCTCGTCACCGAGAATTCGCCTCTCAAGCATGATCGATAAGCAACATCCCGCTTTACAAAACCGCTATCAACCCGCAAACACTACACACTACACACTCTCACGCACAATATATACTACAACTTCGCGGGCGGCCGAAAATTACCTCCGCTGGGGATATTTTTTAAAACACCACTGCAGATACGAGCAGAAACGCTCATTCCAACAAAAATGGTTCTCGCAAAGTCGAAAAATGCCGTGGGGTTGGGAAATAGGTATGGCTCCGTTGCGTAGAATCAATCTTTCGCCATTCTGACGAGTTGCAGTTTGATGAACGATCGCTTTGGGAGAGGCAAAGGCTCGGATCGTAAGAAGGTCACTTCGGCAGGAATTCACAGAATCAATCATGCTACTGGAGAAACCGTATGTTATGCGACACTCCGATTTATCTCGCTCGAATGCTAATCGAGATAGTATGTTACCAACGATCGGAGGGAGGCCAGCTGGGTGAAGATGCGATCAGTTACCGAGCAGGCGGCTCTCGACGAATTCTTGTCCACGGCGGAGTTGGCAGGCACCGATTTTACAGCGGAGAAGATGAATAATGTTAAGATCATCCACACAGATCAAAAGAACCCGTATCTACTGTCGGCTGCGGAGGAACGAGCAGCAGTCGGAAAGCAGAAGGCACACAGGGACCGGCTAACAGTACCAAGAAGGCCGCATTGGGATGAGAAGACCACAGCTGAACAACTCGACCGCATGGAGCGAGACAGTTTATTGGAATGGAGAAGAGGTCTAGCCGAGTTGCAAGAGAACAACGATTTGCTCATGACGCCCTTCGAGCGCAATCTAGAGGTTTGGAGACAGTTGTGGAGAGTTATTGAGAGATCCGACCTGATAGTTCAAATTGTCGACGCCCGGAACCCGTTGCTGTTTCGCTCAGAGGACTTGGAGAAGTATGTGAAGGACGTCGATTCTAGGAAAGAGAATCTCTTGTTAGTGAACAAGTCGGATATGTTGACCTTGGAACAACGCCAAGCTTGGGCAAGTTATTTCGAAGAAGCAGGTATTGCGTACAAATTCTTCTCTGCGTCTCTCGCAAAAGAATTAAACGAAGCTCGCCACGACGAGTCGGAGGAGGATGAAGAGGACGAGGTGTCCGGAGAGTCTTCAGGTTCAAAACTTGCAGAACGGATGGAAAAGGTTGATGTGCAGCACGAGGACTCTACTGAAGACGAACATGATGACGAAGACGTAGAAGATGAACGAACTCGGATATTGACTGTCGACGAACTTGAGGCTCTCTTCTTACTCCACGCCCCGGACAATGAAGGTAATGTCAATTAACCCCATCATTTCTGCGCAGGGCTTATATTTTCCCCAGATTCCAGTTCGGAACATCCCAGGAAAACGCAAATCGGCTTAGTCGGATATCCCAACGTCGGGAAATCATCCACTATCAATGCATTAATCGGCGCGAAAAAGGTCTCAGTATCATCAACTCCTGGTAAAACAAAGCACTTCCAGACCATCCACCTTAGCGATAAGGTCCTGTTATGTGATTGCCCGGGACTTGTATTCCCAAATTTCGCAACTACCAAAGCCGATCTTGTCTGCAACGGTATTCTCCCAATTGATCAACTTAGAGAATTTACCGGGCCAGCAGGGCTTGTCGCAAGCCGGATACCCCAGGAATTCATAGAGGCTTTGTACGGGATAAAGATCCACACCAGACCTCTAGAAGAGGGTGGTCTTGGTATTCCAACCGCCGAGGAAATATTGGCTGCTTATGCGAAAGCTAGGGGCTTCACGAGAACCGGCCAAGGGCAACCTGACGAGTCTCGGGCAGCAAGATATGTCCTGAAAGACTACGTTAGTGGCAAGCTTCTCTTCTGTCAACCACCGCCAGGTGACATTGATCCCACGGAATTCAACAGCGAACTCTACGACGAGAGCCACCTTCCTGAAAAGAGACGGCTTGCGCTAGCTGCTCACGACTCCTTTTCTGATAGTACCTCACACGCCGGATCGGACATGACCTCCGTGTATGACGGCCCGAAATCTAGAAAGTTAGATGGGGCATTCTTTGGTCCAGGTAAGGGTGACGCGGGACATCTCAAAATGCCTTTCAGTCACAAGTACACCGAGCAAGGTACTGCAAGTGGAAAACAATTGTCAGGCCGAAAGCAGAAGACCATGTTGGCGTTGGAGAAAGACATGGATCCGAAGGACCTGAAGATGTTAACGAGTAAGAAGCATTTCAAGAGCGGAACGAAAGGCAACGGGAAACGAAGAGCAGATTATTTTGCCGATTAGGTCGTTGGGTTCTGATATTGGTTGCCGACGGCGGCTACGCTCTAAGGAACCTGCATCTTGTGATGGATTTGCATTGATGACCGGCATCGTAGGGCGTTTTTTGGTTGCAAATCAGGCTGCGATTTTCAAGTGTGTGCAGAAAATGAATCTGATTCACATGCAGGGGGCTTTTTATTGGTTGACACATTGTCATGTCGTTGTGAGACTGTGCTTACCGGTACGTTCATTGGTCCCAGGATGTGATGTGATGTGTTTGGTGTTTCGTTGCGCTTGCGAGATCCGGCCCCCTTTCGGCCCCTTATCGCCCCTTATGGCCCCCAACTACGGAGTACACCCATCACTTGGCACCAGTCAGCAATATAATTGGATCCTTTGCGACGTCAACGAATCTCCTACGCCTCCTTCGACCACCCCACCTCAACGGCTACAGTTGTATATACGTGATGTTCGTCTCCAGTCTAATGGATCTTCACAATGTGGTGATCTGATACAGGATTCCTACTTGGTGGCCAGGCCTTTCCTGCCTCTTGTTCGTCACATCACATGGATGCCCATTGGATATGAGTATCCGGCAGCATGTACTCCGTAAAGTGGCTGCTTGGCAGGGCGACCTGAGTATTACACAATACACAGCCTTACCTGCACAGGAAGAACGCGGGGTCTGAAGACCAACGACGTTTATAACAAATGACTTTGTTGGATTTCATGAGTACTTCCTATAAGTAGAGCTAGTTGCCTCGGAGTAAGTTACTTTTTGACCCACTATCGAAGATCCAAAGCAAGCAAGCAAACCGTCATTGTCTTCTACACCACCTGCCTTCCTCTTCCTCATAGTCAAGTCTATACTCTACGCACAATGCATACATCACTTACCTCACTTCCCCTCCTCCTCGCCGCCACCCTCCTCATCTCCCCATCCATCCTCGCCCATCCTACATCCTCCATCACAGGCCGCGCACCCCTCCACCCATGTTCCGTCTTCATCCAAAGATGGTACAGCGGATCATTCGACACGGCCTACTATTCCGCGGGTCTCACTCCAGACGGACAAGTCCCCAATGCCAATTTCTGGAACCAGGAATCCGTGGACTCAGGCTGGGAGGGTGGTGAACTTGTTCCATGGCAAGTGGGCTCCAACACGCTTCATATCACAAATGTCGCCAACCCGGTGAATAATTCCCCACAGGACCCCGGGAAGTTGAGCTTTGTTTGGGGAAACCAGCAATGGGATACGTTCTCACCGGGGAACCCGTGCTTCGTGAAGCCGGTGGGAACTTGGGAGGGGGCTGGGGCAACGACTTATGCTTGCAATTTCCAGTGTGATAAGTAGATCGAGGGGTAAGGCAGCTGGATTCTGGCGCCGGGGCGCTGGGATAGTGAAGGCAGAAGGGGGACGGTAATCTTGGTATTTATATTACAACCAAGGTGGTGGAAGAAAGAGGCAGTCTTGATTGTGTTTGGACAACCATACGCAAAGCCTTGGAAGCTATTGCATAGAAATTTATTATTGAGGAGCGAAATGAATCACTCCAGGTATGGCCACGTTTTCGGCGCATTAGAGACATAGTTGATATTATGAAGATAGTATCATTGAAATACAACATCACAAATGCCCCGTCTCACTACTTCCTAGGCATCCATATTTGTGTAATAGGTGGTTCTATCTCCATTCTTGAATAGACCACCAAAAAAAACTAAGAGACAGTGTAGTAGATATTTCAGACTGCTTGTGCTATGTTGAATAAAGTCGGTCTCAGTCTATCAATTTCTTCTCTGTTGTCCTTTCCGTGTATATGTCACCCTTCCTTGCTGCCTATCTTCTCCTATGCCTAGCATCCAATCAACGCATCTCTAGCCCCCCGATCCATCTCACTCTTAATGTAAGTCGCTAGTTGCAACAAGCTCGGGTCGTCCACATGCAATTCCGCAGGCCTCAGCTCCCAACGCCCCCATTTACTTGCCCGAAACTTCAACTCAAACTTTGTGAATGCCCCATGCAAACTGCTCCAATTCAGCAATTTACAACAATCCAGCGTTCTCTTGCCTGCTCTGAATTTCCAAGCCCCATTAATGAGAACCCTTCGGTTATCTTTCTCCTTTTCAAGGCAAATTGTAAGCTCCAAGTTGCGAACCCCCTTTAAGCCAGAAATAATAGCCCAAGCGTCGTGGGGGGTTTGCCTCCAGTCAAATCTATACCGGTGGTTGCGCAGTTCGGGAAAGACGTCAAGTTTTATGGTGTGTATAAAGGATTTTGCTTACATGATTAAGTGCATTGAAATAACATGGCAAGTAGTCGGATAGCGTATCCTGGAATAGGAAAATGGCGTTCTTGTAAAGCAGCCCAGACATGACAATATCGACGTATGCTTGGCGGGAGAGACGACGCAACTGGAGGTAGACCGGGATGACAGCGGGTGACGACGTTGAAACATTGGTGAACACGTTCTGGTAAAAGCGCAGGAAACCCTGGCGGCGCATGGCGAGTGGTCCGCTGAAATCTGGGGAAAGGATAATGGGGTGAGAATGGTCTAGCCCGAGGGCATACTGCCAAACCATAATACGAAGCTCAGTTGGTAGCTTGAACAAGGGGCATAGGGGCTGTTCGGCAATGGAGCTGGCCCAATCCTTGGTCTATAGAACCGTATTAGTGAAATAAACAAACTGTTATAGGTGATAGTTGAGCTCACATGGATATAGTGCGGGTCTTCGGAGCATTCCCTTACGTATGTCACTCTCGTTCTTTTGACTTCCTGGATTTGCTTTTTAAATCTATTAGCCCCAAGTCGTTCCTATAATAGGGTTAAATAATATTTACCGGATACTGAGAGCCGCTGTACTTGCGCTTCCCCGGTCCATCTTTCTCGTCTTTCTGTCGGCTTGCGTTGTCACCGTCCATATTTCCGAGTAGGGAGATGCGATGAGGCCCTATGAAGTGGCGCAAGTGCTTGATATTGTTTCCTCAATCCAGAGCATAAGTGTGTGTTGGAAGTCAAGGTATGGGGAGAGCTTGTATTGAGTGCTCTGGAGAGGTAAGCTCTCCAGGGATTTGAGAACTAAATACAATATGTAGGAGCTAAGTCCAAAGAGGAAGACAGTGAATCTCTGACAGTGTGGAAATATGATGTTTTGGTACTTAGTACGAGGAGTTAGTTGCACTTATAGAAAAAGTAAACCCTGGAAAACGTTTTGACGCTACACGTATTTCTTAGTCAATTAAATTCAAAGATTTCCTTAGAGCCTTTGTTCACGATAATGGCTGCTTAAATAATAGGTAGAACGCTTCCGTATATGAGGACGGAATTGTAACATCTATGTTAGCCCTTCGTCACTTGAAAGTAGGAGTATAAAGCACTAAGAGCAATGAAAAGAAACATTGCGAGACAGAGCATATATAATGGAAGATAATCAAAAAAGAGGGAGCAGGAAAGAAAACTGTCGTAAATGAGTAATAATTGTATGGCAGTAGAAAGATTGGTCTGTTTATTCGCTAGCAGATTATTTCAGTGGCATTTATTATCACGGTGTTGGCCGTGCACCCATTTTTTGCCATTTCCTTCGATCACGCCGAAAGATTCAAGATATCTTAGAACTCTACCTTGAAGGCTTTAGTCTCATCCACACATACCGCACCTCTATTTGCGGGACTAACCAAATAAGGACCGAATCCGCCCCTGCTTTCGTTTCCGTAATTGGGTCCAAACTTTGAGGAAAAGCGGTGTTTTCCAGAATCTTGAATATGCTAGCGTCGACTACAGTTCTGGTTGCGATGGTTTCCCATATCTATACCGAGACACGATGTTAAATTATTTGCTAGAGACGAGAGCACCATCCTCTCGCCGTCTTCTCACCCTCCCGCAGACCACGACGGCTGCCACGCCATTCTTGGTGAACCAAGGCAGAAGCTAACTACATCGCTGTGCGGCGTTTCTTCGATCAGCCAGAACATACCTTTATTACAGAGTCTAAGGTGTGTAATAAGACATAAGAGCAATGAATGAAGGATCCTCGAGTAGCTGAGTAGCAGTAATTCGATGCTCTGGTGCGCAAGAAAATCCCCTGTACATGATCGACAGAGCATGCTCTCGCTCATCTCGACAAATATCAGGCCGAAGGCGGTCAATTTTGTCTTCAAGCGTTTCATACCCACCCAAGACCTCAGACCGTGGCATCTGGCCACTTTGATCATACCACCAGTCCTTAGTCGTGGTTCCATCGCCGAAAAAGCCTTTCCAGTGCTCTGGAAGGGGTCCCGACATACTGACTATCCGGGAAACCAGGGAAGGGCCGCTGCCCCAGATGACTTCGACGCCTAGGTAGAGCTTCGCAAAAATGCATGTATAGCTCCACATGTCGCCTGCAGGGCTTGGGTTCATACCGTGGAGCCTCTCTGGAGCACAGAATAGTGGCGGTAACTGGGCTGTGTTTTCCACCAAAGTTCCTGATCTAATTGAAAGGCCAAAGTCGCCTAGGCATACAGGATGTCTAAGCATATCCTGGGGAAACTGGATTGATTCTACCAGCTCTCCCGGCGCCCCCTCTTCCTCTCTCAGGGGCACCTTTCGTGGCCGGCCAAGGCGCTGATATTTTTCCGCGGTTGTCCAATGGTCAATAGGATCAATACGCCATAGTACTGCTCCAGTATTGAGGTCTAGAGGATTGCTAAGCTCGTATATATTAAGGGACTGTTTCGAATTGAACTTACCTCGATGGACAATGCCCGCGTCGTGTAGACTTTTGAGACCTAAAAGCAAGTGTTTTGCTGCGGGGACTCGAAATTTCGGCGGGAGTCTACAGCAGGCGGTGTCAAGATTCGGGCCTCGCACCGGAAATACAAATACGGTATGGCGATTGGCTCCACGGCCAGGAAGGGAGAAAACGGCTTGATATGTAACGAGGTTATATGTATCTGGTACGACCTGTATAATTTTGTCCTGCATAGCACGCTCGTATTCTCTCCGCTGCCCGGAGACCGTCACCTTGAGGGCCACGGCCTTGTTTTCTCGGGTGTCGTGAGCCAGCCATACGGTGGAGAAGCCTCCCCAGCCGAGTTTGTGCTCGATACGGTACCGGTTGACGAGTAATGCCCCTATGCAAAGCGGGCAATACATGCCTTCCTCGTATCGCTCACGAGGTTCGGCATCTGACTCTACCTCGCATTCATCATCAGATTCGACGAAGGTGCCGAAGTCATCGCCGTTGCAAGTGTTAGAGAAGGTTGTGGATGCCATTGGAGTAGCGACTGCGCCCTTTGCTGACTGTTTGTCGAGCTTAGGGCGATGGCCTCTGCTTCAAATGCCATTGCCTTGTCTGTATTTATAAGGTAGGGAGAGGGCTTGTGCAAACGGGACTGATAAAGAGGCGTATGGCAGAAGTTGGTTACTACGACTGCCTGATTTAGTCGAGTGAATCGGGGTAATACCATAAGCGCTGAGCATTCAATTCAGTAGGGCTGGCGGTTAATCCCTCCTAGGTGGTAGGACCAGCGAGCGAAGGATGCCACGATTAGGCCCCTTGCAAAGTTTTGCCATGCATACTCTGTGCTACGAATCTCTTGCTTAGAGCAACTCATTCCTATACGGAGGTACATGTACATGCCTTAAGTTTGCTGGTAGGGGTGTTAAGTGAAGTTTTATGATTGGCCAGAAGCCAAAAAATACTGCCAAAGTACAACACCTAGAGCAGCGAATGCTCAAGTCCAAAGATTGGAAATGGAAAGCACTCATGTCGACATTCCGGTGTGAGATTGGCTGTTATAGGCGATAGTTGAACTTACATGAATATAATGTGGTTTGGGGCATTCCATTCGGGATTTCAGCACTCTCGTCCTTTTCACGTCCCAGTTTTGCTTTTTGAATCTATTAGCTAGTTCCTGTGATGGGATTAAATAACATTTGCCGGATATTGGGGGCTACTATGCTTGCGCTTCCCCGGGCCATCCTTCTCTTTCCAACGACTTGCGTCGTCACTATCCATATTTCCGAGTAAGTAGTTGCGATGAGTCCGTGTTTGCCATTTGACAAATCGTCCTTAGATAGTATCATTCTAGCAACAATCTCTCTTCTCCAGCCATGGAGGAGAGTCGCCGTGTAGTCGAAAGCGCGTGGCGAACAACTCCGTGGGCTGAGTCCACCCTCGCCTGCCCCCTTTATTCCTGACCATCAACTGCCATAGCTCACGTTTCTCAACAAGTTTTGTTGGAACCAAGCCTAAGACAAATGTTCTACTGGCGTGTTCAAGTATGAGCCTGTTCTTCCATTCCGCCCACCCCAGGTCCACTTGGCCTTCCAGGTCGAGGTTTTTGACGCCCCATGCTTCGGACACGTCGCTACCGTCAACAACATCGGCCAAAGACACGTGGTCGTTGGCTTCAAGGAAACTTTGAATCAATACATCCAACCTAGGGTAAGGTAGATCGTGATGACTTCGCTGAAAGCTTTGGGATTCGCAGGGAAGATGAATGTCCTTCGACGGAACCAAGACAAAGTAGAAAGAAACTCTAGTGGACTTGAAACGGGAATAAGTATGACTAAGAGACCCCGACTTCATATATGGCCAAGGGGTAGAGAAATGTACACATCTATATACTTGTCCGACTTCAACACTGCCTCAGCACTCTCCTTCAGCTCAGAGGGTACGCAAATTTCCCAATGCTGGCAAATACAAAGACAGACAGCACGCAAATTCAAGAAGTGCCATTTTTGGGCAACGTTGGCAAGACTTACACGTCTTACTCGCCCAGCACCGTAATACACCAGTGCGCCAACCCCGCAGACGCAGCAGGGAATTCTGGCATCCTCGAGAATGCGCGTTACTTGCCTAGCTTTAATAGTACCATGCCCCCTAAAGGATGCTAGTTTGTCATCTGGAAATGTCGGGTATTGCAACAGGTCAGGACGAGGAGGTATGTCCTTTAGGAACTCTGGAAGAGTCGAGTGATCTATGTTCTGCCACAAAGAGGGTTGGGGCCCGTGAGCGTCAGTCACTGGCATTGTGATATATATTTCTGCAGCTTCCTTCGCGGCGGTGATTCTTAACAGGTGAATGGTGATATAAAATGGCGACGGAGTGGATGGTATTTAAAAGGGGTTGGTGATCGCCCAGGCGCAAAAAGGGTCGCCGCTTCTAATCGTCGGAGGTGAACGGCCAGCAGAACTACAACTCGATTGGCTGGCTCTGACTTCGTACTCGTACAGAGGCAGTCCAAAACGATATGAAACCTCCCGCAGTCGCCCATATCGTGAACACAACAAGAAGTCATTACTCCTTTAAAGACTATGATAATTGGTAGATGCTAGATAGCAGCCTCATGAGTGCTGGGCAACGCCAATCCGGGTCATGAGAGCGTGTACTGTACAATATGATTGGGGGTTGATACATGGACGCGGCGGTTCTCTGACAAGCACCTGGTTGACACAAAAGTATTATACCAAGGGTCCATTAAACATGTTTGCGAGGCGGCTCTTTCATCGGTCTCCATCACCGCGACCATATCTCTATCCATCTGCTCTAATGTCGCGGTTTGCCGTGGCCTCACAAGCACATTACAGCACCCTGCTCCAGCCACGCAAGTTCCCGAGCGGGTTCGAGGCCATCAACCCATCTGAAAAGGTGGAGGAGGAGCAACTGCCCTTCTACAATCGTGACAACTATTATCCCATGCGGATCGGCGAGGTCATTAAGGATTGCTACCAGGTAGTTGCTAAGCTAGGCTACGGTACAAACTCGACCGTGTGGTTGTGCCGTGATCTTAGGTATGCTTTCATTTCCTTCCAATTCCGATCGTCGCATTTGCTGAATATCTTTGATATCGACTAAGAGAGCAGAAATACTGGGTGCTAAAGGTGCATGTTAATACCCTAAAACATAATCAGGAGCTCGAGGTCTTTGGGTACTTGCCCGGCGTTAGTACGGAGCACTTGGGCAAGGCACACATCCGACAACTCGAAGATTCATTCAAGCTAAAGGGACCTAATGGTAAACACAACGTTTTTGTCATGATACCTCTGGGCATGAGTCTTAGAACTCTGCAGGAAATACAGAAGGATAATCTCTTCCCGCAGACTATCGTCGTAAAGTCTCTCGACCAAGTACTAAGTGGGCTGGACTTCCTCCATGAGTCGGACGTAATCCATACCGGTAAGTACATACCTACCTAGGTCTATGTCCTCCTAGTAGTGCCGGCAGAATATTTCTATCTAACTAGCAAACAATAAGACATCCACTCAGACAATCTGCTAATTGCTATTACAAACGATTCGGTTCTCTCCGAGGTCGAAGACGACGAGATCCGCCAGCCATCAGCAAGGAAGCAGGTCGGCGACACTTTTACCTACGTCTCTCGGTATATGCTCGGAGGTGCCGGCTTGCTCACTATCTGCGACTTAGGACAGGCACGCATCGGCAGCGAGCACAGCGGGAACGCCATGCCAGTGCCGTATCGAGCACCAGAGGTTATTCTTAATATGAAATGGGGAAATAGTGTGGATATCTGGAGCGTAGGGCTCTTAGTATGAAATCTTCCCCCTTTCTTTCTCATTTCTCTGTTTTCTAAGGCCAACTCCTCTCTTACGCTAGGCCTGGGACCTTCTCGAACGTGAAAGTCTCTTCCGCGTCTACGACCACGAATCTGAGGAGCAGAATAACGCCTTCCATCTTGCAACGATGACCGCCCTCCTTGGTCCGCCACCGTCCGAATTTCTAAACAGGAGCAAGGAAACAAGCAAATACTGGGATGAAGACGGTAGGTGCCACAGAAGCAGGCCCTAAAATCGCCCCACAATAGTCTGTCCACCCGCCCTAACTAACTTGCTTGATATAGGCAAATGGAAGGGTCCCGCTCCCTTACCTACGGGGAAGACATTGGAGTCTCTTGCCAACACTCTGACAGGAGACGATAGAGATCGGTTCCTCGACTTCGTCCGGTCTTTGCTCTGCTGGCTTCCGGAGGAGCGCCTCACCGCCGGGCAGACTTACTACCATCCTTGACTGAGAGAGACATCTTGACGTGCCAGGAGCAGTTTCCCTCAACGTTGAGTTTCCATTGTTAGAAAGGGGCTCAGAAAGATGTCATTTGTCTATTCTAGAGTAGTCTGCATGCCCGGTCCATGTAGCAGGAGGGTCGCGTGGACCAGGGATATCTATAAATATCTTCGCACAAAACGATATTTGGTACGGGCCATTCCTGATGCTCAGCAAGTGGCAATCACGCGCTTGTAACCTGCGTGTTGGACCTCCTGGGCCACGTAGATCGGGACCTGTTTGCCAGTGGCCATCACATATTCCATAAAACGAGGGGCCATGGCTATTTGATGGCAGGGAGAGAACGACTTTAGAGGATATCGTGGTGAAAATTATTGAAGCACTTGGTCCAAAGGAAACAGCGACAGTTAAAATAATTAAAAACACTATCAACCCTTTGTATTATATTAGCGCCCAGTTTGAAGGCAAAGACAGAGGGATATAATACAGCTGTAGCTGCCCTGACACAATACTAGCATTCCAACAGCTCCCTAGCCTTAGCAGACAAGCGTCTCAATCTCGCATTGTCCATTAACGTCGTGTAAAGTGGGAAGGACCGGGCTGGCCACTGGAAGTTCACCACCGCCCATTGAAATTCTAGCTTAAACTCCCTAAGGCATCCTTTTAAGAGCTCCCAGTGGATATTACTCAACTTTCGAAACGCAGCTTCTGTAACATCCGGATTGCGATTGTAGCTTTCGCTACAATACACCACGATGATAACCTCGAGAGCCCGCAGGCTCTTTAGCGCAGCTAGAGTCGTCAAGACGTTGTCAGGAATAACCTTACCGTATGTGCGCAAAGGAATGCGAATTCGTAGGCTGTTAATTGCATCTCTGCGTTCAGGAATAATTACAGCAAGGTAACTAGCCACAGTGGCGGGGCCAGGAATACTGAAGACTGCACGCTTATAGAGGAGCGCGGATCCAACAATATCAACGTACATTCGGCGGCAGACGCGTGACAGTTTAGCACAGATTGAGATGATGGGGGACAGGTATCCATCAATGAACCTGACGCCGTGCCTCTCTACGTAAATGATAGGGCGATCGGACCTATCAAATCCGAAAATGACATACTGCCAGATCTGTTGGCGGATTTCAGGTGGGAGCTTGAGCAACGGGCAATTTGGCTGTTCTGCAATAGCAAGGGCCCAGGCCAGTGACTGCGGAAATGACTTCAAATCAGTACAATACTATTTATAAACGTGAGGTTGCCTACATGGATACCCTCTCGCAGGCTGTCGGAGTCTCCCGCTGCTGTTGACTCGATCAAGTTTCCTATATCGTCACCCCTCATATCCTTGAGACTAGCGGTTAGCCCAACTACCACCACAAAAGTTGGAGACCGAGGTATCTTTACCGAAGGCGCAAAGTCATATTTGACTTTCTTCCCTTTCCGTTTCGCCTTTCGCCGGCCTCTTCGCGTTGGTTTGAGAGCGTTTACATTACCCATCTTGACGAAGAACACGAAATCGCTGCAAGGCTCGGAGTGGGCTAAACGCCGTGTGTCCGAAGCTCATCAGGCACTTATACAGTCCTTAGAGGGATGGACGAGGAAGAAAGAAGGAAGCAAGGAGGCGGCTCAAGGGAAGCTTGTCAGGGTTGTCAATTATGGCATTAGCCAGAGTGCGTGGAAGAAAGTTTATTCAAATATGCCGTCCCCTGGGAAACAAGACAAATATGAAGTTGTGAAAACACGGCACATCAGTATCATATCGGGGGTGGGCTATATAGGAGATGGGGGATGGGAGCGACATGCCTGACTCACCCAACCCTAAACCATGTTGGCGACATAGGAACCCAGGTACCTAGGTACTAGAGGAATATAACTGCAAAGTATCCTACCGGGTATTACAGAAAACCATCAAAGCAACGATCAGTCACATGAAGTGCCGTCACCTGACAGGCAACCAGAGGTAGGAAGCAACTTGAGAAATCAGGCATAGAAAACATCCCCAGAGCCAGCCTATATAGACTCACTCCTCCCACCTGCACGAGTAGTTAGCTCTCCACTCTCTTCCTCATTATCTACATCCATCTTACTCTGTCCGAATAACCCTACTTTGATAGAAACTGTAGCGACTTATTTAGTTACCCGGAGGTTGTGAAGGGGGAGTCAGTGCAAGCGCCAGTCATTAGGCGGCCGATCACAACCTATACCACGAACGTCATCTAGGGACATTAAGAAGAAAGATTGAAACAAAACACCAGTCTTTGGAATATCGCTCTTTGATTATGTATTTATCTTTCGAGCGCCGACTTTAAAACGCCTTATCTGATGCTTGATCCGGAACACCATCGCTAGTTAAAGGTATAATATGCAGGTCGTGATGGCTTTCCCACCGCCCAAAAGCGCCATATGATTTCGGAAGTAAAACATTCACTTGAATTCATCCTTCAAAACCCATTTACCCCTCATTCTACTATTTCCACCCTTCTCCAACTTAGCAATCTCGCCAAGCATATGTTTGAATTCCTGGGTCTGCACAGGCGTCTTGCACATGCGATCAAAATGGTTGACGAGTGCCTGGCTAGGTACGGAGCCACCCTGTCTCCTGATGAAATCTCGGATGAGCTTCATGAAATCCTTTCCTCTGGGTACTCTGTCGGCGGCACCTGGAGTTCCAGAGCGAGAACTGCTTGAACTTGCGGGATGGGGACTCGAAAGACCCTGTCGATTAGCAAGCGATGCAAGAATACCAGCTGAGCTGGGTCCTGCGCCTCTGCGGATATTTACTGGTCTTCCTGCGGAGCCGAATTCTCCTGTCCAAGTCACCGTGCCTGGCTCAACATTTCGTGCGGCTTCTCCAGCTTTGCGAAGTTCGGTTGCTGCTTCCGCGGCTACTTTCTTCGCCTCGCGCTCTATCATGCCGCGATCAGCAGCTACTTTCCGTTTGCCATTGATGATCTGGTCATGTTCGAGAGCACTGTGGACGCCTGAGCGTGCAAAGATTCCTTCCATCAGTCTGGCTTCGTCAGATGATGGCTTTTCTTCGGATGGATCACCCCGGAACGCCTCAAGGCTAGAGACACCGTTGAGGTTTCGGATTTCATTTTCAGCATCACCCTGCATTGGTTCTGCTTTCACATTCAACTCGGCAGCCGCTTCGGAAGCCACTCCGTTCGGTGTCGCGGACGATGCATGTGCGTTTTCAGAGCCAGGAGAATCTTCCAGTGCTGCGCGCTCCGGTACATTGTTGAAGTTAACTTCAGTACCTTTGAACATTTCGCCTGTCTCTGTATAACCATCTTCTGCACTGCCGAGAGTAAATAGGTCGTATAGGTCCTTCATTTGGAATGTCTGGCGTTGCTTCGGGTCTTTCATGATTTTGTTTGTCAGAAATTGCTTGAAGATCTGTCGATGGTATATCTTCTCCTCGATTGTACCAGCCGTCATCAACCGGTAGATGGTAACCTCTTTTTTCTGCCCTAATCGCCAGGCGCGTTCCCGGGCCTGAATATCTGTTGACGGATTCCAATCTGGATCAAATATTATAACACGACTGGCGCCAGTGAGGTTGACACCAAGACCGCCCACCTTTGTGGTAAGCAAGAAGACATGCAGATCCGGGTCGTTGTTGAAGCGGTCCACAAGAGTTTGCCTCTCCTTGATGTTGGTGCTACCATCCATACGCAGATAGTTGAAACCATCCTGGCTGCGGATGAACTCTTCGATGATATTAAGCATCAGGACTCCTTGGCTGAATAGCAATGTTTTGTGGCCGAAACGCTTCCATGTTTCCAAGAGAGCCTTCACGACCTGCATTTTCCCTGACTTATTTGGATTTCCCCATTTATAGCCAGGTTTGCCTCTCAGCCGGGGGTCGAGAAGATCTGGGTGATTGCAGATCTTACGCAAGATATCGATCCCGTACAGCGACTGCCGTTTATGGTTCAAGATGGAAGTCATTTCATCAGACGAAAGAAACATCTCGTAAGCATCCCGTTGAGGCTTCGTGAGCTTACAGAATAGCACCTGCTCGCTCTTTTTAGGAAGATCCGAAGCAACGTCGACCTTTAGTCGTTGCAGGAGATACGGACTAATAGTATTTTTAAGTGTCTCTGCACACTTGGTAGCAGTTAACACTTGCAAATTAGTAGCATTGGCATAGCCTCCCAGTCGGATAGGCACTTCAAATGCTTGTCGGAAATTGACCAAGGTGCCAAGCCGCATAGGGAAAACAAAGTCGAAAAGTGACCAGAGTTCAATGAGATTATTCTGCATGGGGGTGCCAGAGAGGATCACTCGATTCGCAGTTCTCAGCTCCTTGCAATGGATGGTGATGGCAGTGTTTGGGTTTCGGATCTTATGGCCTTCGTCGAGCACAGCGTATCCCCAGTCTACAGGAATAAGTTCATCAGAATAAGTCTGCAGACCAGCGTAAGTGGTGACGAGGACATGGCCATGTTGCACGACCCGATCCACAACCTTCCTTGCGGCTTTTGATGACTTGGGTGGTTTTCTCTGCGTGTGGCCGTACAGCTCCTCGATTTCTTCAATTCGGCCTTCACTCCCAACATTCAACATACCACTGCCGGAGCTGTGGAGAATTGACACTCGTAGAGGTGGCCACCATCGATGGAATTCATTAACCCATTGTCGAAGCACGGTGGCTGGAGCAACAACGATGATAGGCTTTGTCAATTTCTTGCTGTAATGTAGGCCGGCTAGGAATGATATGATTTGGATTGTCTTCCCGAGCCCCATCTCATCACCAATGATACCACCGACCTCTTGAGTATATAGTTCTCCAAGCCATTGAACACCGGTTTTTTGGTAGTCGAATAAGGCCGGATAGATGTCTCCAGGGAGCGTGATGCCATTATCAAAATGATGGTCTGGCGCGTCCGGGCATGGTTTGAACCACTCTTCTTCATCTGCATTCTCAGCAGCAATTTCTTCTTCGGTAGCTTCATTTTGCTGTAATCTGCGCCGCCGTGCCATGCTTCTCTTCTCAACCCACCTCTTTAGCCTTGCCTGATACATTTGCTCATTTCCATCATCGATGCCAGAAATGTCTACTTTCTGCTCATCGCCAGCCTTGGCACGAGCTCTCTTCCTCGAAATACCTGAGGTCATGGCACTGTCATCCTCATCCTCTTCAATGAAATCATCGATATCATCATCCGAGATTCCAGGGGCGAAGCTATCGGCAGCCTCCTCGTCGGATAAAGTTCCACGAGTCTGTGGTGGGGATTCCAGAGACCTATCTCCTAATCTCCTCTTTTTCCGAGGGCGAAGAGAGAACTCGCTTTCAGGAGTGCTGGTACCGCTCTCAGGAACATCGGCAAAACCAGGCAATCGCAGGTTTTGATGGGATCTGGGCTCGGCTTCCCGCCCTTCAGCTACTAATTGCTCCTCTTCTTCTACCTCTTCCTCGGCATCTATCAACACATCAGTAAGATTGCCAGGCAAAGCTTCCGAAATTCTCGTAGGAATGCGAGCAAAGGGTGTGATCTTTCCGGTCCGAATGAGGAAATCTCTTTGGGTTTCATTTGGCATTCTTTGGTTGCCACCAGCAGCATCCGCTTGACTATCTCTAGCGTCGCCATATTGGTGTCTCTCATCGATACGCTTTTGTATGTCGGTTATATCTTTCTTGAAACCCTTGATTTCCGCCTCAATGCGATCGATTTCCTCTAGGCATCTTCGATGCATGAGAGGGTTGTTCTCTAGTGTTTGTAGGCGTCGCTTTTGGATCCGCAACTTTCCGTCCAGCTTGTCGATATTGTTATTAACCTTGTCGATTCGTTTCTGATCCCGCTCGTCCTCCTGCTCAATCATCGCCAAGTTGGCTTGGTTTGTAATGTCTCGTTCTAGGTCATCTTGATCCCGGACGTTCTCCGTCAAGCCTTGGAGAGCACTCGCCTCATCAGTCGCCAAATGATCTGCGACGACGGCATCGTTTGCAAGACTTGCATTTGCATTTTCTGCGACAGCTGCAGGAACTTCTGCTATGGTATCCGTTCCCTCCATTTTTAGTTTGAGGTCGGGGTCGTCCTCATGGGCGGACGAGGGGCGACACTCGGGGTCGAGTACAGCTACAGGTTCGTCCTCACGCTCCATGTCGACGTATAGCTTTCGCGGATCCCTTCGGAAGGCCGAATTCGTATAATGATTTGGCGAGGAATCCTATCTCTAAGAAAGAATGACTTTGTCTGGTGGCAGCGAAAGTGATGAGGAGGAAAAAGTGGCCTGGATGGCTACTCTTTACTTTTAGCAGCCCCGAATTTGAGAAGAGGTCTGTCGCATTTTGATTTTGATCCCACACACCGCCGCTAAGGGCAGAAGGCAATGTGAGAATAACACCGAAGGGCGCGGCGAAAACTATCTGGTGTTCTGATTTTGACAGTCCCCTCGAGATCCTCCAAGCTCACGTTCAAGGTCAAGTTGAAGTCCAAGTCGAGTCAAGTTCAAGGCTTCAGTCTGTCGCGATCTGTGACGCTGACGGCGAACCGCATCCCTGTAGCCCGCAGGGCGTAGACGTCTCCCGGGCTGTCATTGGCTGTCGGAAGAATCTGCTGCAGCTTTACTAAGTCTGGCCAATCAGGAATGCATATTTCATAAATTGCCTAATTGGGTAATTTCTTGAGTATAAAAGTTATCCATTTTCCTTCCACGCTGTCTACTGGTACAAGATGCGCCGGTCTAGAAAGGGCACATTAAAGGCAATCCACATCGAATGTCTATATAGTCTTGGAGAACCCCGACTAGAATCTCTAGAACTTCCTTGATGTGGCTCCGGATTCGACCAGCCTCCGTGGGATCAGTGTCTCGTCTTCCTTTCGGTGCCGGAGCACCCGTTCCAGTGGAGCTCTTCTATCCAAGTTCTGCATAATCATTATAAAACTGACCAAAGACAACTCAAACCTTAGAACCTCCAAGCTTAATCGCCTATGTCTCCGTACAGAGTACCCATTATTGGTCGCCTCGAGCAAATTCTGGGGATTTTAGGCCTGGCCTGAGGTTTGAGAGTCCCCGATATGCTTGCTTGTCAGGTCGGCGCTGTGATGATGAGCTGGAAACCTCCAGGCTGTCAGTGAGACTGGTGGAATTGTCACCCAGCATGCACTCGTTTGTTGTTATTATATTTGGACTTGGATTCGGTATAAGGCATCAGGACGAACGGAGGGCCTAACAGAAAGGAAGCACACCGCCAAAGAGCCTCAGTAGTTGCGCGTAGGTACAGTACTCAACCTCGCAATCAACAATCAGCAGTACGTTCGAGAACCTTCACCCTTCCACAACCTCTACTTCATCTTTATACCATTTATGTTTTGCTGCTTGCTGTGCTGGTTGCTCGAATCCTTGACCATTGAATGTTGCTGATGCTGTTGATGTTGATGTTGTCCTTCCTGTCTCCAGGCGTACGTAGCAGCTCGGCAGCGAACACCATCCATGATTCACGCGCTAATCCATTGGCGGGCCAGCTCTCCACGACTGCAACCAACAGCCACAGCCACTTGCTACCACCACTGCTGCTACGCTACTACAACTACAAACCATATCTCTACCTCGACCTCAACCGCAACCTCAACCTCAACCTCATCTCCTCTCGCCCTCTCACCGGCCCTCTGCACGCCTCGCTCTCGCCGTCTCGCCATGCATCGTAGCTTGACGAGCTGCGTCTTCTTCTGCTGAGAGGCTCCCGACCTTCATTGCGACGCGTTCCGAATCGACTGGAGGCTCGTGGCTCGATAGCTTGGCCGCCGTCTGACGCTGTGTTGCGTGTGTGCGCCCATTTGCCGGTGACGACCCAGCCCTGCTTTCGACACCTCGACATAATTCCACGACTCGCTCACAGCATCTGAGTCAAGAGCCGCCATGGACCAGTGGCAGCAGCCTTATTCGGACTCGGCGTCGTCGTCCAGGAGGTACAACGGCAACCCCCCGCCAAACCAGGCGCGAGAGTACAATAGCAGCACAAACGGCGTCACTCTTGCCCAGCCTCCTGCCGGGTTCACATATGATCAATATCAAGGTGGAATGGGCGCCCATCCTCAGTCCATGACTGCCTCTCCTACTGCCACTCCGCACATGAGAGATGGGAATGGCGACGTAGCCATGCAAGATGCGAAATACCCCATGCGACCCCATCACCAGCAGCATCTCTCTGGCGGTCGATCGGCAACGCTTCATTCTCCCCAAGAACCTTCTGCGGCGGCACAACGCTACTCGCCCATGGAGGCATTATCTCCCAGCTCGCCGTACAGCGCCCAGCAAGGTCAATATGGTGCTCAGGGGCCTCGACAGTCTCCGACCCGGCTGGGAACCTTCGCGTCGCCCAATTCTTACTATCAAAGCCGACAGCAGACTCAGCAACTTCCTCCAATCACTCCGTATGCATCAAACAATGAGTCATATCCTTCTTCTGCGACTGCGCAACTGAATGCGGTTTTTGGGAACGACCCCAAATCTCCACGCCGACCGGTCCCGCAACCACAGGGCCCTCCTGGAAGAGGGCCTGTTCCTGAGTTCGCAAAAATCCGGAGCATGACTGATTTGCAACCCAAAATCAGTGCTCAGCCAGCGTTCCGGAGAGCAAACCCCGAAGGTGGTTTCATTAGCGTAAGCAAGATCTTATGCGCTGTTACATATTGAAACTGATGTTCAAAATACTAGCCATTGCAAGCCCTAACAAGCCACCTACCGTCCACATATCGCATCTGCAATCCCAGCTTCAAATACGAATCCTCCCGAAATCCCCGCCGCGTCTTAACGAAGCCAAGCAAGGGGGTCAAGAATGATGGCTATGACAATGAGGACAGTGACTATATACTATACGTGAATGACATCCTGGGGTCGGAGGAGACTGGCCATAAGTATGTCATGGGATTCACACCCACACTTTAGATGATGCCAATTCCTAACAACACACAGAAATCGATATCTTATCCTTGACGTGCTCGGTCAAGGTACCTTTGGCCAAGTTGTGAAATGCCAAAACTTGAAGACGCAGGAGGTTGTTGCGGTTAAAGTGGTTAAGAATAGGACCGCCTATTTCAATCAAAGCATGATGGAGGTTTCCGTGCTTGACCTGGTGAGTGGACCGGCTATCGGGTTTGACTTGACACTGACTGTTCTGGTAGCTCAACACGAAGCTTGATAAGAACGACGACCATCATATTCTGCGGCTTAAGGATACTTTCATCCATCGCCAGCATCTGTGCTTGGTGTTCGAGTTGTTGAGCGTCAATCTATACGAGCTAATCAAGCAGAACCAATTCCGTGGATTGAGTACGACTCTTGTGCGCGTGTTCGCGCAACAGCTTCTGAACGGGCTTAGCCTGTTGAATAAAGCTCGCCTGATACATTGCGATTTGAAGCCCGAAAACATCCTGCTAAAAAATCTCGAAAGTCCGATTATCAAGATTATCGATTTCGGATCTGCCTGTGACGAACGCCAGACCGTCTACACATATATCCAGTCCAGGTTTTACAGATCCCCAGAAGTTCTACTCGGCCTACCATACTCATCCGCCATTGATATGTGGTCACTTGGATGTATCGTTGTTGAGCTTTTCCTTGGTCTTCCTCTTTTTCCAGGTTCATCCGAGTACAACCAAGTATCTCGGATAGTGGAAATGCTCGGGAACCCACCCAACTGGATGCTAGAGATGGGGAAGCAGGCAGGTGAATTTTTCGAAAAGAGACATGATGTTGATGACTTTGGGAGACGGACATATCACCTGAAGAGTATGGAACAATACTCACGTGAGCATGGAACGAAGGAGCAGCCCAGCAAGAAGTACTTCCAAGCCACGACGTTACCGGAGATCATCCGATCATACGCAATGCCAAGGAAGAACATGAAGCAAAGTGAAATCGATCGAGGTAAGCTGAACACAACTACTCGTGGAAGAATGTCAACTAATCAACTCCAGAAATGAACAACCGGGTTGCATTCATCGACTTCGTCAGAGGGCTACTTAATATCAATCCCTTGGAAAGATGGTCTCCTCAACAGGCTAAACTGCATCCATTCATCACGCAACAGAAGTACACAGGTCCTTTTGTGCCTCCTAGTATGAACTTGAAAACCAGTTCCGTGAACAGATCCCCGGCACCCGGTACTCAGCAGCAGCAACAAGCTGAAGCGCTAAGCAAACAGCGGGCAGCTGCAGCTGCACAAGCTGCCTCAGCTCAGGCTCATTCGGCAGCACAAGCACAATATGCGGCAGGCGTCCAGCATGCCCAATACACGCAGACAGCTCCGCCTCAGGCACCTCCCATATACAACAACATGTATCCTCCAAATACCAACCACACCAACCATCAAGGCCCGCCCCCTCCGTATCCTGCCCAGCAACCTGCCGCATACAACCAAATGGGCATGATGCCGCATCCTCCAATGCAGGTTCCATCATCACAGTATGGCCCTGGCACCCAGCAACAACAGAGTCTATACCAACAGGCCAATATAAGGGCCGGACGTCAGCGAGCGACCACTATGGAAATGCAGCAGGGCGGTATACCGGTTACCATACAGCGAGTTGCCAGCCATCTCGATCCTAGCCAACCTATCCGCCTCCAACCCAGTCCTGCATACTACCCACCGCCGCCTGATGGAGCTCCTGATGGCAACCCTGGAAGTGCACGAAGGAGGGGCAGCAGGGCTGCGCAAGGTGGCCAAGGTGCGAGAAATAATAGGGATTTCATTCGCAACCTTGAAGACCGCACTCTCGAAGAAGGGTTCATGGGACAGAGTCAGTGGCATTGAGCATTGCATTTTCTCCTTTTGCCTGTTGAGTCAGGCATTGGCCGTCGACGCCATTCTCGTCGATAAAACTGCCGCCTCCACGTATATTATTCTATGTGCATTGCACATATCGTCAGTACAATCGATCTAACTTCGAAGGTGCGGAATCATTCATTGTTGTTGGCGGCAGCGGCACTCATGATACCCACGGACACCAGAATGAATGCAGGGAGGCTAGGGCTCGAACTGGTGGGCATCATATAGATTTGGACCACGGTTGTAGGAAGGAAAGCTGGAAAGGACCGAATTTCATATACTTCGTACAAACTACATCTTGGGGATACAGTCATGAATGAAACGAGCATGCGAAAATTTTTCCCTGGGTGAGTTCTAAAGGTGGACGACGCGAAGCGTGAGGGAGAGTTGGGGGAATGCTTTGCTGGTTGGCTGGGCTGAAGGGAGTTCAAAGATCATCAATTCTGTGTAATTTATCTAGCAGATTCATCGCATGGAAATCCTCGCTAGGAAAGCTATATTAGATAATGCTACCTAGGTACTACCTATCAAGCTTTGGATCTAGACATTTTACGAATTTTGGTTTTCGAGTGAGATTCGTCTGCTATGATCTGACACTGGTCATAATAATCATAGGAGCGAGCTTGAGTACCTTTTTTTTGCAACACAATATTTACCTCAAGAGTCTTTCACAATCACATAGTAAGAGAACAGCACTTCCTTCGTAATTTGATATGGTATTCTACTTCGCTCAGTTTCTCATTCCTACTAGTACAGTTATCGCAGTATCCCTCCCCTGCAGGTTTCTCAGCGATATGCGCTTTAAATTCTCTGTTATTTATGTGGAAAAGGAAATCCCCGGTGCATCGCTGTTTATATCGTGAACATGGATCGAATGTTGCCATTTTGCGGAGATCATTTGGTGGGTAAGGATGCGGGCCTCGCAGTTGTTTTTGGAGGGGATGAAGATCGAAGGTGGATGATTTAGATTCATATGATCGGGTGTAGGAAAGGAGGGAGGAGGCCGCAGGCAGACAGCGCTCATCTGTATCCGTTACCACGGCCCCTATCCCGTCTATCCTGGTTATCGCCGCCGCCTCGTCCACGGTTGCCGACGATATTGTCGCTGTACAACGACCCTCGGTCTCGTCCGTTGCTGTAATTATCGTCATCTGTCTCCATACGATTGTCGAAGCCGTATGAGCCATCCATTATATCTTCCCTGTCGTTTTGTCGGCGCTCTCGTGGCGTGTATCTATCTGAACCAGCATAGGCAGATCGAGTATCCTCGTTAATAAGGTCTGCTCGTGGACCTTGGGGGGTTGATGGGGTTGATCTGATGCTCTTAACAGCGCCAATTTTATGGTAAACATGGAGTATGTTTCCATCAGCCTATATTGAGTTAGCTCGCAAGTCTCTAAAAGTGTCGGGAACCTTACGTTTTGGTTATTGAGAGTGTCAACGACATTCTCGGCGCCTTCTCTCGTCTCGAACTCGACTTCCGCAATCACTTTTGGTTTCTCTGTGATGATCTTACATGCCAGCACAGCCCCGCCAAATTGCGCCGTTGCGCTCTCGATATCCGCGACTGTCGTTCCAGGCGCAAGATTCTTGGCAACGACAATATACGGGCCTGCGACTCCGCGGATAGATATTCCCGGTTTTGAAGCGCCCATGATATTGAATTGACTGTTGAGAGCGGGTGATGAAGCAGAGCCGTTGAGCACGGAGGAAAGCAGCTCTTTGCGGTTTGCCCGTCCGGCCTTTGGTCCACGGGGTACATTAGGTCCTGGGACGTTGTTCAGGCTGTGAAGATCGTGTGTCCATTCTGCATTTACGTTGCCAGCTGATGGTCGAGCTGCTGGTTTCTTGGGGTTCTTCATTGACGTTGAAAGGTTCCGCTGCAGGCCATATGTCAGCGGCGCGTTTTCCCCTTGACTCCTCCGTATAGATAGATAGGTAGGTAGCATACCTTTCCGACACCGATTCTGCTAGCAAGTGAAGGAACGGCGGTTGGTTTGCGGCTGGCGACTCCAGCACCAGGCGCGCTCGCTCTCCGGTTCTTGCTGAATATCTGCTCCGCGAGCGCTTCATTTTTGCGTTTCTGACGATCTAGGAAAACGTATCAGCGATAGGATTCTGAATCTCGGTATGCCACACGCGTCCAGGGCTTTCCGTACTCTTGTTGATCATCTCATTGAAGTCGGCGGCAACTTTCCCGGGAGCCATGATGGGCGAGGATACCGTCTGTCCACGGGGCGTTTGATAATACCGATGGGTGATATATTAACTGGAATAGACCTTGGAATAAGAGTAAAGGGCAGTATAGAGCAAGAGAGTGAAACCACAATGTGTTGCGAGAAGTGAGATTGATGGATGAAGCGCGATCGGATGGCGACAAACCGGCAATCCCAAAAATCCCCTGTGCCAGCCGCAAGGCTGGGAAGGATACTCGAGATACCGTAAAAGCGGCGCCGCCAAGCTGTATCCAGGGGCAACCTCTGTCTATGAATAGCACATGACCGACGACAACGTTCCAAGTATTACTTATAAGCTCTATCTAAATCCCTTCAAACAATGGTAAAGTGTGTTAAATTATTTATCATAAAGTTAGTCGAATTTTGTGACGCTCTTGCCAGGTTTACGGTGTCGCTCAGAGTTACGGAGGAGCGCTCAGCGCATTACCGCAGTAGCTAGAGTTCAGGTCCTTAAGTTTGATACTTGAACTTGCCATAAAGAAGGCTCAAACCAACTCCAATACGTGGCAGCTTCTGGAATATACCCAATATCTAAAAGAGTTTTACGCGTTGGCGTAGTCCACGGCTTGGCAATGAAAGTGTATGCAAGTGGATCTACCATTCTCGGGATAATTAAATACAAGGCGCTGGCTTGAGGTATATGAGCAGTGCCGCCGGCTCCTATTTCTAACAGGGAGCATGGAAGGACGAAAGAAAGAAAGGGAAAGAAAACACTCGAATAAGTGAAGAGTTGAGCCGATTGTATGGAGGTAGAGCTTTCATTCAAAGGATATATATTTGTACACTTCAGTGCACGGTGAAGTAACCACTAGATTATACTACCCAGACATTGTTTAGCTCCTACAATGAAAGAACTATAAAGTGCGACGCGCAGGAATGGGAAGTTGGTAATGATTGTAAGGCGAGAAAAAGTTGAGGAAGCTGCGGTTGTGGCCGCCTTTCCATGGCAGGTGCCACCGGAAGCTATAACAACAACTATTTCTTATTGTTCTCCTTTTCCCAACATAAGCATACACATACTACAACAAATCCATCCCAATAACTTACATTTTAACATTCCAGTTTTGGTTATAGGTAAGTCACCGTGTGATCGACATCACAAGCCACATTGTCAAATTTCCGAGACACGACTCAAGACATGTTTCAGCATTAGACTTTCGAGTCCCTCTTATTCTCCCATAGGAAATCAAGCTGACTGGAATGCAGCTGAGTACAAAATACCAGTATGCCTACTCCTACTTCAGCAAACAAGGAAATCGGCCCAAGTCCCCCTACTCATACTCCTACTCCGGGCGTTGACCTTATGGATCCCTCATCAGCCCCGACAAAAGACTCCCAATCCTTGCCAGGCATATCATCGCCCAAGAGATCTCGACTGTTTGAGGTATTGAGATCATGGGGCCCTGGCAGGAAGTCTCGAGGAGGATCTGAGAGCCACAACTCTCAAGTCTCTGGTAGAAGAAAGTCTACATGGGGCATCCTCGCCAGTCTCAGAAACGGCAGGCAAACCAACGAAGAAAATCTAACCATTTCTAATGCTACAAGAGCAAGATCCGCTTCTCTATCCAAGAAGGGCAAATGTGACCGTAGGAATATAATATTTGGTTCTACAACTCTGGCACTGACGAAATGGAGTAGATGAAATATCTCCAACCCTCCAAAGGCGAAAGAGTCTCGGCAATATTCTAGGAATCCTCAAGCACCAAGCCTCATCAACGCGTAGTGCAAATTTAAGGGATGGCAGCGAGATAGGCAAACTCTCATCAGCCTTGATAGACTCAGCCGTACACCAAGAAGCTACTAACGTGGGTCAGCCCATTTCTGCTACTCATCCAAACGGAGCGACTACTCAGGAAATTTCAATACAGCTTGTAGTCCCAAGCTACGGAGACGTGGATGGCTGTACTGACCATACAAAGAGTATGGTGAATGGTAAGAATTTGCAAGACGTGGTTGATATCTCCATACTAACGTGGATGAAGAGTTCCAATCGATGCAGATGGAAGAACCATCTGGTTCACACCATCTTTCTGCATCGCTTTCAAGCACTTGTTAGCCTCTTTACACTCCGAACGCTGGTAATATAACTAACACAAGCGGCAGGGAGGAGCAAAGTCCGAACACTAGCTACGTGTCAGGATGAAGCAGGCGATAAATTACTAGTTGGGGATGAAGACCAAAGAAGCAAAACGCTAGATGACTACCTTTGCGCACTTATAGAAGCTCACTGCACGTCGCTTGATACGTCACCCACGATGTCAAGCCAAATGAAAAGCTCAATAGCCCCTGCCCCAAATGCATTGAAGCCTGCCCGAAAAGTTACTTTCGTTGAAGACGCTTGCTCCGATTTGACCCGGACAAGGGAGAGGTATTGCCGACTGAATGATCGACATGGGATCCAAGCTCACGTGTACTTAGTTTGGCCAAGAAAACGCCTATGGGCGATATTGGGGCAAGTCCAGACCGGAAGCTATTGGACACTCCCAAGCCCATTGAAGATAATGAAATTGTAAGACTCCAGGTGGCAGAACCAGAATTTTACTTCCGAGATCTCGATCGGGATTTCATCCAAAGATCAGAAACTAGAAACCAGAGGTATCAAACAATACAAGGGGTGTCCGACGTCACCCCGATGCTTGATAAACAACGCATTGAGCAAAGCGTCAAATTGACAGTAGCCAGGATGACGAAGAATTTTCATAATTCAAATCATAACGAGGGCCAAGCCCACTGTGAGAGTAGTGAGATAGAGGCTTGGAATGTAGTTTTCACCGGGAGCGATATCTTACATAAAGTATGGCCTATATCACCATTTCGTGGGACCTGAAGACTAATCAACGTAAGAAATTCCCGTATACTACGGCGAAGAGGGTCCCATCACAGGACCACAGTTTCCATATCAAGACGCTCGAGGAGACCACATCAATAGCGAAGCCTTTTGAAACCAAAACTAACCACCCTCTGCAGCAAATATCTTCCAGGACAGCCAATTTGAACAGGGTCGAAGCCAACAGCACGCAGGTGGAAAATCAAAGCCCGGGTCAAGGCAGTCTCGATTCTAGACAAAACAGGCCACGAGGGCAGTGCGTAGAACAACTGAAGATTCGGGGAAAGCAACCGAGACGTCCATGTTCGAACAAAGCTCGGCATGTCTCCCTTGCACCAGTTTTCGTGGAGTTTCCTCAGGTCAACGACGAACCTTTGCGGAGGGAAAGATATAGCAACAAATCGGATGCAATATCAGACCTTTATAACCAAAGTTATAACCGCCAATACTCCAGTTTCTGCACTTATGATCCAAGGACTCGTACCATCCACGTTCACCCACGTCCATCAGGAGTTCCAAATCTACCAGAATTAAGATCGAAGGGGAAGGAGATACTTTGGCTCCCGATGAATGATGACTCCACCGCCCACTTTGCATCTGCCGCCAGAATGGCTCGACATGAACGCGAGGTGCACGATGCTACTGAAGCTATCGCCACTCTAAACTCCGGTGCTGGACCTAGACTGGAACAGTCAAACATATTTCAAGGAAATATAGCGTTTAAAAAATCACAGGAGGGCGCGGCTAGATCTGGCGAAGCAGGTTTGTTAGACAAAACAGGAACATTAGTCGCCAATAATGCTTTTGGCTGTACTTATTTTCCTAGTCTGTCGCCACTAACTAATACAACGCCAAACTCAAGCCTAAGCCCAGATACCCCCACTGACCAAGCTGTCCAGCCAACTATTGGGAATGGCTACCTTGCGGGATCTAAAGTTGGTAGAGACATTGCTTTAAGCTTTGTAGGAAGCCAATTCTCTGGACCCAAAATATCGCTGCAAGATGACGAGAGCAGCAATTATGAGTTCACAGCATCAGGTACCGAAGTAGATCTCTTGTTCGGCTTGAAAAGTGTGGAAGAGACTCGCTGTACTAAGACTTGGTTTGACCTCGCGAAAGATTATTTAGCAGAGCATCCCAAGGAAGTGCCAACTAAAGATTCAGAAAATGAAGAAGTAGGAAACGATGGTCTGGACGCGACAATTGGCGAGACACTAGGACCTTTGAACGAGGTCAATATCCGGGGTGACCAACTTCCGAGGCCCCATCCGCGACAGTCTTCCGATCCGGGCCCGACATTTGAGCATATCGAAAACATCACTAAACAGGCATCCTCTTCAAGAGGCAAGGTCGAGTCAAATAGACAGGCTAAAGGGCTCTCTGAAATAGGGATCTCCGCTGGAGTCGAGACGAATCGATACCACTACAGATCGAGTACCTCGCAGAAATATACCCAGACAGAACCAGCTCCATCCCCGGTACATCAGCCTCTAATCAACATCTCTAGTAGCGTTGAACACCAAAATCGCATCCCAAAAGCATCTGCTAGTAAATTTCCTGCTGCTAGCCACACGGGAATGAGAACTAGCTCAACTGTATTATCTCCTTCTAGGTTTGAATTTTCGGCCTTTGCAGCACCCAAGAACGAGACCGAAGGAACCGAGATCGATGCCACCCGCTATTTTGAATGTCCAGATCAGCGAATACCGCATAGGGAACAATGTACTCCTAACTTCGACGCCAGCGAGGGAGCCAGGGCCCCGTCAGAAACCAATCCCGATGATTTGGATTGTCGAGTTATGGGGAAATCGGCTCGATGCAGCAAATTTGCAAAGCAAAGCCTGGAGCTGGGACACAAGGCTGAAATCCCACTTCGCCCTCGATCGATATCTCGATTCGGCACCCTACCTGACACCCTATTTAGGCAATACGGGACTGGTCGTGTCATTACCACTGACCGGAGGCAAGCTTCAGAAGGTCCACGATATCCATCTCCCTCGCCAAGGTCATTTTCAACACTGAGCGATGCAGATACAGAAAACAGTTCCGCTTTTGGAGAAGCTTTGGAAAGGACGTGGACGTATAAGGACGATGAGGAGAAGATAACGGCATCAAGACAACGTCCATTGCAGACCTTGACCAACATGAAATGAGTTCCACAACGGAGGATTGGAATACTATCAACTGAGGAGGTCGATATTGACATTAAAGGAGTTTGGCATTGGTACTATACCCAATATTGTTATAAGAATTCAAAATGGTTTGAGGGATCAAGTGTGGTGGAGAGATTGAAACGCACACTCTCATGCTACTGAAGGAAGAAGCATGAGTTCATAGAATTAGTATACAATGCATGATATTCATCTCTGTTCGCAGTCTATCCCCGACTATGTAGACGGTATTGCGGGATATGCGACGCATATATTTGCGCCTTTATAATACAAATATGTTTCCCCAAAAGAAAGTATTATACAAGCGAAAGCTGGCGATACCATTGGCTGTATCCGATTTGGGAACTGGAGGAACCATTTTCAGCGGACCTTCGTTTTGGTGGCCATTCACTAGACTAGTTAAGGTACTCCTGTTTCTTTTGTTGTCGCTCGAAACGTAAAACTGAGGCAGCCTTGGCAGAATCCGCCTGCATTTCCTTCGCCTGCAGCTTTTGATCTTGCTCAAACTTATACTCAGTTTCGAGTCGCTTTACGAAGGCGTCCCACTTCTCCTCTGAAATTTGCGCTCTGACCATGGCCTTGTTGAGGTAATGGCTATTGACATACCCCACGAGGTGAGGGGGGAGCTCATGGATTTTTGACCCAGGGGTCTTGAATTTTGCGTTGGCGTAGCGTGTCATGAAGGAAGACAACTTGTTGCGTTGTTCATTGATTTCGGCGATTTTCGAGGGGGGCGCGAGGGCTTTCTCTACTAGTATGGTGCAGGCGGAGATCATTCGGCGGGTTAGAACGAGGACGGCTTCCCGGGCTTCGGTGAATTCTTGTGGTGTCATGTCTAATTCGGGGGGACAGTCTTTGAACATGTACGTTTTGATGTTGATGAAGGAGGGGTTGAGGCGCTCAAGGGCCCGGATAATTTGCTTCCCACGGTCAAGTTTTGAGGATTCCTTGTCGGATGCATTCGCGGCGGCTCCGCCTGTTACAGCCACTTCCAGATATTGGTTTAACACTTGTATATCAGGGACTGTGAGAGCAGAAGTCATTATGTCGACAACTTTGCTAGCATTGCTGAACGCACTTGGGTTGTTTTTATCTCGCTCGCAAGATGATATTGCTATGCGGAAGGTCGCCGTTGCCATGATTGATTCTGGCATTCGCTGAAGCAACTGAACTGTCAGACTGCTTGCTCTTGCTACCCGGAGAATACGGAGGTATTCGTTATAGTTGTTGGTATCTGGCTGAACTCCAAGCTTATGCACGAAAATGTCCCAGTACAAAGTAGCAGGCGCCTTTAGCCTCTGGTTCGCCAAAGCTTTCAGAACTAGGGACAACACGTTCCGCCCAGGCGCAGCATATGCGCTCGTCCCCGGAGATGGAGCTTTTGGTACTTTGATGACTTCGAAACTGTCCACTGTTGAAACTTGGAGTGTGTCAGCGGAAGCTTGAGAAGACTCTCCAAGGGCAGGCCTCGAGTCTTCGGCTTCCAGATTGCCTTGCTTTGAAGGGTCGATTAACTTGCGCTCTTTAGAATGTAGGCTCGGGACTTGGCGAGGTATATCCATAGTTTGTTCAACCAACGAGAGAATATCATCCACATCTTGGGAGTCACCAAGGAGCATAAGACGCCCCATGGCGCAGACGAGCTCCTCATCGATCCGTATATCTCCTTTACGCCAACGCTTCGTGATATCTTTCCAGATATGCCGGGCGTTAAGAATAGCTTTCTGAGTGTTTCGCCTCTTCTCCAGTGGGGATGAATTGCCCCGGAAATCAAAATCCACATTTGCTCGGAGGGCATTGAGGATTGTCGTAAAAGTCAAGTTGTTCGGTGCCGTCACGCCTTTGCCTGGCATACTAGCTACAATCTCAAACATAGCATGCATGTCCCTTGCCCGTCCACACAGCTTCAAAATAGCGTTTAAATGTATTGCGTTCGGCTTAAGACGCGATGTCGGAGACTGCATTGAGTGATATATCGCCAGCACTTTCTCAAGTGCTTCAGGCAGATTCTTATGTTCGGTGCAGCCTCTGATAATGATCGTGAAAGTGTGGGAGTCAGGTTGCTGGCCGCGTTTCTTCATCTAGGGGAGAGTTAGTAGTTACCCAAAACATAATCGCATGGCAAGCTTCCACGTACCTCATTATAAGTTTTGATAGCAGCATTCATCTTCCCCTTACTCAACTGCCAATCAATCAAATGATTCCAGCTCACTACGCATTGAAGAGTTTTACTCGCCGCTCGAGTAACCCCCAGAGCAGCCTCGAAGTCATCGCCATTCAAAGCCTTCCGCACGTAGTCGGCGAGTTTCAGAGGATCAGTTCCATAGGCAGGGTGCTTCTGCAGAACATTTCCCATTAACCGTTCCAACTCTTGTTCTTTGCGCGATATAGGAAAGGGATACCCTGCTGTGCGGCCTTGGTACAGCGATTTGCCCTGGTACGGTGGTTTGCCTTGGTACAGTGATTTGCCTTCGTACGATGATTTGCCTTCGTACGATGATTTCCCTTGGTACGATGGTTTCCCTTGGTATGATGGTTTGTCTTTGCTAGTGGTAGCATTATTAAAAGATCGATTTCCGTTCGATAAGGGGGTCGCATTTTGCAGATGCGAAGCTATGGCGGTAGGTCTCTTGGACGGGTTGGACGTGGTCCCATAGTTCCTTGAGAGGTGCTCCCTTCCAAGGTTCGCAGCAAAAGGAGTTCTCAAAATTGGTGATGAAGCGGCCGAACCCCCGAGGAGAGCTTGTAGGCACCGTTCCCTGCATGTGCTACAAGACAGCATTGCAGATCGCGATGGTGAATTCCCGAGCGAAAAACTCTTGGTGATATCGTGAACTCAAAGGGTTCTTGTCGCGAATCTTTTTCTGAGATTGACCCGTCGATTAGGCCTAGCGGCCGCACCACCTCAGGCACCCAGGGACCCCTGCACCTGCAGCAGCCGCGGCAGGGATTCGCGCATCGCGTTGATTCTCGCGTTGATGGTTTACTTTCACGCGTCCGTAGTATTCCGTATTCCTCCCAAGTACGAGGTACCAACCACCACGACTACACAATTCCTCAGCATACAACTCACAACCCTCGAGTGTCCTATTCTCCCACCTTTCTCAAACGATGCTCAATTGAGGACCAATAACGAATCTATACAATGTCTAAGGCAGCTACTGCACGTTCAAAATTTGCAGAACTTCGTGCCCTTCGAGAATCCGGCAAGAAACGTCTCGATACGTACCAAGTTCACCAGGAAGAGGATTTGTACGAGGAAGTGGACGAGGATGGGTATAAAAAGGTTGTCAGAGAGCGCTTGAATCAGGATGATTTTGTTATAGATGACAATGGCGAAGGTTACGCAGATGATGGGCGCGAGGAGTGGGACCGCCCCCGTGGATATGGCTCGGAAAGTGAGGAGGAACTGCCAGCTAGGGGGGGCAAAGCTGCAAAGGCTGGTAAGTCATATATGCCTAGATCAATGCTTGATAGTCTAACGATCACAGCCAAACGCAAACGCGAGGAAGAGAAAGCAAATAAGGAGAAAATAGACAAAGGCATCAGCAACTACTTTACCAAAGGCCCAGCTGCTGCGCAGCCCAAGGCAAAGGTATGCAGTCCGAGGGTTCAATAAGATGCCATGTGGCTAATAATATCTGTAGCCAGTCAAGACGAAAGAAGACGACGATTTTCTAGCTGGTTTGCTCGGCGAAGTCGAAAGCCGTCTGCCCCCGCCCATTTCTCAATCAAGCCGGAGCAGCAGAATACAAGACAAACGAAGACCCCGGCCACTTTCTCCGTCTGCTGATAGTCGACGGCCGTTGGCAAAGAAAGCAAAGTTAGTAGATAGACGGGCTCCCACGACTCCGCCTAAAGAATCGGACCATGGTGATGATGGCGACTTCATGATGAATATGGATGATGGTGACTTTGCTATGAGCGATCCCCAACCATCATCCCCTGTGGCCAGAGCCGTGGAAAGGAAATCCCATAGTGCTATTAAGGCAGAAGACGAGGAGGAAGACATGATGGAAGTTGCCCAAGCTGATGGGATTGTGACCGCGAGTGTCAATATGTCGGGCACCAGACCCGCCCCAAAGATCAAAAAGACTGAGGCATATCCTTCTCCTGCTAGCTCGTCACCAATACGGCCATCCTCAGAGCGTGTTGACGCCTCCTCCTGGAATGATGTGACGGAAAATTTAAATGTCATGAACAGCAGCCAAACGTCGGAGACGATGTCATTCGGCAAACTCGATCATCTTGATGCAATCGAAGAAGACGGCAGTCTTCGAATGTTTTGGACTGATTATACGGAAGTTAATGGCAGCTTATGTCTCTTCGGTAAAGTTCAGAACAAGAAAACTGGCTCCTATGTCAGCTGTTTTGTTAAAGTGGATAATATCCTTCGGAAACTTTTCTTTTTGCCCCGACAATATCGCCAACGGCATGGGAAAGATACCAACGAAGAGGTCGATATGAAGGACGTGTATGAGGAAGTTGATGATATGATGACCAAATTAAGGGTCGGAATGCACATGATTAAGCCATGTACAAGGAAGTACGCTTTTGAGCTTGAACACATACCAAAGGAGGCCGAGTATTTAAAGCTTCTATACCCATATCCTAGTGAGTCTAATTGCGCTTGTGCGTCTTGCCCTACTAACCTCTATAGAACCCCAACTCCAACCCGAGCACCAGACTGGGTCAACATACTCCCATGTGTTTGGCTCAAATACGCCGCTCTTCGAACAATTCGTACTCTGGAAGAACATAATGGGCCCATGTTGGCTGCGAATTGAGGATGCGGAATTTGGAGTTCTCAACAACTCTTCCCACTGTAAATTGGAGGTCCAAGTCTCGAAACCTAACCTGATCACGCCCTTGAGCGAGTCGGAGAGCATGGAGGCGCCACCGCTGACTCTCATGAGCGTTGCTTTGAGGACCGTTCTAAACGTCAAGGAGAACAAGCAGGAAATCCTTGCCATCAGCGCCCGAGTTTATCATGACATCTCACTCACCGACACCACATCCCCCGAAAAGCTGCCCTGCCGCTCATTCACAACTATGCGCCCTGTAGCTTCAAATTTCCCAATTGGATTTGACGCTGAGGTCAAGAAACGAGGCAAAGGCCTTGTGAAGCTTGTGAAGCACGAGCAAGAAATACTAAGCTTTTTTCTGGCCCAGCTCAATCTGGTTGATCCGGATGTTCTGATTGGCCACCAACTTGAAGGCGTAGAATTAAGCATTCTCTTCAACCGACTTCAAGCTAGAAGAACGCCTCAATGGTCCCGTATAGGTCGAATGCGGCGTACTCAGTGGCCAAGCACAATGGGAAAGATGGGAGGCAACTTCTTCGCTGAGCGATCCTTGCTGTCAGGGCGACTTTTGTGCGATTTAGCTAATGATGCCGGAAAATCAACAATGACCAAGTGCACGTCGTGGAGTCTCACAGAAATGTGTAGTCTCTACCTTCCCGGCACCAATCGTCTCGAAATCGACAATGAGACCGCTCTTAAGACTTGGGCGACTTCGAAGGAAGGGTTGATGGATTATATCAGTCATTGTGAAGCCGATACTTTCTTCATAGCTGCCCTAGCTCTCAAGGTCCAGATGCTTCCCTTGACAAAAGTTTTGACGAACCTTGCTGGAAATTCTTGGGCGCGAACCTTGACTGGCACTCGAGCCGAACGTAACGAGTACATTCTCCTCCACGAGTTTCACCGTAACAAGTTCATTTGCCCTGACAAAGCTGTCTTCAAGGGTAAACGGGAAATCGAGGAAGAAAACCAAGAAGAGGGAGCAGGAGATGTCAAGAAGAAGGACAAGTATAAAGGTGGCCTTGTTTTTGAGCCAGAAAAGGGATTGTACGACAAATTCGTTCTAGTCATGGATTTCAACTCTCTGTATCCCAGTATTATCCAAGAGTTCAACATATGCTTCACGACAGTGGACAGAACAAAGCTTGTAAGTTGCACTTTCTTCAACCACACCAGATATGCGCTAACTTGGCAATAGTCTGATGATGAAGACCAAGTGCCTGAAGTTCCCGAAGAGCAGGATATGGGAATCCTGCCTAAACTTATCGCTACTCTCGTCAGTCGCAGACGGCAAGTCAAGAGTTTAATGAAGAGCAAGAATGCTACAGTTTCGGAATTGGCGACATGGGATATTAAGCAACTTGCTCTCAAGCTTACTGCTAATTCTATGTACGGCTGTCTCGGATATACGAAATCTAGGTTTTACGCACGACCGCTGGCGGTCCTCACGACATATAAGGGCCGTGAGATCCTGCGAAGTACGAAAGATTTGGCCGAAAGCAGCGCGCTTCAGGTCATTTACGGAGATACTGATTCCGTCATGATTAACGCTAATGTTGACAATGTTGGGGATGCGTTCAAGGTGGGAAAAGAGTTCAAAAAAGCTGTAAATGACCGCTACAAGCTTCTGGAGATCGATATTGACAATGTCTTCCGAAGAATTCTGCTTCAGGCGAAGAAGAAGTATGCGGCGATCAATCTTGTGGAAGTTGATGGTAAATGGGTTGATAAGATGGAGGTTAAGGGACTCGACATGAAGCGTCGAGAATACTGCAACCTGTCCAAAGAAGTTTCGTCGCAACTTCTAAACGAAATCCTTTCCGGTGAAGAGTCAGAAATTGTCATCACTCGTATCCATGATTATCTTCGAGAGATATCAGCCAAGATGCGCGAGGATGCAATCCCGACGAGAAAATACACCATTTACACCAAGCTTGGAAAAGCACCAAAGGATTATCCGAATGCAGACAGCATGCCCCAAGTTCAGGTGGCTTTACGCGAAATCGCGAACGGTAAAACTGTACGTAAGGACGATGTCATGGCATACATTGTCACCGGCGATGGGAAGACGACATCCGAGCCTCCTGCAAAGCGTTCCTACACGCCGCAAGATGTAGCGAAAACTGATTCCGGCTTGAAGCCAGATGTGGAATGGTACCTCTACAAACAGATCTTCCCTCCAGTAGAGCGTTTATGTGCGAACATCTCGGGCACTGATACCGTCCGCTTGGCAGATTGTCTTGGTCTTGATGTGCGGAAATACAGCATCACCAACACATCTAACGGTGGGAATGAGACGGAGATCCATCCTCTCGAGAGTCAGATTGACGATGCAGTACGCTTTAAAGATGCCGCGCGCCTCGAGCTTCGATGCAGGGGATGCAAGATGTCGTTCGGCTTCGAAGGACTTGTTGAGAGTCATGATGTGTGCTCTCCGACTGGCATCACCTGTGCCTGCGGATATACAATGCCAAACATAGCCATAGTGGCTCAGCTCGAGCATGCAATTCGGCAACAGACTAGTAAATACTACGAAGGCTGGTTGATCTGTGATGATCAAGCTTGTGGCAATCGCACTAGGCAATTGAGTGTCGATGGCCCTCGATGTCTGGGGCCTAAGGGACTTGCAAGTGGCTGCTCAGGGAAGATGCATTATGAGTACACGGAGAAGATGATATATAATCAGCTTCTCTATTTCGCCTCTCTGTTTGATGTGGAGAAGGCTAAGAGCGCGGCTAGGGGTATGGAAAAAGGTAAGAGATGTCTCTATCGAGTATAGAAATAAGTTAACCATAATCATAGACCGTGTACTGGCACTTGTTGAACATAATCGAGTGCGGTTTGGCACGTTGAAAGGTGTAGTGGATAAATATTTAGATAAGTGTGGGAGACAATGGGTTGCGATGGATAGTTTATTCGGGAAGCTGGGATTCAAAGCATAATATGTTTGTTTTATCGGTGTTGGGCTATGGGTATCACTCTGGGGGCGTTCGGAGGCATAGGTCATCAATGGAAATACTATTTTGATACAGTCATCCTAAAACGGCTTAGTGCGCTGATTCTGCCATTTGCCACCGTCCTCAGTTCTCCAATTCATCGAATAGCCTGCAACCAGAGTAACCCGCAATCATTTGTGGATAATTTTTTGAGGTATAAATCAAAGTGTTTGAATTACCGTCAAGATGGTGAACATAACAGAGAAGATCAAGGAGTGAGTAACGTTCTGAATAGAGTGTGGATGTGAGCTTACTTTCTCTGCAGGATTGAGGATGAGATGAGGAGGACCCAAAGTACGCGCCCACTCCTGGCAACTGCAGCAATAGGTTCAAATAGAGAACTATAGAATAATCCACTGACCTCTCATTCAGAAAACAAGGCAACTGGTACGTAAAAATAATCCCATATTTTAACCCACGTGACCCCGTCTAACATCTTCCAGAATATCATCTTGGTCTCCTTAAAGGGTTCGTCGGACGTCCCGCTCTTATCCTTTGCACGTTATGATCAAAACTTATACGGCCCTTTAGAAAATTAGCCCGTTACAGAGCCCAACTCCTCGAGCCCGGTCCCGGCGCCGGATCCAGCGGCGGAGCAGGCTTTGATGTCTCGAAAAGCGGCGACGCACGTATCGCCCTCGTCGGCTTCCCCTCCGTAGGGAAATCCACGTTCCTCTCCAAGATCACCAAGACCAAGAGTGAGGTTGCAGCGTATTCCTTCACCACATTAACAGCTATTCCGGGGGTGTTGGAGTATGGTGGTGCCGAGATCCAAATCCTTGATTTGCCGGGTATTATCGAGGGTGCTTCCGAGGGGAAGGGAAGAGGACGACAGGTTATTAGTGCAGCGAAGACGAGTGACTTGATCTTGATGATTCTAGATGCGACAAAGAAGGCCGAGCAAAGAGCGCTGCTAGAGGCAGAGTTAGAAGCTGTGGGAATTAGGTTGAACAGAGAGCCGCCGTGAGTACCATATTTACTATGCATCGCCTTTCGAATTTCCAGCTAGTAAAAGGGGCATTTGTTTATCTAACGAGCGTAACAGGAACATATATCTAAAGCCCAAAACAGCGGGTGGCATGAAAATCACGTTCCAATCACCACCCAAAAACATCGATCAGAAGATGGTCTACAACATCCTCCGCGACTACAAGATCCTCAACTGCGAGGTGCTCGTCCGAGATGAAAACGTCACCGTCGACGATTTTATTGATGTCATCATGAAAGACCACCGCAAGTACATTAAATGCCTCTACGTGTACAACAAGATCGATTCTGTGTCCCTCGACTTCCTGGACAAGCTCGCGAGGGAGCCGCACACGGTTGTCATGAGCTGCGAGCTTGATCTGGGGATCCAGGATGTAGTGGAGCGGTGTTGGCAAGAATTGAAGCTGATTAGGATTTATACGAAGAGGAAGGGCGTGGATCCGGATTTTAGCGAGGCGTTGATTGTGCGGAGTAATAGCACCATTGAGGATGTCTGTGATCAGGTTCACCGGACGCTGAAGGATACTTTTAAGTATGCGTTGGTGTGGGGAGCTAGTGCCAGGCATGTTCCCCAGAGGGTGGGCTTAGGACATCCAGTGGCGGATGAGGATGTTGTTAGTATTGTTAGCAACTGGAGGGCTTAGATAAAGTTAGAGAATGAGCAGCATGCTCGAAGGAATTCATCGGTATTCCAGTAGCTACTAGTATGTGCATATCAATAATGATAACGGATGGGGATGCAAGGTGTAGATTGATCAACGAGAGATATATCACGGCATTCAAGATGGAGCAAGCAGAAATAATAAAAGAGTGTTTCATTCCCTGTTTTATGTCCAATGACAGGTGACACTAGCAATAAACACAAAGCATACCCAAGTTATCTCAGTAACCTCAATAACTCCGTAAACCCAGGCGTCATAAGTGAAATCGCCATCCTGTCATTAAGGTCTAAACCCTTGTCATCATAAGCCAAATACCCACCAATTGTGCACCCATAGGCTCGGCACCAGAATATCTCCCTATTGATATGCCGTACGGTGCCCATGCCTCCATGGATTGTTGTGTAAAGTGTAAAGCTGCGAAGTGGAAACCCAAAGTCATGGGTCCCCCAATGCATATCATCCCCAAGTCATAAATACTCTTACAAGCCGACCGATCCCCAGGCTAAGGCGTCAATACTGGGTTATGAATCATTGTCCGTCAAGCTTCTTCTCTACATTGCTAGGGGCGAAAGGGTTTCCGGAAGCTAGGTTCTTGGCTGAAGTCTTCGCGAAGAGAGACTTGGGCTTCACAGCTCTGATTAATTCTGAATTAGCATACTGTTGTATTACGCGTACATGGGGAAGACGAGCAATATACTCACTTTCCAATCTGCTTGTTTCGGTATGCACTAAGCTTTGCGGTGCAAGGGCTCATGATGTTGTCGGATGGGGAGACGTATGATTGCTTAGCCCTGGATTGCGCCTTGTGTTAGCGATTGTTGATTGTGATAATGGGAGGAGATAGATAAGATTAGGGAGTGCATACTGTCCCTGATCGAGCTTGCTTTGCAGCACTTGGCGATGATAGTCCATGCTCTTGACATCGGCCTTTCCATCCATCTTTGCTCCTCCGGCTTCTGGGGCCGAGGTGTTGATATCTTTATCGGCGAGGACGTTGGACGACATATCGAACGGAGTTTGATGGGTGGGGTTTGTGTTTGTGGGATGCCTTAGAATTTAAGGTTCAATTGATTTATCGAGAGGCTTTGGAGAGAGATGATGTGGAAGTGGTTGTTCGTTGCGGTGTTCTTTGAGGTTTGGTGGTGGTGGTTATGTAGATGTAGAAAAAGTACGTCGGTCGGAAAGCTTGATGTCAACACTCGAGGGGCGACATGGCAACGGCAGGGCAACGCCGAAAAAATGCCAGTTCAGCCTCGAGATCCTTGCCCATGACTCAATGACAACGCATTGCAATGATAATTTCGAGGTTGCTATGGGTGATCGAAATCAATTATTCTCTGGTATCGCGCATTGTAGGAACAAATCGATGTTTGTCGGCAATAACACCGCTATATTCGTGGAGATTGGGGCAATCAGGCACAATGCTCCAGATGGTTTGACACATTGCAAGATCGAAATCAATTATTCTCTAGTCGTATTTTGTCCCCAATTTTGGAAAAAATGGCTATTCATTATGAGCAAAAAGAATCACGCAGGAGTAAGCAACGAGTAATCAAAATGCTCCAAATAGTTTAACACATTGAGATACTATAATTTCCAAATACGCTATTTAACATTTAATTGTCCACATCCCCCTGCATTATTCTATGCCTCTTTGCTGGGATAATATAGAAGAAATAGATCCTTTACAACCTGGGCTTTGGGCCTGGCACTTCCCTCGCAACCCTATATTGAGCAAAGAGCTGATCCGACGCAGCCTTCTGCTTATTGATTGTTGCAGTAACTGCTGCGCCTCTCTTATTCTCATTCCGTCCCATTTGTTGTAAATGAACCTCATCTGGCCCATCAGCTAACCTCAATGTTCGGATGCCGGCCCAGCTGTAAGCCAACGGAGTATCTTGAGAGACACCAGCACCACCGAAGGATTGGATAGCTCGATCGATTACGTTTAGTGCGGCTTGCGGTACGAGAACCTTGGCTTCGGCAATCTCCTTCAAGGCACCCTTGGCACCGAGCTCGTCGATCTTGATGGCGGCGTTCAGGACAATGAGACGGGCTGCGTCAATTTCGATACGCGACTTAGCAACCCACTCAAGGATGACTCCGTGTTCTTTGAGTTGCTTGCCGAATGGGGTCTTCTTGGGATCATTGATCCGCATGAGCATCCAGTCTAGAGCTTGCTCGGCCTATGGTGCGTTAGACTAACGTAGACATGAAACACAGATGGGAGTGTTAACTTACAGCACCAATCGAACGCATGGCGTGATGGATACGTCCGGGACCCAGACGACCTTGGATAATTTCAAAGCCACGTCCAGGGCCAAGGACCATGTTACTCGCTGGCACTCTGACGTTCTTGAAAGTGATGTGTCCATGTCCATGAGGGGCATCATCATAACCGTAGACTGTGAGCATTCTGTTGATGGTAATACCTGGGGTATCGGCTGGGACTAGGATGACCGATTGCTGCTTGTAGGGGTCCGGGTTTGTAGGGTCACTCTTCCCCATCGTAATATAAATCTTACATCTTGGGTCACCAGCACCACTTGACCACCATTTCTAAAAAATTGTTAGCAATGATACTCTCTCGTATGAGGATGAACTAACGTTGCCGTTTAACACCCAGTCATTGCCGTCCCTCTTCATGCTCAGTTGGATGTTGGTGGCGTCCGAAGAAGCAACATCTGGCTCCGTCATCAAGAATGCGGACCGGATCACTCCATCCATCAATGGCTTCAGCCATTGCTGCTTCTGTGCCTCATTGCCATATTTCGCCAACACCTCCATATTTCCGGTATCTGGCGCAGCACAGTTAACCGCCTCGGATGCTGTTCTTGATCTGCCCAACCACTCTGCCATCAATCCATACTCGAGGTTGCTGAAGCCGGGTGATTCTTTGTAGTGGCCCTTGGCAAGGAACATATTCCAGAGCCCAAGCTTTCTTGCCTCCACCTTGAGGTCGTCGATCACGGAAGGATGGTGATCCCATCTTTGAGCTCCTTCGCCGATCTGGGCTGAGAATATGGGGTCGGCACTGCCAGTTGCTGGTTAGCTTTAAGTTGCGTTTGTTGTTGGGGCGGGAGCATTTTCGGGACTAGAAGGCACTCACGGTATGCATTTCTCCTCGACGAATTTCCTCACAATATCAAGAGTCTTCTTTGCATTCTCGCTGACTCGATTCACAGCCTGGAAGATGGTTTAGCAAACGCGAACTGGACCTGGGGGGCAAAGATTGGGAGATGGGGGGATGGGAGCTCGTACGATGACGGGGATTCTGTCGGACATGGTTGGTAAAGTTGGGAAGCACTTCCAATGTTTTGGGAATATTCAACTATAACAACAAGAAGTGGGTGAGGGATTGAATGCGATTGAGTTTATGAAGAGGAAAACAATGTAGAAGACTCTGTAGACGTAGGTTCCCAAGACATTATTATATTGTTATCTCCCCGCCTGTCCCCCATCTTCTCCGCCATAGCTCTCGGCTCGGCTCTGGCAGGGGGAGAAATACCGAGCCGAGGTCCACCCCGAGCCCCGGGTACTACCAAAGGACACAGAATTACAGAGAGGTATTATTCTACTCTAAGGCACTGTACTGTATACCTTATTGTTATTCTTACCCACGGCACCTTGGTCCCGAGGTCCAGTCCAGTCCAGTCTGGCCTGATCTCTAGTCTCCTGATTTATATGTTATCGCTGCCCTCGCCCACCCTACAGTAGGAACCGTTATTAAAGTTCAAAGTATTGTGGAAGGAAAGGCTCTCGAATTGCACTGTAAGTGGCACACCAGCCAGCTGCGTCACAGGATGCGTGTACGTTCAGGGTACTCCGGGCTATGTACCGTACTTGTATCTCCTCCCATCCATAAAACCATTCACGCTTCTTACTTTCTTTACTTTCTCTTATCTCACCTAGTTTTAATTTTAATTCCAGCCCTTACTTCAAGTATATCGTACTCAAGAGGTTGTATCAGATTCCTAAGATCAAGTACATGTGCGGATTTCAATTCTGCTACATATCATCATGCAGTGAGGCGGAAGTATCGGGGTCGCACCACAAAGCCATGTTCAACCAGGGAATGGATTTGTCAAACGCTTACCTCTCTTTCCACTTCAACGAGAAATAGAAATAGCAATCATGGACGAACAATTACATCCGATGATTTCCAAACCACCAGACACGGAGATGGGGCCACCGCAAACAACGTCCTCGGCCATGCTAGAGCCGCTCGCCGACGAGGCTACGTCTACAAGTACCTCTACAGCTGTGTCTCTCTCATTTCCACGGTTCACAGATCTCCCAATAGAGATCCGAATCAAAATATGGGAATACGCCATCACTCCATCGATTATCCGATGTAAGCGCCTGGAAGCGCCCCTACACCATGTTTACACTCGTCTCGGGAAGCCGTCCGCGCTCCTCTCAGTGTCACGAGAAGCCCGAGAAACCAGCTTGCTCTACGGCGAGTACATCTTGATAGACACCCCATCATCCCGACTACACTTCAGCCTGAAGTATGATTCTCTATGGTTTGACGCTGGCTGGACGACAATTCCGGAAGTCCGCCGCCACCCAGCTCTTGCCCAAACTTACCAGTCGCGGCAAGATTTCATAGACTCGCTGCCCCCGGAGCTTGTGAACCTGCGCAATATCATGGTCCATCCAAACTGGACCGGAGAGCGCGTAAAGCCCACGGTAGCACTATCCCGTCTCCCACGCCTAGAATCCATCTTGGTGGCCGCGGACGAGAAGTCCATCAGCGGGCTGCTGCTCGACACCATGCACGATATAAAAATGTACTACGTCTCCGCTTCAAAGGAGGAGCCTTCGGAGCCGCAAGAGCCAAAACTCAAAATCCCCCGAATAGCGGTGGGATGTCTCGGCTGGGCGGGCGCCGAGCGTCGAAAGCTTCGCCATAGTAATGATGCGGAGAGAGAGCTCGTGGCGGTTTTTACGAGTTATGGGGCGATGCAGGACCATTTGAAGTTTTTGAAGGCCCAGGAGAGGAGGTTTACTCGGGAACGCTTTGAGAGGACTAAGCCGAGTTTTATACTCAAGTTAGAGAGAGCAATGGATATGAGTGAACGAGCTCAGAAGCAGGAAGGCGGGGTTAAGGAAGCTCGGGTTGAGGGGGAGGTGAAGGGGAAGGGCGTCCAGGCAGTTAAGGACGATCAAACAACCGAGGATGACCAGGCGATGCTCGATGAGCCTAGAGGGGACGGCGGTCAGGCAGTGGATGACGGGCAGTTAGCGGACGACTGGCAGTTAGCTAATGACTGGCAGGCAGTAGAGTATGATCAGGCGGTAGAGTATGATCAGGCGATAGAGTATGATCAGGCGATGGAGGATGGTCAGGCAATGGGAGATCAACCACCAAGTTATGTTGAGGTGCCATATTTTGATGGTTTAATGCGGCAGTGAAGCTGGCAAGGAGAGAAACTTGATACAGAAACCCATAAGGGATGACATCTTAGGGGGCTTTAATGAATAATTCGAGATACGGTACAATCATGGCAGTAGATGCCGAATAGAGATATTTTTAGACGGGCATAGAAGTTTGGTGCTGGGATCTAAATATATGACATGAAGTCACCATCTATCTAATGCTCCCTCTTATATCAGGAGAAAGAAATGCCTAGGGACCTCAAATAATAATTTCTATCAGCCGACTATAGGGATACATATACAAAACGTACAACGTCGACAATATACAAGTGAAATATATCCGCACACATTCTTCTATTTAGGACTATCACATGATTGCATGCTCATGTCTCATTTCCTCTTCGTTGCCCCTCCTTTCGTCTTACTCCCTGTAGCCTTCGCAACATCTTGGCTCGGCTCTGCGGCTACAACGCTCTCTGCCGGCTCATCCTTCTTCTCATCTACCACCTCATCACCACCACCCTGCCCAAATTCATTAACTCTTGTATAGTCAACCTTGTACTTCCAGCTCTGGTACAAATACACAAAGAAGATAACATCGTCCCTAAGCGTGGCCAAGCGATGCAGCGTGGGCATCTTAATCGTGAAGGCGAACAAGTCGTCGATAAACGTGTTCAGGAACTTATACATCATAGCCCTTCCGGGCATGTGCGCCACGCTCTTAAGGCGGTAGTTGATGTAAAGCGAAGGAACCATCATGAGGAATCCGTAAGCGTAGACGGATCCGACGAGTGTGGCGATGATGAACGAGTACCAGCTCTTGTGGGTCTCGTAGTAGAGAGAGTAAGCAGCGTAGGCAAGCAACAGGGGAACGGCGACCATGTAGAGATATTTGAATGCCACAGCGTCGTACTCCTTTGTTTTCTCTTCGGTTTCAGAGAGTTTATGCTTGTCTTCGAAAGCGATGCGGTACGGGAGGAGAGAGCCTGGGGCTGAGTCCCGGATGCGGACATTGACGACGGTGGTAATCTTCCAGAACTCGAGGAGAATGCCCATGCCTTGGCTGAAGAGAATCATCCAACCTGCGAGTATATTAGAGAAGTGTTTGGGAGAAAGGAGACATGTGACTTACTGGTGTTCTCATTGTTGTCCAGAAGATACAGGAAAATTACGGCTTGCATGAAGACGTTGCCAAGGATTGACCGGACAGAGATACCTACGTTGTTCTTCTTGTTACGGTAATGGCTGATGTCGGATTTAAAGGCCAGCATCTCGAAGAGCATGTGGAAGATACTGACAATAACCGTTGTACCAAGGAGCCAAGGGTTAGTGTCTAGTAGAACCTCCTTGATCATCTCAAATTCGCTGCCATCTCCACCGCCAGCGGAAGAAATACCTGCCGAAGTTAGCTAGGAGACCAACTTTCAAAGGGGACATTTCTCAAATACATACCATGAGCAGCATTTCGGGCAGATTGCTTGGCACCCTCGTCGAGGCTTGCAATGAGGCTGAATTTCCAGTTTGCAAGATGATTAAGATCAATATGGATGGGTAGTTGAGTAACGGTCGAGTTCAAGGTCGTCATATGCGACTTGAGTTGCCAGAACGTATTGATGAAGAGAATTGGATAATACCACCCGTTTTGACCTGTCGCATCCCTTGCTCCAGTTGCTTCCATGTGAATGTATTGGCGCACTGCTGGATGCACAGTGGGATACTGCATGACTCCTGAGTCGGGAATAAAAGACATAGTAACGTTTGGATGATAATGCGAGGTGATGATTGGGCCAGTTGGTACTTCTTCCTCGACCTATTTTTGTTAGAACAATTCAAGCATATATGTTGTTCGGAATTACCTCTTCAGTGTCCTCTGCAGCTACAAGAAGATTCTTGGTTTTAACCACCTTCTTTTGAGGAATATACTGAGTCAAAGGATGGAGGAAGTGATATGCCCGGCTAGGATCATACCCAGGAGTCGAAGGGTCCAAAATGCTGCCGGAAATGCCAACATAAAAGTGTCCCCATAAGGTCCCATTATTTTGCACTTCTTTCGGCACCGCAAAAGTCTTATCAATCACCCGACTCTGATCGTAGTCGCCATAGATGAACCCTGTCTCTTCCACAATTTTCCTTTCTTTAGGCACCTTCGCCAGCGGCTCTGAGACGAAAGTTGGGGAGACAATAATTGTTACGTCCAGCGAGGTATCTAACGGCCACATTGGTGCAATACGTTGCGGGACAGGATTCCAGACGGCGCCTTCGCTGAGTGTATCCGGACGAGCCTGGAAGGGTGGGATTTCGGCATTATTTGGCGCAACAGCGACAACTTTACCGGATTCGTCGGTCACAGCCTGTGTCGAGGTGCCTTTGTTCGGCAGGAATTTGGACATCATGAATTGGACAGCGAAGAACATAACGAGCCCTTGGGCAGCGGACTTGACCAGCGGCTTTTAGGGAAGAATATTAGCATCTGTCTTCAATTATGGCAAATCTCATTCCCGGAAGCTTACACTCATGCCGCCTTCAGCTTGTTGCGCACCTGCAGCAGCTGCTGCTGGAGCGGTAGGACCCGGCATATTGATGTTGATGGCGGATCTCTTCCTCGAAAACTGAGGCTTGCTGTACTGGTCGAGGACTTGAGATGTGAGTTTCGGCGCAAGATGGAATTCGACCTCCTGGGACTATTTTGATTCCCTACAAGTAGAGCCAATCATTCGGCCATGATCAATCAACCCCTGTACCTACCTGGATAGGCTGCCTAAAGACGTCACACGCAGGGGTGTACGTAGCAAAACATTACGCCCCACGTGATGGACTGGATCTAAGTCATTCTTGGAACGCCTCCTCCAGGTTCAAGTCTTTATATTATGGATATTTCAAGCATCTCTGCTTTGTTTCTTATTTCCTACATACACATCTAGGTATTCTCCGTTAAAAAAACCCGGACAGTCCTTACGTCAGAAAGTTTTCTGTTCATCAGTTGCCCCTCCCCTCCCTTATCAGCTATCCAGCTACTCCGTACACTGTGTTGTCACACACCGCCGTTACAAAGCTTTCCAACGGACCCCCAGGGATTCGAGTGAGTCAGAGAAGATATTGTATTTCCAAGTTTTCCTCTCAGCAGTTAAGCCCACCAAACTGTCCGGTTGAAACTACCCGTGGCTTCGAAACCCCCAGATCTCAAACCAAAAAGCACCCCCAGAACATTCTTGACACCCAACATGGCATCCGGCGGCGCGTCTCCCGCGCCCTCAATCACCTCAGACCTATCTGCAGGTGCCTTGAAGTCAGTTCGAGGGATAGCACTCCTCAATGCAGCATACAAACCACCCACTGACACTGACCCTGCGTCCACTCCAACCAAGATATGCGTCTTCTGTGGTGCCTCACCAGGAAAGTCACCAGCACACCTCGAAGCAGCACGATTCCTAGCCCAAGTAATGGCAAAAGACAATATCCACCTGGTGTACGGTGGCGGGACTGTTGGCCTCATGGGCGAGGTAGCTCGCACACTGGTTTCTCTTTCTGGCCCCGAGGCAGTCCATGGCGTTATTCCAGCGCCACTGGTGAAGTACGAGCGTGGACCGGAGAGTGAGAAGGCGAGCGACCATGCTCTCGAGGGGATACTACCCGACTACGAGATATATGGTAAAACAACTGTGGTGCGCGACATGCATACGCGGAAGCAGATGATGGCACAGGAAGTGCTTGCTGGTGGTCCTGGCAGCGGGTTTGTGGCGCTAAGTGGAGGATATGGGACCATGGAGGAGTTAATGGAAGTGGTTACGTGGAATCAGCTCGGGATCCATGATAGAGGTGTTGTGGTGTTGAACGTGGAGGGGTATTGGGATGGTTTGATACAGTGGATAAATCATAGCGTGGAAGCGGGGTTTGTGGGGGAGACTAATCGATCAATTGTCGGCGAGGCGAAGAATGGGAAGGAAGCTGTGCAGCTTCTCCGGGACTATAAGGGCTCAGAGGGGCGGTTCAAGCTTGAGTGGGGGAATCAGTAGGTTTTATATGGATAGGAGTTTGGGCTCCATGGGACTGGCAACAATCTATAGAAAGACATACTGGGTGACATATATGAGACTGGTGGGATATACATGGACGGCATTGGGATGCGATACGGGCGTCTGGCTACATTTGTTGTGGAGTTGGGTTGATCACCTCCTAGACGGCAGGGCCGTCGTAGGTTGTCTATGCACTCAGCTCATTAGAAATTTGCAAATCATTAAAACGTTCAACAGACTGCACATCTCTATAGAGTTCTATCATCAAGATTGTTTTAGTCGTGTTGTAATATTACAAGCCAGCTATTCCCGAGCCAGCTCTCTACGAATCGACCTCCATGCCCTCTCCCTCACCCTCTCCTTCTTCTGCCCCTTCCGTTACGAGGCTAAGCCATTGCTGGACGTCTTGTCCATCAAATAGCTTAAACCCCTCAATGGCCGTCATACCCTCACCCCTCACACCCACAACACCCACACTGCAATTCTCAACCGTCAACTCCTTATCCTGCGCCAAACTCTCCTTCAATGCCCTCAGGCCATGTGCAATCAACTTCTCTTTCCCACAATCCGCGAATTTCTCGAGATTCCGCTCTAGGTATGTCCTTGCCATCTGACTTCTTGCCCCAATCGCACATGCTACCATCTCCTGCGTCATGCCGCTGGGCTGGAACTCGAACAAATGTGGTCCAGACTCATCAACGCCAGCGACGAGCAGACCCACGCCGTAGGGCCGCTTGCCGTAGTGTTGCGTGTTGGTCTGCGCCCTGTCGCCAATGGATGTTACGAGTCTGGAAACGGGAATTGCGCGACCGTAAGTCAGGCGCGAGGAGAGGGATTGCTGTTTCATGAAGTTGGAGAGGACGCGGGCGTCAGATGCCAGACCGGCGAGGGAGAGACCGAGATGCTCATCGATGGCAATGATCTTTTTTTGGTAGGAAGAGAGTTCTTCTGCGTTGCGCTGGAGGGACATCGTCTTAGCCAGAGCTCTGGGGAAGAATGGGGACTGCTTACCTTCACTGCAACGAGTACAGCATGCGTCTTGCTCACTATTCCCACAACAACGCTACCCTGCTTCACTGCTTCAGATGCATATTCGACTTGGAATATTCGACCTTGTGGTGAGCTTATTATAACCGTCAGCTTCCATTCTAGCGTCTGTAGTTTCTCTAGCTTCCATCACTACTCCGCCGCTCAAAGTTTCCAAAAAGGATGTGTGAAACCACATAAATATCTGGTAGGAGACTTACAAGGTAACGGAATCGTTGTCATAGTTATTTCTGAACATCTTGACTTGACCTGCTGCTCCTGTGCTGGCGCAGCGTCACCTCAAACTAACAGATCAGATATTATCTAAGAATGGAATTGTCCAGCGCAAGGGGCTTAATATCGTAATGTGCGAGCGTGATTTATCTTTGTCGTATTGATGGGAGGGTTGTGTTGAGATTGAACGAATGTGCTCGTGGTTGGTACTGTACGTGGTAGAGGCAGACGCGGTGATGAAGCTCCCAGGGCCTGCAGGGGTTGAGAGCTCTGGAAGCTGCAGCCTCGTTATTAAGGCCAAGAGCCTCACCAGCCGCCAACGTCGTCAGCTCCTAAACCGGCCCCAACTACCGTAGCATCACGAAACAACAACCGCTGTGACCAAACAATACAAGATACACATACGCAGAGTTCTCCCGAGGCAACAACTCGCCGGATTGAGCAACCGCCGCTACTTATCCACAACGTGAGAGCACAGCCTTGGAGTGGGGAAGCACAGCGGTTCAACGGGCAAGACGAGGCGCATCCACTGGGACCTAAATACAATACGATAAAACCTCCTCCGCGAAGATCTCGCGGCCCTAAAATCCAAACCTCATGATGACCGCCGGATTAAAAACCATCATCTCCCTCTCCTTCGTTCGTTCCCCCCGCTTTCACTTCTACTCTCCGTCCCCCGTAATGAGCATTCTCGAGCTAACACTGAACCCCAACCTAGGTCCTAGCAATCGGCTTCCTCCTCGTCATCCTTTCATGTGCCCTATTTAAGCAATACCTCCCCCTCCTTGTTGTTGCAACATATGTGTTAGCTCCACTACCGAACTGGATTTGTGGACGATGCGCGAATCCGGACGATTTTGGTGATAGCGGGGGTGCGAATGCAATTGTAGATTTCGGAAGATTCTGTACGGGGTTCTTGGTGATCATGGGAATTGGTACGTTTTCTCATAGTCATTCGAATATCCTACCTTTTGGCGTTGGGTGGGACACAGGAGGCGGGGTTGGCAACAAAAAGGCTAATGAATTTGTATAGCACTCCCAGCTGTACTGGCACATTCGGAAATTATCCGCATTCCTGCCATGATCATGTCTATTATTGGGGGGGTGCTCATCTACGGCACTGTCATTAGCTTCGGGCTGTTCTTCCAAGAGGAGCAGGAGTTCTAGACAACCCAAACTCGAGAGCTAGTAAGAGCCGCATGCATTAATACCGGATCAGCCATTAGGAGCCGAGGGGATGATAGGGGCTAGGAGAAGAACATAAATAAGTATGCTTGTATCATATCATGAGGTTGAGAGACCGCAATTTCGGGGTATCGTCTATGGGATTTCAATGAAGTTATGCCTAGCAAGCTGATATAGGCGACAAGGTTCCCTGTATTGAGTGAAAGATGTATTTGTTCTATGAGAAGAGTTGTCTATTGTTTCTAACTGGGTATCGTTGAGTGGAAAGAGGAGCCCAGATATTTTAACGCCACCCCTTCAACCCCAGATACGTTGAGTATCCCCCGAATCGCTCTAAACATTAAGTACCCAAAAGTCCGAATCTATCCTCCCATTTATAAAAATCTATCAGAAACAGAACACTTACATGCCGCACCCGCCGTCGAATCTAAATTTATCAACCGAGCAAAAATCATCTAAAAATTCCAAGGGTGCCGTTCAACTTAGTCTGCATCTCGTCTCTCTCATTCTCTGGCGTGCTTAGCGCCGTCACCGCGCCCCCAGCACCAATATGCCAGGTCTCCATTGTCTTCTCATCCGTCGAGGAAGTAGTATCTTCGTCATCCCACCGGAACATGCTGCGAATTGTAACGCTCCAGTCGCCTCTCCCTCCAACATCCATGTACCCGACGACCCCTGAATACAGACTCCTCTCCCGGCCGTCCTCGAGCTCCTGCAAAATCTGGCAACTACGCTTCTTTGGCGCTCCCGTCATACTGCCCGGCGGTAGACTCGCAGCCAGCACATCCATACCCGTATATCTAGTCTTCCTCGCTGTCTCGATTTGCTCATCAGACATGTGGTTCTTGATCTCAGCGCCGAGTGGAGGAGGAATCTGGCCCTCGACCACGGATATCATCTGAAAGACACTCTTGTATTCCTCGACCACCATCAGCCGCGGCACGGCTACATTCCCACTCCCACATACGCCGTGTAAATCGTGCCGGACTAGATCAACAATCATGAGATTTTCTGCTTTTTCTTTGGGTACATCTAGAAGCTCAGTGGCAAGAGCGAGGGTGTTAACGGTTGGGGATTTTCGAACTGTGCCTTTCATGGGTCGAAGCTCGCATTTGCCTTGTGCGTCCCATTTTAGAAAGCGCTCTGGCGAGCTGGAGACCAACGTTGCTGAACCGAGGCGGATGAATGAAGCAAAGGGGGCGGGTTGACGATTGCGTAAGGTTTTGTACAGGTTCCAGGAGGGCTCCGAAGTGGTTGGTGAGTGTTTGTCTGAGCTGATAGGGGATTGAACTTGGCGTTGGCGAGTTACTGTGGTTTGGTCTGTCAGACAAAGTTCGTAGGAGTCGCCGCTTCGGATGTACTCCTGGCATCGGCGGACTTTAGACTCATATTCTTCATTGTTGGGTAGGCTGATGGATGGAGGAATATCTTTAAGGACTCCATGGACTAGGCTCGGTGTTGAAGAAGCCCCGTTCTGAAATGACCCCGCGACAAGATTTTCCAGCTTGGAAGCCACCTGGTCCATCCGTTCTGTGACGTGCGGCTCAGCTGCCTTTGTAGCCAATTCCTGGATATAAATGGAGCCCTTTACATGGTCAACAACGAGACTTCGGCTAACCCAGGCAAGTGATAAATCAGGGCGGGCGTGTTGCCTTCCATGCCCTTTAGGCGTAACAGCAATACCTTCCAAGCCAAGCTCATATGTCGTGTAGCCCATAAATCCTCCCCAGAATGGAGATTCCTTATTGCCATCACTCACTTGTCTCTTCTCTAAATATTGTGCAAGGAATGGCCAGATTCCTCCAAATTGGGGTAAATTTGTATCCAATTCAACGGCCTGTCCCGAGGAGCTTCCACTTGGATATATAGCCGATAATTTATTGCTGTTAATGCTGTATTCAAATCTCAGGCTATCATCGACATCCAAAGCAATGATGCTATACCGGCCTCGTACATCTGCCGAACCCACAGATGTTTCGTACGTATTTGACGATTCCAGAATAATCTGATCTTGCCGCATATTCTGGACGGCTTCGACGACATCTGCAACGGAGATGTGCCCAACCTTATCGACAGTGCGGGAATAGTAAATCAGGTTGTCACGACTCTGACCCAATGCATTGCTCCGGTGCTGCATGGAGGGGTGCTCAGCAGAAGGGAAACTTGCCGAGCCATTCAACATCGGGCGAAGATGTTCGGTTCGGCTCAACAGACTTTCCAGGGTTGCAGAATCCCCTTGGATAGGGCTCTCCACTGCATTCCGGTTCCAACGATGTTTTTTATTCCACAAATTCACCTGCTTGAACCAATTCCCAATAACCCTGATACTCTGCTGATTGGTACATATCGACTCCGGGTGATACTGTAGCCCCCAAAATGGCTTAGTGCAGTGTCGTACAGCGACCAACACCCTGTCATCCTCGACTCCAGAGTTGCTTCGCTCAGAAAGATCACTCTCAACCCAGGCCAAAGGAACCAGCTCTGGACATTTCTCTAGGGGAATCCACTTTTGGGTGTCCCAATTGCCATTCGCAATCGAGGCTTGCCCAATGTCTGCACACAAACTCTGGTAGAGTGTGGCTTGGATTGTTCCCACGCCGGCAAATATCGAGTCCTTGTCCTTCGCTCCACAGTCTCCAACATGGCTGACCCTCCTTATCATCCCATGCTGCGGACCCTTGAGTCTCTTGATATCCCCACCAAACTCCAAACACAAGCTCTGGAACCCCAAGCATATCCCTAGGACTGGGATAGTTCCAGCCTCATTTAACCTCCATATTCTCCGAATGACTCCGACATCTTTCTCTTTGGCTGGATGCCCCGGCCCAGGGCCGCATACCACAGCAGCATAGTGGTTTAGTTCCTTAAGCAGATCCTCATCGGTGGCAAAGACGGGATTATCAATCTTAATAGTCCGGACGGAAGCATTGAGGGTCGTCTCGAGGAGGGAGATGATATTGTTGGAGAAGCTATCATAAGCGTCAATGAAAAGTATCAGGGGCTTTGGGATCTGCATTGCAGATCCTGTTGTATCTTGTAGCCTTGCACGAATTCACGTCATTGAAGGGCAAAAAGCCCAAGTCGGGAACTTTTTTGAGTTTGGAAGCGGTAAGTCGCGGCAGAATCGCCATTTCCAAGTTAGCGGACTATTTCAGTGTCATACTCGTACTCGTACTCATAATGAACAAAAGGCTCAAAAGAAATGTATCTTTCTCAACGTCAATGCCCACCCAGAGTAGCGTACTATTTCGTACCTTACCAGAACGTGTTTAGAGGCTGTGTATACAATTGTAGGTACTGCTCATATAATTATATGATTGGATGAGTCAACACAGTACTCATGAAGCCTACTCTTGGACGCTGATTTGCTCGGAATAATCTTGAGCTCTGCTTTACTTTCCATGAGTAGCACATTCTGACTTCGATGTCCTTGGTTTGCGTGAGATAGGGGTGTTATTGAAATTGCGTATTTGGAGCTTCGCGGTCTGTTCAAAGTGAATGGCCTAGCTATCGAGGGTTCTGCGTTCAACAGCGTTTCTCCTTCTCTACGATTTCCAACTCCCAAGATCTATGGTGCAAGCTTTGGTAGAGGAAGGTCAGACTATTGATGGGGGTCTGTCATTCTACGCGTCCAATGGCAGCATCCCCTCACTTGTCTGTGTTCATGGTTTTCAATCCGCTGCTAGAATTGGTGCCTACGTTGTCTCGCTCACCTCTCATCATCTGGCTGGGGGCTGGATGGGGGCGATGGTCTACTACGACTAAGTGATGACGACGGAAGGCTAGCAGTAACTTATAGTAGAAGATAGCGAATACCAGCTACGGATACATGGCGAGGCTCTATGCGCCTCTCGTTACTATATTACTATATATCGATCATGGTCTAATGATTAGAGTCAAGCTGACGCTGCAGGTTTGCTCTGGATTTGCAGCAAGGTTGCATTTAAGTTCAGGAGACAGCTTTCCGTTGAAGCATTGGAGACGTACCAAAGTACTCAGGGTAACTACTGCAGTCTTTCTTTGATATCTCTCCAACGAGGTTGATTCTCTATATATATTACTTTCCAACCTGGCGGTATCTTACAACATATTTCCATTTACAGCAAAACCATGGTGACCGCCAAAGATGCCCAATTTTCCCAGTCCCAAATAAAATGCATTTTCTTCCAGGGATATCACACTCTCCATATGGTTGTTCATGAACCAGCCGATCACAAACGCCCCATACACCACATCCACATCATATTATAATCGAATAGGACAATTTGTCGAAGCTAGAGCCAGCATCTATATTAAGCAGTTCAGTATGTGGGTTCCAAGTTGAATATAGCTTGGGATAAGTGGACGTACGTTTTGACGGTGAAGTATTTAGCAACGTCCAAAGCCCGCCGTGCCTGCGGTTCGTTCCGAGACAGATCGGCAACAAAAGCACTAGTGAGAAAATCAGTCATTATTCCTCTGAGCGTGACTGCAATAAAAACTCACAGCTGTCGCCGGTTCTGGAATAGGCGCAGCCATGACGCTGACAGCCGCTGCAACGAGCACCGCGACAATTGAAAACTTCATTCTGATATATGATAGGAGGGAGATTGGGAATGGTAGGAAGTGGCTTATGCAGTAGTTTTGGAAATCTGGACAAGGAAGGTGGAAACGAAAGTTTTCTTGTAGATCAGAGAGGTCAGATCGGCAGTGGCAGGTCAGGCCTTCTTATCTAGGATTCTAGGGAGGGGAGGGGAGCCCTGGTGCCCCGTCACAGAACCTCGCAAACATCGCAAGGCAAGCGTTCGCGTAACACTAATTGGTAGTAGTTCGTGAGATAAGTTCCTAGCTAAGGGCAGAGGGTCATAGCATTTGGAATAGAACGGTATCTCTTACCAAGGCGGCCCACGGGATACCTTTCCTTGCCCAGCGACGGCCATACTGTGGAGGCTAGAGCAGGAAAAGCATTATTATTATCGGCGTTATTAGCCCTCTCGTACAAATAACCCCTGAGAAAGAAAGAAAAGCCGAATATATGGCATGATATATCCCCCATCCATTTCCAGCTCCTAATTCCCTCCACTTATCCCTGTGACACGGCTTCCCTGAACTCGCTACCAGCGCAAGTTGTGGAACAGCTTGGTCCTGCATAAAATTATCACTGGGAATTCCGGGGAAGATATTAATAGGCGGCTTTATGAAGCTGAATAAGTCGCTTTAAGCCACTTGTAGGCCTGCGGAGGGACTTTACCCGAGAAGCAATCTCGCCAGGCCCTGTGAAAGTGCGACTCTCCGAAATATCCATGCTCTGGTGAGCATAAAAGTCCATGTAAATCGGCGGGATCGGAGATCAAATAAATGTATCCTCCGTTCTCGAGACTCGAGCATCGAGCCGAGTCGCGAGTATCGATACTCCGCGCGGCGCGACGTGGTATCGTGAACCAAAGGCCAATAATGGGGTGCTACTCGCAAACTGGGGCGGTGGTAGCGACGGTTCTTGTGTCTACCTTGCAGTATAAGACTCCCATACTGGTTGCAATATTTTGGTTTAAGCAGCCACTGTCACAAACTTGCATTCTGGTGCTCGCTACTATGTTCTTTCCGCTAAGTCCAAGAAGTAACTTCCCACAATGCGGCGTGGTCATCTGCGTTTAACTCAGCTTCCGGACAGTAAAAGACTATCTGGGACAACGGAATATACTGACCGGGCGCATCCTCTTAACTGTTGACCCCAGGGACGGTACTTGGTAGCGATGCCGAGTCCTGGATTGCAAACCTACGCAGATGTGACAGCATGCTCTCGGCGCAGGAGGCGCAGGACGGTCCTCCACACCATCTTCTACAAGAGCGGCATCGTCTTCCGGAATTTGTGAGAGTTAGCATTTCCTCGGTGTTAACATAGGAGAAAGGTTCGAGCGGCAACAGGTCTAGCGGATGCGTTAATCGTAGCTGGAGGATGAGTAGGACGACGGCGAAAGCTTACGAGTTTAGCTGAGGTGTAGTAGTCAGTGATTTGTCGATTGTGCTTTCGGGGCTATATTTTGTGTCGCTTGGGGGCCTCCTTGAGTGCCTACTTCTATTACCAGATTGACATACCAAGGCTCCAAACTACTAGGGCTAGGAGGTAGTTCTAGTGGTGTAATGGTCTCTGAGGGTTATACATTCGTTGTACATGCAGCCAACAGTCTATGGCCATGCTACTAGTTTAACTTCTGGGGACACCCGTAACTCGAAACTATATAGATCCGTTTATTATTTTCTAGTCTACTAAAGTCTCCAATCTGACAAGGCAGAAAATTGCTGAAGGAAGCACGTTCACATTCTGCATGGCAATTAAAATGTTATGTCGCCCACTATTGAAACCTCTTGAGTATCTTCGAGATGTTATCCACTTATTATATTGTACTACGCGATACGACCCATATTCAAAGAGTTCTCTGAAATCTTAAATATCTTTCTTACTTCAAAATTTTAAATGCTGGCTAGTCTAAGGGAGTGGAGTGGAGAGGGTAGTTTGAACTATATTTGTATGAATAGATGTTTATTTGAGATATTATTTGGATGGAAAGCTATTTGGATATTTAGGTTGACACTTTTTCATTTGTATTTAATTTATATTATTTTGCCTTTCTCATTAAGCGTTATCTACTACGTTGTAATCTTATTTTCGTTCGCTCTTATATATATTGCAATATCAATAATAGACAAATGGAATATAATGTTCGCCGAGCGTTCAAATAGGGCATGGAGTACGCGAAGCCTTGTGTAGAAGTAACAAACTTTCAAAATTTCTACGCTGAATTAATGATGAAAGGTTGCGCCGTATCCTAAATTGGATCCTTCACATTTTGGACAATTTTAAGCAGTTAAATAAATCTGTTCTCCTTCAATGTTCTATGGCAATCGCACGTGTCATATAAGATTGATATAAATGGATAAAAAAAAGCGAGCTAGTAACATGGATAACTTATAATTCCTGAAACTCCACATTTATATTCACATATTAACGTGGCTCCGGAGTGATAACGGGGAGATGTGTGCAGATCACGAATCACAAATATCTTGATCTACCTTTCCATCTTTAATTCTCTATTAGCAAGGTCACGCCCACGCCCATGACATCGAACTCTAAACTCGCACATTCATCTCAGTAGCATAACCAGCCAGCCCAACTTTCGGATAGCAATATAGCAGAAGGGGTTGGGATTAAGAGTTCACTGGCGTTTTCAAAAAGCCTTCCTGGTGAAAAGGATTTCGTAACCTTCTCGGTTACCCTGCTAAGATTGTACCTAGGTACATATGGATTTGGAATGTACTCCTGAATTATTCGCTTCAAGCTCAACAAGGCCCTACGAACATTCTAAACCCTGTAAATCTCCTTCGCTCTCAAACGCAGCCTCCGACTCTTCTAGTATATCTAGTACTAGTAGAGTATATGGTAACTTCCCAATAACCTAAGCATCTCGATGCAGCAACACCTCATACATCGGCCATCCTGATCTAGAGGTTGGCAACGAGTAGATTTAGAGGGACCTTAGGATGACCCTGCAGAGATAAAGAACGACTCTCAACTTTGCCTGGGGATATGATGGCTGAGAACTGTACGGTGCCTAGCTCCTTGGCTGATGCGTCTAAATTAATGATGGATCCAATAGAACGCGAAGGCCAGCTTCGAAAGACTCCATATGAAGCACCAGAACTACTTGTGCCAAGTCAATACTATGTGAAAAAGCAGGTTCTCATTTAGCGACGGCTGGGATTGAGGTCCAAATTGCATGTAGATAAAATCGTGGGTGTCGCTATGAAAGTTTTGGTCATTGTTTTGTGCACCCTTGCAGTTGATGATTTGAAAATGAATAGCAAGCAATAACAGATAGCTCGCAAAGTGATATCAAGCATTGTACAGTACATAGAACTGAATTTAAATTCCTGGTATCCATTTTCTCCATGCGAGACATTTCCCCCATACGCCACAAATATGCACGACTGGCGGTTCTTCTTGCGTCAGAGTAATTCGCAAACACCTCCCAATCTACCATTCTCTCCATCAAAAGCTTCAGAAGAATCTCCACCAGATGAAAATGATCATAAACAATCCCAGGCCGCCCAGTGGTCCATACTGCTTGAGCAGCAACTCCCAATTAATTCGTACTGCGGCCTGCTTATACTTTCTACTATCCTCCCTCAATCTGCTGCTGACCTCTCCCATGCGCTCCAAACTGTCTCCTCGATACAGCAGATCCTCAATATTCTTTGTCATGACCTTGGTAACATCTCGTAGCTCGTCGTTTAGCTTGTCAAGGTTTTGGGTTGCACGACTGTCGGAATAGGTCGCCTTTGTGCGTGAGATGAACGTGTCGAATTCCATGAACGCGTACGGGCGTAGGATTGTGGAGAGAACTTGTTGTTGGGGATAGGTCGTGCTAAATTCGGTACAGAGGTCGGAGAGATAGGTGAAAGCTAGCTTTCTAGGATAGGAGCGTTCACTGATGCAGATGTAGACAACATCATCGGAGATGAGATAGCTAGAAGCATGTTAGTAAAGCCTGTCAAGCTTATGGATACCGGTAGCTCTTTAAAGGATAAGTTCTGCAAAAGTGCCTTTGTAAATGCCCCATGGTTTTGAATGTCCTATCAAAATCCCCGCACAACACTAATTGGCACATAAACACCATGGTAGACATGTAAAATTCGGTATTGGATGACCCTCTATGCAAAGTCACTTTGAACGCTTTGCTGATCGACTTCCAAATAGCACCGTAGGCGCGAATTCCAGCACACGCTGGTATTAAACCCTATCTTGAGCGTGTCGGCGACAACACTAGTCGATAAGGGCCATACAAGCAACCCATCCACTCGGTGTCTGTACAAATAACTCGGCATTCCTATCATAACTACTAAACGGAAATCTGGGTATAACACAAGATACGCACTGGATGGTGTAGGCGCCGCTCTCGATCGATGCCTGGGGCTCCGCGTGGCGACTCAGCTTGCGTATGATCATCTTGACTTGAGACTTGATCTCAGCGAGGGAGGATTCGGTCTATGAATAGAGGGGTCAGCAAGATGAATTTGACCGCAGGAAGACTGGCGCATACTTGCTCATCGTCCACAGAGGCACAGAGCATGAGGCCTGCCCGAGGTTCGAGTCAGTCACTCGTCTCCATATTTGAAACACTTCCAACATTTGGGTCTCATACCATCGAGCCGCGCGATCTGCGTTGATTTGATCATATTGAAGTTATCACCTAAGCAGCCAGGATCTCCGTTTGTTCTTGATGTTGGAGCTGGGCAGAAGTCAAGAATCTAGAGAGTGTGTCATCTGTCACAATGCTAGATATCGTTCTGCTTGTATGCAAGATTATTGCATTGACCGTACAGAGTCACAATGTGGGGATGAGGATGGGCTGCAAAGGAGATGGAGGTCTGGTGGGTGTTAACAGATTGGTATCTCCAGAGCACCTATTTCCTTAGTTGTTCTTGTCTCAAGGGCCGAAGTCTTGCCGCAGTTCTGCCACAGTTCTACCACACCTGCTACATTCACCAATCAGGGATTATCGTACCTCCGACCCCGAGCCTCGTCTCCATCTTCAGAAGGCTCGCATCCTTGTTGTTAAGCCAACACCAAACAACAACAACAACAACAACGATCTCTACCTCATCGGCTTTCAAGCCAATACCACCACGCGTCGCCTACTGGTATTCATCAAAAGCTGTGCACCTCTAGTCTCTAGACAGCGATTCCTGACCTGAACTGCGTTATACAAAGCAACTGCACAATGTAAGTGGTCAAAAATTTCCTATCCTGTGACCTTTGACCTTTGACCTTTGACCCAACCGTCACCTTCGCGTGATATTCTTCACGTACCAAATCTTACCAGAGGTCACACGGTATTTCACCTTGACATTCTCGATAGCCTCGTCTTCCACTTCACTGTTTGTTTGTCTCTTACCAACTTGTATTTACTCTTTTTATATTAAGAGTCCACAGCCAGTCTTTACAACCATTCCGGATACTGATATCTTGTGGAAGCAGACTCGTGATGGATCCAGAACTCGATCCCACTACAAGCCGGAAGAGATCGGCCACAGCGTCGGCCTCTTCTACACAAAAAAAGAACCGGGCTAAGATGGCCAAAATCAAGCGGTCAGATGACCTCTTCGATGACCCATCAGAGATACTCGGGCAAACTACGTCTCCCCTCTACAACAGTGAAGTTGTGGGTATCCAGGTATTTTCCTAGGTCACGTTTCGCGAGCCTCATTAATCGTTAATAGAACATACTCAAGCATCCAGATGCGCTAGCGGTCCTTCCACCTAGCGATGTTGCTTCGTTATCTACCAAGCTCACCGCGGACAATCTCAGCAGGGTGGTTGCTGAATTTAGGGGGGATGGCACTTCGTCCCGCCACGACCCCCAGTGGCTGGCTTCTGCGCTCCAGGCTTCCCGTAGGCGAACTGCAGGCGAGTTCGACGAGTACCTGAACCAGCGATTCGAGGAAGATTGGGGCGAGGAGAATGAGTATTCCTCGGGTGACGAAGACGACGAAGACGACGATAACACGAACAATGACAGCGGCCCTACCAACGGCGACAAACCTCCTCGTGCACATAAGGATGATGGTGATGATGAGTTTGGTGATGATGCCGGCGCATCGGCGTCCACCCCCCGCACCAATGCCAACACCAAAACCGATCAGGGGCACGAGCCGGGTGCTTCACATACAGAATCAGATGGAGAATCCAAGCGTACTAGTGGTACTGAGCGCAACGGATCTGATATGGAGCAGCTATCTGTGTCAGTCGATGAGTTGTTGCGTGGTTTGGAGAACGTTACTGCACCACCACGGCAGCATGTTTGTTTGCAACGCAGTGTCGTTAAGTTGATCGATATTGTTAATGTTGGCCCGGTTATTAATGGCATCTGTCCGGGTGATATTATTAGATACAATAACAAGGACGCTGTGGTGGTACGTTGTCCCTCGTTGCTACTTATTGGTACGCTTTAACACTCTATAGGAATCAGCAGGCGGGAAATTTAGAATTTGGGTTCCGCGAGGAACTCATCCACATTCGGAGCCGGATTTGAGGGCTGATGCGACATACCCTAACAACATCGTTCCCAAACGAATTGCTGGAGTTGGCGATGTCACTGCAGCCATGCATAACGAAAACCCAGCCATTCCATTGTCTAATAACTGGAGGTTGTTCCAGCTCATCCGTCAGGGCAATGATATAGGAAACCTTTTTGACTTTCGTCAAGCTTGGCAATTTGCGTTACATGAATACCAGTATCAGCAACAACTCCTTTTTAAGCCTAATCGTCGGCGGCGTCTTAATAACACTCATCTGAACGAAGGGTTTCAACTTATTGATATGGTTGCTCTATATCGGAAGATACGTGAGGGTGACTTGGTGCAATTGCACGAAGACTTGATTATTGACCTTGGTCCAGAACTGAATAGATCACTGGCCGAGATAGCCGAGCCCGGCTACCAGATCATCATGATGGATCTCAGAATCATGAATTCTGACGGTATCCCTAGCCCCGGCGGCTGTACTCTTGAAGACGCGTATCGAAACGGCCCAAATGCCTTTCCTACAACATATCTCCGGAACCTGGCTGGGAGTTATGGTTATTCCAACGGCCACGCCCATGTTGGACCTCTTGGCTTGGGTAAAGGCTTCAACAACAAACATTGGGGTTATGCTAGAAGCTTGCAATGCTTGAGTGGCTCCGCTTATTGGGGCCCTGTTGCCCAGAGAAAAAGAAAGCCAAATGAGTTTTTTAATATTCATAACCGAAACCAGGTTGGCATAGACTTGGACGCGAGAGGTTGTCTTTGGACTCCAGAAGAACGAGCTGCCGTGACTATACTCCAGCGGGCGAAGATACAGGGAAAGATTGCTCACTACCCCATTCCAGTCACCATGAATCGTCGTTGTCCTGAATTGTCTCCCATCCAACTATCAATACAACCCGACGGACGTTACGCTGCTGCTGATGGATCAGTACTAGCCATTGATACTACGGATGGCGGTCAAAGCACTATATTTACTCCTCCCCGACACGCCGCTAGCCCTGGGCCCTCCATTCCACAATCTCTAGATTTTGATTTAGAGGATATGGACATGGAATTGTCGTCTATATACGGTGCTGAAGATGCTGAAGATGCTGAAGACTATGAATTTGAAGCACCCGAGCTAACTATGTTGGCTCCTGGTAGCTTTTACTGCCACCAAACACCACCAATGCCTTGTGGACTCGGTTCTCCAACCCCCTTAGGTTATCCTAGTACTTTCTCGATTCCGCAGTCTCTTGGTTGTGGTCCAGGGGGCATCGACAGGGAGTCGCCGTCTGCACACCCCAGTGGAGGTCATATGTCTTCAGCAAGGCACTATGCACAAACGTATCCAGATCCGTTGCCTTCGAATCCTTACCCCTATAGAACACTACCAGTGGACCTTCACACTGAGTCTCATGATCCATTAGGTTATACAAACTGTCCTACATTAACATCTACAGACACTCCTGCAGCAGCTAGTTCAGCTGAGCCCGACTTGTCGATGATCGACCCATACCTGTTGAACCCAGCTTTAAATTCTTTCGGAACGTCTATGTCTACGCCTAGCTTGGATTATGCGAAAGAGCCAGCTTATACAAACTCTCTTTCATCCGGAGACATGTTTACTACTCCCAGGATTCATGGAAATTCTCACGAGTCCGACCAGTTACCCATTCCTGCCGATCAGCTTCTGGACGGGAATATATTCACTCACAATCTAGAACATGACACATTTGGGACCGGAAGTTTGTTCGGCAATGGTGGGCACGATAATGAATTGCTGCTCACAGGAACCCCCAAGCCGGCGAACTCGCCGCCGTTTCTTCCGAAATATTCTCGATATGGATATGGACTCAAGCGTAAGATGGATGACTGCTGATCCAGTCCACATCCAATGTCATGCTACACTGATAGTATTGGCCTTGTCAAGGTCCTTCTCCTTGCTCTCATCATCATGTTTTGTTCTTCTCCTCTCGTCTCATACGTTATGCTGCATCCTAAACATTCGCCCTGGTCCGGATCCACAAGGACAACAAACCACACAGGAAACCCTGTTCCCAACATCCCAAAAGATTCAAGAGGCCAACAAAAAAGAAATGCTTGGAAAACGACATTACGACTGACATATTCATGGCAGGATTGATACTTCAGAACCAGCCAATGGTTCGTTCATCCAGGTCTCTGTTCGCCCCTATGGATGTGCACATGGCCGAAGCGCTTGATGTAAGATCGGATTTCATCCTTTGATACGTTTGATATCCCTGTTTTTCTTTTATTTCCCTTCTCTCCTTACGTGCTACATCATCAAAGAGGACTGGTACACATATTGGGAGCAAGGTTCGTCTATTCATGTTTTGAGATACCCCGGCCAGGATGAACAATCCTCTACTTTGTAATTAGATGCACAAAATTCCAACCAGATGTTTTCACGCACCAACTTTGATGGACTCTTACTGTCCATAAGTAACCTAGATATTTCCACTCCCTTGTATATTTTACCTTGTAACACGACAGCAACCATTCTTGAGTAGGTGTATTTAAAAGCGTTTAACACCCTAACTAGATATATGTCTGTACTCAGGGTTGAGGGGTGGAATGTTGGATTTGCAAGGGTGGAATTGCTATTAAAAGTTTGTATATCTAGGCTAGCCAGGCCATCTAATGCCTCCAGGCTCAACAGGCGATTTAATAACGTGCCAACTCCCACTAGGAGCAGATAAAGCTATTCTTCTTGACCCCAAATTGAAGATCGCTACATATGCATACCTATTGTTTCCTGATCCTAACGCCCGCATAGAATAGAAAACAAGTTACCTTCTCCCTCTCGGCCCGCTTGGCAGCCCAGGGCCTTTACTACCAGGCGCTGGCCGACGTCCAGCATCATAACCACTATAGCCACCACCAGTAAACTCTGCCTCATTACTCGCCCATGGTGCCGTGGCAGCCACAAAAGGTTTATCCCCCCCTCCTCCAACTCCCCTGTTATACACGCCTGGAGCAAAGCTATCTTCGTAACTTCCATTACTCTTTGTCGTTGACCCATAACTATTCCCTCTCGAGCCTGCACCAATACTCCCAGGAACATCAGATCTGTTCTGAGGCCTCAAGCCGACGCCCTGTTTCAGCCTATCCTTCGCGCTCCTCAAGCCCTGAGAACTTCCAGGCGGTGTGTCATTCCTGCTGTACGGATTCGCGGATGTATTCTGAGAGCTATAAGAACTCTGACTCGGCAGCGGCCTAGCTTGTACTTGAGGCTCAGGAGCTTGCTGTTTCGTAAAGGGGTTCTGCCTCCCGCGGAGCGAAGCGGCAGCCCTTCCCTGCCTCAAGCTCTGGTTCTGAGGTTGTCCTCCTTGTGGATCTTGTTGTTGCTGTGGCGGCGGCGCCCAAAGGCTGCTCAGCTCCGTTGCTCCTCCTCCTCCTCCTGATGAATTCTGAAACCCTCCATATCCTGCGCCGACGTTCGTTTGCGCATATATAGGTTGTGCCTCACCTGGAGGGAGGAGGTTTAGTTCTCGTGGGAATGGACGCCCCTTCTCTGTGTAGTAGTTGCGAAGCACGCGCGCTATGTGCGTTTCATATTCACTGTCGCCGTCGGATTCGTTCTGGAGGAGGTTTTGGCGGATGGAGGCAACGCGGGAGGTTGTGGTTGTGAGGAGGGAGGAGAAGTAGGACGACATTGAGGGGTTGGGAATGGCCGCCCGATGGCGGTGCGAGGGGTGCGGCGGTTTGTGATCTGATATTTGTAGGACTATTTGCGCGAGAGATGAGGGCGTTAAAAAGTTGTATGTGAGTTCAAATGACAGTGGTGGGCTGTCGTGAGGTTTGTAGTTGTAGTGTTTGGACTACAAAGGGTTTATGCGTTGGTGGTGTTAAACATGTTTCACGATCGCCCCCGCCATGTATTTACGGAGTGCGCCTCGGACAGGCGAAGCCACTCCAAATTAGGCAAAAAGTTATTTGTATTTATACCCAAACCTCACGAGTACGAATATTGGTGACAAAATAGCCCGATAATGGTATTGAACTCGAGATTTAACTAAAACACGTGGTGGCCCGCCTTTGACGCCAGCTTGAAAAGCATCAGAAACTCCCCTCATATCACGCTCGTGCCAGCTGTCTAGGGGCTGCTTCGATCTCCTCCTCATACTCGATCTCCATCTTGGCGAGTTTCTTTGGCTTAGCCTTAGAAACTGGACCCTTCTTCCTTTTTGCGCCCCCTGCCTTCTTCACATCATCATCGCTGCTATCACTCTCACTATCGTCCTCATCCTCTTCATCAGTAGCGGCCTCTTCTTCGCTTCCTAACCAGTCCTCCAAATCCCCTAAATCTTCCTCATCCTCACCCAAATCGCTCACATACTCAACATTACCAACACCTTCTTCATCCTCGTACTCCTCTTCATCCTCAAGTTCATCCTCAATTCCCTCATCCATATCTTCGTCCCTAGTACCCTCGCCACCCCGCTCTAAGCCCTTAAGAACCTTCTTCCAAATAGTTTCGCTGACATTCAGCGGTTGGTCACCATACGCTCCACTCCTCAACCTCTCAATCAACTCTCTCTCAATGGCCCTCTCAACCTTCGCGGCCGCCTCTGCTTTCCGCTCGCGAGTCTCCTCTCTCCGTCGAACCTTTGGCGCCATCTTAGGCACAAGCTTCTCTCCCAGCCGCTCGTCCTCTCTTGCTAATCTCTTCATCCGAATCCCAACTTGTGTCAGTCTTGTAAGTCTTTGCTTGCATTTGTGAATCAGAAATTTCGGCCAGTAAATCAACCGCTCGTCAACCTGCTCCAAGGCCTTTGCGTAGTTCTGTGATAACTTGATTCGCTCCCATAGCTTGGATGGCATGTGTGCGCGCTCGATCGTCTTCATGTAGAGGTACAGAGTTCCTGTGTCGGGGTTGGCGCGAACGGTTGCATACCGAGAGTTTGCAAGCGGGCAAGACTGTCGGTTACAAAAGCCGGTGACATTGTATTCATTGCGGCAAAAGGTCTTGTCTTTTGTGGTCCTGTTTAGTATTAGATGGGGATAATCAAATGGGAATGGTGAACAAACTTGAGCTTGAAGGAGCAGAACTGCTGGTTGATGACCTGCCAGACGATTTCGTCTGAGGACATGGTGAGCGGGTGAGGAGGGGTTTGAGACTGCGCGATCAGATAGGGGGATTGGATTTGTAATGAAAGAAATATCCAATTTCAGTATCAGATATCGTGCCCGAGAGAAATGGCGGGAGAAAATGGAAATAAAATTCCTGTTCCCAGGTGTCTATATATCTAGATTCGAGAGCCCGAAGTTTTCGCACAATCACATTTTTTGCGGCAGAATTTCGCGGTCGGTGAACAAATCACGTGACTATGTATCTTTCAACACCATCCTAATGATAAAACGACTCTTCATTGCTGCTAGACAGTCAATTTCAAGAATATTACGGCTTCAGTTCCTTATCAAACCCTTATTTCTGACTTAAAGGATGTTGTCAATTTTCCTTTGGAATATCTTCCCCCCCAAAAGGCCAGCCCTGGTGTCCCCACCGCTCCCCACCTCTATTCCAGGTCCCTACACTCTCAACCTCCTCCCTCCCCAACCTCAACTCTCCGCTCTTGGTCTCATAAATATGCGGAAACCCACCCATTCTACCTTCGGTATCCCAGCAGCCGCCTTTCTCTTCCGGCCGCTTTCCAACGGCCATCTCCCATCTGACTCTCTCTTTCACTCTCTCATAAGGGATACGAAGAATGATGACTGATGGAACGGAAGAGAAGTAGGCGTTGAGTGTGCCGAGGATTTGCGCGGAAGTGCTGGCGTGGATGTAGCCATCGCGAGCATCGAGGTCGGATAGTGGGAGCGATTCCGGTAGGGGTGATGGCAATGGTGGGGATGCGGGGACGATCTTGTAGATGTATGTTGGCGGGCCCGGAAGGGTTGTCGAAGGAGAGGCCATTGGTAAACTTCTTGATGAAATGGCAGGTGTGTGTTACTACCCAACTAAAATGCTGTACTCCGTACTGAGCTGATAGAGGTAAATCCAATGGAGCTAATTTGGCCGTAAGTAATTGAGGGAGGACCTGTGCTAGATTAAGCCTATTGAACCTTATACAAGTATGTGATCCAACATGTTTCTTGTTTGAGCTGCCAAGTACGACGTACAACGGGTTGGTTTCAAAAAAGCCATGGCAACTTTAGGTCAGCAGGAACCACCTCGGTTTAATAGGCGCCTACGGTAGCCTCGGTATTCCGTACGGCCCACATCATTTCTCTTGAACATCAACGGCTTCACTCCAACAACGATCAAATGACCAACGAAGTACAGTTCATGAGGTATCTTCGACGGCACCGCACTCAATATGTCGAGGACTCAGAGGCAGTTAAAGTCTCCGTGGCCAACCTCCAAACTGAGCACCTAAATTCATTTAATCGCACTCTAAGTAGCATCCTGTCCGTGGACAGAATAGACCATGCCTTCGAACATGTGCTCGCTGTCGCTGGTTCTGGACTTTTTATCCTGTTACTCGTCGCTCTTGGTCCCTTGCGTTGGCATTTTTGCCCTTGTACTTGAGCTATTGCGCATTCACACGCTTCGAGAATCCAAAACAACGTATCTTCGATTAGCAATGGCGAATTTTTAAACCAGCGACGGAGGACAGGTAGCATCCAGTTGAGTGTTAGATACCAAAAGAATAGGAGATTTGGCGCTTGAGTGAGGTCCCCACCTATTGTTGTCAAAATAGCCTTATCTTAATCAAAAGCCTCTGCGTTGAGTCCAAGCCGCTGAGCACATAAGCTCGAGTTGGTTGGCTGAAAGCCACCAACCGTGGCTTGTTTAGTTGCACTAGCAGTTGGTGGGAATCGCTGGGCGTGAAAGACGGTGTAATATCAACCCGCCAATCCAGGGATTCGTCCCAAGTGGAATGAAGTTATTTCCTTTTCGTCCCTGCAGCGATGCCTCGAATCCTCTGTCCTAAAAAATGAATTTATTCGCACCCCAGCGTCGTCGTCGAACTAAAGTTTTCTCCTCGTACTCGGATGTACAGTAATATAACCTCTAATTCTAGAATATCTTGGCACTGAGTCTGCCGTGGTCGTCTAAACCTGAGCTAGTTATGTAGCCGATTTTTGCACTTAACCCATCGATTTCGAGTTTTCAATAGCTGGAGGAATGCAATATATTTGCTCTAGTATAAAAGGGGTAGAGAGTCTGAACTTCTGCTTGCTTCCGCTATACTACGTACAAGTGCAAATACCTTCACTAATTCTGGGCATGGGTGCAGAAGTGGGAGGCTTGGCAGTTTTCAGCTCTATTATTATTAGACAGGTATAATTTATAGCGCCGATCTTTGAGGCTTTGAGAGCCCCAGTACCGCTGTAATAGCGAGAGGCTGAAACATGGTTGCCTCCGGGATCAGATTATTTGTAGTTCAAATCCCCAGCTTTTGTGTTTTAGAGCGACTCCACGGTCAAGCGATCAACCTCTCACTCTTTTTCTGGCGCAATCTCCTTCAAAATGCGACCCGCCACACTCAATGTATTCATCGCTCTCCTTTCAGCCCTGAGCATCCCCTGCGCAGCTCAAAACTTCAGGTATTCAGGCACGGAATACATCGTTTTCTCAGGGAACATCACGGGCACCGTCTCATACCCCCCTGAATTCGATTGCGCTCCCCTCACAAAATCATATGCCAACACCCATCTCTACGTCGGCAAGAATGCACCATGGGATAGCAATGCGTTCTTTTTCGACCTCTATCACCGGGCATCTGATACAAGTGCGTTTATCGGGCTCACCCGCGATTATATATACAACCTGGAATTCACAACCGCTTCGTACGACTGCATTAAAGATGGGAAACCCTGTGGAATAATCGCGTATGCGCCTGATTTCGTACCGCACATGTATGTTGATCTCAACAAAACGAAGATCTCGAAGACCCAAGTGGAAGGGAAGGCTGGGTACGCGGTTAGTGGCGATACTGGAAGCTTGGTTGGTAATGGGACGGACAATGGAGTCGATATAGCGGATTCTTGCAGGAAGGCGAATGTAAATTGGCTGGACTTCAAATGGTATTTATTCCCACAATCCATTCCTGATGTCCACCCTCGACTTCCCCAACTAATCCACCAAAAGGAATTCAACCACCACATTAACCTACACCCTATCCTTCTCCAATGAGACCGCCTCCATCAAAATGACCACTAAGATTCCAAATGGCGAGATGACGCTCTCCTTCACTGGCCCACGCAATGAAACCGCCTCATCCCTCCACAATTCTGCTATCCAACTCGATACCAGCAATGACGCCGTTCCGCAGTTCAAATATGTCAATGGCTCAGACATCCATTTTGCTAAATTAGGAAGCACCTGGGTAGCTGCTGCAACGCCGATTCCCACTGGGGCTTCGAGGTCGTCAAGCACGAGAACGACTGGGAATCTGGCGCCAACCGGAACTGGGGCGGCCGGAACTGGGACGGCCGGAACTGGGGCGGATACATCTACTCCCAAACCAAGCGCCACGGGGAATGCGGCTGTCGGGGGCAAGACGGGCGTTACTGAGGTGTGGGTTTCTGTTCTCGGGATGGTGGCTGTTTTGGCAGTGGCCTAGGATTTTTATTCTGGGACCGTTCTATTGTTCTGGTAGATGTACATGATGATAGACACCGTTGGTGGAAGTATTGTATGTATCAGATGGTCGTCAGCCTTCTGTCTGAATTTTAATAACTAATCCTGGCACCCATTTTGGGGGCCTCTGGCCCGTTCTGAAAGGATAAGTCCGACAATAAGATAGAATTTTGGTGTTCCAATTGTCTCAGGTGTTGATGGAGTCACAATTAGAGTATGGCTCCAAAAGGATGGTTTGCGGGTGATCTATTGGCTCGTCCCAGTTGAAGCAAGCCCATCCCTTCACGTCCTAAGCTGGTGACCATTCTCATATGCGTCTCTGACAGTAAAGTCTAGATGCTCCGTCTTCCTCTATGTAGCTCATGCATTATAGGACGACCAGAAAGTTCATACATCGAAACAGCATTTAGCTCTTGGAAATTTGTATTCCTCATCAAGGGGTTTGAACAAGCGGTTGGTGCTCCGTCAGCTCCTAACATTGATCTACCGCTCCCCTTATGGAGTTTAACGCTAGGAGCCGCGGCGGGATCATGACGAGCTCGATGGCCGTGGAAATATAAAAATGCACTTATGAGGTCACAAAGGCCTACTACTCTCATTGCGATACTAGCTCCTATTCCTACTTTTGCGCTGGTGCTGTGCCTGCCCAGGGAGCCAAACGCGAGGATGACAACTTTAGATATTCCGATAACTTTATACATACTTTCGTTCTTTTTAGAACTTTTATCTTATTCTTCTTTTTATATTTTAGTTTATATTCGGAAAATATTCGATTAAAAAAGATATGAAGAGTCTTAGTTTGTTATGAGTGTTGTAGTCTTGAGTAGCTAGGTAGAAAGTGCAAGGCTAACTATATATAGAGTACTGCCAGGCGGTGAGCCCCGACGAGGGTCACACCGAACACTTCTAGCTGAGAAGCAGCAAAAGCCACACTTGCTTCAAACATCGCAGCAGATGGAGGCACTAGGCGCTGCAGGCTCTATCATAGGGATCGCAGGCTTTGGTCTCCAGATCGCGACAACTCTTCAAACATACGCTGAAGCAACACTCGAGGCGGATGATAGAATTCGGGATATCGCGAACGATATAAGCGCGACTGCCTCGGCCCTTCAGCGACTCCAGGCAGTCATCACTCGAGATGAGAACCTAAAGAATGGAAAGGTTTTCAGTGTCGAAGGTTTAAAGTCCGTAAACAAGATCGCTTCACAATGCGATACAGTTTTCAAGCGTACAGTGGAGCTGCTTAACAAAGCTGGAAAGCCAGAAGAAGAACTCGCAAATGCCGAGAGATCGAAGGAGCTGAAGATATCGACGCTCGGTTATTTGAAGTGGCCATGGTTGGAGCCAAAGATCATGAGATGTAGACAGGAGTTGGAAAGGTTGCTGGTAAAACTTTTCTTGTTCCTACAAATCTCAAGTCTTGCGGTTCAACAGGCAAGGTGAGTATTTCTAGTAGCTTTGTAACAAAAACTGATTTCGATGCAGTGTTGACATTCGAAGCGCGGATTTGGCAGCAGAGCGTGAGATGAGGGATATTATTGCCAAATTAAAAGCCCGAGAAGAACGCCTCACAAATCGGCTACAACAAGCTTTTTTCAAGGTTCCTATTCGCCAGAACAGTCGGCCGTTCATAAGTATAGATCAAACTCGAGACAGGAGTCCATTACAACCACCGCCGCCACTATCATCTCGTCCGCTGCCACCGCTAATAGCAGCAACTTCGAGAGGAGTGCCGCTTAATTTCCAGAGTGACTTTGCAGAATCAAATCCCCCTATGAGGCTTGATTCTTTTTCAGAAAAGCCGATCATGAATCTACAAAGTCCAACCCTGGGCAATGTGCCTCGACCAGACGGTAAACCTCAAGTAAAGAGGGTTGCGATCGAGGAGACCTTCAACGAGACACTACCGGATGATCGAGACTCAAGTATGGAAGTTTTAGGCGAAACACATGCAACATCAACTCTTCGTAAGGATGGTCCAGCTACGAATGAACTGAGAGAAGATGAACCCGGCCAAGAAATCGCCCCATATCTCGAAGCTTATCTCCTCAAAGGGGATAATGATCACATATTAAAGATACCTCTCGAGCAAAAGGAGCTACAAGTTCGGAAGGAGGCCCTTCTAGCCAAGTCTGATCGCGCAATATGGGATGTCCTGATCTCTCTGACCCTAGAAACTCATGCGCAAGTGACTCGTGCATTGGAGAAGGCCAGGAGCCAGGACAAACTTGGGCGCGTACTGAGAGCCATCGAGGTTCTAGAAGCGCAACAGGAAGTGATTGAGTCCATGTCAAGCGAGGTGAATTTAGAAGTCCCGCGAATCCTTCTTTTTCTCGAGGTAGAGTTACCGGGAAAGTTGTATGAAAGACGTCTGGAGCAAGATTTGCGGAAGTCTGGCCTTGATGAGCGGCTGATTAACACTGTTATCGAGGAAAATATACCATTCAACACCGACGGACCAACAACATACACGAGAATGGCTCGCCGCCATCTTTCGGTAGAAACCCTACGTGCACACAACCTCGATTGGCAGTTTGATGAGGTGGATATTGAATGCACTTTGTCGAGGATTAAGACTGACTTCGTTTAGAATCCCGACTACGTCATCATCAAACGCTGGGTTCCAGAAGAGGAACAAGATAGGCTGTGGGAACATACCAAAGCTATCCGCGCCCAAAGACGCCATCATGTCGTGACAACTGAGGAATCGGGACGAAAGTATAGAGAGTCAGAATTCGAGTTCGTTCGCAAGTACAAACACGGCTTTTATGAGGATAGTCACAAGCATAAGGAAAATCCAAGTCCCTTGCTTACATTTCTCCTTGGAGGTGGCAAGCAAAAACACAGGACCAACTCTGGACTAACCGAGGGTTCATTTGACCATCAGAGGCATAAGAGCCGGAAGCCGAGCCCTCTTGCCACCTTTCTCTCCGGGAAGAACAAGGCTGAACCTTCCCCCGAGGACGTGGAACTCGACGAGGCTATCAAGGATCAGGAAGTTGATGAGCTGCTTGGAAAGTGGACAAATTCCGGTGCCGTAGAAAATGAAACGGAAAAAGGGAAAAGCGCAGAGCAGATTGAAGCCGTCAGAGTAGAAGAAAATGTAGACGATGATATCGGGGACGAGTTCCTACAAACTACGCGGCTCGATGACTACTTCTCGGATGAGGAAGAGTCGCCTGCACGATGGATTAAGAAGAGATTTGGGCTCAGATGGAAAGTACTGCTGCCTTCGAGGTTTCGTAGGAGAAGAGATCGCCGGAGATGGTCGACATCTACCTCGAGTAGTAGATCCGGATCCCTGATGGACGATTAACATGCTTGGTTTGGTTTTCTGGAAAGTAACTTGGACAATCCTATCAGACCCGATCAAAGTGAAGATTGGCTAGGAAGCGTTATGCGACTCTGTGGAATTTTGGAGCAGGTTGGGGGAAAGAGATATATTGTGATTTCTCCGTTGGGCAGAGAAGAATATTATTCATATTAGGTATACAATCTGTCGTGAAGATTGGCCACTGACTTCAAGTTAGTGACGTACAAGCCAACTTAATTTCGTAAGAAGAATATACAAACAGCAGTATGTCAAGTGAGCGGTATACTGCTACGCGTTGCTCAATCGAGTCGAGAGGAGGATACCACCGTCACTATAGACCTCGTCCAAAAACTCGTCGTCGTCAAACTCATCCCTTTTTATTGGGGCAGTACACTGGCGTGGTCTTAGTCCTCGTCGAGAGGCCACGATACGTCCGCCTCGTCACCTCCCTTGCGACACGGTGTGAAGGCTGCCTAAGAAGTGTCAAATCCAGGTGACGGGAAACACAAGGGCGCATGAAAGCCGCAGCCACTATCTGCCGTGCAGCCCATCGTACCAATCCAAGACATGCGATTGTGTTTTGGGGCGTCCTAATAGGGTCTGTCTGTAGTCAATCACTTTTTTCGGTTTCCTCTAATAAGATTAATTAATTAATTCCTTTTAATATACTTCTTTCAAAAGCCTCATATTCCTAGAGATTAAGGTATACTTTCTTGGTCAAAGGAAACGACGTGCTAAGGGGTAGTGATTGGTGTCAAAATGGGACTATGGTTGCTTATCCAGTACCCTGCTTCATCTTCGTGGCTCGTACTTCATACCTGCTTGGTCAACAGGTACCAGTATGAGCTCCAGAACTATAGATTGTCTCCATTGCTTCACTTGGCGGCAATGGAGAAATTTACAACAACACACCGTTCGAGCTTGAGCTTCTGATTTGAGAAAATAAATTGCAAAAGAGCAAGAAATTGAATAGAACAAAATGAAGTGGTATGGAGCTGAGCTCCTACAAATAACTGCACCGCTTCCACGAATATAGATCGAACATCCGGTCCTGTTTTCCGCACTGAGAAAGTATTTCTACAATGAAGACTATATCCCCGAAATTATATATACATATAGAAAAGCTCCGGTAGACAATAAACGGGAAAGAGAAAGAGAAAGATCGAGAGAGAGTGTGCGATAAAGAAACGTGCGACGTTCAAACAAACTTCGCGATAAGATAACGACGCTTACAGCCCCTAAAATTTTCCAAGTTTGTTTGCCGAGTGGTTCTTATAGCGGCCTGCCTTTGCGCTTCTGCGTCAACTCTACCAAAACACAACTCATAAATTATTCCAGAAATGGCGCCTTCAGCGTTGCAACAAAGACGAACACATAATACCCTTCTGTTTCAAAAGCTTTTGAATTTGCGAGATGGAGCGAGCCCATTCACATTGGTGCTGGATACGTTGGAGCAGGGGAGTGGTCCTGTAGTGAGGGAGTTTGCGAGGCGGGCGAAGGTACGAAATAGTAGCGATTTTTATGTTCAGATTATTTTAGTCTGTTTTTAATTATGTTTTATCTCAAGGGAAATTCCCATTTGCTTTTCCTCAAGTCTTGAGGATATGTCTCTCCCTTCTTTTAGCATTTTCTTTTATCTCAACCAAACTATCTCTACGTCATCCAATTAGCTCTCAAATTCAGATCATCCTGAGCCACGATATTCCCCCTCTTAAAGCGTCTTTCCGTTGCCAAATATACTAACAAAATATCTTAGATGTCCAAAACTAAAACAATTTTCATCTCCTTCACCACACTCCGCAAGAAGACACCCTTCGAGCCTGATATCTTCATCTCCGCCCGAGGAAAACAGCTCGCTGCTCTCCGGGCGGAGATCCTCTCTTGCACCCCACCCCCAGCACCTCCTGCATCCACAGCCGTATCACCTAGTAAGTGTCCATTTTCGTACTTTGAGGCACCTGCTTTTTATCCCTCTCTTCCAAACTAAATATCATAGACTAACCCCAACTCCAGAGACTCTTCTTATAATCGACAACCTCCATCCACTATGCACCCCCCAATACGCCTCTCACCTTTCTACCTTTCTCTCTAGTCTTCTCATCTCGCCCCAGATATCCCTTTTATCAACCTACCATGCGGATACCCCCATTCCCCTCTCTTCCCAGACTAGTAGTAGCGCATACACCCCGCATCCACTGACAACTCTCCTCTACCTCTCAACCGCAATCCTAACCCTCACGGCCCTCCCCCAAATCCTATCACAAAAGCGAGCGCGCGATAAAAGTCTGGTGGAGCCCGTATACAACATAGCATCATACCAAGAAGGCGTCCTCGTCTCTTTACCATCCCGGAGGACCGGAGAGGAAGGAGTGGTGATACACATGGAACTCCGACGTCGATCGGGGCGCGGAGTTGTGGAAGACTTCGTGCTCACTCGCTCATCGCCATCTACCACCTATCCCAGCCAAGTGCCGAACATTATTCTACTGGATGAACACCCTCTCTACTCGACGAATTTTACGCAGCCCGAAACCTCCGAGGGAGAGGAAGAGCCGCAAAGTACATTTAATCTCGGTTTAACCGAGAAGCAGAAAAGAGACCGTGAAAATGTCGTGCTGCCTTATTTCGATGCACAAAAGGATGTCGGGAGCAGTGGTGAGGGTGGGAGAATTTTATATGATATGGGAGCGGAGGATAGGGAAGATTTTGATGATGAGGAGGATGAGATTTAGGGCCCATGGGATGGAATTGTTGCCCGAGACACGGGATAAACCTCGAAGGGGAGGTGGATTTTATTATTACTGCGGATGAAAGAAAGATCGAACTCATATCGACCAAAATTCAATATACACATATCTCTATCCCTCGCATATATTCTAATGCGCTCATAGCTCGTCATGACTCTTACTCATCTTAATCTTCTCCTGAATACCTCCCCCACCAGCCCCTACAGTCCACTGGCCCCCGCTTAGATCAGGCATTTGCATAATCTTAACCACCAAACTAGTCCACCCCGTGAAATGCTGCGTCCGTTGTCCGTTGCCCGTCTCAGGGTTGTACTGCTCCCAGGCGAAGCCGGTTTCGAGCCAGGAATTATAGACGGTTTCGATGAGGTTGATGCGAAGGCGAGAATAAAGCTCCTCGGCGAGGGCTCCATGAGGCCCGGGGGTTTGGGCATATTTCTGTTTTTGTAGTTAGTTTAATCCAAGGACATGTTGGCGGGAGGGGAACGTACTAAGAGTTGGACAACAGCAAGATAATTCATATTCATCCAAATGGGGCCCCTCCAGTAATTCTCATCTGTCCCATAAAATTCGTCTTTCTTGCTCAAACTTCGGATCCCATGCTTGCTCCATAATTCCTCTTCATCACCCAGTAGTTTCAACACGTGACCCAATTTCTCACTATTGGCATCAAGTAGGCCGGTGAGGAAGGGGAAGAGGGAGACATAACCTTTATGGCAGACCAAGGAATTCTCCTCATACTCATCGATGGTGGCGTCACAGTAACACTTTTCTTTCTCGCTCCAGTGCAGATCATCGATGTTGCGGAGAACAGCTGTTTCGATGGTGGTAAGTTCAGTTACGTCCTCGTCGTATTCCAGAAGGGAGGCGATGTTCTTGAGAGATTTGGTCATCATTCCCACCCAGGAGATCAGATCGACATGTAGCTCTCCGGGATGTGGTGGTTGTGGACGAGGATAGTCGTCTAGGCCACTGGTGAGAATATGTTGGGGGGTACGGCCGCGCCATCTATATGCTTCCTTGGAGCTGAAAGCACTGCGGTCGTAGGATTTCAAATCTCCAGATTGAGTCTTGCGGAACCAATAGTAATGCTTCTTCAGCTTAGGGTAGAGTTCTCTCAGGTAATGCAAAGCTAGATCGTCGTTCTTGAGGTGCTCAGCATCGACGCTACGTCCAAGCTTTTCTCTAGCAGCAGGAGTGGTGCCGTTGAGAGCACCAAGCTTGGTGACGAACGTGTCTAGTATGAAGAAAAGTGTTGGCGGGTTGGCGTAGTGCGGATATTGAACCTGGAATTCCTGTGGGACTTTGCTTCGTGCTTCAGCACCAAGGATCTGCTCACGGCCAATCCATCCATCCTCGTCCATCAGATTAAACCAGCTCTTAACAACTTCAAGAGCAAGATCTAGATCCCAGTCAATGATAGGCATCAGATGGAATCCCTCATCCCAGAGAAATCCGCGGGGGAAGAAAGGTCGGGAAGGGACAGTGGTAAAAAGTTCATATGGTCCTTCTAACTTCTCTTGGTGTCTTGCCCGGGCTTCAGCAGTTTCTTCCCAAAAGCCCTCGTTTTCTTCGTCATACTCTGGAGCATATGATCGGTCAACGACCTCGTCCCCATAGAAATATCCTAAACCACCGAGAAGGTTGGAAAACATGGAGCTTGTGAATCTTTGCAAGTTCTCCACTGCGAAAGGAGGCTTGGGATCGAAAGTAGAGACAAATCGAGCCCAGTAGTTCTTAGAAACCTGGTTGATATGCCCGGCGATATCCTGACTGGTAATCTCCTTGGGCGCTGAGCCGCTATTGAAAATTATGTCGAATTCAAAGTCGCCCTCAAAAACCTTTTGAATCATGTGAAGATTGCCGGCTCCAGCATCATTCGAAATAGTGTAGACCTGAGGTGGTGGAGGAGGATTTTCCTCTCCATATTTCGCCACGTACTCATCAATCTGTTCTTTGAGATTCCTGAAAAGAATGGGCTTGGCCTGCCACAAATGCTCAGGTGGTACGGTTTGAGATTTCACAATAGTCCGATCCAAGGGTTTGTCGTCATACGAAGGATGCTCATGCTTCGGGTGGAATCCTCGGCCAGAGGTAACAACCAATTTATACTCTCCCAGGCCTTCAGAGTCCCCTTTAAGCGTTACAGCACCTTTATAGCCCAGAGGATCTTTCTCATTCTCGACTTCCAACGACCCCAACCCTTCTAGAGACGCATAGAAGACAATGGTCGACTTCAGGTCGGCCGATGAATCTTTTCTCAACACACCTCTCACACGTGTAGCCCAACTTCCACCGTGACTTCCTCCGGGGACCTTAACAAACATGGTTGTAATATCAATTCCATTCTTTTGGTCGTATATCGTCTGGACGCCACCAGTTCGAACATCGAATTCCTCCCATCCATATCCTTTCATATCATCGCCTTGTTCGCATGTATGTCTGAAGTCTGCAAGCACAATTAGCATATGTATTTCCAAATTCAATGGCCCAATTCCATTCAATTCCCTGGAATATGTTCTCCTAAAGCTTTGACAAGGTAACTTACTATGCTGCACCTCCTCATAATTTTCCACCTTCGACCACATCAACCCGCCCACGAAACTCTTCGGAATCCTTGGAGTAATGCCAAAATACACATTTGGGCGGTAGGGACCCCATAGCAAGCTCTGATTCGAACTCCTCGCAATCTCGTTATACAGCACCGCCGTGTCGTCAGCCGCGGCCACGGCGGAAAGCAGCGCGCCAGCCAGCAGCCGTTTAGTAAACAACATAATTTCTTGCAGCCAGTACCAAGAGAATGGCTTTCCAGAGCTCCAGTAATGAGGATGGAGCTCGGAATAGGTTTTGAGAGGGAAGAGAGGATATTGGGGGAGGGGTGCAGTTTTGAGAACACAGTTGCTTGGAAAGGCTGGCCAATAGATTGTATCGGATTCTGCCTGTAACGCGAGGCTGTCAGGGAGCCTCTCGCTCCGCTGGCCGTATGAGGTTGCGGAACATAACCACTTTGGGAATATTAGAGGAGATCGGTTTTATTGCCTCGGTCAATTGCTGGTGCTAAGTGATGGTTAAAGTTCGAATATGTGTTCTTTACCTATTACAATATGAGGTTGATCATTTATGAATCGGAGATCTGTAGTAGCCTTCGTCCTATGCCTGCTTATAATCATGACTAGCCTCTGCTACTGTATTTTGTATAGGAATTAAAATACGCTGCATAATCATCTTCTATAAACCAAAGTCCATGGGCTCAATTGCTTGGAGTTATGAGGCTCTGAAGAGGTACCATAGTTTATCTTATTTTCTACCATACCCAGGCCCTTCACTCTCTTGTGGGACTCAAAGGTCTGTTGAATCCTCCAACCCGATTCATATACTGCCTATACTCCACTTTCTTCTCCTTCCTGACTGCTGAGACATCATTGCCCGCGACCTTCTTCATATGCGTAGTACCAAAGCCGCCAAATCCCATCATAGCCTGCATAGCAGCCATCCCATCATCTTCAACCACAATATCATCATCATCCTCTATCTGGTCTTCCACAACCTTGTCCTTGGTATCGTTCTTGTCGCCTCTATCTCCTTTGCGTGACGCGTCTACATCCATCCGATCGTGGTCTTGAGCCCCCCCAGTTCCGCCGACTTTGAAACTTACGGGAGGGGTTGCAGTTCTGCTCCTAGAGATATCTTCGTCGGGTTTCAAAGAGGACTTGGTATTTTCCCTTTCCCTGGCACGATTATTGTCTCTATCTCCATCCTTCCTATCGCTTTCCCTCTCCGGTCTTGGGCTCCTACTCCTCATCGTTCGGCGTCCGGAATCTCTTTCCCTTTCTCTATCCCTCGACCTCGACTTTTTTCTTGGCCTATCTCTCGATTCTCGCGCACCATCTGCACCAAAATAGTTAGACGCTGTCCCGTAAACTGAAGATTATCCAAACGTACCTCTCTCCCTACCTCTATCTCTAGCTCTATCATCCCGCCTCCCACCTCTTGAATCTCTCATGTCCCGCACATCGTCTCTCCTCGGGTCTCTATCTCTATCCCTGTTTCTATCCCGCCCACCTCCTGGGGGCGATCGACTTCTATATCTAGTCCTGCGGTCTCGATCATCCCTCCTATCGCGTTCTCGAGGAGGTTCGTCTCGTTCTCGTGTTGGTAGGCGGCGATCCGCTTCGTCCCACATCTGATTGCTGTCTGGGCGGCGGGCGCGCTTGTGCGGAGGTTCTGTCATGGTTACGAGAGGGATGTTGCAATTGCGGAAGTGGTGAGGTTGTGATTTGAGAGGCTAGGTGACGGGGAAGGCTGGATGTCTTGGGACTTTTTGGAGAGAGCGGAAGTCTTGGCGCCGATGGAGAACAAAAGGATCCATTCCGCCCAAGGGTGCTACTTTTAGCGACGCGAGAGGCAATACGTCAGTAACAGACCTTCGAAAGCCAAATTTCGCGGATTCTATCGTTGTATTACTTAATTTGCATCGTTTCGGTCATTATGAGCAAGCATTCCATAGCCATCGGCAACGGACTTGTCACATCTAGGTGCTGTGACCAAACATACTTCTTCAGTCCAGTTGCACTTATAGCTTGTGCTAGCGGCAACTACCCTTTGAAGACCATTTAACAGTCGACTATAAGCCGCAACGGTGGACTTGGATTGGCCGAATTCGTTGAGCACTTGTTGACATTTCGGGGGCATCAGCCTCGCCGTGTGTCGACGCTCTGGGGAAAAAACACATCTAACTTATCGAAACGTATGTTTCCGCTTCGCGAAGGGCATAAATGGTGGACCATATTCCTGGGAGGAATAACGTCACATCACCGAATCCGAAAAATCAAAGGAGATGAGCGGATATTCCCTACGCTATGTCTGCCTCTCGAATCTTTCCTGTCCACCAAATCACTCGTCACCATCACTTCTGTTTTCGTCGTCCCTTCAGTGTTTATTCACATCTTCGCTCAATGCTGCCCCACTATCCGAAGCAGTGGATGAACGACTACGATGGATGGCAAAGCTGGACCGAGGACCTTAGTAAGTACGAGCGTGGCATTTATTTCGCTGTCCATCTTGGCGACGTGTTTGGGAACGGCAGATACAGGGTGCTACACAAACTCGGCAATGGAAGTTTCTCTCAAGTTTGGCTGGCGAAAGACCAGTCTCCAGGGTCTGACTTCCTCATCTACTCGAGATCTTCTAAGACTCCCAGGCTAACTAGTCCAGGGGCCATGGCTATGTAGCTCTAAAGATCGTCCAAGCCAATACCACAGAAGCACGGATCCTCAAATACCGCGCGCAATGTCCACGTGACCATCCGGGAAGCAACCATGTCATGAAACTACGAGATCATTTTGTAATCAAGACGACGAATGGATCCTATGATGGCCTTGCTCTCGAGCTTGTCGGCTTAAATGTTTTTACGGCATTAGAAAACTCGCCATATGGGAAGCTTTCCCGTGACAGGGCTCGGCGGGCATCTGTACAAGCCGCAATGGGATTGACATATATGCACCAGTGGAAGGTTGGTCACGGAGGTTCGCTGACATTTTCCTTTACTTTCGGGTTCATTTCCGTAATCATTCCCCCCTAACGTTTGAGCCTGCAGATCTCCACTCTGGCAACGTCTGCTTCGCGGCATTAGACATGAATAATCTCAGCGAAGCCCAAATAATGAGCCACCTTGGTCCACCGTATCTCCAAGCTGTGAGGAGGAGAGATGGTAAAGCTATTTTACCCTCAGTACCTAGTTACACGGTAAAACCAAGCTCTTTTACTCAAGCTAGAGGTGGTATTAAGATCATTGATCTTGGACAAGGTGCGTACAGTTCACTGAGCTTCTTGAGAGTTACTAAAAGCAAATGGTGTTAACACATTACTAATGAACTCCTAGCCTTCTTCTTTGACCGGAAACCGGAACGTATCATTACTCCAGTCAAGGTTAAGGCCCCCGAACTACTTTTATCCACAAACTCTCTCAGTTGGGACTACAGAGTCGATCTATGGGCGCTGGGTTGTTTGGTATACGTCATCCTTGTATGCAGAGCAGAACCTACTATGTGTCTAACAATGGAGTCTAGTTCTATGAGTTCTTCGTGGGCAAGCCGGCTTTTAATACCTTAACTCCAAAGGCTCTATTATTGGAAATGACTCGCATGGTTAGGGATCCACCTCACCGCTGGCAGTCTCAATTTAATTCTGAGGAATTTTTGAATCCTGACGGTCTGTATTGCGCTTCTACTGATCTCCAACCAGCTTCTTGTTCTTTTGGAATCTAACCCTTATCCCAGGAACCCCAAGGGAGATATACGAAGGTCCAAGACCCCTAGAAGAGACCCTAAAAGCAGACTATGACTTTCTAGGGGGGGATATGACTCCCGAAGAGCTTAAACTCTTAGCTGCATTATTAAGAGAGCTTTTGGTCCTCGAACCAGAGGAGAGAAAATCAGCTAGTGAAATAGTAGACAATCCATGGCTTTGTGGGTCTTGAGATCGGAGCCTTTTCGGGGAATATGGGTTACCTGGCCCTACCGTCCACAGAACGGTAGCCAGCGACTCTCGCCAGGCAGCCTGCCTAATCGCACAATTGAGTGCAATACGAGCCATTAATTCAATTGCGTAAAGGTTTGCTCTGGGAACTTTGCGCAAACGGTGAATGCGGGGTGGGAATGGTGAAGGTGAGTGCTTCGATGGTAGCGATACAAAAAAGTGTAGTCTCCAAGTTTGGTGGTGTCACGGATTCCAATAAAGAGCACCTTTACAGCGGATGATCTCTCCATTCGACTATAATCGTAGGTACGAAGATATTAAGCTAAAGTTAGAAGAAGAGAGAGTTCGACTTTTGGGGGAGCATTCGCAGGCCGAATTCTAATCAGGCAGCAATTGTAGGTGCCTAACTTACGAAATGGCATTGCTAGGTATTATTGTGACGGACTGACAGTAGGGAATCACAATCAAGCTGCCGTAATCATCGTAGGTTCCAAAAGAATACAAATTAAGCTCTATCTTCCATATCCTGATCTCTGCTCCCTTCTTATACCCTGGGACTAGTTTCAAGTGGCGTTTCGGATTATCACGTGACCAATCTACTAGTCGCTACAAAATATAATACGAAAACGATATAAAAAACAACGAAAAGCTAACTAATAGATCCTGTTTGGAGAGAAAGTAGCTCTAAATGTTGTTCTGCCAACCTGAGAGTACTTGGGGCTGCCGTATATTGTAATACTTCAAACGAGACAAAAGGGGGCTTATCTTAGACTCGCGGACTATATTCCTATTAATTCGAGCTAATAGAGGACTTGATTGTAACACTTTATAATTGTTAAAGTATTGGTGTTTATAAACGCTTCGCGAAAAGTGCGTTTGATAGCTAAGGTGGGTCCTTATTTAGTATAGGTGGCTTAGCTTATATATGTTACTAGTAGATTTATAAAACAGGATAACCGTTTAAGATAAATTAAAGGGAAGTAGGCAGAGATAGGTATAATTTTACTTCCACTTTATCGACAATTAGTTAAAAGAATATATTTTTACCTGCTTTATTCCTTTAGGCCTAGGGAGCATTTTCACTTAGTTCATAAAATATCGATGCTGATAATCAGTTCTAATGGACCTGCCATGTGATGTGCAAAACAAAACATTAAAGATATAATGCTAGAAACCGAGAGACAATTGCTAATCGCGTTACCTATTACAAAACCGAAAGCCATGCAGTTCATTGTCTTCGTGTCCATTAATAATCAAAAACAATCTATAGTTGTCTACTACCCTGCACAAGTACTTCCCGGGTTGTATGGCCATGAAATGAAATCCTAACTCCTCTCCCTAAAGAGGCATCATTGTCAACTTTCCAGATTCTCGTAACTGGCTTCTCGTGATCACAACATCGCGACCCCAAAAGCCCAAGCAACAACCATGATCCGTGAGCTCATCCCCTTTCCATTACTGGCAGCACTCTTCTTCTTCGTTGACTGTGCTGGAGGCGCTGCATTCGTGGTCGATGAACTGGTGGTGGGCTTGGTAGTTGAATTGCTCATGACAGTAGAACTTGTGCCGCTAGTTCCAGTTGTACTAGCTAGATTTTTCAAGGGAACTGTAGTTGGGCCATCGATAACAACCATCGTCGTGCCGTCGATGACAGTTGTTCTTCCCGAAATCGAGTAGCTGGGATTCACAGCCACGGTGGTCGGCCCATTAATGACGAGTTCAGTTGTTCCATCTATCACTGTTATGGAGCCTGGGAGGCCTGTGGGTTTCGCTCCAGAAACTGGGACGGTAGTTGGGCCGGGAATCACGAGGTAGGGCGTACCATTGATGATGGTCGTACTTGCCCCTGCGATCCCCGACGGGGCAAGAGAGAGTGGAATCGATGTTGCAGAAGGGAAGATCAGAAATGGCGTCCCATTGATCACCGTCGTGCTTGCACCGGGTATATTGCTTGGGGAATTGGGTAGAGGAACGGTTGTAGGCCCTGGAACAACGAGATACGGGATACCATTTATGGTGGTAGTGGTTCCAGCGAGACCAGGCGGGGCATTGGCTAGGGGAATGCTAGTCGGGCCAGGAATAGTTAAGAATGGGGTTCCATTGATGATAGTAGTACTGCCGACACCATTCCCTGAACCCGGCGCTCCTGGTATCGGGATATTTGTTGGCCCAGCAATGGCGATGAATGGTGTGTTATTGATAACTGTCAAGCTTCCAGTAATACCAGGGGGGGCGTTTGCAACTGGAATATTTGTCGGCCCTGGAATAACAAGATATGGTATGCCTCCTATTATTGTTGTACTTGCTCCGGCGCCATTGAAAGACCCAGGGGCAGGAGCGGGAGCCGGGATGTTGGTTGGACCTGGAACAATTATGTATGGAGTATTACCAATAATGGTCGTGGGTCCTGTGAGACCAGGAGGTGCATTCGATACTGGTATATTTGTAGCAGCGGGAATCACGATAAATGGCTCTCCATTTATAACAGATGCGCTAGCTCCTTGAATGATGGGAGCTGGTGATGCAGGTGGAACTGCAAAAGTGGTCGCAGCAGGGACAATGATAAATGGAGTACCTCCTATATCAACTGTTTGTCCTCCCAGCCCTGGGGGAGCTGCAGCTACGGGGATAGAAGTTGGGCCAGGTATGACGATTTCTGGACCCGGACCTGGCTGGGGAGCGGGTCCAGGGCCGGGCGCTGGTATTGGTGCTGGTTGTGGAGCGGGAGTAGGGGCAGAGTCGCCGCCAAATATGGAGTTTATTATAGCACCAATACCGGGAGCAGAGTCCGGTTGAGGCTGTGGTTGTGGTTGTGGTTGAGGTTGCGGTTGAGGTTGCGGTTGAGGTTGCGGTTGAGGTTGCGGTTGAGGTTGCGGTTGAGGTTGAGGTTGCGGTTGAGGTTGCGGTTGAGGATGTGGCTGTGGCTGTGGTTGCGGTTGTGGTTGAGGTTCAGCGAAGGGGGTAGGTACAGCTTGAATCTGCGGAGGAGGCGCGTAGATAACGGTCGAAGAAGTCAAATCTGTGCCATCAACAGTTTGGTATACAATTGATGTACTTGACTCACGAGGGCATGGGTGAGTCAGTATCGAGGGACCAGCCGGCATGCAAGAGTCTAGACCAGAGATTTGAGCGAGGTATTTCTGAGGTTCTAGATAGTCAACAAGCGTTTGTGGAACCCAGCCGTAATCTATGGTGTTCCCACTCTCAAGACAATTCGTTGAACTGGTGGCTCCAGCGGTGCCTCGCGGTGGCTGATAAATGAAGGGGGTCGGTAATGATATTACGGTCACGGTTGAAATATTCGCAGCGCTGACAGGTTGGCCGTCACTGCCAGTATACGTAGTCGCGTATTTCGTGGATGTTTGTGTACTTGTAGCCGTTATAAGCTCGGTGTTATTCGCGGCAGCAAAAGTTGTCGTGGCTGTCCATGTCGTTGTTTCGGTCGGCTCTAATTGATACCCGTCTATGCCAACACCGCCAAAGTAACCCTCGGCATTTGAATTGACGTTTCCGAATATGCCAGAGGCAGTTGCACAAACGAAATTGTTGTTCTGGTCCCTTACAGCTCCTGCCATAATAACCTTCACGGTAGTGTACACGTAGAACGCCGCTGGAGATTGTCTGTAAAATGATGTCAGCTTGGATGTGGTCTTTAATCAGTATAGCACTTACACCGTAACCCCGCCAGTAACTATGGCAGTGCCATTGTTGCTGAACGTAGCCTCTGTGGGTCCTGGGACCGGATTGTAAAGGAGATTTATTGGATTGACGCCGATCTCTGTGCTGGTTGTAAATGAAGTATTTGTTTTGTAGACGTTCGTCGAGACTCTAGTCGTCGTGATGTTCGGCCATTCGGTAATATAAGTAGTGTATGAGGTCAGGTTAACGACGGCGTGGATCGAGCTATACTTGTAAATATTCCACCACTGTTCAGTAACGGTATCCTGAACCAGGAAACAACACATAGGCGTTGTCCCATTGCCAGGTGCCGTAGTCAAGGAGGAATTGTGCGGAGCTACGATTGATGACCCGTTAACGGCCGCTGTGGTTGGTCCTGTGGTGCTGCTCCTCAAGCTTGAAGCTGCAGTGGTGGTACCAGAAGACGATGTTCGGGTGCTACCGCTTGAACTCAGCGGATTTTGTGTGCTGTCCGTCAGACTTGAGCTGGTGCTGCTTGAGAGAGAGGTTGAGGTGCTGGCGGTCGAAATGCTACTTCGACTCGATCCAGAACCACTACTACTCGACGCCGCGCTCGAACTCAAAGTAGAGCTGCTGCTCCCAGACAGTAATAGCGTGCTGCTGGTTGAGGAGGTGCTACTACTACTGCTGCTTGATGTGACATTATGAAATCTCGAGGCTATCGAGCTCGTCGAGGATGAAGGGGCTGTTGAGGTCAGTCCGGACTGCCCACCGGGCCCGACCGAAACCAGGAGAAGTTGGAGAACCTACCTCTACCAATAAAATCTGCACTGATAACTGAAAAACACACAAGCAACGCAACAAATACGTATCTGGAGGACATGCTGGAGGGCCAGTAACGACGGTGTTGGACAGAAATCGGAAAGGCGCAAATAGTTAAGACGAAGTCAGGAAGATGTAGAAATAAGCATGCGAATAAATGCAAGTCAGAGATTCCATAGGGCTGAATCTAGACTGCTAGAGTTGGGTTATAGTTATTTAGGATTAAGGAGTGTCACACAACGAAAAGGCACCCAGTTAACAGCCTACCTGCACTGGCGGTATCCTCCGTGCTGGCTGGCTCACTAGCCACGTATAGCTGGTAGGCAGTGCCCGCTTGGGTCACACCTTGCGAAACTATGATACTCCGTACGAAGTATAGTAGAGTACCACATGCTTGGAAGACACACAGCCATCTCCAAGCATGAACATATCATATTGCTTAAATGTTGCATGGGACGAAGAGAGCGAGACGGGGAATTGGTGATGTTCAAGAGTAGGCTTTTCTAAGCGAGCACTTCATGCCTCTCACTGGCTGCCACCGGACATCACTGCAAGTTGACGGACTACGAGAACTCAGCCGCAGCCACAGCTCTAAAACACCTCCTAAATTTATACAATTCCGTCCAATCTCCGCGTCGGAACGCAGATCTACGGCGGTGGTCTAGACCACACCGTTGGCTGGGGATTTCCCGTCTCGTCTCCGAGAACCAGGCAACGTCGTCGATGCCCCGTGGCACTGGCAAGCGCAATGCTCCCTCCAGCTCGTAGTGGCGAATCGAAGTCGTGGGCATGGAATCTTGCATCGAGCTGAAAGGGCAGCTATTGGGCCGCCGCCGCCATCCACATGAGATCCGGATCTGAGCAGCTGGATTGGACAGAAGACGAGCGTGGCATGATCGTATAGTTCAAGTTTTCTTTCTGTGGCACAAGCCTGGCTCTGTAGGCATTGCTCAGAACACACATTTACATAGCAGTTAGCGCTCCCAAGCCACTTCATATCTTGCTCCGCCTTCTTTTTGTCATTGCCAAGGATTCGTAGAACTTCCGCACGGGTTAATCCGTGGGCTATACACCATGATTTGATTTCTTGGTGTGGAAATACCTCTCAAATTTCACCTCTTCCTTTTGATCGCTGTCTTATCGAGCACAATATTCCTGCAACGTTCCATGTCGTTATTGTTCTGGAGACTGTGATGGCGTTGCGCCAGGCACTGCTTTTACCGCAGCAGTGGTTGAACTTGGTCATTGCACTTTTATACCTGCCAAATGTTGCTCTTGCTATTCAGCACGTCGTCGAGTCCAGAGATACATATCCTGCGCCGATTATTGTACCATCGTCTTTAGACTGGTAAATGGCATACCCCGAATTTCCTGCTGCTAGACTAACGGAGCTAGGGATGGCAATGATGGTCCATGGTCGAGTTTCGCCCTCCAAGCGGGCACCCCTCCACAAACAATCAAAGTCCTTCCTTCTACTGCTGGGTTTCAAACCTGGGCAGTCACGCCCGAAGGCTGCGTTTCTGGAGATCCCGTAGACTGCCAAAAGCTGCGGGGCGAATTTTACAACTATAAGGAGTCCTCAACCTATGCGCCGAATCTAGCAAACGTGTCGAGCAGTATATACGGACTAGACCTCGAAGCCGGACTCGGCTACACCGGCAAGGGGAGATATGGATTTGATGATATTGGGCTGGGCTGGCAGGGGAGCGGAGGCCCAACACTTCATAATCAGACGATTGCAGGCATTGCAACAAAGGATTTCTTCCTAGGATTATTTGGATTGAACCCACGTCCAAGCAACTTCACGAATTACAATCACCCGATTCCAAGCTTTATGCAGGCTTTGCAGAACCAATCCATGATACCTAGCTTGAGTTGGGCCTATACTGCCGGGAATCAATACCGTACGTTATTCTAGGTACTTGAGTCTAAGGCACTGCATGAGTTTTATACAGCGATGCAGTGGTTCTGCTAGTATTGGACGTAATAATTTACAGAGGGGGAAGTCCTCAGGGTCCAGTGACTAGTCTGAGATATTTGGAGACGGATGACTTACCTTTGGATGCGCTTTTGTGGCTCACAATAGGCTAATTAATATTTTCGCAATAGGTCCTGGCCAATTCCAAGGGAGCTTAACGTTGGGTGGATACGACAAATCGAGGTTTATTCCAAATAATATCTCATTTCCCTTGGGAGTAATAGAAGGCCTCGCAATCGAAATTCAGAGCATCACCACCAACAACAGTGTGTCTTTGCTCTCATCGCCAATAACTTCATCTCTCGATTCCACTGTTCCTTACCTTTACCTACCAAACACCACCTGTACCCTCTTTGAGAACACTTTTGGCCTTGTCTGGAACGAAACCTCCAAGCTCTACTTATTGAACGATACCCAGCACACAGCCCTTCAAACCCAAAACCCTAGCATCACATTCAAAATAAGTCCGGTAGATTCCACTTCAACAGTAGACATTACACTTCCATATTCAGCCTTCGACCTCACCGCGTCCGCCCCCCTCGCCTCAGCACCAACCCGCTACTTCCCATTAAAACGCGCTGATAACTCCTCACAATACACTCTCGGTCGCACATTCTTCCAAGAAGCATACGTGATAGCCGACTTCGAGCGGAACAACTTCTCTATCTCGCAGTGCAACTGGACCTCTGGCCAAAATCAATCCATCGTGGCAATTCTCCCGCCCTCAAACAGCACTACAACTTCTAATGATGCCAAACACGGACTTGCTACAGGGGCAATTGCTGGAGTAGCCGCTGGCGGCGCTGTGGTAGCCCTCATAGCAGGTCTCCTGCTCTATCGCTTCTGCTACAAACCACGTAAACGTGCGGTAGAAGAAACAGAGGAGGCCAGAACACGACCCGCAACGCGACCCACAAGCGCAGGAGGAGACGTAATTATCAAGCCCGAATTAGATGGCACAGGCACCACAATCACAGATACTAAACACGGCCTATTTGAAGCCGACAGTCACAAGGTTTACCCAGCTGCAGAAATGGCAGCTCCAGACACTCAACCTATCTACGAATTGCCAGCTCGAGAGGAGGTGGCTGTTGAGATGATGGGTCAGAATTATCCCGACGAAGTAGATGGTAGGAAGAGCAAGAATTCTGGGAGAATCTGGTTTGGAAGACAGAGGAGTCAGGAGAGCGCTGATACCGTGAGCCCGGATACTCCTGGTAGTCGAAGAGGATATGATCGGACGGTAAGCCCTTTTACCAGTTCAGCCACAAGCACGCCGGCTTCGATGATTCGTTCTTCTCCTTTCAAACCTCCGCCAGTGCCTCCAGTACCGAGTGCTGCAAGTGCGAGTTTACAGAGGGGGAAAACCACTTAAATATCTGCTTGTTACCATGGCACTTTGAAAGTGCACGATGGTTATTATATGATAGTTTTGATTCGTTTCTGTATAGAGTTCAAGATATAATTACTATGGCCTGTTTATTCTGCTTTCCATCCCGTACGTCTATATTGTCTCTCGCCTATTTATAATTATTGTTTGAGGTTTGGCAGGTTTACCAAACAGGATATGGTACATGACTACCTAGGACAATGGTCATTTTATGTAATAAATCTGTATTGTATTATTCTACTAGATGACCCTATCTATATTCCTTGGCACATCGTGACAACCATACTTCGTATTGCAAACCCAGCCTGCCTAGGTAGAAAAAGCCAATAGCTCCACGAAGATCATACAACATAGCCAATCGTTACAACTACAATATTTTAGGTGAGTTAAGTTGAAAAAGTAACAGGCAGATAAATTTACTAGAGCGTTTAATGCCATGTCGGGAATTCGAAAGAAGTATCAGTCGTTTATAATCTAATAATTTATACAACCAATCGAGGTTCTTCATTAAGAGAGGAAATTTATCCTTCAAAAATCTTTATTCCGAAATCGACTAGAGAATATATGACGGCTTGATGAGGGCAGAAACTGGCTTGGAAACAGCCACGTGTAACATGAATTCCACTGGATGGTAGAGATCCGTTCTACGCTTCGCAACTAATATCTTCCCACACCCTCAAAATAACTAGTTGCTGACTGCATATCGGCTATTTCGTTCGCGTTCATCCGCAAGTTGGAAGTGCACCTTAGTAATAACAACTTGTTAAAAGATACATAAAAATAACCCAATAAATGAGACTAGAAAGCCCTATAGCCGATGTGATGAGACGCTATAAGATTAAAGGATTACTTGCTCTTTAAAGGTGCATACCAAATCAAGTTTAATAAAATACCCCAGCTCTGATATTTGCAAATATTTTCCAAGCCCTAGAGGCCATCTTATTAAAGCTAGATATGCTGGACGAGCTCGCCGCAACCAAGAAATATTAGAATGACGAGAATTTCAGGGGTATGGTTTATGGTTCCGGTATTCTTGATAATTCGGAGGCTTGAAAGTATAATCCCCAGCATTTGCACATATACTATACATATATGAAGTCAACCGTATTTGAGGCTACCTAATAGTTATATAGTAGTAGTAGTCCTCTACTTAATATATAGAGCCGTAGACAAATATCTCAAGAAAGATGGGATCAACGAACAGACGCAGGGGTTCTATTTATCTAAGATCTGGCAACAATGTATGGTCCGGCGAACGTACATATATATCCCAAGATCCTCGGTTTCCTAGACAGAGGATTAGGATACTCCTAGAAGGGTACAGGCGGAATACTATAATAAATCATATTGTAAATTGTAAACTGTAATTGACAATACACCCAACACTGACAGCCAAGAACGGCTGTGACAACAAAACATATATAAAAACTCACCGGCAACTCCGTTTTGAAAAAAATATCTCTCTTGAATACTTCCCTCTCTATCGGTATCTATCTAGAAAATGCCTGAGCGGAAAGCTAAATAGTATACAGAACAGCATGCTGAGCAGTATCTAATGCTCTAGCCTGGTCCTCTAAATGCGCAAGTTCATGAAATATCTGGATACAAATCATATTTTTCTGTCCGGCCGCTGTCACCTGATCTAGGTTTAAAATGAAGCGAAAGCTATCGAAAGTGCCGCTGAGAGCTGGTAAGATGAGAAGGGCCTCGTAGATCTTCCATTAGATATCTGTCTCCGTTCAATCGCCTGCAATATCTCCCCATCCTCGATCTACATTGGTGGAACCTCCATCCGCGTTCTCGATAATCTCGCATCCTCAACTCCAGCACTTTCACAATTTGTCACTTTAGCGGTGTGAGTAGCAAGAATTGGGAGTGATAGACGTTGCAATAAACCTTGAAATTTTATATAGCTAGGGAGGTGTCTACCGGCCTGCTTCGTGTGTGCACGTATCTGGGGGAGTGAGTATCCCCGCAGTACAAAACCATCTACCTATTCGATGCTTCCATTCCTAAAACCCTGACTTCCGGGTAGTTTTTTTGGTTCCGCAAACGGAATTTGTTCTGAACATACCCCTCAGTATCACAGGCATTACAGGTACTTTACCTAGCTTAAGAAAGAGAACCATGATTTGAGACGCTACTATATATATGCAATTATAACTACCTATAGTATTTTCCCATCGGGGCTGGATGATATAAGTCAAACCCTTGGGAGATACTTGGAAAACTCGTTATGCTGAAGAAAAACGAGGAAATAGTATCAATCCGCACCCAACCGTGGAGAAGCGACGCCATCATACTAGCTGTATCAAGATTCAGAGAAATAAATCTCTCGATGGTACAAGGTTGGAGGCGGAAACCCAAAGAAAGAGAGAGAACGGTTGATTGGAAATCCTCAAAGGACATATCGATGGATATGAAACGTCAAAAGCCCTGCCTATAACGGAGAACTGACAAATAACTCTGTGTTTCAGACATCTGACCAATTTGATTGATGATCCTGTTGCCCAGCCAGAATTTCCATCGCCCTTCAAGATTAATAATTGAGCAGCACGAAATCAGTCTCGACATCCTCATTTCAAATCATCCATCAGTGGCAGCGAGGAGGACTATGAAACGCCCTTGATAAGGTTACAAATCTGGGCCCTTATTTAGAGAGCCTGAGTCAGCGGTACCGGTACGAGTATCCACTGCCACGTTGACAAATAGCTTGGTACTGGGGTAACAAGGGGCGGATGGTTATCGGCGCGTAAACACTTAGATTGCGAAGATACCAAAGATAGTAAGCACAGGAATAACCTCATTTCTGCTGGATCTCCCGCCTTCCTTCTGGTTCTTAGTCTTCCTGCCGCGCGTGGTACTTCCTAGCTTGTCCCCGTATCACTTGTCATTGCAGTACAAAGAGGACACGGCGAAATGAAACAAGTATTACTTGCGAAACGGCCCCCATCTCGGCATATCTTGCCTGTTTGTGACACAAGAGTAAACGAAAGGACGAGGGATGCTGGCCGCAGACCTAGAACGCAGGAGTTGGAACACAACGGTCGTGGCTCGGTGGACCATCCTTCATGTGGCCCCGAGGTGTGAGAAACGGAGAATGGAGCCTCCCGGTCTCGCCCCGGTCCGCAGATGACGATAATATGGCGTGCATACGGCAGAGCAATGGCCCCTGATGGGGCCGGATGCGGTTGAATAATCCCCGTGTGGCTTCCACGCGGCTGCCCTGCAGGCGCTCCCCCTTGTCAACGGTCATCAGTTCACCGGCTACAGGATTGAGCATATCGTCTCGCCTGAGAATGCGAGAGCCAAAACGAACTCTGTTCTGCCCTTGTAGGGCGCACGATCGAAGACGGTGTGGTCCCCAAACGGCAGTGTGACAAGCAGAGAGTACGACCTTCCGTTCTCAGTAAGATCCGGAGGGGGATGGTAGGACAAGGGGAAAACCGCACTTAGATCACGGGTAAAACCACGCGGAGCCTTCTGCCTTATAGAAATGCAAATGAAAGCTAAATGCCATATTAGAATAATCTTCGTGCCTATCGGATCGCGGATCCCATGGGTTCCACGTTGCTCCATCGTGTTGACCGCAGCAGCGGAATTTGAAATTCAGTTCCTGGGTATTTTCAGCGCCCCCACCTACCATTCGGGCCTTTAAACGGGTGTTTGTCCTCCTTGAATGGTCGCCCTGTGTTTCCCATTTCAGTCACTACGGTGTTCTGGAAGCTGATTAGATGAAACATATTTCCGGTAGATGAAGAAGGATCGCCGGCATCGTTGAAAAACGTGGCTACAGCGCGGCATCAGGGACATGACGCTGCGCCTCGAGGCAGCCTTGCGGCATGCAGGGGAGACTGCGTGGTGTTTGCTGCAAAGTGCTCACAGCGAATGCACTGACACACAAAACCGGGTAATTGTAGCGACGAACGGTCTCGAGAAACGACATAGCCAAAGCAGTCATCATTCACCGTGGAACCCAGGTCAGATAGATTGATCCGTTTCAGGACAGGACCCGGGAGATCCGAATAATCTCCTAGCAGACGAAAAACCTGATATGATACTCGTATATGGTGTGGGGGTGGGGATTCCTGGGTTGGATTTGAGGAGTCAGCCTGGGGCGGTTCTGTATACGAAGCACCACGGACTGCGGTTAAGCACCGCAAGGTTATGGTTATTTTTGGGAAGCTTGGCTGATTACATAGTATACTTAGCGCGATCTGTTTTTAGCGACATAAGCGCTACGCATCGGTTGAAGGCGCCTCCCGCCTAACATCGATGTTTGATTGGCTGGATGGGCGGCTACCGGGTTAGTCCTGTTTTGGAGAGTTCCGGATCTAATCTTGCATCTTGCATCTTGCATCTTGTATCTTACAGTATCTTCGAATTCTCTTTATTCCCGCAATGTGTGTTCCGTACTCGAGTATTTTTAAAAGGAAACCCCAGCGGTAGGAATTCTGTCAGCGATGATTCAGCGCGCAATTAGATCGAGTCATAAAGTCCTGAGGCTTTGTTTCTTGGAGGCTGAGATACGAATATCGTGACTGGGATTTTGACGAGATGCCAAATTCTTATGTACGTAACGTTGCGAGTTGCGATGACTGGCGCACCGCCGGGGAAGACCGCGATTTCGACGCTCGGCTCTTGGCAGAACGCCGAATCAAGTCGGAGATAAGCGGGAGATCTGGGTAATCAGCGCTGGCTGGCCGAACTGTCGAATCGTCTTCTGCAAGGCGTGGGTACGGTGGTACATGGCTGGCTGGAACGGAAGTGCCGGCGGTAGCGTAGTCGAGCTCCGAGTTCGAATATAATGTACTGTACTCGCTGTGTATGTACTTACTGTGTATGCACTGTACTTACTGCGTATGGGGACTCCGCACGTCATCAAGTTAATCATAAGCCGCAGAGGATTTGAAATGAACGTTGCTTAGGCAACAATGCAACAATGGGAGATTCCGCAATTTCTTTTGGTATTCCTCGCGGCAGGTTGAAATCCAGAACATTTCTCTCGACTCCGGCGAGTCATCCGTCGGTTTGTGGCCTCAGGTGGTGATGCGGATAAGAATAACTTCGGCGAACAGAACAAATAGCGAGACCGGTACTCCGTGGGGTAGGAATCGCCGGATGCGAAGGATAGTTAGCCTTCGCGCGGTAGCTCGGATATGGATAAGATTCGTGGGATCTATCCTCCCGGTCCCGGTCCTGGTCGGTTTGATTTGATTGTTTGCTTTCGCTGGCTATGGTGTTGTCGGTCGAGTCACTCGCCGAGACGCTTAGAGATTGATAACGACGCACACAAGCTGCTTGCTTCTGCTGACCCAACGCTGAATAATCTCTTACTTCCCCCGTTCTACTGATGTCGACATCTTTCTTTCCTTGGATTTGCAGGTTGCATGCGCCTCCTTGCTTCGTCACCACCGTTGGGGGGGGGCTTGGGGTGCGAGAGAAGGTGATCGGTCCGTGTGATGGAAATGGAAATGGAAATCCCAATGATCAAACATAACAGGGCCCGCAACTTTCCGCTTTCGAATGGCTTGTGGAACGAAGTACGAACGGCACGGATAAGAGCCGTGACCTGTTACGACTCACACTGGCGTAGGACGACTGGTATTGGTATTGGTGATGGCGATGGCAATGGGCGAGGGCAACGGATCAGCTTACACCAGTCCCCAGGCCAGCCAGCCCATCCCTTGATCTTCCCCGGCGACCACTTCCTGGCAGCCCAGCCACACCTCGCTCGAATAACGGCCAATCGACAAGCAGATCGTGGGCCCGGTTATTTATATCCCGGCTGGTGCGTTTAGCTGTGGCTGTCGCCACACATGGGGAGGCCAACGGGGTTGATCAAACTGATGGCTTGTGGGTGTTTTGGGGTCCAATTGGGTTCATCTCATCACTGGGTGGCGGACTGGGTAACCACGGAGTAGGTGAATCAGCCACGTTGTAGGCTGTAGGTGGTAGCTTGTAGGTTGTAGGCGTACGGAGTAGATACTCGAGTAGGAGGTTTGCAGGAGCCTATTTCAGCCCTATAGCGCTTATGATAGCCTGATTCGTCGGGACAAAAGAAGCCACGCTGCGATTAGACTTGGGAGCTAGATAGGGAAGACACCATCCAATAGCATCGTCTGGCAGATCGCTGGGTCGTATCGCACGCCTCTGCCACGAGTCCCACGAAGTGCGACCTCTGTCTCGGGGCGATGTTTCGACGCAGGAACGGGTCTGGGTCTCGTCACTGCAACGCAAGCGCATGGTATGGCGGTACAGCGTCCACGCACGCCCAGGGCTTGGGGATTTGGAGCCACCCGGAGCAGGATGTATACTATTTGGCACTACACGAGTGTACCGGTATCTCATCGGCTTCATACGCGATGAATGGAAGGAATGGAGGGAATGGAATGGAATGGTACCTGAGCCCGTATCTGGTACAGGTGACTGACTGTGCCGTACGTACTTCGTACTGTACGTGAGACGCCGCTCTCTCTCTCGCTCTCTCTGGGCAGGAAGGGACGGGACTGCCATGGCGGAGTTAGGGAATGATGCAGATGTGCAGATGAGCTTTCCTACTCGGAATATCCAGATCCAGATGAGTCGCAACGAGGTTGCATCTTGGCTGGAGTGGTTGATTAATCACCGTGGAGCGTGATGATGGTGATGATGATGACGATCATGTCAGCCAGGCCCGGAGGCTGCCTCAGGGCGGGACCCTGACACCCTGACACCCAGAAATACCCTCCCCGCCGTATTACGGGCCCTGTAGCGGCCCCTAGATGGTGCCTAGATGATGCCTGGGGACTGCCTACCGAGGTACTGCACATCCCCTACAGACCCTACAGACCCTACATCTCCACCTCGTACGGCCTTTTACGCACTCCCTATGCCTACGCCCTACGCCCTCCTCGCTCTATTCCCAGCACCGAAGTACGCCCAGCCGCAGCCAGGCTTACTAACAGCCGACCTGCTACACCTCTAACCGCCCCGGAGTCCCAGGTCCTACCCAAAGCCCCTAACAGACCCCCTAACAGCGCCCCTACCTGTACCCTATAACCCCCCTACCGGCACCCTCCCAGCACCCGACTACACCCCGTAACAACACCCCCAAACCTGTCTCTTATACACATCTAGATGTGTATAAGAGACAGCCCCTAACGGCCCCCCCCCCAGGCGCCCTAAACAGCCCCCACTGCAGTCATTCTTTGCTTGTCACCCTGGGTCCTTGAATGATGACTACACTTCCTCTGCAACGCAACGCAACGCAACGTCTCGTCGATTTGGACCTGGCGAGAAACCGCACCGCATCCAAGCCTCCTCCTCCTCCTCCGTCGTGTTGCCAAACATATATAGACAGCCATGGGATGCCTCGTAGGATTCGTTTTATTTCCTCCCCACACAGCAAAACAACCTAATCTAATTCAATTCCTCGAATATTCCGCACCCCCTACCCTGGGTTCTCTTCTTCTTATTGGTATTTCCGTCTGTTACTCGGCGCTTTTGTTCATCACCACGCTCCAAGCCATACATAGTCTCGCATCGCTCCTCATTTTGTACAGCCTTGTCCTACTACTACCTCATCCATCTTGTTTAAATATCTGTTTGCTTCATCTCATCCTACGGCGGCCACATATCTATATATCTTGCTTCCACTTCCACTTCCATAAGTCAAGTCAAGTCAAGTCAACTTCCACCTACAATCTATCTATCAACAACCTTGAACCTCCACTTCCACCACCACCACCACCACTATATATCAACCAACGTTTCATTACAAACACCCAAAAAAAGTCACAATGTCGTTCACCACATCCTCAAGTCAACTTACTCTCTTCGGCCGCGGAGGCTACAACGGCCCTAAGGACGACGAGGAAGACTCTTTCTTGCCAACGGCACCCCTGACCCTCAACATGGGCCGCGGAGGCTACAACCGCGGTGCCGGTGACGACGAAGAAGAAGACGGAAGAGGTGGATACAACTAAAACGGGTTCCACTACTTCACGGTCCAGCTACCCAAGAGAGAGAGAGATTCCGGAAGCCACCCAACGGCCCCCACTTCGTGTTTCCATCCCAGCATTTCCAGCATTAGCATCAAAATCGACATTAGCATCAAAATCAGCATTTCTAGGCGCGCCATGCATAGCATATTTCCTCTCCAGCACAGCACAAGACGCATCCAAGGGGTCTCACGACCCCACTTGATTTTTCTTCCCCTGAGCATTTCCAGGCGCACATCACTCGGCACACAGTACGATGCACATTAGACGCATTCAAGGGTCTCACGATCCGCCTCCTTTTGTTCCTCTCGGCATTTTCAGCACAGCACATCCAGCATTTCCTCGGCGTTCCAAGACGGCAGCGATCGCATTATAAATGGGGGTTTTTTTTCTCATCTCATTCGATTTCCATTGGTTCTTTTTTTCTTCTTTCAAATCTGGAGTGGGCTCTTTATTTGGGGAACGACTCAGCCCACATTGACGGATTTTCTGTATGATATGATATAGACGACGCGGATTGAATAGACGGATGAAAAGCTGGGGATTTTCTCTTTTTCTTTTTCTTCTTTCTTGTTTGGGTTAGGTGATATGAGGGATGACGATGATGGTATATGAGATGAGACTAGGATGAATGATACACAAGAAGACAGCTTTCAATAGCTATGCATTGGGATTGGCGAAATTTCCTTTTTTGGAGCGGAGGAGACGAGGGATGGTGATTTCTGGATAGATATTTTTTTCTCTCTACATTTTCTCCTCTTCAATTATTCAAATCGCAAATCATCTACTTCTCTTATTTTATCATCCATGAATCTTCCGCTTTGTTTTTGTGCTTGACGATCTTTTTCCTATATGTGCTGTTAAGATAAATTGATAGACGCGAGATTCCTTATTATTCTTCGTCGCATCCACTATTTTCCAACACAGAACCTGCAGTTTATATGATTAGTTGAATGTTAAACAGTCAGTGGGGGTAGGAAATCTTACTTCTCAAATACTACGCCTAACACTTCCTCCACATCCCCAGCATCGCCTCTGCCGGTAACACGCGCGAGGCAGTTGGCAGCAGAGCGCAGATGCTCTGCCGCTACCACGATATCGCATTCCCGGCCATCCCTCTCCTTCCCCTCCTCCAAAAAGTCGTCAAGATGCTCAGAACAAGCAGATAGTAGCTGACGCTGTCGTTCGGTAACGCCGAGAAGATCCTGCATTTCCATTGGCAGACCGGTCATATTCTTAAAAACTTCTACAAGCTGCGTCATTAGATAGTGGATGTTCCCAGGATCCTTCTCATTGACCCCGCTCTTTTCCAACGCATCGTGGCACGATATGGTGACAAGCGGGGTGTTGTCCGCCTTAGCGCCAACCTCTGATTTGAAATCGGCGAGGAGATCCATGAGTTTGTCCTTGGAGAGTCGGTCACATTTGTTGACTACGAGGACGGCGCGTGAGGCGCTCGAGGCTAGGTTTATGGTCTCGGCGTCGTAGTGTATATACCAGCCTTTGCCATGCGGGAGGGGCTCAACGGACGCCAGGGCGATAATTAGGTCGGATTCGCTGGCTTTTTCTTTGGCACGGCGGATACCTTCTCGCTCGATTACCCCAATGACCACAGGTTCTAATTTCCTCCCTGGATGTGGTGTGGACTCTGTACGCAGTCCGGCGGTGTCGGCGAAAGTGCAGAGATACCCTCGAATATCGAGACTGACTTCGACGATATCCCTAGTCGTCCCGGCTTCTTGACTAACAATCGAAGCTTCGCGCCCAACAATCTGGTTAAGCAGCGAGCTCTTCCCCGCGTTCGGTGGTCCAAGCAGCGATATCCGGATGCCTCTTTTTAGGAGTTCTCCACGATGGCTCGCGGACTCATGGTGTTCGATCGATTGAAGCATGGTGTTCACCTGAGCCGAGATACTCGACAACAGCTCCGCTGGCGACTCGTCGAAATGCTGGTCCTCTGAAAAATCGATCAATGCTTCCATCTCCCCGCGCGCAGCCAACAATTGTTGCCGCCACCCTTCATAAGTGCGACCTAGTACCTTCGAGTTTCCTCGTACAGCTGCCCGACGCTGCTGTTCCGTCTCCGCAGACAGCGTATCGCTCAACGCCTCCACCTGTGCCAAATCAAGCCTGTTATTCTCAAACGCCCGTCTAGTAAACTCGCCCGGTTCCGCATACCGGACGGGACTACTTGTTTTGCATCGGGGGATGGCTGATAACACTGCTTTGACCGTCGCCGGGCCCCCGTGTACGTGCAATTCCATGACATCTTCGCCCGTCACAGTTTTCGGAGCCTCGAAACGGATTACCAGCGCGTCGGTGTCGAGGATATTTAGCGTGGTAGATGAGGGATCGTAGAGGGTTCGTACACCTGCATACCGATGCTTTGGATTCCATTTACCGGGACAGAGCGCCGAGTATATCTAGCATATATATTAGACTTGTAGTAGCATCGGTCTAGACTAGCTTGACTAACCTCGAGACAGCCAGGACCCGATATCCTAACAATGGCTATCCCAGCCCTGCCAGGAGCCGTGGAGAGCGCGTAAATGGTATCATTCCCATTAGTGTGAGTCGACGACGGCCTTGGAGATTGAGTAGAATGTATTTTACGGATGGGTGTAGCTCGATGGCTTCCCTGCAGGCAGGTTGTTACGGTGACAATGCTGTGGGCCTGACCCAGAAGCTGGACTCTGGATAGAGGGACATGGCGTGTATAGCCTGCTATTGCTCTTGACAGAACATGCTGTAGCATTGGCTCGATTTACTGCATAGCTCAATAGACCTTTGCAATCAAAAATCGAAGGCCTCGGCGGTTGTAGAACCAACTCCGAGGATAGCAACGAAAAACGTAGAATATCAAGTCATGTGATCTACTTTAATAATTATACCCACCAAGGTGTGTATGTAGTAGTAATTAATAATACGACCCATCCCCCCTAATGCGGGTTGGTACTTCGTAACACTTTTTATACTTGATTAAAACTTGACGGAAAAGACCTGATCATAGGCGTCGGGTACCGTGGAGCGTGGATTGCCAACCTGTGGGCCTCACTAGTGACTATAAATTTCTCCAGCGCCGAGACTTGCAGACAATCTCACTCGAAGAGCCCCCACATCCAAACCAGCCTCGATGATCTCTTGCTGTTCCTCGTAGAACTAGCTATAGTGAGCGAAATTCTCACCCAAGCTCATGAATTCTTCCTCTACACTGAGATCCGCCCCAGTTCTCGCTCGAACAAGGCCAGCTTTATTCCCACCTACCCAGGCTGGGTTCTCCTCACATTCTGACTTAAACCGCTCAATACTCCTTGGTCCCATGGCATCCTTAGTTCCATCCTCGCCCTCCTCATCGTCGAGAGTATACCTTGAAAACCGTGCGACATCCCGAACCATCTCCTTCACCTGACCACGATATTCCCGATGGCCTGAAATAGTGTGCAAAACCTCGATTGCAAAACCTCGATGTTCTTATAGCTCGGCGAGATAAACACACGTTCGATCCGTAGAATGCCAGTTAAACGGAGGAGGCACTTGTTCATAAGGCGCACATTCTTAATCTCTTTGTTCCATAGGCACACCACTATCAAGCGGCGAATATAGGGAGACAGATTGGATTTTTGTCATTTTAAACTATGATGGTAGAGGTGTATCGTCGAGATTGTTCAGATTGGTAGGAAGTGTTAATTATATACTAAGGACTAAGGGCGGGCACGGGAGACGCCAGGGGGGAGTGGCTTACACCGCCTACCCACGCCCCCTTTTCCCCATGTAATAATCGCTTCGACTCCTATCCGACCCCACAACTCTGTACTTGCCCCTAATAATACAAACAAGGAAGTCAGAGGCGCGACAATAAACGCCGGCCAAGAATAATGGAGACGTAGGGGCCGCCAAGAACAGCTTACTTATAAAGAGCTCATGGGTATATTTGAACCGTTTAAAAGGGATCTGGGCTGTTAGAAGTCTTGCGTTAGAGAAGGACGCTTCTGCTAACTTGTCTATTCTGCACGGCGATCTAAGTGATTGTTTTCAAGTATCCATTCATCGAAGATTTTTCCAACTCCTTGCCAGTCCCCATCCTTCGTTCCTGCTTTCTTGCGCGGAACGAACTCCACAATAGACCCACCGCCGAAGTCTACAACCCAGGCGTTGAAGCTAGTATCGATGACAATGTTCCCCGGATGAACGTCACCCCACACAAGATCATGAGAATGTAACTGCTTAACGGTATCTGTAGCTTGCTGCTTCCATCTTGCATGATATTCGGAAGCCAACGCGCTGTTTTTGTGGCTATATAAGGAGTCGCCGGTTGAGGGTATGAGGTCTAATAGAAGACCGATCGTCATTTTAGCGTCGTCAGATACCACAATACTGTGTAGATTGGCTACTTTGATTTTGTCCCGCAATCCGGCATGGCGAATACGCAAATGCATATCAATTTCTCTGAGGAGTTGCTTCTTATCATCCGCAGGCTTGAAGAACCTAGAAGTACCGTCATTAATAATAGCTTTCTGAGGTATCTCGGACATGTAATCGTCCCATTCTGTGTCTGAAATGATTCGAAGATCCGATGCCTTCGAACGAGGGACTTCGGAGAAAGGTGGAAGGTCTCCGGACGGTATCATCAGACGGAAAGCGTTCATAGTCCCACGATCTTGAGTGGCCTTGGGATAGAGTGAGGATCCCGAAACTAAGAGCTTCAAATGATGCGTCGGTGGGTAGTAGAAGTCATTAAAGGTGATTTCTTTGGGGACGTCCAATGTGCTCTCTCGGAAGTAAGAAAGGCATGCGTCCACGATCCATTCACACAATACATCATGGTCTTCTTCATCGTCGTCATCCATGGCTTTGGCCACCATCTCGGAGTATTCTGTCTCAAAACGGCTTCCTCGGATGTCTTTGTGTGAAACAGTAATGTGAAATCGCGTGGCTCCATGACTCTTTTGTTTAAATGGCTCCGCACTGTCTGGCCATTCCGCCAGAAACCTGTTTAGTACCTCTCTGCCGGTCAGCTTCAGTAAAACCTTCCCCGTTTGCTAGAACACTTTCCCTACTTGACAGTATCTAGGTGGATAGGACCCAGACACCTGTACTACACTTCGCTTAGGATTATCTTGGGATATAAAGGCAGCTTCCCTCCTTCCTTCAACAAACACGCTCTTTCAGAAACATCATTCTGATTAAAGCTAATTGCTCAACTAAGCTTAGTAGTATTCAAAATCTCAAGTAATTCAGAATCTCAACAACCCAAAATCTCAGTCAATCCACGTAAGTAACCCTCCTTGTCTCTAGTAGAAGTATCTAGCTCAAAGTTAGACACTTACACAGCTATATTAGAACGCAAAATAGATTTGCGAAAATATTCTGGCTTCGATTACAAATAGAACGCTGTTTTCGGCTGTATGTTCTGCAGCTCACGTCTCTACTGTTCATTATCATGTTTTGAAGGAGACCAGGACTGGCACGGAGATGTGTACAAGAGAATATACGAGTTCGTTTCGGCCAGCCGTAGACCTCCAGCTACTGAAAGCACTTCCTTCAAGCTGGGTCTTCTGTTCCCTGAAGACTCTGGAGATGTGGTTTTTGTTAGCTTTAACAAATGTACTAAGATATAGTACTAGATATATATATATTACATTTCTACCAGCTGTATCTGAGCGGCTTCCCAATGTGATCACGTGTAGACACACTGGCAGTGAACAAAACATTAGTTGTATACAAGCCGACAAGACCAAATACTTGGGAATATTATCGTAGGATAAATAACAGGTAACGTGTGACGTTAATTAGTTCTTACTCTGGTGCGTCACTTAGCTAATAATAATACTACTATTAGGAGAATAATTTTCCTATATTAAATACCCCTTCCCCTCAAACTTTACGCAAATGCAACTTCCTCAACTGTGAACCAGACAATCGTGTGCTTGTCGACGTCATATAGTTCTGCCACTTACTAGACGCCTTAGCTGGTATCCTTGCATTTGATCTTGACTCCTTTTAGAGTAGAGTGGCGGATAGACCGCACTTTTTCACTCCGTTCTAAAGTCGCCCTAGAGTCTTGTGTTTTGGGGTGTATACAATAAGTCGCGCATTCATCGGGCATACCTAGTATCATCGTACCATACAGTTTCCCCCAGGCCCCTAGGCCCTTTTGCCCTCTTTCCCAGAGGGCCAATTGCCCTGTTAAGGGTCTTAGTCATCCTATCGTACATTATATCGTGGTCATGGAACGTTCCTGTAAAGAATGGCCCGTCCCTAATTAGAAAGAGGACATTTCAAGGCTCAGGGTCATTCTAGAGTCTCGAACTTCGGCATGGACTCCACGAGGACGTTCTAGTACTACGAAAAAGATCGTCGAGTTGTTTTAAATCCTTTATAGGGCAAGCCGAGAAATAACATTTATAGCGGAAGGATTGATCGTTAAGCAGATCTCACAATACGTCATCGAGACGAGTTGGCTGGCTGTCAAGTTCTTCGGAATCGGGCAAATTCATGCTATTCAGAGAGTCTGCGATAGCGACTTCATCTTCTGCTGTAGCTTTATCATTCACATCTGGCCAACTCGAATTTAGGTGTTCATCGAGTAGACGCCGGGGCTGAGACCTCAACGGAAGGGGCCACAAGGCCGGCCTTGGTGTCACAGAGCCGGCCTTGGTGTCACAGAGCCGGCCTTGGTGTCACAGTATAGATCATACTTTCTTCTTTGCCCAACTCCCAGCCAAAAGGGATAGTAAAGTCAGATTCTTCGTCAGGGTACATGATTCGATAGGATTGACCACCAGATATACGAAAGCAATCCGCAGCACGCTTCTGCCCGTTTCTTGGGAGTTCTCCGATTCCATGCCCATGGGAGCTGAGGCAGAAAGGACACTTGACTCGGAGAGTGCTCGCAGACCAACGAAGCACCAATGCTGCTGGAAGTGCTTCCATTTTATTACATGAAACGCCAGTCTTCGATTTGGTACAGTCGTTCTGTGGAGGAAAGGGAGGAATATGAATGACGCATGTAATGTTACACCGCATGTAGTATTACAACGCATCGCGGTTCTGCGGATATTGCCCCGCTTCTATCTTCGCCAGCGACTTGACCTTATCTGGATCTTCAAAAAAGCTACGGTTCTAACGCGCTTTATTATCCGCCAAGCATTAGAAAGATCGAGCGTTCGGTTACTCAACATGGCATCAGACAGAGGCACTTGTAAGAGGTGGCGGCGCAAAGGAGCCTGTCAATATGGAGGGCAGTGTCGATATTCTCACGAAGGAACTGCATCCAAGAGCAAGTTCATTTCTCCCTTCAGTACTTTCAGCACTGGTGAGCGTGGAGTTGATAACTTTTAATAGTACTCCCAGTAACTCCCGGCTCTTCACCTGTTACTAGAACATCTAGCGAGAAAAAATCGAGGAAACGGTTTTTTGAGCATCGTCATATGATAAAGAATGCTGGCGAATTACTGAAACAATTCGAGCTGTCTGAGATTCAGAAACCAACCTGCCTTATAGATATTAAGGACTTCGATTTCGTCGCATCATACAATTGGAGCAATTCAGATGTGCCTAGGATTTTTGTTCCTGGTATATCGTCATTTATTTCACTTCGCAGAAATTGTCTCAATACCTTTGCTAACAGTTAATTCTAGGATGCCCAGCAAAGTGGAATCCTCCTAGTCTTCCATATCAAGTTCGGAAGGACAATGGACAAGTCTTTATCGATCAAAACAGCCACCGCAGCCCTTCAGCATCGTTTGATCCTTTTTTTAAAGCCTTACTCACGATGCACCCAAACTTTGATATGAAACCCATCGGATTGGCAACAGATCGAAATAGTCTCCGCAAGTTGTTGCACTTTGTTTCGGGCAAAGTTCCACAAAGCTGGCGGATCGATGTCGATATCGTCGAAGGCACGATGTTCCTCACGCGGTGGGAGAAAAGCCAAGTCCAAATCATCACCGGAGCTCGAGATTCGGGATATGGCCATGAGTTTGAGAGTGCTTTCTTAAGCTTTGATTCAAATCTACAAGAAAGTTCTGGACATCATTGAATTATACGCTACAGCTTAGGTGGAATCGAAAGCCTCGTTAGATTTGAAGTCGATGGGTATGTTGACGATGGCTCTGGTATTGATGATGAGCTTAGTCAAGCACTCTCAGGTCTCCATGTCAAGAACTCCGCCAGCATATTTGCTTCATCCCCAGCATCTGAAGTCAAGGTGATCCAAAGAGGCCGTTTAGTGGACAGCAAAACTATACTTGAACTAAAATCACGCTCAGCGAACCTAAAGATGCAGGAAATCATACCACAGCTCTGGATCGCGCAGACACATCACTTGTTTGTCGGCCGGCATAAAGAAGGACTAGTTGAAGTGGAGCCAGAAAGGTTGAATATGGGCGAGCATTTCCCAACCTGGGAGAGCAGGAACCAGGAGCATTTACGCACTTTGGTAGGCCTTATCACAGAGATCAAAGCGATTGCGACGGGGGTGAAGGGAGGAAAGTGCATGTTAGTTTGCAAAATGGAGGAGAAGCCTAGAGTCCTGAGGATGTATAAGAGAAATGGGAAAAACTTCTTCCTGCCTGTAGGGGCGAGAGAGAAGTGCTGGAAAAACGTCAATTAGGAGCAAGAAAGGCCGACTTAAGGTGTTAGGCCATGTTGCGATCACGATGCCCAGACTCTGCAGCCACATTGTCAAACGCCTGTTGCTCAACAGTAAAGTATTTAATTGACCTAATCTGAATAGTGAATTCTTCATGTGTATTCGAGTGGGGCTGGGTACTCTCTCATGATTACTTATAGAATCCATATGATACACTTTGAGAAACTAACCCCAGAGAATCAACAGCCCTATTGCGGCCTGCTCCCCTTCGTATTTTCTATCTTGCGAATGAAGCACCTAAATTAAATATAATACGAGCGATGGTATAGTTGGTAACTTTATATACCTAGGTAGTGGGCAGAATATTACCTAGGTAGGTGTGTAGGGATCTGGAAATGCATATTCCGTACGTGGCAAAAAGTAAACCACCCCGGAAAAGGGGGGGAGATCGCTAAGCGATCAGGATTCAGGAGGATTCGCCTCGGCCCCGCCCGCCGCGCAATCCGAACTAAACCGCGTCATTCTGCACCAGCCACATGGTACAACCCACGACAACCTCTTGAGACACTCAGAACTACACGATGACCAAACCCATACTCGCGCGTCTCTGATCGGAACAGAGAGTATTGAAAGAATACGAGGACGAGGGCGACTTTATACCCTTCTTAATTCTGAACGTTATATTGAGGAACGCTCAAACTGTGGCAATGACGTCGTCTGAATCTCACCCCGCCCCAGCACGAGCTGCCTCACCGTCGAACAGCTTTTACGCCTTGAGCGATGACGAGGAAGGTGACTACAACACGATAACACATACAACAACTGGCAAAGGCGTCAAGTTGTTATATTCCAAGAGCAAGGCAAGCCTTCCACCTTTAACCCCCATTTAGCGGGGCTGGGGCAACAGTAACGATATCTGCTACTAGCATACCTAGGTAACAGATGCTAACATAACTGGTAACTGATAGGTTTATATCCACCCTACTCCCTCCTCAAAGGACAATATCCCCGGATACATCGCCCTTCTCCAACAAAAGCCCGCTCCCGACTCGCGCCCTACATCTTCGTCGTCTACATCCGCACGATCCAAGGCAGCTGCTTCCCTCCTCCTTGCGTGGCTCCCCGAATCCTCTCTTGGAGATTCGCTCAACACATACGTGAAAGTCGATCTCGCAGAAGGAGATTCTCCTCCGAAACAATCCTACCTCGTTCCCCCACCTCCCACCACAACTACCCACTCTGATTCCGTCGGTCACTATGCGTTTGCGATCCCTGTATCTGCAATATACAGCTTGCTTATACGCCCGCCTAGCTTGGGATGGTGGTTTGGCAGCGTCATAATAAATAGCCGGGCAGGAGATTCGTTCCCTGCGCTCTTCTTTCATGACTCGGAATGCCAGAGTACGATATTGCAGAAGAAAAAGCGGGCGAGGGAGAGCTTCGATCCATTTGGCGCCAACGGGGAAATGTTTTGGGGTGGCGATGAGGTGCTGAGATGGTTGAAACGATATGTGGCCATTGAGAGGAGCGGGGCCGAACCGAACATCTATCTCGTGGAGCCTAGCACCGAGGATAAAGAGGCGTTCGGGAGTAAGCCCGTTACTGCTGCTGTGGTGAGGAGACCGAGTAGTAGTGGGGCCAGGATTGGGGGTGCTGCGGGTTCTTCTACTGCTGCATTTAGTTCGAGGGGTATGGATGCCGCCATGGATCCAGTAACGAAGTTTGTGAAGGAGGCAGGCTGGAATTTGATGGAGAAGTTCAGCCAAGTCACAACATTTACAAGGCGAACGGCCGATTCGGTTATCGATAACCCCAAGATGCCACTCCAGGTTAGAAAGTTGTTGAAAAATCCGGAAGTGCAGACGATACAGGACGAGTTCGACAGCGCAAGAATATATCTAGCTAGGTGGGCCATGAGCATTGCTGAACAAAGCGAGAAAGACAAAAGGCAACGTATTTGGACGGCCCGTGATGTCCTGGAGATGGAGGAAACCGATGTGGGCGAATTCGAACTTCTTGATACTGAAATTGCTGGTTTAAGCCTGAAGGAACAGAGAAAGACCGTCACGATTAAGGAATGGAACAGCTACTTTGATCAGAGAACAGGTAGACTCCAGGTCACTGTTGATGAGGTCAAGGAGCGGATATTCCATGGTGGGCTTGACGCCGATGATGGTGTTCGGAAGGAAGCTTGGCTTTTCCTTTTGGGCGTCTACGATTGGGACTCCACTGCTGATGACCGGAAAGCCGAAATCGCCAGCTTGCGCGACGAGTATGTGAAATTGAAGGGCGCCTGGTGGAACCGGCTCATTGACCTAGGAGGCGAAGGAGAAGAAGGTGAATGGTGGCGAGAGCAAAAGGGGCGAATAGGTACGTGGCACCGATTCCTAGAAATTAAATGTTTAAGTATCGACTAACATATCCCATCTCTTGGGGTCTCTGGAATAGAGAAGGACGTACATAGAACGGATCGCAATATCCCTATCTTTGCTGGAGAGGATACACCTCACCCAGACCCATCCTCCCCATTTGCGGATACGGGAACCAACGTCCATTTGGAGCAAATGAAAGATATGCTCTTGACTTACAACGAATACAACCGTGATTTAGGCTATGTCCAGGGAATGTCAGATCTTCTGGCACCTATTTATGCCGTCATGCAAGATGACGCTGTTGCGTTCTGGGGATTCCAACATTTCATGAATCGAATGGAGAGGAATTTCCTACGAGATCAAAGCGGCATGCGGAAACAGCTACTCACCTTGGACCATCTCCTCCAATTGATGGACCCCAAGCTATACCTGCATTTGCAAAAGGCCGATTCGACGAACTTTTTCTTCTTCTTCCGGATGCTTCTCGTCTGGTACAAGAGAGAATTTAACTGGACGGATATCCTCCATCTTTGGGAGGTCTTGTGGACGGATTACCTGAGCAGCAATTTCCATCTCTTTGTCGCGCTAGCGATCTTAGAGAAGCATCGAAATGTTATTATGGATCACCTGCAACACTTCGATGAGGTTCTAAAATATAGTATGTCTAACCATGAACCCATACTCCCATTATACTCGAGGGCAAATGCTAACCAGCCCGAAATTAAAGTTAATGAACTCTCTACTACCATTGATTTGGAATCGACGCTCATCCGTGCAGAAGCGCTCTTTCGCCGGTTTCAGCGCACCGTCGAAGCAAAGGACAAGAAATCTAATTTCCCGGCTCCCAAGCTTCGGCAGCGGGTCAACACACAGAATTCATCCACCAGCAATACCTCGCAAGCTGCAGACGCTTCGTCGCCGAAATCTCCAGGGTCTGGTGTGGGCGCAGTGACTGCCAATACTTCTAGCGTTGATGCTGTCACGGCTGGGAGTACAAACAGTGGAAGTTCTTCCTCTGCAGCGCAGCACCCAGAGCCAGCAGGCGGTAAGGGCAAAGGGAAGGCTACTGAGACTGCAACCGAGAATAGCAGCGAGTTACAGGAGCAGAGACCAAAGGTTATCAGTCCCGAGCTGAGATCGTTGCTTAGTAGGAAAGTGGAGGTTTTACCCCGTAAGGTAGTTAGGAAAGCCGGGGACGGCCGGGCTAATATCGGAAAATAATGACTCTGGGTGCGAGGGGAGACAGTACATTTAGATATAGTTGGTATTTTAGGCTGGATTATTACGAAGTAGTGGGTTTCTATGCGCAATAGGCAACGGAAGGGCGTAAATGGGTCGACTATTTGGGTATGAGCAAGGGAATAAAGCCCGGATCGAGGGAATGGTGCAGCATAGTCTACTTACGTTTTGGGGTGGGGTCTGTTAGGGTTATTGGAGATATGCATCGATGGTGCCTACCTAGGTTTTGTTTGCTTAGTAGCAATAAATTCAATCAACAATGCACTTGTGCAAGATACATGGACTGTGGCTACATGTAATATAGAAACTAAACAGAACTCTACAACTTATACGCGGTTTAAAACTCCACTATGCTGCATTTCCACCAATCTATTCTCCAGCATCCATGAAAATAAACAGAACACCACCTCGCTAGACGCTAATGCTCATGATGCCGCTGTAAATTACACACAATAGCCCAGATACAACAAACTGCCAAACACCTACGCTTCTGCCCGTGCTACCCATCCTGGGATTTAGAAAACAATTCTATGACATGATGCAATGCTCTATCCGATTCTGTAAATCTCTCTAATCTAGCAGACTAGCCTCCTGTCGCGGTGCGGGTGCAGCTTGAATTAAGGCTGCCGACTTGGCCATCATTTTCGGGAAGTAGCTGGCGACAAGCATCTCACTAATTTTCATAGATTAGTAAAAAAGAAATACCAGTAAACTTCGCCGCGATTTGAATTCGAGAAGGAGAAAGTAGAAGGGAGCAGGGGGGGCTAACGTATAAAAGCTATGTTCAGCACTATGCTCTTTGACCAGATTATGCGCTAACTCATGAGCTATAACAACCCACCAATAGCAAGCAGCTTCAAGCCGGCCATCAGCCATCTCCCTAGGATTAGGACTCTGCATCTTTTTGGAATGCAGTTGTGCAAAGAATCTGAAGTTGCAGAATATACTTCCACTGGAGTTGAATGCAATGGTGCTTCCTGCTTCGTCGAAGAAGATATGGAGGGCTTTGCGAGGTAGACTGTACACGTCTGCTAGTTCATGCAGCACGGTAGCAAAGCCATTAAGAGACGATATGTTGGAGCCGAGAAATTCGGATTGTGGGATGGAGAGTGTTTTGGAGACGAAAATCCGCATCCCGTTGGAAGTCTCTGCAAGGAAGATAATATTTTGGGCTGGGGTGCTGTCGCAATAAGATGCCTCCTCCTTGATGACCTGGGTTGTGGGCGGGGAGAAAAGTGTCGATGAATCGTGAGGCCGGGATGACTTAATCGCATTTAAGAGATTCTGTTGCACCGCAGCTGGAGATGAGACCTTCTCGCTACTACCGGGTTTGGTAGGTCCTTTGTTGGCTTCATCATAGGATGGGGGGTTGTCCACTTGAGACTCGTGTGGAGCACCCCCACCTAGGAAATTTTGAAGTTGCTTTTGGGCCTCTCCGTTGCCACTGCCATCAAGACCCAAGCGACGGCTCAGGCCAGAGAACAATCCCCGAGGCTTGGTCTTTGGTGGAAGTGCTGGGGAATTCTCAGGAGATTCCGACCCGAACGCTCCGGGCATTGAGGCCTCTGACTCATGACGATCATCCCCAGCAGCTTCATGAATAGACCGACTCTCGCGTCTCCATTGTTCCTCCTGATCTCGAATTTGTCGCTGCTCGGCTTCAAGCTGCTTCCTACGCTCTTCTTCTGCAATTCTTTGCTCAGCAGCTTTGGCCCGCAAGATACGCTCAACGTTATACCCACGAGACCGTAATTCGTATAGATTGAGCTTTAAGAAGGTTTCGAAGGTCAAGTAGGCTTGCTGATTAGGGCGGTCTAGCAATAGCTTACAGATTGCTTGACTGATTTGGTAAACATCATTATTTCCACTAATGATATATAGAGTCCAGTCACTGCGATTATCCTTCGTGCAGGCGGCTGATCTTTTCTCGGTGTGGGAGAGGTTATGGCCACGAAGTGATCTCCTGAGCGAGATGGAACCAACAACTTGCACATTAAGGCTTTTATCGAGCCAACGGCTATCGTGCTTGATGCTGTTGCGGTCATACTCGTGTAAGAAGAGTTTAGAACGTTCAAGGACATGGCTCCGGAGCTTCACGGCAGACTCCTGCTTCTCGCTTGGCGGTCCAAGTCGGAGATCTTCCTGTACTATACTTCCCAATGTCGACGCACCTAGTGCGACATAGAAATCTTCCAACTTGTCATCCATAGGCGCGCACAGCAACGAGCCCTTGAAGAGTCGATAGCTGATATAATCATCAATCTAGGTGGATGTTAATAGGGTACATACGAGTAGAATACGACAACTTACAATCAGTAGATCATTTGCTGTCCCCAGCGTCCACTGCTTGATAGGGGAATCTTCGGCGTCGTCTTCGTCAGGACCAAACTCGCTATCCATGGGGCCGCTCTGCTCAGGTTTCAAAGATTTCCGATTTTCCTTAGTAGCGGGTATCTCAGTGTATCCAAGGAGGAACCTAGATTGCTTCATTTGTTTAAAAAGTGCCTTATCTCGCTTTAACATAGGAAGATCGTCGGCCAAAGTCTTCAACAAACTTAGATATTTCTCTGGACTCTGCATGATACCAAGTAAACGCGCTGGCTCCTTGCAGGCCACGGCCGCAAGTTCGAACTTCGTAGGTTCATGTTTAGAGCCACATCTGAGGAGGAATGCGTTTGCCTCGGTGCCGAAATCGACGAAATCGAAAATTTCGCCGTATGTTGATGGACTCCCTATATAGCAATGCCGTGGGGTAAGATACCGCACGTCTCCTTGTTCGGCTCTCTTTTCATTGGGATACTCATTCAAAGTCGACTGGTGGATAACCGGTACTATACGAGCGTCGGCAAGTTTTGCCACATTGTTCTGTCCCATTTCGCCTAGGCGACCTGAAAAATAGCTAAAAAGAGTGGAAGCATCACGCTTGTTCTGAGCTGGTTTGGAGATGAGTCTGTTGACACATTCTGTGAGTGGGGGATCCATTGCAACTCCGAATTTGTGTGCGTGAACATGCAATTCTCTCTTCAAGATGCTGAACCCCAAGACTGCACATCTCTCGTTTGTGAAACATTCCGCAGGGCTGACGAGGCGCTCCTCATCGCCCTGCAAAGGCAAGAACTGTCTCGCAACGGCGCCAATTTCAAAACTAGCGTAGCCATTGATATGATGGTTTGCAATGAAGTAGGTCATGGCTATATTCCTGAGGCGGTTGTCACCAGACGCCATTAATTCGATGAGCTCGGCCGCAGACGGATATGCTCGGATTCCAAGGAGTGTCAAGAATCGCCCCTCCGTGCCGCCGGGTTTGTAGCTGCCAGGTGGTCCAAGCCATTGTATAATGGGAAGTCCTAATTCTCTCAAGCTGTCTTTCGGTTCGAATAAATCTGAAATCCTATATAAAATAGAAGTTCCTCGGGTAGATTCAAGCCCCTTTGGGCCAGCTTCAGCAGGACAAATTCGAGATGCTTTTAACCTTTTCATATCACTAGCTGGAATATCATCCTTCACGGAAGCAAGGTACTTGATCAGCTCCATGTGTCGGTTGCCAGTAGCAAGCTGGGGTTGCTTGGGATCTCCAGCAGGGGGAAGTAACCGACTGAAAATTGTCTCGAGATCAACAGTTTTCCGGACACCGATCGCAGCCAAAAACTTTTCTTTCACGCCAGGACAAGACGTAACCGTGGGAAGGTCATCAAAAAGCCGAACATTTGCAAAGAATGCTTCCCCGGGCTTCTTCATTCCAAGTTTTGTTGGTATAATTGGGATAGGCGCGAGGAGTGAGATGACTGTGTCTTTAGATTGTGGCACGAGTTCTTCCCACCCCTTTGACAATACCTGAAGAACTTGAGCAGCAAACTGGGTAGATGCAGTAAGACTTTTCTCAGCTGGCCTGTTGGCATTGCTTTCGATCAAATAGCGGAGCCATGGAACAATTTCAAGAGGATCCCAACCTAGACATTGGAGCTCACGGATGGAGGACGCTTTTGTGAACTTGAACGGAATTGTCGTCGGTGGGATGGGCGCCTCTGCCGAGATTTTGGTGACATTTAAATAGTTAGTAATGCTTCCCAAAGCAATGACATCGCCTTGTCCGTCCACGTCTCCAGTCATTGCAACCGCCACATCGAGGAGCGATTGGACGGTAGCTCTGTCAATATCCCCACTAGCCGCTTTTCGACCAGCCCAGCCAATAAACTGCACGAGCTGGTCCTTTGTAAGTGCTTTTGCTCCGAGCTCCTGTTTAACATCGCCGATGGTAATTTCTGTGATAAGCCCAAAGTCCCGAAGCTTGCTGACAAAATCGCCTCCAACTAGAGCCTTAGGAACAACAGGAATTCCTTCAACAAAGCCACTAAGATCTTCTGTGGCCAACCTAACTGTCGTCGTAGGCAAGACACCTCGAGTGCTATAAATTTCGATTGAAGCCTTTTTATATGCCATCCAGAACCCCTCTTCGATGAGCTGGGATACTTGAGAGCTTGGTGTTGAATCTTTGAATGTAAATGTATTTAGCGTATGCAAAGCTTCAGGCATAAATCGCTCGATCTCGTCCTTCGTAACCTTGGTACGGCCAGCAGCCACTGCTGCGCGTTTTACCTTCGCAGACAAGTCGGCCATCTCGCTCGAGAAAGCTAGCCTAGCTGTGATACCTGCTACTCGGAGCATCTCGCGGTTCCACGTTACCACCCATCGTGCATTTAGGTCTATCGATTCTCGCTCGACGGTGGGAATAACTGAGGGAGCTGAGAGATGTATCCCCGCTCCGGTGGTTTGATGGGTCGGGAATCCGATAAATATCCGTCCTCCGGGCTTCTTGCTTGGAAGAACAGATGAGAATACATCCACGCCTCTCGCAATCGGATTGTCCTTTGTTGAAGCGGCTACCTCGTCATATGAAGAGGTCAGGATAGCAATTTTAGTCGTCTTAGGTGGTGGCTTCTTCGTCGCGCGTTCTAACTCGGCTGCAAATGATGAACTAACTGAAGTCTTAATGTGAGCAGTTGTTACTCGTAAGAAGACATTAGCGGTTGTCTGCGCAGTCAGGTCCTCCAAAACAATATCCTGAAGAGCCTTTTCTTCACGCATTGCCTTTGTTTTCAGTTGTGAATGGCTCGAGGATGCTGTGAGTCTGGAGAAGAATGAACGCAAGGATGGCACATCAGAAGAGCTGTTTCCGTAGTTGGCATCATAAGTACCGGGCTTTGATACCGAGGCAGTCACCGAAGGTTTCCAACCAACTACGTTCATGAAAGTGGCATCCATCTGGACGCTCTCTCTCTCAAGGCCCTGGACGTTCATCAACCCTTCCTTTGTCCTCGTCTCCACATCTCGGGCAATAGGAATCGAGAAACTAGGCGCGACTTTCTTCTTCAGCGATATAATCTTCCAGTCATCCACCCACAACTCAATATTTTGCAACGCCACAAATGTCAAGCTGATCGCAAGAAACTGGCATATAGATAGAAGGTTTGGCATTGGCGTAGTGGCATTTCGGTAGTCGAGGACGAAGCTGGTATTCGGGTTCCCTTGTTCAGGCGGCAACTGGAGCTTTCTGGTGAAGAGCGAGTTGCCTTTCCAGTAGAACGCCATGGCTTCATTCCCGGAGCTTACAAACGGTTCTTCGCAGTCTGCAAAGACACTGTAGAAGCCTACACCAAACGCCCCGATCTTAGTTTCGTCTGGGTTGCCCTCTGCTATGCGTTTCAGCCTGGACCAGTCTTTGACTCCAAACGCCAGTCCATCGTTGGTCACAACCAAGCGCCGCAGAGTATGATGTAGAAGCACATGCTTTAATATCTCGGATTGGTCGATTGTGTTCGAAAGGGGGATTTGTTGTGAGGGCAGAGATTCGAATTTGATCGCCACCGTCGATGCCTGGGCATCAGCAGCGTTTTGGAGCAGCTCCCGCAAAGTCGTCCACTCTCCTGAATATCTCGCAAGTACTTTGTCTATTAAGGCTCGTGTATTTACGGTGACGGCTTCCTCGTCATCTCCATCTTTCAAGGCTGCCGCTCGGAGCTTGGTGAAGTCCATGGTGCACTGCACCGCCTAACGCTGTGTTTCTGTCCAGCTCTATATTGTTTCCTTTAGTCTTGCTATATCAAACCACCACAGGTTATCGGAGTGGTTTCCGCGAGGAGAGGGAGCATACCAGTAGTTTGCGGTGAGAAATGTGGTGATAGGTAAGGTAGAAGGTGAGCGGTCGAGGTCGAGGTCGCGATCGCGGTGGAGGAGGGCGAGGTTGAGGTTCAGTCCGCAGGGGCGCAGGAGGCTGACGGGAAGGCTGCGACAAAACATTGGGGCTTACGTAGTACGAGGCGCCGCCTAGTCAATATAAACGAGTTACAGTGACAGATCACTTGCCAGGCACCCTTATGGACCGGCAGAAAGATAAATAGTACATTTACAGGCGAAACTTATGGTATAAATATTCTTATTCTGGGCGAGGCAGACCAAGGGTACCAACAACAACGCATCTTTCTGGGCGTCCTACTTCGTGCCTCGGAGTGACATAGGCCGACAGGGTTCAACGGTCGGCGATACACGAACAGAGCCAATCAGATAATCACAGGAGTAGGTAACCTGTCTCTCCATGATCGCACAGCATTACTAGTTCTCCTAGGCGGATCGATTTCTGGAACAAGGTATCGGATTGTATCAGATTGACTCGAGGCTATCTACTTTACAAGAGTCGGCAGAAATGCAGCCTGCCAGTTGGGTAGACAAGGCTAGGCCGAGGCTCGCAGCTCAAGGAGCCTTCTTCCGTTGCTCTCATCCGCTCAAACCCGCGCGCCTGCTCAACACCATATCCCATAAGGAATGTCTTTCCGATTTCCGCTTTGGATTCCTTACACCCCACTCACTTCCAAGGCTGTCTATTTGGCATAAAACTTATTTTCATACCCCGGTAAAAGAATACCGTAGCCCAAAGCATGTATGAGCTGAGCAGCTTCCAAGACAGGATTTTCCGAGATGCAGTTTTATATCGCACCAACATGAGCAAAGCTCTAATGTTGTGTCGGCCACAAAAACATCTCACGATAGGATGTGTGCGGAATTCCGCGTGCGGTAGTGGCAGCAGTTTCCGACTTTCTTGTAGGAAAGGTCTTAGTTTCGAGACAAGAGGCTATTCCTGCGGATTATGACCCAATATTTTAGTTGCTGTCGCATAGTATGTAGACGACGTTGGTCCGGGTTGCTTCATCGGCGCCTCTCAAAATCTCTTTCTCGTCCACGATCATGGCCCCTCGCATCGTCAGGGGACCGACTCCTTCGAGACTTATGTTCCGGATGTCTTCGTCCCTCCTCTCGATCTGGACGGCGTCTGTGCCTATCGGGGCTTCTGCTCCTGTATCCACGTTCTGGCCTCCCGCCACTCCGGCCCAAATATTCCTCCCGTCTAGACTTATGGCGATGTCTCTCACCACTTCTAGGCCGCCTCCTATGTCTCTCTCGACTCCCTGATCGATTTCGATGTCGCCTGTGTCTCCGCTCCCTGCTACGACTTCGGCTCCTAGTCTCGTCGTCTCTCTTTCGTGGCTGTTTCTCCCTTCCTCGCTGGACCAACCCACCACGTTCTGGCTCGGCGGCATCCAAGTCCGCAGTCTCGTCACCCTGTGTTTTCCCTACAAATTCTCCAAATCCCTTTCCCTTCCCTATATCATCAACCTCATCCTCATCGCCCACCCCGGCCTCCTTGACCATTCTGTTCACTTCGCCAACGCTAATACTATTCGCGCCCGTGGCATCCCCTCTATCCGCAACCGGTAGACCTAACGCTCTAGCGAGCGCATCTTCCTCTGCCTCCTTGATTTTTCTAATCTCCTCTTTCCTCTCCCTAGCCTTCTTCTCCTCCGCTGTCTCGCCATCTTCGCCTTTCTCGTCATCGCCTTTCGCATACCATCCTAAGTCACGGCCTTTCTGCCATCGTCCGACGGGGGCCATGAGCGAGTGGCCCAGGTAGTTCTCGCGGTGCTGCGAGGTGCTGACATCGTCCCAAGAAAAGTTGACACCACCGCGAGACCCGGATTTGCGGATTGAGGAGAGGAGATCCATGGTGGCGGTTATGAGGAAAAGTCTGCTTGTATGTTCTTTATCGACGTAACTAATCCGACCGAATGGACCTTTCCAGATAAGTGTTGATAGTGAAACGAGCGACAACCACTACCTATGGAATGGATTGCACGGAATGTGATATGGTTGTTGAAGATATGTAAAGTCAAGGCTGGGGAAAAGTGGGGCCGCATATTCGATAAGGTTAAGGGTCACGTGCGAAGCTCTCCTCCCCTTTTCTACATTCTTTTCGAAACTTCAAACATAACATGCTACAAATATTTTATGGGTTTCTAATATACTTAACAGGTCAGATGAACCGTCTTCAACAACCTCAAGCTACTCAAGTGGTACTACTTTGTTTTACTTCTACCTCGACAGGGGGCCTTAGTGAGTGCCTACCGACGCGATACTCCGTATGGCGCCGAGGATGTTTATCCTAAAATCATTCAGCTTTCTTGGTTGGGGGCCCGTTTGGCCTTGAACTCAGTTGCAATAGTTCGCAATAACTTCCTCATAGTCTTGTCCGTAACATGGGATCGACGCGTCGCTGCCATTTTCAATGCTGAGCTCCGATGTCTGGTTGCAGTTCAAGCGCTGGGAAATGTGGATATCAATAGAGTTATATGGAAACTTCGCTGCTAAATGTATATTGGCAAGTGCCTTCATGAATTAGTCACGAATATGCCGGTGTCTTGTGGTTTGCTCGTCCTCCCAGGCTACTGATGCTTAGCACATGGTTGGGGACTAGGGGGCTTGGTCGAGTAGACGCTGCGATGATCATGGGTGGTGGCTACTAGCAAGTCCTATCCCCGCAATGGAGACCAGCCATACCTCAACATCAACGTTGCCCCCCATCCATGCGAGAAGAGGTCCCAACGGTCAAATACGCGGTGATTATTCATACTCGGGTTAGCTTTTAACATTACATATCGACTCAAACAATGTCGCAGTTTTTCAGGCGGTTGGCGAAACTCAAAGGCCCCGCCTCTACAAGAGATAGCGATCCTGGACGAGGGGGCGGCCCTTCAATAGAGAACGGCCCTGTTGTCAAAGTCAGAAGCTTAGAATCTTTTACACGGCTGCATCTCATTGAGGATGCGGAATCAAAGGACAGCTATAGATATCATTTGCACCCCATGACGCCTGCGCTCTTCCACTTTTGCGCTGAGGATAGAGATGACACTGAAGAGCATAGTGAGAGCGCAGAAAGCATGAAACAATTCATGCTTTCTAGAATCTCTGTTCCAGAGGAGATACGGTTCGAGGTTTCACGTTGCATGAGAATATCTGGAGAGCAGACGGGGAATGATTCTCAGTTCTGGATTGAGTTTCCTGATGGTGATAGCGGGGGTGCGGGTGTTGTGGTGGTTACTGTCTTGTTGACAGTTGATTCCATAAATGCAACATGCGATATGTATGTGCCATTTATGGACCACATTCCCGATGAGCCCAAAACTTCGAAGGAATCACCTAATAAGACGGGTGTTTGGAGGCCTGGGGAAAGCAGTGTGGCAGGAGGAGTGGATGATGGCGCCCGGCCTCCCTACACGGAGAACGAGGAAAGGCTTCCTTCATATTCCGATATCCATATCGGCTCAGGTTACCCGCAGCTACAAGCTGAGTCCTCCGCTGCTACTGCCGCCGTCTCTTCTTCCAAAGCGGCGTTGATGTTCTCTCCAACGCAACAACTGCCGCCACCGCTATCCTATCCTGAGACGGGGCCTTCAAAGCACCAACTCTCCACTTCCATTCAACAAAAACATGCCGTTCCCGAGCTTGAACATGTGACGTTTACATGGGAGCAAGTATCCCCTCTCGCCCGCTTCAAACTTTTTTCCAGCTCCAAGTCTATGTATGATCGTACAAATATTCTCCTCGCAGAGTTTATCCTCGAGACCTCAAGGAAGAATATAGAGCAAGGTATTAAGGGCCAACTTATTTTCCGAAAAGGCTACGGGAGCGAATGGGAACGGTGGGTTTTATGCACGTTGGGAATATTAGTTAATGCGAGAGGGTGAAATAGACAGTTCTGAGAAAGTATAAGTAAGATTGGGCAGTGATAGGAGCAGAGGTTCAGGGGCGTTGAGTATCCCACTCCGAGTGAGTCAGTGACAAACACTGCCAAATAGCTTCTCATTTATGGGGAACTCTTGTACACTCTCATACCTAACAGCTGCATTCGCGCTGGTATGATTAAGGATGGTTCTGGATGAGTAATAACACAGCACATGAGGCTATCCCAAGCGTATAGGGGTTGTGGGACCCCGACGATATATATGTTTGAATGATTACAATTTCAAAGTGACCAGGAACCCCTTCTTTACCATCATCAACATAGTCGCTGGATCCTCTGTACCTGATTTTACTTGCTTATATCTTCATCAACACCCGATGAGATAGATACCTGGAAAACTTGAGTCTTAGACCTCATTTCTCCAAGGGGGTTTCGTTTTGTGCTAGCTGGATCAATACATCACTTTTTATCAATTCCACCTTCGCATGACATCGCCTATTATTTGTCTCGATCTAGTTAAAGAAATAACTACTGCTACATCTATCTATGCCCAGTGGGGGCCCTTGGCACCCAATTCTGCCAAGCAGGGCGCTCGATGCCATTAGCAACCCGGTGCTGGAAATCTTCCGCCGCTTTCTGTGACGTCTTCCCTATGCCTGTCTTCCTTTCAGGAGCAGATACGCCTGGTGGATACACAACTTTGCTCTCGTCATCCGGACTCCACCAGCCTCTCCCTCCCAGCCCGTAGATCTGAGCTCTTCGTATGCACTTATCTCGCATGGCTAGAGATGCTCTATAAGATATTCGTTCATTATCAGCGGCGGTTGTGTCTGGCGGCTCCCAGGGCGACTGAAATGCTGGCCACGCTTCAAGTCGAGATAGATCCCAAAAAACATAACCTTGCTCACGTAGAGCGCTTTGCGGACTTGCATATACAAAGGTTGCCCTGGTCTCATGTTGATGTGCCCATCTCCACGCTTGAATAGGACCTAGGTCTAATTCACGTACAAATGGTGAGTATCGACGGTCAAACTCTTTTTCGTCGTCCTGGTCGTATTCTGCAAGCTCGAGTGCATCGGCTGGCTCATTTGCAAGACTGAGGCCTTCATACAAGAATCCATCCACGAGATATTTTGGATAGAGGTTATATAGAAGTTTGTATCGTTCGTTATAAGTCTCCGCTACCACAATTTTATAGAGATATGCCAAGCCCAGAGAGAGGGTGTGCTGTATTCTTCGTGAATCCAGGTCGAAAGCATCTTCGATCCCTGCCGATCCCCACGCTACGTCATGGTCCGCAATTTCGTTAAAAGCTAGTAAAGTTAGCACTGGAAGCGGAATAATAATAGTATAAATACATACCAGGAGACACGTTATGAGCAAGGTAATCAGAAATGCAGCCTAGCTGCTCATTCTCCCATGGTGCAAACTTGGAGAAAAAGACACCTCTGTGCTCATCGATGTCAAAGACAGCGGGTTTTCGACCTCTAAATAAATTGCAGTATATCTCGAATCTATACAACACACGTTGTATACGATGGAGCTCACTGGGAGTAGGTGAACGCGCCAACATATCATTTACATCGCCCGCAGCTAGAAGTTTAGCTAATGCGTGAGATCCAAAGCTTAGCGCAAAGTATTCGACGTGGTAGTGGAGGTGGTTGAGAGCTAGAGCCTTGGATAGAGTCCAAGACCGCGGGGGTTCCTGTCGAGAGAGTAGTTGATCATCGACAAACGTCTGCATTGACTCGCGTTCCCAGGGGGCCAACAGAGAAGATGTCAATGCTGCCACTGCCTCCGGTAATACTTCCGGACCCACCAAATTTCTAACAACTTGTGACGTTATTAGGACTTCGACTTTGATAAAGGCATTGTAGACGGACGGGCAGGTCAAGATCATCGACAGCAGGGATGTAGCATCTGGAAGAAAGCTGAGGATGTGTTGGATCAACTCCGTGGGTAAGCCAACGATAGAATGTCTAGACGCCATCATGCCCCCTGTCCGGTGACAAGATTCATTACCGCGCGGGGAGTCCAAGGCATTTGTATCTTTGAAAGACCGAGGGTGGAGCGCTGGACAAAGACGCGACCGTGAAAAGGGCGGTTACTCATATAGGTACAAGCGAGTACCTGAAAGAAAGCTGCAGAAAACAGTAGGGGCGCATATCCAAGTTCGACCAATTGACGACAGGTATTAGGGACTGCCTGCGAGGTGCCTCTGTTTGTTCCTGCCAGAAGCCTCTGTTTGTTGTTTTCGCACTTTGGCTCTTTGTTTCTATGCGGGCCTAGCGCCCTCTCACAGTAGACCTCGATGCCATTCAGGAGAATTTGTTGAGCAGAGTGAAGCGTTCCGGAGAGCAATATTACAAGATCGACTTCGACATTGAAATAGCTCTGCACTCAGCAAGTCTGACTTTCACTCTGGTTTATCTTAAACGAAGCACCAAACAATCCAGGTAAAGTTTGTCTCGCTGACTCATGATGATGAAGGCTGACTGCCTGGGGGCCATGCGGCACGACGCAACATACCTTATAGAGAATCCGATATTAAAGCTAGACAGTAGTCTACGTCCTACGAGGAATTGGAATTTCGAAAACACGCAAGAACGGAGTGCAAAGTATTTTAATTCTTCTAATACCCTTGATGAAGCGAATAATGAAAACCACAATTATCTTCCAGTCAGGGGCCGAACATTTGGTGCTCCTCCTCAGCCCCCCAGAGGATGCACATTTATACCTCCGAGTCCACTTACATATCCTAATAGCTCGAACCCCTATACCTCACCGCCCGCCTTTTTCGTCAATATCGCCAGAAAGAAAGATACTTCCTCTGTTATCAGCCCGAATGTTGATTGACCCTTCCCAGTAATAGTCAACGGTCAGCCCCACTGGCGATGTCGATTCCATCGAAGCTGTACTCTATATTTTCACTGTCGGGTTATTCCCCCGCAAGCCACCGGCGAACCAAGCGATCAGAAATCAATCCTTGCTCAGCTTCCAGTCCTCTCAGGCATAGTCCGGCGCGCGACGTTTATCAAAACAAGCCATAGTCCAAATCACAGCCACAGTATCAACCATAGGCGCCGCCATGAACACTACCGCTCTCCAAATCGGCTTATGATCAACTGTTAGCGACATAATAAAAGCAGCAGTGGCCGCGATGAAGCCCGACCAGACAACCATGGCAAACAGGGCGATAAATAAGAAACCCTGGTACACCTGGAGGCGGGGAGGACCGGGCGAGAAGAAGCCGTATGGGTCGGGGATATGTAGTATGTGTGATTGGATCCAGTAACCTTTAGTAGCGATGGCGAGGTGAGCGGGATTTAGGGGTGTTCGAAGCGGTTATTTGCGGACTGAGGAATGCCATCATGGCGTTAAGGATGCTCATCATGAAGTTTTGAGACATTCTGACGGCGGATTTTAGTCGCGTTAGTTGACTACTCGTTGGTGGAAGGACGATGCTAACCGCTATTGAGGCATATGATTATATGAGAAATTAAAAGGCTTGAGGATGTGGATGTGCCGCGGGATGACTTGTGCGACGTTTAAAAGTGCTAGGTGAAGGAACGTTAGTGGAAAAAAGAAGATACCTGGAGGGCCGATATGGTTTTGGCCCTTTCCAAGTCGTCGGCAGGAGACAACGCGGGAGGTACCCGGAAGGTAATATATACTAGTATCGGACGTTCCCCTGAATCTTGGATCTTTCGGAGAAGGATTCTCCTTGAGCCCGTCCATAACATGATCCGATATCTGTGCAACATCGAGGAAGTTTTTTAAATATATTAGCACCAGGAATTTTGTTCGCCTTAAATACTTTACCGCTTGGGATGTCAACTCTTGGTACTAGCTACCCAGAAGGAATAAATCGGCGCGGCAGGCTTCATTTCCCTTCTATCGCTACGAGAGATATATATGAAGTGAATTTGCCGCTACTTGAGTTTAGAGGATAAAAAGTCGATAGAGGGCTACTCCAAGACATCGTCAATGAGCTTGCTTGCCTCCTCACCCCCGGCGATGATGTACACCATTTAAGACTAGGACCTTGTTAGACCACTTTCAAAATGAACATACGTTCATCATCTTCCCCGATAGTTAGCTTAGATTTGGCAATGTCATGTCGAAGCAAGAAGGACTTCACCCTGAAAGTCAGCTTCGACCATCCCAAAAAGGGGCTCGCTAAGCCTCGCTTAATGCATCAAAGTCCTTTCAACCTTACGGAGGTACAAACCCATTTACTATACAGAGCACTAGTAGACTCTTCTAGATTTAAACTTTTCATTATTAACGACAGTTGAACAAATATCCGGGCATACTTTGTCAGTAATTGGAAGCTGCTTTCCTGCTGTATTTCTCCACGGATCAAGATACGTCAACCAGCGATTCTAAGCATCACATGACCAGTCCCAGCTCCTTGGCTCGAGCCATGGTAGTAAAATCGATAAGTGGTGGCCTGGCTTCTTAGGTTTATTTAGAGGACAAAAGGAAATACTTCCGATACTAGGAACTCGGTCCAGGGATCCAAGAAATACTTGGGTTGATAGGCTAGAATTATATGACTAGGTTAAGAAATGCAGCGTTGGATTTTCTCACGTTCATATTAGTTGCTGCTAATTGGGTTGAAAAGGAATTGCACTGGAGCAAATGGATCATTTACTTTTACGCCGTTGTGACCACGGGAGAGAAGTTATTAGGAGGCTTAAAGCAGGTGATCGGGGTATCACGGACAACAGCTCTATGAAGAGCTTTGATAACATATAAATATATCAAAAACGACTGATACATCGTATACCTAAGAGAATAAGTTCGATTAAAAACGACTCATACATCATAGATTCATAGACCTAAGAAAAGAAGTTGGATTAGTTTCCAAGCTATCGTAAAGTTCTGTTCCACCGCTAAAAGTTGGCTGCGCCACTTATTCAATCTTGCTCAACATAACCTCAAATTGCGATACACAATCAGCTAGTACCAGCCAGCAAGTATTTAATCTTGACTTATGCGTTGAATTCGCGCTTCTGCTTATGCATGGACTGTTTGCCGGGAAGAGCATCGAGCCCTAGATGGTTTATTAGCTTAGGGCGTTATGATAGAGCTGGAGAACTCACATCCTTCGATCGGCTCGTTGACGCTGCTCTTAACGGAACAAGCGTTCATCTGAGCAACAGATTGCGACTGGAGCGGCTTGCCATTCCCGCACGCGTCGAACATGCAGGTGGAGTCCATAGCTTTCTGGAGCGAGTCTCCCTTCCAGCCAAAGACGTAATCAGCATGAGTAGAGTAGCCCTCACCGTCGCCAGTGCTCCAAACGAATGGTTGCGAACCGTCCGTGGGCCACAAGGACTTGTCATTGAACTGTCTCGTATCCCACAGCGTCTCATAGGCGAGCTGGGGCATGCGAATGGGATGCGAGGCTGGGCAAGGACCGGCAGGGGCAAAACCACTGTCTTTTGCGGTATCATACATGTGATCTTGGTGGTTAGGGCTGTCAAGGTTCTTGCCGTCCCAGCATCTAGCTATTATTAGCGAATGAGGTGTTAATGAAGGAGGGTCACTAACGCTGGGAAGTGGTGTTCGGCCATAATACCAGCTGGGCACGGCTGTGTTGGGAACTCAACAGTCTCGGGGAATCTAGTCAATTTTGTTTGCAGGCAAGTATAGCGGAGACCTGCCACCGCCTTGTTCTTCGAATTAATTGTTGGGCTGCCAACAGTCATGCGGAAACCCTAAGGTGGTTAGTTTATTATAAGTGGACGAGCTGGTAGACTTACAGGCTTGAAAGCGGTGATCTTGTCCTTGCCATTTGTATTGAAATCCACCTGCGTATAATAGACAGTCATTCCACCAGAAACGTCGCCCTCTAGCTGAGCATTGTCGTAGATAGGCACACGTTTATATGTTCCGTTGCGAGCCTTAAAGTATAGTACGGCAGTCCAGTAGTTGGAAAAGTCCTCGGAGAAGAAGCATGTTGTGCAACTACCTTTGGTACCGATATCACCTGTCATAGTGACATTAAAGGCATTTCCGCCGACGATCTGATGGACGTGTGCCGACGGGACACTGCCAGGCTCGACCAGCGGATCGATACGCTGGATACTAAGAGTCGAACATCCGAATCGGAGGCCAGCTTGGGAGGGCGCGACAAGCGCAAGAGCGAGAATCAACCACTTCATCTTTACAGCGAAAACTCGTTGACTTTCAGAAAAGATGGAGATATACAAAAAAAAAGCAGAAAGTGGCTCTGGCATACCCGTGTATAAATTATAAAACTCCCATCCTCTATTATGAATATGTCCTTGGCTTGAATGCCGAGGAAAACTTGCCGTGTCTGGGATATAAATTGCCGAAACGCTTATTCCTCGTTTATCCAAACTCGCAGCCAAAGGCATCCAATCTTTAAAGTTTACCCCGCATTACTCCAATTACCCTAAAAATATACGTAGGAATTCATTTATTATAAAGTGCGCGATCTTCGATGCTAGAGCTGCCGAGGAGTTGGCGCATTAGGATAATGTGGACCTCCCATCACTCCTCGGAATTTAGGAGACAATCTAACGTGGCATCGCTTGGGACTTTAGAAGAGATAGGGATATCTGCCAATTGTAGAGCGGGATTCGCATTTGGAAATGCTTGATATTCACCCCTGTGGATAGGTCATTCATTTGGTTGGTAAGACTTGACTCACTTGAGTTGATCGGCCTTATTCCGTGTCGTTCATTTGATGATTATACTCATCTACGAGAAGTGGTATATTCAGCTCATTTATAGGGTTCTGTGCTGTCCTGCTTTTGAATCTTTTGAATCTTTTGACAATGGCTTATCTAGGCCCCCCCTTGGCCGGATAATTGTGCCATTACCGTTGGAGGTGGTATTCTAGAATAGCACATGGCAATTTTCTTTCCATCCAAGCTGTATGGCTTTTTCCCGGGGGAAAGGAAACTCATGGACAGTTCCCCAAAGCAATATGCCCTTCACGGCTGATTTCTGGATATCCAGGAATTCTAATATTTTTGGTAGCGGCCAAGTTTGCTCTTGTGCCCAGAGCGCCATACCCATTTTTGGCAGAGCCGCAGAGGCAAGTCAAACGCTGAAAGCTCGTAAACGGGTTATCCAGGCAGGCCAGGTAAATTATTTACCGCGCAGGAGAAAGTAGGTCCGATAAATGCACCACGAGGACTTGCGTCATATTCCGTCCATTTCCTTTTTTTTCTTCCCCCCACCCCCCCAACTCTGGGGGAGCAGTCACAGGACCATTTTAGTCTCTCTTTGCGTGCCAAATCCACTGCAAGAAATAAGCATCCTGTGCAACCACCTATATCTTGAAGTTAGTAGGAACCGGTTTGTTAGGGACAGTAGTTGTCTCATGTGCCCTGTCTGGAATTGTACCATATTCTCGTCTATTGTACGATACTAAGATATCCTCCAGGGGCCCGAAGCTAAAGTGAATCGCTTTAAATATAGGCGTTCCACAGCTTTCAGGTACGTCCGAAAATGTAATCCTCTGTTTGTGATCTCAAGAGGCGAACCACTAGTGCCTTTAGATCGGAATCATCCGACCACTTGGCCAGAAAGTCGAAAGGAAAAGGGCATGGTTGCAAGTAGTCCCTCTATATAGTAGTACTCATAAAGGCCGGCAACGTACTTCACACAAGAATATTGTCGTAGTTAGTGGTCTTGATATCCTCCTATAGTCTGATAAAAGAGCGCGCTCCTTCTCCATAAAGCATTGGCATAGTTATATCAAGTAGTCCCAATAGGCAATATGCAGCACCGTCCAACATCGACGTATGTCTTGCCGATTCCTATGTCATCCTTTGGGCAACGATAAAGCTCTTGAGGTTAGCATTTAAAAATACTTCCATATAAATCCGTGTAACTTCGGATATCGCTTTGGGGGGCATAACTTAGTCCCAACTTCATCTCATTCCGAGCTGGAAAATATCACATTTAAGGGTGCTATCGACTCTTGAAGAGTCTAGCCCCTCAGAACCATCGGCCGTTCGAGAAATGAGAGCACGACTTAAGCTGCGAACTTGACCATTTGTCGCCGCGCTTGAAATGTCCAAGTATACAGAGCAAACATCGGTTAATCTATACCATCGGGACATAGAATTAATTGCTTCTGAGAGTACTGAGCTACTCGATTTTTTTGATGTAGCAGGCGCCCACCCAGGTGTATCTGTACCCATACCTGATACTACCTCACAACAATCCCCGATTGTGCTGTATCCTAATTCTGCTGTACATCGTGATCATTCATTTCGTTAAAAGAAACCTCCTCTACTCCCCACGGGGCCACGCATGGGACAATATCGCGTACGTTAGAACTTTTCCAATGAAGAGGTGCTTGCGATATAGCCTAAGATAGATTGTTGGGTGGGCAAACGGGCCGCATAAAACGGTTATAGCCATTAATGGCCATAGATTCGTCACACCAGAACCTCTGAGTTGTATTGACCATAAAAGGCTAATGGCCGATAGTCACATGCATCCTCCCTCCACCATCCTGCCTAGGTGCCCTATATATATCGAAATAAGCAATTTCTTTTTCAAGGAAAACCACGGCGGACCTGGCCATGTGGTTCGGATTTAATTGTCTAGCCCGAGAGGATCGATAGGGGGCAAAACAAGATACGAAAATCGATAAAATCGGCACAATATATTGGCATTCAACCAGGCCGAGCTCTCTTGCTTCCGAAGTATATAATAAATACAAATTTTGCCTTCATTTCTTACCTTGGTTTGGGACTAATCGGATTTGATTTCTTCCCCTATGGAGGGTAGCGAGCTAGCGAGCCTACCTCCTCGGATTGCCTACCTCCTGTATACGCTACTTAATCAGCTTCTGCCACTGTGGGCCGTAAGGGAGATGCGTAGCTTGCCTTTGGCGGTTTGCCATCTACTTGAAATAAAACGCGGACAAATTGGCCCCAAGATTAACTACTTGTCTGCGTTGTGCCTTTCCTATTACCTTTACTTTTACTCTCCACATTTACTCTGCGCCAATTGTTCACTTGCCGAGTATTCGAATTGCGTTTCATGTTAAAAAGAATGAGTTGTAGTATAGGTACGGTCCGTACGGAGTATTATGAGGTTGGAAGTTAGGGTTTGGCGGGGGTAAGTCGCGACGACGCGTAATCACCTGACTTGTATTTCCGGGATAACTTCGGGTGTTATTCTCTGAAGACACTCCGATAAATAGAAGGGCGGCCCTGGTCTGCGATTCTCGCCCATATCCCATTTGAATAACAACAAAGGAATTATAGACAAGTCACCTATGAATAAGAGAACAAGATGAGGTCAGTATCACTTTCTTAGTTGAGACTATAGGTAAGTTGTATGGAGTAGAGCATGGGGCATCTAGGTAGACTCGCTTAATTAAGCTTAAATTCCACTGCCCTACCAGAATCGCCGCCATCTCACGTCCTCTCTCCTCCTCCGCATTCAATATCCACATCCACATTGGCAATCGTGCTATGTGGTACGAAGTACCCTTACTGGCAACCCCCTAGAGCAGAGATGATTGCGTTTGAACGACCTTCACTAGTGCAGTTGGCTTAGCGTCTTTACCTCTTCACCTTCACCCGCCATGTCCTCTCAAGATCCCCCATTGGATGAGATCCAATGGCGTTCTCCAGCGGCTGCCCAGCAGATGCAAGGTATCCATTCGAATTCAGTCCTCTTTTATTTCGCTCAATCTCCATTTTTCGATGCGACATCCAACAATGCGGTTCTCTTTTCTCAAGCCATGTACAACCCAAACATGCTTCCCATAATACAAACTCGGGAGGCTTTCGAAGCGCGGCTGAAGACCATGTCTGGAACCGAGTTTATTGTCGCACAAGAGCCAGCAGATCCTGTCACTGGAACAGGAGTCTGGGTGATTAGGAAACAAACCCGAAGGAAAAGACAATCGGAGGAGGACGAAATAATTGTGCATTCCACATATTTCGTCGTCGGGGAGAATATATACATGGCTCCGGCAGTTGGAGATGTTTTGGGTAGCCGGACTGTCAGTCCTCTGTTATTGATATGAGATAATGAAATGCAACTGACTGGGAAAATAGCTGTCAATTCTAACTTCTCTCAACAAGTTCTTTTCAACCGCTGCCTCACTCCCTACCTTCACCCCAGCCCTAGGCACAACCTACCTACCACCCCCCACCACACGCCCGAATGCCTCTACACAATCTCAACTCGACCAAGTTAGTAAAGAAAATACTCCTCTACCCGAAACACTTCAAAACGCAAAGAAGCTACCACTCCCCTCGACAAACAACAGCACCTACCTCAGCACTCGTCTCCTCGAAGAAACCTTGGCCATAAATTTGAAATACGGCGATGAATACATGGACGAGAATCCTATAACGGGCGAACCGGGGGCATTCCACCTCTCTGCAACGGGTAGGGTTGAAAAGGACAAAGACAAATTAATGGTTCCTACCACGGGTAAAACTAGTGCATCCACAAGCAAGGCGCCTACGCCGGTGCCGCCTCCCCTGAAGACAGATCTTGAGTCTCTCGGCAAGAAGGCGAAGGGTGAGAAGACCCCGACGAAGAGCCCAGGCGGAGGAAAGCTAAAGCGGAGGAAGAGCAAGGGGGTTAAATCAGCGGGGGGTCTGAGTCCTTCGTGAGGGAATAATCCTTGAGTGTGATATTGATGGGACCAGGATGTCTCGCCTCGTTCTGCTCACATATATCATTATTCTAAACAACTAATTGGTAATTGGTCCTCATCGGCTTGTTACTAATATCAACCAAGGTATATCTCCGGTTTCTACAACCACCAACCCCGATCGGCGGACCATCTCGTCTACCCATAATCCGAAGCAGATTCCCCGTTGCTGCCTATAAGTGCCAGGTCGGGCAGCATCGGAAAAGAGCAGGCGAGATCAGCCCTCTAAAAATGGCATACAGCTGGTGCTTCACAGGGAGTTATGGAATTCAAGGGCATCAGAGAAGAATATGCCCTTCAACCAGATATAAAACTCATTGTAGATTCCGAGTATTGGCACTGTATCAATGAAGTTCAGGTGTCCATAGATTATACAATTACGTGCACCTCGATTCAATTTGCCACAGCTGCGGTATTTCAGTGGTATTTTCCTCGCTCGGCGCGCTTCTAGTTATTGATTTAGATCTAGGCTACAGAGAAAATACCTAAGGTGCATTCAAACGAGAATTTCCAATTATTCTTCTAAATTTGCAGGTAAAGATTCTTTACGCAATCGACTGAGGATAAAATGAAAACTACCTAAGAAAGTCCAAAACACTTTAATAGTTATAGTACGCGGTATGACAGTTTACTAGTATTTTATTTATCTATCATTTGCTAGATATATCCCATACTCCGCCGTTAAGTTTCATTTGGAGGTGTGCGATTGGTGGAAAGATGGATGGAAGGCTTACGACAAGCAAATAGAAGCTTAGGTGAAGGTATTAATATCAGGGAATGAATGCCGCCACTGTACTAACATAGAGAAAAGATGGGCTGGTGAATATGTATCCTCGATGTAATGTAGATCCCAGGCTACTTGACGTTATATTAGAAGTAAAACCATAGATTCGAGGAAAAGCACTCGTATAGAAAGGCACCTCTCATTTGTCTAGATTCAAGGAGGAAGCCTTACCTTACAGTGCAACTAGTCTAACTTTGGCAAGGAAGCTTGCAACAATATTCGCCTTAAGCCTTGAGCGCTTGACATAGCGAACGGCTATTTCGGGGGCCGAAAGGCTTATCCAGCCGCAAATGGGGTGTTGAACTATTACCACCCGGCTACCTAAGAGAAAACAGCAAAGGATGCCGTGCGGTCTAGAACCCATACGAAACTTTAACTGTTCACTCCTCCATTGCCTAGTTTCAATGCCTTTCTTCTTCGGTAGGTGGCTATTGGAATCATACATCTCGTGGTTGCTCGCCACACTGAAGGATCTCGATTTAACTGTGTTGGGGCTGGCATGCCATGTTGAACATCCGCGGATAATCCGCCGAAGTATGAAACAATATCGGGTGAGATTAGAAGTCTAGATTTCTCATTTCCGCTCTTGTCGAACTCGCCCGTTGGTAGCCATGTCAATGTTTCCGTTCGAAGCAGGCGAGATGAAATATTGCCATTCGACTTCGGGCAATAAGCGCAGTTACTGCTGCCTCACGAAGAGACTCGCAATACTTGTGCCGCTGCAAAAGCATCACAATTTTCACATGTTCGGTAGACTGGGTAGGATACCGTAAAATGTCGCCCAGGTCTTTATTTCATAACTTCGTAGCATTATTACTGTTTAATGGCCCACTCTCGCGGCCCCTGCATCCGAATCAGGTGTAATATTCTAATGTTTTTGATCTTCCCAAATGCGTTGGTATCACATGTTAAGCTTGGGTATAGGCCGGCAACAGCGCTCTCTCGCTGTGCCCCAAACCCATGTCGACTGATGGGCCGGTTGATGAGTAACGGAACATTCAAATGACTTTGTGGACCAGTTCAACTAGATCAAAGAACGCTTCCCGCTCCATGTCCACTTTTTCCAGCCCAAAGCCTACCATTAGTGTTCTCGTCTCCTCGGGGTTCCTCTTCACAATAGCGCTCGCAATTTGACTGGCATATAGATGTCCAATTGTCTCTCTTTTATCGCCACCAGCACCAAGCAAGGTCTTGGGAGTAAGGTGGGTGAGGGGTAGCATATCTGTTTCGCCAGACGGTAGAGCCGTGTCGAATGCAGTTGGGGAAGCTGACGATAATGGAACTTGTATCTGCCGCGTTATCAGCATCACTGCGAATATTAAGAATAGGATTGTCTGTACCCATTGCGCTAATCGACCGCCTTGAGAGACCGTGATTAATATCTTATCGGCGAAGTATATGGAGGTAAGGTCGGTTTGTACTCCATTAACAAGGCCTGCCACGTGCTTCGTTGCTGCAGGAAATGGAGATGGCACTACGCCACCACCAATTTCCATAGTATTTATGCCCTTCGACAGTGCTGGGATTGGACTTGTCATTATTGTTGCCGTTGTTGTTGTTTTGTCGTTGGCTAGCGATAAGCTTGGACAAGCTCAGCCTTCAGCCTTGTCATCTTCACCGCCTTTGTGATTGGCGGATTCTGCCCAAAAAAGTTGGGTGAATTCTCTGGACCACTATTATAGACCGCAATCATAGATTTATTATCTGCGAAACAGCAGAACCGAATTATAGAATTTTCGTTCGTCAAAATGCCCCCTTTCGTTCCGCGGCAGCGAAAACATAAAGTCATAGCCCGGTCGAAAGAAAATGGAAAGAATTCGCAGCCGATTACCGACTCCAATGTCCTGGAACACATCCCCGCAGCAAAATCCGAGCTCGAGGAGAAGAAGCGTCGCATGAAAGAAGAGCTACGGAAAGAAGGAACTAAAATTAGTGGAAAGAAAGCAAAGCGATTGGAGAAATATATTGATACGAAACTCAAGAAGGATGAGAACAGGGAGCTGATCGCGCGACTCGCAAAAAGTACTACAGACACCAGCCATTTCCAGAGCAGCAGAAAATTGGGACAAGGAAAAGAGACGAAGAGAGAAAAATTAAGCAGAGCTTTAAGGGATAAGCAAGCTGGGATTGATATCAATGGCGACAACGACGAGCTTCTTTTCGAAAAGCGGACAATTAGAGAAGTCGACGATCAAGCATCTTCCGATGAGGATGAGACCGTGAATCAATCCAGGTGGTTTCCCACTGCTAAACCAGATACTTCGCCGTCTGCCCAACAAGCCCCGGTTGCTGCAGGTGCTGGTCTTAAGAGGCCACTCGAGGTAGATGAAGAGGGGAAACCTGTGCTGAAGAAGCGGAAACGGAGAGGAGGAGTCCAATCCAAGGGGCTACTACAACCCATAATACCAGAGGCGCGAGAACAGCCGGAATGGGAGGGTTTTAGTTCTGAATCCCAGGACGATAGCGATAGCGATGACGAATCCCGCTACGACAACAAGGAGGAAGACTTTTTAGATGGTTCCGAGAGTGATGAGCCTACGGCAGATGCGGACTCTACAAGTGAATCGGAAATCGATGAAGGCTCTGAAGAATCTTCGTCCGATGATAGCGAAGATGGCGATGACATATCTCAAGTCAAGGAACGATCTTCAGCGTTTAAGATGTGGGCGAATCAACAATTGAACGAGGCACTTGGGTATCAATCAGTATCGAATACTGCGAATGCCACAGAGACACCCAAAATAGCAGGCTTCAAGCCTAGAGCGCTGGAACAAGATCCCCTTCCATTGGAGTTGCAGCCAGTTGCCAACACCGCCAGAAAGGTATTCAGCGTTTCAGTAGAAAGACCCCCTGCTCTTCAATCGGTTCGATTGGAGCTTCCAGTTGTAGCAGAAGAACAGAAGATCATGGAGGCAATTCACAACAACAACTTGGTTGTCGTATATGGAGCTACTGGATCCGGCAAAACGACTCAAGTTCCTCAATTCTTGTATGAGGCAGGATATGGCTCACCAGACTCTCCAACACCCGGAATGATTGGTGTCACCCAACCTCGACGAGTCGCAGCCGTCAGCATGGCTAAGCGTGTTGGAGACGAATTAGGGGATCATGGCAAGCGAGTAGCTTACCAAATACGGTTTGAAGGAACGGTAGGACCAGAGACTGCGATAAAATTTATGACGGACGGTGTACTGCTGCGAGAAGTGGCGCAGGACATTGCCCTTCGAAAATACTCTGCTATCATCATCGATGAAGCCCATGAGAGGAGTGTGAATACGGATATTCTCATTGCAATGCTGAGCCGAGTCGTCAAATTGCGAGAAGAGATGGCAGCTGAAGACGATTCAATCAAACCCCTGAAGCTCATAATCATGTCCGCCACTTTAAGGATCACCGATTTCACGGAAAACGAAACCCTGTTTTCCAAACCACCTCCTGTACTTCAAGCTGAAGGACGGCAATACACTGTCACAACCCATTTCGCTCGGAGGACGAATCATGACTATGTTGATGACGCTTTCCGCAAAATTAGCAAAGGCCATCGGAAACTGCCACCTGGTGGAATCCTGGTTTTCTTGACTGGGCAGAATGAAATAACTCAGTTGATGAAGAAGCTGAAGGAGGCATTTCGAATTGGCCATACTGCTTCGGCACCCCAAGTTCGCGTATCCGGCAGAGACGTACCAATGGAAGCGGAAGACGTGGACTTTGGCAATGTCGTGGAAGACCAGAATGATGATTACGACGAAGATGATGAGGTGGATATCAATCTTGATGATGAAGAGTTCAAGCTTGAAGGAGAGGAGGCAGATACCGGACCCTCTAAAATGCACATTCTACCACTGTATTCCTTGTTGCCAACTAGGGAGCAGTTACGAGTCTTTGAGCCACCACCAGATGGATCACGTCTTATTGTTTTAGCTACCAACGTTGCTGAAACTAGTTTGACCATACCTGGGATTCGCTATGTCTTCGACTGTGGACGATCGAAAGAGCGAAAATATGATCGAACCACTGGCGTGCAAAGCTTTGAGATCGGTTGGATCAGCAAAGCCAGTGCCAGCCAGCGCGCTGGTCGTGCAGGCCGTACAGGACCTGGCCATTGTTATAGATTATACTCATCTGCCGTTTATGAGCGGGATTTCCAAGAGTTTGCGGAGCCTGAGATATTACGGATGCCTATTGAGGGCGTTGTGCTCCAGCTAAAAGCTATGAACTTGCAGCATGTGGTGAACTTCCCATTTCCTACGCCCCCCGATCGCCAAAGCCTTGCAAGCTCCGAGAAACTCTTAACGTATTTGTCGGCTGTTTCACCTACGGGTCAGATCACACCAACTGGTGCTACGATGTCGATTTTCCCTCTATCTCCGCGGTTTGCTAGAATATTGCTAGTCGGACATTTACACGATTGCCTACCATATACCATTGCTCTGGTGGCTGGGTTATCCGCAGCGGATGTGTTTATTCCGGAAAACCAAGTTGTTCCTGCTGCTCCTCAGAAAGAAGAGGGTGAGTATTTCACAAGCGCCGACCGCATTGAAGAGGACATGCGCAATGATATCAGACGCCGTTTCAACAAGGTTCAGAAAGACTTTTGTTTCCTGGATGATAAATCGGACGCCATCAAACTTCTTCAGGTAGTTGGAGAATTTGCACATGAACCCACCGAGGCTTGGTGCCAGTCTCACTTTGTGCGTTTCAAACTACTCAAGGAAATCCAACAGCTTCGGCGACAGATCACAGATCTTCTCCGGACGAATATATCAGCCTTCGCATCATTAAAATACCAGGAGATGCTGGACCCGCCATCGGTGAAACAAATCAAGGCTCTAAAGCAAATGGTGGCAGCAGGATTCATTGACCATGTTGCTATGCGCGCAGACTTGTCACCTAACCCCCCTGATATGCGACGGAAACCCTCTCGTGCTATCGAGGTTCCATATCTAACACTCTTTCCCTCCCACGTTCGATCCGATGACGAGGACAAAGCTGTTTATATTCATCCCTCATCGCCTCTTGCTCACCTCAGCCCTCAAGAGTGCCCAGAATACATAATATATTCCTATCTCCAGCGGGCTGCCCCTTCTGCAGCAACGCCCGAGAAGATCCCAAAGACGAGGATGCATGCTCTAACGGATATCACTGGAGGCCAAATTGCTGCCTTGGCTAAGGGAACACCACTTCTACACTACGGCAAGCCCATCAAGGAGGTGATGCCGAAAGTAAATGCTGGGGTTGACGCTAACGCGAGAGAGTGTTGGGTGATTCCATATTTAAGGGCCGAAGGTAACGGGGGTATTGGTTGGCCGTTACCAGCGAGGAAAGTTACGCAGAGAAAGATCCCGGGTCGAGGATGGGTGGTTGAATGAGTTATGTATCATGAATTGATAAATACGGCACATCAGATAATGTAGATTACTATATATAAATATCTATACTTCCATTCTGCCATTGAACTCCTCTCCAGGCATAGGAGCTTAATTCCCCTAACTAATAATAAGTCTCCAGGAACCCATGTCCTAGAATCTGTTGCATTTTCCCGCTTAAGCTGCGATGTCTTGGAATCAAACGTGGCCCAGACGTGGCTGTATAGGGGATCACTTTTCCGGCACCCCCTATTCATTGGCAGACCCCTGAAAGTTCTATATATCTTATGCCCCGCCCTTTCCCTAGGTCCACTTCCCTAAAATGCCTCTAATGTTTGTGACATGGCGAGCTCAGCACCCCAGCTGATAGCCAGTACTGCGTTTACTCTTCATATCAACCTCAACTATGCCCATATGTACTGTACATGTTCCTATTCTATTTATAACTCTAAAATTTGCCCGAAGTATCGTACCGCCGATATTTGAAACGAATTTGTCGTTATACATAAACTTGTACATGTCCATCACATCACGTTCAGCCCTCTGCTGTCAAATATTTTTAAAAAAGAACAATTTTTCGCGTATGTGAATTAATATCTTGGCTGTTGTTCGGAGGTGACGTTGTAGTCGTAGTCCACCTTAATGGCCTTCGTCGAATCAGCTTCATCATGATCCCTCCTACTCCCAATAGACACAAACCCACGACTCTGTTTTGTGGATCCCAGCTCGTACCGATTCGGAGTTGCACCCGATGTATTCTTTGAAGTGGGAAACAAATTGGGAAACATGCGGTCGGCGAGAGGCTTTAAGCTAGGGAGACTGGCGGTGATGATTCCAAGGGCCATCTCGATACCGGATGTGATAGACGTTCCATATGTATCCCACGGCTGATCGGTGCTAGTCAAGAGCGTTATGAGGAATGCCATGCGAACAATTCCTGCTATGCAGGCACTGCAAACGCGAATCATCAGTATATGGTCGACAAGACGTTGCTGAGCAAATCCACTTACATCAGACCCAAGGAGAACATGCCAACAAGTACGATTTTCTGATTTCTTTGGATTTGGAGTGCTATAACCTGTTAATACGGCGGAGCCGACCATGGCCATAGACCAATAACACAGAATGCTTACACAAGACGGTCCGGAGAGGCAAAACCAAAGTCCAGATATCGGTTACAACAGCAAGGGCCGATGCACTGTACGAAAATGCCACAATATCGAAGCATTTGCCTGTTGGATCCATAGTCCAGACTGCTTCCACAGGTATACATTGTAAAATGGTAGCCACTTCCAGGGCAATGGTCATGGCAACGATGAAACCAATGAGAATGTAGACATGCTTCTTGAGCGTTGGGAAAATGCGCAGGTAGAGCAAACCGACTGACAGCTTGGTCGCCCCGCTGATAAGGAAGTAGATAACCCGGGTGATGAACCGATATATTCCAGATGGTATGAGATTATCCTTTGGGATTGCTTGCTTATGCTTTCCCGTCCCGAATTTTACACCTAGAAACCGTTTAGTCAACTGTTCCCTCGATGGGGATATGGGCGATGGTTACTTTGACTAGCAATAACGATATTGACCGTCGCCAGGATGGTTGCTACGACGATCATCCAGTCATCGGCCCCGACCTTCTTCACCAGAGTAAATCTGGAGATAATTCTCAAGATCACGATCAGGCAGGCAATTCCTTGGATGGTGGCATTGACGGCGATGATAGTAGGGCCTCGATCCTCAGCAAGGAACTAATTGATCAGAGTCAGCACGTTCGTTCCCATAAGTATATTTATATCTCTCGAAAGGAAATAACGGTGGCAGATCTAAAGGTTACATACCCCCGGAGGGAACGGCGAAGCACCAGGAGGAGCCGCCATTGCCCTTGGAATTAGGATGGAACGAGTGCAAGAAGATTCACGATCCGCCCATAATATCCAAAGTACAAGAGAATGAAGCTGTTACTTGGGTTTTGCGAGGGGCGATTTAAAGTTTTGGGGGTGTTGTCCTGCCTTATTAAAACAATCTGCGACTACTGGTACGTAGATACGCCGCACGTAGTCAGCTACCAATCGTCCTCCAACCCCCAAATACGGCAAGTTAGCCTTCAAACCCTAACTACTGGGGGCGGTGACGCAGATGGAAGCACACAAGCGGCCGGGGAAGATGCGTATTGATGTGCCTGAATCTCGCCCCGAACCCCAATATCCCTACCCTGAGGGAAATTTCATGCGTCTGCGAACATGCTACCAGTCAGTATTCTATCTCTGACGACGGGAACGAGGGAACTAGCAAGCCGCCCTTGTCGTGCAGCAAAGTGTCTTTGGGAGTCTGCGACGAGGTGGCACGAAATCGGGGTCGGGAAATTTTGGTTTGGAACATGAGCACTGAGCGTTCTTGTCGCTTCGACTTTACGAGTAAGTAGAGATACGCGTCGCTGGAAGCAGGCGTTGGGTGCAGCTCAGGACAGTATTACTAGGAACATCCGGGGAGGTCATTGCGTATCTCGCCAGGTCTCTCCTTGCTCTTGTCCAGGATGCTTCCAACCGTCGACTAAACCTGTCGTCGAAGCTTTCAGTATTCCGTACGGTTAGCACGGGACGCAATTGCGTCCGTTCTGGATTACAGAGATACGCGGCAGTGGCTTGAGCAAGTCTAGATCGTTACCGGGGCTAACATTCTCTCGTGGGGTTATTTTGGCTGGGTTGATATGTTCTCCCAGTGTCTTGATTGTCAATTGTCTACCAAAAACATTGCGATACTTGGGTTACTAAAACTGTCTCTTTGCTCGTCGTAGGTGCCTAATCGAGCGGTTGCCAGTAAGAGGGGCATGACCACTATCAGTTGAATACGAGGAACTACGTCTGAAACCTCTGTATACAGTTCGAAAGGCAATAGTTTGTAGTAATGGGTTCCGTTTGTTAGCTGCTTTCTCTAGTGAGCACGTTCCACCGTTTCTGTTGGGCCCTGATTAAAACTACTAGTATCAGGAATAGAAGTTCGACGAAGTACGAGGAGTCGAGCACTCGCCCAGAACGTCTCCTTGTGCGCAGTACGGACGTAGTGGCGGCCGTCATGAGTTGCGAAAACGGTCTGCCTCGTTGCCACTTCCGTAGGTTAGAAAAGCCCCACATTCCCTGAGTTTTCTCGTCGTCGCTCCTCGCTCGGCCTTCGGGGAAGTTGTGAAAGATATCCGCAGGCGTTGTGTAGCGGCAGGAGGACTTGGCAAACACACTTGGCTGGGTGATAGTTACACCGAATAGTTTTCTGCGCTACCTTGTTATAGTGCTGGCGTGGCTGCAAAGAAAGTCCTTGGATATGTGACGGTTAGAAGAAACATACTCTCTAATGGGGGTTTCTTTCAACAGCCATTATTACCCGATGGGGATGTTAGGCAAGAGAAGAGTACCTGTTTAGGGAGGCTTTTTCGAGCACCCAGTACCGGCACGGTTTTGCTAGGACAACGCCGGTCACCGTTTGACGGCCTCATAGCTGATACGGTACCTCCCCACGTCGGATGGCTTGAAAAGAGGCCGGCAGCTAGGCGGCATTACGTCTATACGCCTCAAGCTGCCTTCCGCTGTCTCCTAAGGGTCCTCAGTGTCTCACAGACTCCGTGCTCGCATACCCTTAGTATCGAATCGGTTTGTAGCCGTGCTACACTCCCGCACCTGCTAAAGGCCTGTATATTGGCTATACTATACCCATGTCCTCCGTACATAGTACGAAGTACGGAGTATGTGGTCATTGAATTATGAATAGAACAAGATGTGCACCAGGGTAGTGACCGTGCTTCTCTGCACAGGTAAAGTACCTCGATACCTTCGACGTCTGGACCAGGTCAAGCGGGTGCTGATTCGAGGGCTGTATTATTATCGATTGCTCCATAAGTGGTGGAAGAGCATTTGAGTGGGGGTTAATGGTTCGATGGGAAAATCAGCCAGCCCCTTCAAACGATTGCTTGCTTATCGAAGAGCAAACTAAGCTCGGTTCCTCTAGCAATCTTCGTACGCTATGTCCCGTTCCGGGGAGGCGCAATGGCTTGGTGTTTGGGCCATAGTTTCTCGCGACACTAGCCACTTGTGTACTCGTATTTTGTATTTGAATCGGAAATGTCAGAAAAAGAAAGAAAAAGCACTGCTGGAACTTCTGGAAGTCCAGCGGGGTTGGTCATAGTGGTAGCCACTGGCCGCCTGGGTGCAGTACAGCACAGTACCAGCGACCACATGGTTGGGAAGTCTGGAGTAAGATCCTGCGGAACGTGGACGCGGGACGGGGTGGCTTTGGGCAAGGAGAGGCCTTCCAGCAGAATGGTTAGTCCTTGTTAGACTGAACTGGCCTGGCTCGCGGATATCTCTCGCAAGGTCCCCGGTGGCTAGTGGGTTGTCCGTCGTGTTGCCGGGTACTGTACGAAGGCGAGGCAAAGACATCCAGTGTCGAGTGACGAGTGGGAAGTTCGATCCCTTGAGCCTCTGTTCCTGTAACTTCGGCCTAATGACGAGCGGACAGGGCGGAGTCTTTGGCCTCCACTGTATTTCCCACTAAGCAACATCCAAGATGCCTGGACGCAGCGCTCGTCCTCGGGTCCTTCCTGAATAGGTGCTCAATTGTGGAGCGATGGGAGGCATTCGTCCATTCCTGCGCTGTGGACGAGCAATGCCCGTTGACTCTGGCCGTCGCTGGCGGGAAAATGGGAAAGCTACGGTTCAAGAATCAAGAGCTTTTCCCAAGTCAAGCCTGTCAATCGCATCCCTCGAGCTGTCATGGAGCGCACCTGTGGAGGAACAACCAGAGTTGCACTTATAAAAGACTCCCTCTCCCCAAAACCCTTCTTTCATCTTGAACCTTTCGAGTTGAGTTGTAGCCTCGGAGGTTCGCCGTCCACCCCGTTGAATTTCCGCGCGTCCACCGCTGCTAAATCTCCGGCATGTATTGTGCGAGTACCACGGACAACGGACAACGGCAAACACCACCAAACCAAGCCTGGGGCTTTGGACTATCCACTCGGGGTGCGCTATTGAAATATTGCCAACCCGTAAGGGCCTTCTAAACGGTAAAAAATATGCGTAGACACTGCACTGTCGCCCAATTCTTCGTGGTGTCGTGTGGTGGCTTTACTCTTAGTAAACGCCTATTTCCCCCATTGTTGTTTATATACAGCTTCAAGTCTCTCCTTAACACCTATTTATTTTCTTCTTCCCTCATTCATTCATTTTGAATCGACCACGCTCATTTATCGCAAAAATGCCTTCTTTAATCCAATCTTCCCTCGCCATTTTGGCGCTCTCTTCGTCGGCCCTGGGAGCCTACTCCATCGACAAGGCCTTCAAGTTCGACGTCCATTCCCACGTCGTCCCGCCTATTTACAAAGAAGCGCTCATCAAGGCCAAATATCCTGTCGATGCGGCCACCGGTCTTGTCTTCACTGATGGCTTCCCAGTACCAGACTGGACCCTGGCAAACCATATCGCCACCATGAACACGAATGGTGTCAACTACTCGACCATTTCGATCAGCGCCCCGGGTGCTAACTTCTACGCCGGCCAGAAGAATAAGATGTTGACCTTGGTCAGATCGTTGAATGATGCCATGGCCAGTTACACAACCCAATACCCTACTAGAATCGGCGCCATGTGTATCCTGCCACTTCCGTATATTGAGGCGTCCATAGCAGAAATCGTCGTATGTTTACCCCGCGTAACTCCCAAGACAGCTGGAAGGTATATGAATATGCATATATGAGGTATATGGATGTGGACGAGATGTATCATTATTCTGACCGCAATCTCTCAGTACTGCCTCGATACCCTCAAATTTGATGGCGTCGGTCTCTACACCAACGCAGATGGTACCTACCTCGGCGACAGAGCTCTGGATCCAGTCTTTGATCTCCTCAACGCCCGTGGCGCAACCGTTTTCGTGCACCCCTCCAAACCCTGCAGTGGCTCTGTATCCCTAGGCTATCCAGACCCAATGATCGAATACCCATTCGAGTCCGTACGTGCCATGGAGAACCTACTCTTGACCGGTCAGCGCAGCCAATATTCCAACATGAGCATCATCTTCCCCCACGGTGGCGGAGCTCTGCCATACCTTGCGACTCGAATTGCTGGCCTGGCCAGTCTACCATTCATGGGAGGACTCAGTGTGCCGGATTCGTTGAACCAGTTCAAGGGATATCTATTTGATACCGCGTCCAGCACCTCCGTTGTGCAATTGATTGCCATGAAGCAGTTCTTCGGTAGCGTTAGTGGCATTGTCACTGGGACTGATTGTAAGTGTGCTCTCCCGTTGAACGTCGCCCAATAAACTAACAAATCCAGTCCCCTACGTTCCCCAGGCTCAAGCAGCCGCCGGCCTCGCCTCCACCAAAGCAAACGGCCAATTCACCGACGACGAAATGGGATCAATCAACAACGCAAACGCCTTCAGAGTGTTCCCCAAGGTCGCAGCTAAATTGGGTTTCGCAATTGTGTAAATGTGAGATCAATATTGTGACTGGAAATCGAGTGGCATCACTGTCTACACTCATGTGTGACCAATTTGGCCACGCTTGTACATATGTGCTAGATCCTGAACATATAAGAAGAATTCCCGTAGTAGTGTTTAATGTAATGGAGCTTTGACCAAGAAATTTCTGGTTATCTGCTACTTTGCGCACCATTTGCTAGTGAACCTGTGAAGCCGTGAAACAGAGTTAGGGATTGGACGGTTAACCCATCAAATCTCCTCGGCGTTGGATTTGTAGATTGCACCCACCAAACAACAGAATGGAAGGAAAAATAAAGATTTAGAAGACAAAGACTACTTCTCAACCCCACCACCTTACTATCCCACTCGTTAGATAGCAAGTTTATTAAATGTAGTATTTTCTCTCTAATAGTACAATAAATATAGATCCTTCGGTAGTTAGTATAAATACTATATTATAGTACTACTGTATAAAACACTAATAGTAAATCATTCCTGTATACATTCCTACTATGGCGCCCAAATTAAAGCTGCACGCACCTCGCCTTTCCCATCGCAAACTAAAGCTATTCGCACGTTACCTTTATATAATTACTTATCTATGATTCCTTATTTAATATTGTTGATATAGTTCTTGAGTATATAGTTCAAGTTAAAAATCTTCTAATTAATTATAATTAAATTTATAACTAAAAAAGACTTCCTCTATACCTACCTTATTAATCAAGAAGAGAGGTACTTCTTTATGTAATACCTTAAAGCTAAGAATATAGTTGTTACCTCGGGCTTAATAGAGTACCTAGGTACTCGACGTTTTATTATATCTAACTACTACTCTTATATATACATATATATATTATTTTTTTAAAAAATAAATTATAACCTATACATTTTGTAATAGACTTATATTTAGGTGCGACAGCGAAGTACGAATAGCTTTAATGTATAAAACGTAGGAGTAGTAGTAAGTGTAGGTAGGAGACTATACTATAGTGTGTAGAGGGACGATTTACTATAGCAATTATACACTGGCACTGTAGTTTGGGTGTTGTACTACGCTGCTGAAGGGTCTACATTTCCAGTGCTACTTGGAAAGAAAAGGCCATTGCATGTTTGAGAAAGGCAGGACCTCAGCAAAGCGGCTTAGTAGACGAGAGGTATAACCATGTATAGACCTACCTATACCTATTTGTTGTAATGTCTGTCGTAGACCAAATACCCTCAGTAGCATAGCGGGAGGGCGTATTAAGAAACAACGATGGAATGTACGTAGATAGCTTATTAGATGTGATCATGGAAGGTCTGATGTTATAATTAATAAATGTACTTCTTTCTTCAAGCTTCTAAACGGGTATCATTTCGAGACCTCTCTTTCGTCATCAAGCACCAAAATTCATTCTCAGCGCAATAGTCGGCTCCTTATCTTCCGCGCTTTCAACATCAACTTTCCCAGGGCCAGCCTTTCTCCCTGCGAGAATAACACTCTCCATAAACTGCTTCTGTCCATCCGTCATGCCACCAACAACGCCCCTGAATGCCACTTGATCACTGGCTGCTAATTCAAGTAGTCTCGCGCTCGTTTCCTTGTAAACGGTTTCGCCCTCGCTGTTCGCGCGTGATAGAATCGTTGGCATGATGAGGGAGATCGCTACGCCCTTTGCAGGCCCGCTTAAGGTGGACACAAAAGCCGTGAGAGCATGGGAGACAAGTGCCCGGGCATTTTCGGGATCTTCGTTTTCTGTATTGGTAGCAAAGGTGATGAGGCGAGGAAGCAGATAGCGGGCGATACTTTGATCGGCTGGAGTTTTAGGTGAGTGGAGGAGGAGGGTACGAATGCAGTTAGCTGCTATTTTCGCGGTCTATAGTAACCTGATTAGCAAATATTAACACTAAAAGCGATGTGAGGGTTTACCATGATATCGCTGAGGCAGTCAATAACCTCCTCAAGGAAGCGGACCACGAGTGGCTCGCTGGCAGACATGTAGTTCTTGCCGCTGGTGAGAAGAACTGTACATGCTAGAAGAGTATTCTTGACGCATGGGAGTGAGGCCTCTGTTTCTCGTTTTTGAGCATTTAGATAGATAGACAAAAAGCGTTTGAGGCATCCTTGGATCTGTGTCAGGTTCGTGTCTTGGTCTTCTCGTTTCGTCTTGCGTGAGGCCGATATACTGGTAATAAAGCGCTTAAGTATGGGTAGCGACTGAGGTACTACCACAGCTTGACAGCTTGCCGTGCCTAGAATGGTGGCAAATATGTGGATAATACATGCATGCAGATCCGTCTTGATAATTGATGGGAATACTTCGGAGGCATCAACTAAAGCGTTCATCGACACGCGAATGAGAGAGACGGCATCATCCGTCATTTTGTGTCGAGCAGGCTGCCGAGCCTCAATGAGATTTGGAAGCAGACCAGCGAGGACTAGGACGATGATACGAGTGAGCTCAAACAATTGCTCAATGTCTTCTGACAGATCGCCGTCTTCGGTATCTGATGCCTTGGTGGCAGATGGGTGAGATATACACAATCCTCTTGCAATCTGCACAATGACTCTCTGGACATCTAGCCCTTCGGTGAGAACCAATCGGTCCAGCAGATCCATCGTTTCGGAGAAGATGGCCTCTCGATAAATAGCATGGCCAGAAACACTTGGATGCAATATCTTTTTCAGAGCTTGTAAGATTTCTAGCGTCTGCTCCTTTGAGGCAAGTGCATCACTTCCAGGTCGAGCCACCAGCGCCTCAAAAGCGATCCCGAACAAGACGAAAAAGAAAGCCACCGGCTCATCTCTATAGTTAATGTCATTGCCTTTGGAATGGCCATTCGTAGTTGGCGCGTCGGTCTCCTTTCCATCTAAGGCATCAAACACAAATTCGCTGTCTTGCTCGATGAGACTGGCGATGGCATCGACTAAGTTAAGCCAGGAATCTTGATAGAACCTCAATAGAGTCTCGCGATTTAGCGCCGAGTAAATGCTATCTAAACTGCCTGAAAGGGATGGTGGGCCTAGACTCATCGAAATATCTGGCTCGAATCTTAGGCGGGCAAATTCCCTGAGGGATGCAAGCCATAGAGGCGTGAGCGTGCCAACGTAGGGTTTCAGAACATCTACTAAGTAGTGTTGCTCTGTGCTTGCAACCTGGAGCTCTGCCCATGCTGAGAAGACGGCCATCTTCACCATAACTTGGGCATTGGAGCTGAGGCCGCTGAGATCCCCGATGGCTGCCACCTCAGATTCGGTAGAGAAATTCTCAAGCGCAGTTACTAGGGTCTTTAATATCCGGCCCATTCGATCCACATCCGTAACAATTCCTGTTGCAATGAAAGCTGCACAAACATTCACCGCTTCGGATGCTAATTCCGGCGACGAGTCAGATGCGAAAGCAGGTGTGAGGGCAGAACTGATTTGTGCTTGGTACTGTTCAAGTAGTGGCGCCTCGGCGAAATCAGGATCAGGAGTCTTTCCAAACATCTTTAGAACAGCGTCGATAATCTTCAAGCCCCAGACTCGCAGTTCGACAACGTTGGAAGTTGATGCCGAAAATGCCATTCGAATGACATCAGCAACCTTTTTCTGTAGTGCCATCTCCGCCGGTGTTGTACCATCTGGTGGTGCCGCTTTGCTGACGAGTAGAAATATTTCACCAAGGCAGCTCATTGCAAACGTACGAACTTGCCATCTCAGGGGTTCTTGACCAGCACCGGTAGCTGTGGTTCCATCATCCTTAGTAGCACCAGCAGCTGCCGCAAAGCCCGCCACCTCCTCATCCTGCAAATCGGGCATTGCGCTAACCTTCGTCGACGCTGCTACGACATCCTCGGCCTTTGTTCTCGTCATTGTCAACACACTCTGGCACCTTTGCAACCATCGGGTTGTCTCAGAGAGGCAAGATTGCTCCAACCAGTTTCGGATGACATTTCTTATCCCATCGTGACTCGGGTTGGTGTCCAATGCAAGCCATAACTGGTCCTCGAAGCCTGGTTCGGCGACTTTGACGACATCCTCGGAGTTACGCTTCATCAAATTGTATAGCCCATCAATGGCGATATCTCTTAATTCAGGGTCTGCACAATTGAGATATCTCTGCAACATGACAACGTAATCAACGAATACCATGTGGCCAGGTGCGTATAGGGCGAGGTGCTCTAGGCATTTCATACTTCCAGCCAAGACTATAGGATTTTCTTCAGCCTGGAATTGTCCCACAAGCGTTAAAATCAACTCCCGAGCTGTTGTCATATCCTGTAGATCAGGACCCAATACATTGACCATAGAATCAACGCATCTTGCAATAACAGCAGTCGTTGGTAGCTCCAATTCCAAGTTTGACGATGCAGCCGATGTAATATCATCATTATGTGTATCGGAAACATAGAGCTGAGCGGCTGCGCCCAGTGTACTCGACACATATCCAGAGAAGGTCAACCCAGCCGAATCAGCAACCCGAGTCAAAGCCTCCAGCGACCAGAAATGGACTGTAGGATGTGGATCTTGGCTTAGGGACATTAGAACACCAACAATCGTTTTGAGATGAAAGCCGGCCGCCATGCCGCCAACTTTGGAATGTATACACCCCAATGCCATGGCACATCCGGCTCGGGCAGATGGCTCGCGGTTGCCAACAATGGTATCAATGAGGTACTTGACCTCTTGGTTCGTAAATCCATTGCCAGAGCTATTACATAGTCTTGCGAGTGCCTGGTATCCAATACTACGGAGGTATTGGTCGTGGTGAACAACGAATGGTCGAATCATCTCCTGCATGAGTTTCTCTACCGCCGGATTCCCAACGTCCCCAGCCGGTGACTGGGTTTCCTTCACAGCCACCTTCAAGGTAGAGAACAGTGCCGTTGCGACATTGATGTTCATAGCAGCTCTCCGTCCCGAGTCTCTCTGTAGTGACCCAGCTGACATGAAGGTAGTGACCTGCTCTAGGATGCTCTCCTGGATTTTTGGCGGAGTAAGCGGAAACGCAATGGCAAATAGGCGGATAGCTACGTTAACAACCTCCGTGGCAGGTGGGTCCGGAAGAGTATCAAAACTGTTGAAGTTGCCTAAGTATAGCGTCAAGGAATCGTGTTCCAATGAGCTGCAAATAGGGGAGAGCAGTACTTTTGCTATGGCAGCATCAGGCCCATTCTCCTCCATCCAGTCATCCTGGGAGTCGTTTTCATGTTCACCAGGGAGGGACTTGATCTTAAAGCCACGGACCAGTCCAGTGACCCCGAAGCCACAATTATCACTTACATCCCAGATTGTCTCGAATGCCCCGGCGGAATTCGCAATCGAGGTGCTTAATGAACTCGGTGTATAATTATCCGGATCAGCAAAGAAGGAAACCGCTAGAGTAAGCAGGTTTGATTGAAGTAGTGCCTCACTTCCACCAGCGGGACTGAGATTAACCAACTTGGTATAACATTGAAGAACTCGTCGTTGAACCATGAGATCTAGGTCATGCAGTTGTAAAGATGGCGTAAGTCGCTGAGTAATATCTTCAGTCGTTTTCTTCGGTGGCAAACTTTTGAGGAAGGCTGTCGTGTTTTGCAACATAGCAGCAATACGTTTCGACACATCCACCGTTAGCAGCCTGCTATTAAACTGGAGAAATGCCAATATAGAGCCAAGAGCACATTCTCTAACGTGGGTAAGAAAGGACGACTCAAGATAACTTCTTTGGGAAGTGTTATCTTTCGCGAGTGGCTTGGGTAGGGCATTTTTCCACAAGAGCAAGAGTTGGGAAAGATGAATCTTGACAAAGTTGGGCCCCAGTGACATCAGCCCACCTATCAAGATCCACGCCACTTGAATCTGGGTGCCGGATATTCGTAATTCTGATTTGCTGCTAGACTTCAACAAGCCTGTTGCAAGTGATAGAACCCGACTGTTGACATCCACGGAGCCGTATAGGGGTTGCAGAGGTGCCGTGCTAATCATGGCAGAAAGACCATTCGCATAACCGATACATCGCCTGGGAGAATTTCGTCCCGATGACAATAGGTTCAACTCCCTGTTGACGCTATTCATGCAAATAGTCAAACAAGGCAAGAGTTGCTGGGGACATGCCAGCGCCAATGTACGGAGGCAGTACGACGTATATATTTGAACAGTATAACTCGGATGCTGGAGGACCTGCAATAATCCATCACGGCAAGAATCGGCGAAGACATTCGAAGCAGAGCCAAGAGTCCTCATCAAAGGTGCTAAAGCACTCAGAACCGCGATGAGAGCATGTTTCGGCGGTTCAGCACGTTCCTTGATGACTTGAGGAAAGTTTTTCAGAACATCATTAATCAGTGCTTTTGCAGCATCTATTTGGCCCGCTTCGCCTAGGATCTTGTGCCCAATAACATCTTCCAAGATGATTTGGACAAATCGTCGAGTCGTCAGGAGACGATACCTGTTGTTGGTGATATTCGCATTGCTCAAGACATCGATTGTCAGATGATCTACAATCGTCATGTACATCGTCTCGACCGTTCGTTCGCTCAGGCTTCTAAAGATTCTGCTGTAACATACAGCTATTCCAGCTCTTGCCCGGCTGCTGGTAGATGATTTGACATATAGCGTCGATAACTGCCTTAACATATCAGAAAGGGTAAACACGAGGATCTGACTTTTCTTTGGCCCTGGACTCTCAGGTCTTTGGATTTCCTCATCATCCCCGCCTACCATCATCGATTGGCGTTTGGTATTCGACCGTTTCAGTTTCTTTATTTTTGGAAGATCGTTTTCAGCTGGAGGACTTTCCGAGTAATTCTTGACCATAGCGCCGGCAAGGCAATCCCCTGCTGCTTGCCGTACCAGCGGACTAGATGAGTCAATAGCCTTCCAGATGGTCGACCTGAGACTCTCAAAGTCGCTTTGGTTGTCAAAATATGGGGTGTGCTTGCATAGCATCTTCAAACACTGACAAGCCGCCACTTGTACCAAAGCCGACTTGTCACTCGACGCGTAGCTCCTTGCCTGCTTCCAAATGTCCCTGGCCAGAGGTTCGTCCATACTTCCCTCCACCATCTTGGCAATCTTGCCCAACGCCTTGAAAACTGCTGCCCGTAGACCTGCATTATTCTGTGCATATTTTAAGAGCTTCAAGGTCGCTGAACAAGCCAGAACATGTAGCCCAATAGCACTATCTCCTGCCGCCGCAAAGACATCTCCTAGGCAGTATACCGCACCATGCTTGGTTCGCAAATCTCCATCTGCTTTTGTCTTTCCGCTGCTAATGATCCCCACCAAGTCATTGATGGTCTCGAACAATAGTTTTCGATCCCCTTTTCCAAGGACGTGAGCGAAACATCTCCCAAGATTATTTCGTATTACTCGAGTCGGTGGAGGGGCTGCGAGGTTGAGGATTTGGAAGAGCTCTCTTTTGAGATATAACTGCTGCGCCGTACAATCATCTGGTTCAAGGCTCTCGACATGTTTCGTAAGCGTCGAAACGAATCTTAGAAGGTATAAATCTTGCTGCTCTGAAGGTAGGGATTGAAGCTTCTTGACGTCGAGTTCTGGAGTGGCAGAATGTTCAGCTCGAGGGGGTAAAACGTCGGTCGAGCCATTTGCGGAGGCTGGCAAATTTGTTGAGGACATTGACACGTCGGTATCGTTGCTTGCAAAGACGTGTTGATGTTAAATTCTAATATGGTAGACAGATTGCTTCGAGCTCCTCGAAACACCGTAGCCTGCCTCCCTGCCAGCCAGCCTGGCTTACCCCGGACAATCTAATTGTGCGGCAGAACATCGGGTAAACGTTTTCCTGCTGAGAATTCAGCTTGCTCGCAAACCTGTCTACGATTTAATAAAAACTGATTATTTATGATCACTAGGAAATTATCATGGGCGAGTAGAGGTGGTAAAAAGATGAAATAAGGTGCGAAACAGGTGAACGATAGATGGCCTAGCCTGGGCTGATAAGTTGGTTTCAACCGGCAGTAACTCGCAGGAACTGGAGTGGATGTTGCACCATGGCAGTTTACGCCTATTAGTCTGAGGAATTTCACACTCAGTATAGGATGCAACCAATTCGGCTTCTCCAATTTAAAGACAAAATATCACATGGTGCTCAGAAGACCGAGATATAAACACTTCGGAAATACTTTGGCGTTTTCTATGATAATCGCGACATTTGAGTAAAGCGGCGAGTATGTTCGTGGTCACGTGAAGCGCGCCTCGGTGCGACAACTGCTCGAAGCCGAGATGACCCAAAAAAGATGAATTGTACTGCATATCATTAGTGTTTACTACAATGGCTGCGTTCTCTATAGGCGTTCGTTCATACGCATCCCGGGTAGATTTCATATGCTCACGATGTCTCCAATTCTCCACCACATCAGCAGTTCAATCGGGGCACAATCGATGGTCCAAAATCAAACACGACAAAGGGAGCGCTGACGCGAAGAGAACTGCCCGGTATTCGATGTTTGCCCAAGACATCACACTGGCATCGAGAAGTTAGAATTATATCAAACGGAATTCAAGGTCTGCATTCTGACAAGTATATAGTGGGCGGCCCAGATGTAAATATGAACCCCAGGTTAGCTTCAATACTAGCGATAGCGAAGAAAGGTACTTGACGGGGTAAACTCCCTTTTATACGGGCAATTGCAGCAAGCTTACGTTCGATAGCTGGTCTCCCGAAATCAAATATTGAAGCAGCAATCGCGCGCGGTCAAGGACGTTCAGTTACCGGAGCAACCCTGGAGTATGTCACACTCGAGACCATAATGCCCCCATCAGTAGCGATGATTATCGAAGCGGAAACGGACAACGCGAAGCGCACATTAGGTGACCTAAGGTTGCAGGTTAAGAAGCACGGAGGGGTGGTCACGCCCACAAGCTATCTCTTCCAAAAGAAAGGACGGGTGATTTTTGAAAAGGACGAGAGGAATTTGGGCGTTGACGACGTGCTAGACCAAGCTATCGAGGCAGGTGCTGAGGATGTCGAGGCTGAACAAGACGGGACTCTTGTGGTGTGGACGGAGCCCGGAAATACTACATCTGCAGCCAAATCATTGCAGGAGAGCTTGGGGTTGAAGGCAGAGAGCTCCGACATCATCTGGGATCCCAATGAGGATACTAAGGTCCAGCTCGACTCTATGGATGATGTCACTGCTCTGTCGAAATTCATTGACGTTATTAGAGATAACCCGAGTGTCCAGAGCATATACGCAAATGTTGCGGAGGATAGCATGAATGACCAAGTCTGGGAGGACCTACTAGACAAACTAGATGCTTAGAGCACCATAGACTGTATAATAGCTGAAATTTGAATATATTTACAATGGTAGCGGAGAATGGCCCTCGACTCCCACAGGCTATGCCCTGTTCATACCCTAGTATAATGGAACATGCTAATATAGATGCTGTTCCCAAACGCCCTCAATGTATAACGCCCTTCGCGTAACAGCCCTCTGTTTCCGCATAATCTCATCTCGTGCTCTCTGATGATATTCCAGGATGGAAATCAAATCGCTGTATAATTGAGTCGGCCGGTTCCGGTCACACACAGCGGTTCACTCCTCAGCATCACGAAGAGTCTCCATTCCTACTCTCGTTCCCACTCTCTCCTTTGGCTTCCATCTCAAGTCGCTTCTCCCTCAAGAATAATCGTTTCTTCCTCAAACGCTCCAGCTCGCTATGTATCTCGTCCTTCTCGAAAGGAATTCGGTTTGTCTGGTTAGGCTTCGGCCAGAAATCGGGCACGGCGAAGCGTCTGTCTAAGTTCGTGCCATAGTAGTACATCGTTCCAATTGGGAACATGATGTACATGCCAAACTAGCGGAGCAATGTTAGTTAATAGGAAGGAGGGTGGAGGGGTGGTTGAGGAAGAACCCGAGACACGTACTTTGAAGACTTCGAGGTTAGGTCCCCCCATCGTTGCGGAGGATGGCGATGATCCGAGAGATTGCCGCCGAGAATTATAGATGCCGGAGCCCTTGTGTCGTAAGGTAGAAGACTAATAGCATTAAATGCGAACTTTTGTGAATTGTTGACCAGATGAAAGTCGTTCGATTATCCTCACGTGACTAATACAGCCATTTGGACAAGGATTGAACATGACCCCTGCAGGAGCTTAATACTCCGTAGATCGTACCGAGGCTCGGCTTCCGACATAAATAACATTAGGAGGGGCTTCCCCAGATTAACTCTCTTCCCTTTATACCGCGTCTTTAACTTTCTTGATTATATTTAATTTACCCGAAGCAGTCAGAGATATAAAGAATCAAAATGGCAGAAGTAGTATCAGTCGAGTACAAGGGCAAGGTCGCCGTGATCACGATTGACAACGATAAGCAGCTCAATGCTTTGAACCAAGATGGGTATTATCAACTTGCAACATATATGAGGGAGATCGCTCTACACGATGAGGTGTATGTTACAGTTTTGACGGGAAAAGGTACATTGATATCATCCATTCGGCGAATAATGTTCCTAACTGACATGATACTTACCAGGTCGATATTTCTCTGCGTAAGTCGAACAACATATGATCCATTCATGAAGCAGTTATTAAGAATCAATCTAGAGGCGCAGACGTGTCAATCAGTAAATCACAGCCAGATGGGACAGACTTAAAGAGGCACTGGCTCAAAAACTTCGTGTCTAATAACCTCAACATAACCCAAGCCTTCTACACCCATCCCAAAATCCTCGTTGTCGCATTGAACGGGCCCGCAATTGGTCTGTCTGCTGCCTTGATCGCCTTCGCAGATTTTATCTATTGTGTCCCCCACACCTTTCTCCTGACTCCCTTCTCCAGCCTTGGGCTCGTTGCCGAAGGCGGTGCGTCTCGAGCTTTTGTCACACGGTTAGGGATCAGCAAAGCCAACGAAGCTCTCATCATGAGCAAACGGATAACTTCCGAGGAATTACTCCATGTCGGCTTTGTGAATAAGATATTCGACTGCAAAAAGGGAGAGGACGAGAAGTTCCGGAAGCTGGTGTTTGAGGAGATCGGGAGCAGACTCGGTGATCATTTGAATGGTGACAGTCTGGTGAAGATCAAGGCCTTAATCAGAAAGCCCGAGAGAGAAATTTTGGACACGCAAAACGTGGCAGAGGTGTTTGGAGGGCTCGAAAGGTTTGCCGCAGGAATCCCCCAGGAGGAGTTCAGGAAAATTGCCAGCGGAGAGAAGAGACATAAGCTGTGAATAATTTAGATTGATATATTATGAAACGCCATTTGGTGTTAGTCCGCACCTTGTATTGATTGGGCCTGATCGCATCCTCCATTTACATGGACTGCCGATAAAGCACACCATGTGAGAGAAGTTATGTTTCACGCCGCACTAAAACTCCATTTCCCTGGGAAATCCAACATCGTAGATGGTTGTCCCATGTCTGAATAGACTCCTCGAGCCAGAACTCCACCATGACCAGCATAACCCAAACCTGTACTCCATGAACCTCCGGTTTTTACTTTCCATCGGCCTCTTTACTTTCCTTCTCCAATTTCGCCATTCTCCTCTCCTCATCCTTTTTCCAGTGACTCCCTTCCTCGTAGTGTCGACTAATCCCAAGCGCACTTCTGAATCTGTCATCTTGCTTGATTTTCGCCTCGGCCAATTCGTGAACTTGATGCATTTTCAGTCCTTTGGTGTTTGGGCCATTTCCGCTGTTCATCTCTTTCAAAAGCTTTTTCCGCAACGCTTCTGTTTGCGTATCGATCTCTTCTTCATCAACACTATTTTACACACTGTTAGCCTCGTCATTTGGAGAGCATATTCCGCCAAGAATGGCAACTAGGCGAGGGAAAGAATGTAAAACGCACCCCTCATCCTCCAAACGATCCCTCAGTTCGAAAACCTTGACTTCGACATCGCGTTTCCGGTCATGCTCTAGGATTTCCTTATCGGGTTTTCGTTGTCTGTGCTTTAGGCTATCGAGGTCGGTGGAGTACGGCTTTCCCTGGTCGCGAGGCTTCAAATGCGCAAGATTGCGTTGTACGTATCCAGATGTGCCGCTACCGCGGGGCGTGGAAAGTCCTACGTTCGAAGACATGTTGTGAGTTGGTTGTGGATATTTGCGGAGGTTCATTGAACGAACGAACGATGGTGATAGATAGCAAATAAAGGCGGTCAAGAATTCTGCCGCCTTACCCGTAAACTTATTTCCTAATCGATACGCCACAATTGCCCCTCGTTGTTATGACTCTTGGAACTTGCTGAAATATTTTAGAATCCCAACTTCTTCATTTCATTTACTTCAAGAGAGTCTTTCGTTTTGCTCGCAAGCAAGGAAAAAATGCCCGCCTTTGAATCTATTGAAGATCCCGAAGAGGTTCGACCTCTGATGAGGCTTCCTTTTCCTCCAGTCCAAAAATCGCAAATCCTTCACTGCTCTTATGATTATTGGCACCAGAAGTAAGCTGTTCCAGACCGATATCTTTGTTCATTCAAAAGCTAACACTGCTCAAAGATACCGATCCTCAACACTGAAATCCCGAATCATTCCTCTCTCCGCCCCATTCCTCTCGTACCTTCGCGAAGACGGCATTGTCCTCCCCCCAGAGACTCAAGCGACGAACTCTAACTACGAGGACAATACCACAAGTGAAGGCTGGGATGATGATAGTCAAGATTCAGACCCGTCTCTTAGATTTTCTGAAATCCACCAACAAATCAAAGACACAATCACCGAGCTTGGTGGCCTCGTGGCCCCTAAACTCAACTGGTCGGCCCCCAAAGATGCGACATGGATCAATATGAAAAAGAATAGCATGGAATGTGCGACTGCCAACGATATCTACCTCTTATTCAAGTCCTCAGATTTTATAAACCACGATTTAGAGCACGCGTTTGATGACTGCGCTGAGGATGGGCCACAACAGCCGCAACATATTAACTACGTTCTAGTTTTAAGGAAATGGTTCAAAGTCAACCCATCCTGCGAATTCCGATGCTTCGTAAGAGGCAGGAGGTTAATTGGGATTTGTCAGAGGGATCTAAATCATTTTGAATTCTTGTTCCCATTGAGAGACCAAATAAGGGACACAATACAAAGGTATTTCGACGGCACGTTGAAGGGTACGTTCCCGGATGAAAATTTCGCCTTCGATATCTATCTTCCCGAACCATATGACCAAGTCAGGCTTGTGGATATAAACCCTTGGGCACCACGCACCGATCCGCTATTATTCTCTTGGCTAGAACTTCTTACGATGCGACTTCCTCCTCCACTTCTGGGTATCCCGGATTCGTCCCCAGACCCACCTCTACAGTTCTCTAGCGATGAGGATACTCAGGACGAGGGCGTGGAAGAACTAGAGTGGAAGCCGGAGGTTCGACTGGTGAACAAGGATGACCCAGAGGCATACAGCTTTGCAAGCCCGCAATATAGTGCCCATAAGTTACCAAAAGATGTCGTTGATGCGAGTTTAGGAGGCGAGAGTAGCATGATGGATTTTGCCCGAAATTGGGAGAAAATGGTCAATGGGCAGCTCGACATGCAACATGCGAGCGACGACGAAGGCTCCGTCGAAGGCAATATCCCAACCACGGATATATAGCTGCATGGGGTTTAAATTAAATAATACACTAGACAGCACCCCCAAGCAGCCATACGATCCTCTTGCAGGGCCTGTTAAGGTGCCTATACATTCCTAAAACATTGAGGGATTGACTTGGCCTTGGTGTAGGAAAGACTATCTCACTTTACCCCTTTGACCCTAGGTGTTAAGAACATACTGTTGTTTCAAGCGATTTGGATGTATAGAAAGTGTTGCGTTAGATTTGATAGACTAGTAACCTTATACTAATGAGATTTCGAAATAAGGTCAGCGGAAATGTGTAATGCTTATTAGACATAGGTTTGCTTGTCTCCATAAATCTCATACTACGTTGCATACCTGCGTGCCTAATTTAGCGGGTTGTCTTTCATCGCAAATAATGGATCTCGGAGAGACATCACGGTAGGAAGGTCCTTGATAAGAACCTACCTTCCTGTGCAAATAACACTCACTATATTTTACAAATACTCCAATTGAGGCCATCCATGGGAAACGGGGCATCATATAGTATTTCATGAACTCCATCTCTTGAACTTACTGAACTCGCCGAGACTTTGAGGTGAGGGGAAACATTTCGCTACCCGAAACCGCTCTCAACCGTTCAGACACCATGGCGGCAATAACCAACACCACCGCTCCATGGTCAGACGAAGAGCTGAAGGCCAAAGTAGGACAGGTATGTAGAAGCCTTTTGTAAATTGCAATGTCATTTTTGAGCTGTTCCGTCTTTGCTGCTTCAATCTTGGAATACGCCCCCACTTCTGCCCATATCTTGACTTTGATTCGAGCCGCTCCAAGGAACGAGAAACCCTGAATGCTACATTTCGTCCGACATTAAAAGGCTATAAGCTAATAATATTTTGAGCTCTTCATTGTTGGCTTCTACGGCCATGCGCCGAGTGAGGATATCAAAACTCTCATCACCACCCACAAAGTTGGCACAGTCATTCTATTTTCGAGGAATATCCAAAGCGGGACTCAATTATTAGAACTCACCAACTCCCTCCAAGAGATTGCAAAATCTGCTGGCCACATTCAAGATCTCTTCATCGGAATTGATCAGGAAAATGGCCTCGTTACTCGTATCCAGCCACCTATCGCAACCCAGCTTCCAGGAGCGATGGCCCTTGGTGCGACGAAGGACCCCGCAAACGCATACAAAGTTGCGCTTGCTACCGCCGAAATGCTAAAGGGGTTTGGAATCAACATGAATTATGCACCTATAGCGGACATCAATTCCGAGCCAAAGAACCCAGTGATTGGAGTTCGGTCACCCTCAGATGACCCCGAGACCGTCGGCAGATTTGTTTCGGCGCATGTCAAGGGACTCCAAGATGGTGGAGTTGTGCCATGCGTGAAACATTTTCCTGGGCATGGGGATACGGCAACCGATTCGCATTATGGGCTACCAGTGATTTCTAAAAGCAAGGACTTGCTCGAGACGTGCGAGCTGGTGCCTTTCAGAAGAGCTGTTGTGAAGGGAGTCGACGCTGTGATGACCGCACATATCACCATGCCTGGAATTGGAAAGTCAAAGCCAACAGAAGAAAACCCGTCACAAAGTCTGCCTGCAAGCCTGAATCCAGATGCACTTAATATTTTAAGAAAGGATATGAAGTATAACGGTTTGATTGTTAGCGACTGCTTGCAAATGGAGGGTGTGGCAGCCCCCTATGGTACCGAGAGGGCTGCCGTAATGGCTTTGAAGGTCTGTAAATGGATCCTTCCCGGTATTAGAATCTGGCTAACACAGCGAAGGCAGGAACCGACTGTGCGATGATATGCCATACCATGGCCGCGCAAGTTGGAGCAATCGAACTGGTTGTTCAAGCGGTAAAGTCAGGCGAGCTTTCCCAGGAGCGGATTCAAGCTTCAGTCGAAAGAGTCCACCGCCTCAAGTCAAAATATTTAGACTCAGGAGCTGCAACAATAACTCTCACACCCACCGATTTGAAATCTAGAAATCAAAGACATGCCGACCTTGCCTCCGAGGTGTACGGAAAGAGCACAACAATAGTTCGAGCTGAACCTGGGATCATTCCACTTACTTCCAATCCCACAGCAAACATCGTTTTCGTTAGGCCTGCAAAGATACCATCAGGCGGAGGAATACTTGATTTTGAAGTTGGTGAAGGTGCAGCTACCGATACTGATCCGCTTGTACATTATATCGACCTTCTTCAAGCTCGCAATCCCAGTGTCACCGAGGTTCGATTCTATGACGGAATCCCGCTTACTCAAGTAGCCGAGCAGGCCATCGCTGAAGCAGAATTCGTTATTCTTGCCACTGGGAATGCAGATTTAAGCTCGTATCAGAAGGAATTCGGCCTCTCTCTAGGCAAAAGGCTTGGGAAGAAGATGATCGCTGTTGCGACGTGCAATCCTTATGATTTCCTCGACGAAGTTGGAGAAGTCAAAAACTATGTTACCATATACGAGCCAACTGTTGAGGCATTTGAATCTGCCGTGGATGTGATGTTTGGAGCTATCAAACCATCCGGAATTCTTCCAGTTGGGACGCGCTCTCCTCCTAATATGGGAATCAGAGCCGTCACAAGTTCAGATAAGGACGTGGACAAAATCTGGAGCCTGTGGCAAGAGATCTTCACAAAGTGGCCCATCCAACGTCAGCGGTTAGCTGAAATACTATACAAACCAGGCTGGAAGCACTACCTGCACGACAACGGCTTCTGTCTTGCATACTCAGTTGGAGACGGACACGCTAGAATTTCAGTAGTTGGTGTGTTGCCGGGTTTCCGGGGGAAAGGGTTGGGCACAGCCTTCGTTAGAATGGCACATGCGGAGTTGAAAATAGTGGCCTCTCAACACGGGCAAAGTGGTTTGGAGTCATTTGGAATTGGCTCTGTATTTCCGAGATTTTGGCCCGGTATCCCCATTGATGTTCCACAAGTGGATAAAGAGTTCTTTTTGCACAGAGGTTTGTTCCCTTGTCTACGCTCAGCAGCTGGGTTACCAAATTTAACTTTTGCAGGATTTCGTGGTCCTACAGGTCCCACTTCTCGTGATCTCTTTAGAGATATCACCTCTGATGTTGCACCTCCCGATGTCGTCGACCGAGTTTCGAAATTACCCTTTAAGTTCACACCATGGTCGCCAGCTCTTGAAGAAGAGTGCATGACCAAACAAAGAGCTAACTTCAAGTGCACTGTTAGTTGCTTTCGTCCCCTATTCCCTTTTTCCCGGGTATTAATATTATTCCTAGGGTTGGGTACAAGCTTATGAACGATTGGCTGCTGCAAATCAACATCATGAGGTCATGGTGGCTTTTGACGAAAACGGTGCTCAAGTTGGTTGGACGTTAATGTGTTCTCCTTCCGCTATTATCAGTCAAGAGCTTGCATTTCTACCTTTAATGCCCGCAAAAGAGAAGACAGGGTTGATTGCATGTGTCGGTGTAGATGAGAGCACGAGAGGAAAAGGGCTCGGATTGGCCCTTTTGATTAAGGCCATGGAAAATATGAGAGAGCGAGGTATCGAGGGTGTGTTAATTGACTGGGTCGTTATCAGGGGGTTCTATGAACGGCTAGGATTCGAAGCCCACTTCGAATATGAAAACTATGATTGGTGAGGGGATTATGGTTAATACTACTCTGGGTAAACAATATCAAGAAATGTTTAGCAGCATTCCTTGTCATATCCCGTATGTCGGCATATGTGTTATAGTAAACCACTTGAAAGAAGAAAAGGGGTCGCTACACAAACTTTGTGGACCAGATCCCTATGATTTCTGCCGCTCACTCACTACGCTATATTACAATGGGCAAGCATATACTATCAAATTTAGCTTTTGAATTATGCAAAAGAATGGGTATGATATTTCATATATCATTGGTATGTCTCCCTACTCCTTAGCTGGTGTACAGGAATCCGGTCAGTTTAAAACGCATATAATATTCTTGCTTGTTCTTGAGCCGCTTCATATGACCCATTGGCTAAACTAATTAAATTCTCGGTCATGAAAAGTCCGAGGGGCAATGCTTTTGAGAGACGGTATCTAACTGCTTCCCAAGTCTATGACACTAGGCACAACAACCTTCTTTTCCATGGCAATCGACGACCCTTGATACAGTGGGAAATCCGCCCGCTAAGTTTGTCGCAATTCTCATTGCCTACCAGCCGACTTGCACCCACTATATATTTCCTTGATTTATTACCGTGTGGTTCGGGAATTTTGGGAAGGAAGCAACCACGCCCTGCACCTTCCCTTCGACGGCCGGGCTCCACTAAGCTACTCGGTTTCCAAAGTAAAGGTCTTGGTCAACAAATAGTATCCTCCTTGGTAAGATAATTCAAGTCAAACTTCTATCGAGGCTCTACATTATTCCTTGTTTTCAAAGCGCCAACCATAAGACAAAATGCCCACCATGGAGGGCTGGAATATCAACGCTCTTGGCATGTCTTATGCTCTAACGACAATATCTTTCGTGGTTATCATTTCGAGAATCGTCTTTCGACGTCTGAATCATCAGAAGTACCTGTTCGACGATTACATTGTACTACATTCAATGCTCCTGTATACAGTTATCACAGCTGTCAACTCGGTAGTGGTGCGAACACTTTGCCTATCTGCTGGAGAATTAACGCTCATGATAATAGTATTATCACGGGACAAATTTTAGTGTTAATGATCCGGAACATCCCAAGAACGTCGCACTAGACAATCTTCAGCACGGTAATTATACAATCTTTTGAACAAACGCAGTTCCTAACGAATGATTTAGCTGTCACTGGCTCCAGAGTCGTCCTCGTTGGTAATATATTCTACATCTCATATATCTGGTGTATGAAGATATGCGTTGTGGGTTACTCTATCACCCAGGTCCCAAAGCCCCTGCCTTAGGTCTAACCGCTATCCAGCTGTTTTATTTCCCTCGTGTCCTGCCAGTCGAGCGCGTGGATATTGGAGTGGCGGGCGCCCTGCTAGGAATTACTTGGGTGATAGGCATGCTGGCCATATTTATGGGATGCATGCCGCTGAGGCAGTACTGGCAGGTGCTACCAAATACTCCGGAATGTGCTGTGAGTTCCCTACCTCAACCCGAGGAGCGGCATGCGATTATACTAACTTGGTGTAGCGAGCAGTAAGTAATAGCTGAACAGAAATTCCCAGGACGCTAACATATAGAAGATCGTCAGTACCATTATATCAGGAGCAGTAGGGACATTCTATGATATTCCTGGCAAGTTTGCATCTGATGGGGTTCTAGATGAACGTACTCACAAATATGCTCCTATTGACAATACCTCTACCGGCAATTGTCCGAGGTACCTGGTCTCTAAGGTTTGTGGCATCGAATACGTCGTACTTTAGAGATACTAAGCTGACAACTCCCAAGACTAGCGATTAAACTGTCAGTTGCCTTGCTTGCCATATTTTCGGTACCAGTAATTCATCCTGCTCACTTCAATGCAACATGCTGATGGAGACACTAGACTCTTATTGCTATTGCATATAGGATGTTCACTGTGATTGGGATTCGGCCAGGGTGGCAAGCCAACGACTTGGTCTTGAAGCAAGTTCGTATTCATACCCACACTGATTCTGGGAGAGGGCCAAGGCTAATTTTTATAATTAGGTTGAATGTTTTGCAATGGTGGGTTTTGCTAGTTTTCTCCACCTACTTGACATCGTTCATTTAGAGTTTAAGTCTCACTGCCTATGCAGACGTTGATAATTAATGTTCCTGAATTATTCCCTCTTTGGAACCATGGATTTGGCCATATCCGCCAATGGATATTCGGCAAAGAGTGGTGTATTGGACACCGCGGCCCTCGAGAGAACCAAAATAATAGATCCAGATTCCAGCTTAGCGATGAATTTGGGATAGATTTGGAAACACTTCCAGTTGCCACTTGAACTTCGGTAGGTAATCCTTATTCTTTTGAGCTGTTCGCAAAGTCACAAATTATTTCGCGGTGTCGTATTTTTACGTCACTGAGGCTAATGATAAAAAGATTGCCGAACAGAAAGGGCGAGCATCTTCCATAGGTCCTCGCGCGGAAATAGAGCGTCCAATCCAATTACATCAGGGGCCATTGCCAAAAGCCCAGCAAGCCCTTCCAGAAGCCCGGCAACAAGCACAAGTAAAAGCAGCAGCCTACTGCCGCAAAGAAGATGAGCAAATTCCAATAATATATCAAATAGTTCAGGAATACCAAGCAACCCCGGAGCAACTGGTGGTCCATTATTTGTTAGTATTGGTCTGATTGGATTAGGGAGCTTTGGAAAGGGGTTCAATGGGTGGTAAGTCACTAGAACGATAGGTATGGACCAAAACCAAAACAAATAAAAAGGCGAACAATAAATCGTGTTGGAGAGATGCCATAATGGCGTGTATGCTATAGCGAGGATTGATTATACACATAGGGTATGCATCCAGTTGCCCTGAGACTAGGACCAAGATAGTACTACTCCAACTTCCTTATTCCCTCTGTGCATGTTGGTGCTCTAGTACTCTCAATATTATGCTCTTCGTCCGGCCTACTCCGAGCGCATCAACGGTATTTGAGCCAGTTGCACCTGGCTTTCCCTTGTACTGCAAGCTCTCCGGTAGATACCCACAGTAATTTTCTTTATCCTCGTTTATTCCCTTTTTAACATTCATTTCGTTATAGTGTTATAAATCTTAACATTGACTTTCCGACTACCAGGCTTTCCATTCCGAGTGCGGAGGGTCGCTCTCCGGCGGGGTACTTTATCCCGCAACGACTGAAACGTCAGTTTATTATTGAGCCTCAAGTGTCGGCCCGCGAGCTCCTTGCTCCGTGCAAGATTCTCCAGTCGGATTGGTGTTAAATTTGTGTTCGAGATCTTGCAGGAACTCAGAAACTGGTAGATACGATGTTGATATCCGATCTGCGAGGGCGCTACTTTCCATGGCCCCGTCATTTCTTTTGCTTGGCTCCTAAGCCTCTTGCATTTGGCTACTTTGCAATAATTTAGTTTAGTCTATAGAATCTGGATGAATACAACGGGCTATGGCGCGTCATATGGGGCAATTTCTGGAAAGGGAAGTGGAGTATATAACTCTAGTGGACCCCTGGGATATACTCCGAAATCTTTCTGTCAACCCACTTCATAATATTTTTTGATCTGAAAAATCAAGTGCGATTAGTTATATTCTTTTGAGCTAAAAGAATGGCCTTGTTAAAAGGTATTACGGCTGTGGCGCTGCTTGCTGCGAGAGCGGCAGCAACGATCTATTATGCCGGCGTGGCGGAGAGTAGCGGGGAGTTTGGCGCGTGGAGTAAGTTTTCCCCTAAGACGATTTCACAAGAGGGAGTTGAGCGTTCAAGAAACAATGATGGAATTGCTCAAAATATTTGTTGGATGAAGTACTGATAGGTAGATAGGTGCAACCTCGACCGTTGGAACCGGACTCCCTGGCCGATTTGGAGTCGATTATGCATTCATCGAGAAGAGTGCAGTTGATGTCTTTGTTGATCAGAATAAGGTAAGTTAATCGTGTAGCACTAATGTTGCCGGACACTGTAGTAGATGGTAGCATTAAGTAGTATTGGTGCTAATAAAAATATCGAATAGGTCAATCTATTCCGAGTTGCCTTCCTCCTCGAGCGAATGTGCCCTCTAGACTATGGCCTGGGCGCGAAGTTTAATGAGACTGTAAGTACTCCTATTTATCTAATTTTCTGCTCATTTTCCTAGGCAATCTCACCTCCCTATTTCATACAATAGACCTAACAGGATTTCCCAATAGCATTATGACTACTTTGCCGATGCCGTAAATTACATTACTAAAACTAAAGGAGCGTATTGTATCCTTGACCCACACAACTACATGAGATACAACGACCCATCTCAGCAACCCATGACAGGCAGTGTCATTGGAAATACCGCAGATCTAAAGGCGGCGACCACCGCACAGTTTGGAGAGTTTTGGGGGGAGTTGGCAGGGAGATTCAAGGACAACGAGAAAGTTATCTTTGGTCTGATGAATGAGGTATGTCTTTATTCCTTATATTTTTGATTCATCTAGCGGATGGTGGGGTAGTAGAGATGGGAAAGCCAAAACGAATTAATGCAGTCGAGGACGAATGAGTGCTGATAAAGGCTGGATAATTAGCCACATGATATGGAAACAAGTTTGGTACTTGCCAATAATCAGGCCGCAGTCGACGCAATTAGAAAGGCGGGCGCGAACCAATTGTGAGTGCTCAACCTCGAGATAATAGGTAGGATATTTTGACTAACTGATTCAAAGGATTCTGGCGCCAGGAAATTCTTGGACTGGCGGACATTCATTCACACAGAGTTGGGAAGGCTACTCGCCCTCTTCCAGCGAAGCGTTACTTAACCTCAAGGATCCTATGAGTAACACTGGTAAGTTCTTAACATACCTCTTCCGATCCCTGTTTCTTTGTTCTTGACACAATTTATGACACCCCTAACACTCTACTGTTAGCCATTGATATCCATGAGTACCTCGATGTAGACTACTCAGGTTCACACACTGCCTGCAACCAGTCCGGCCCAGCCAACCTTGCGGCTGTAACCGCCTGGCTCAAAGAGAACTCGCTCAAGGCAATGATCACCGAATTCGGTGGCTCCAATGGTACGCAATGCGCTGGATACATTAGTGATCTCCTCCAGTATATGGATGATAACGAGGAGTATATTGGCTGGACTGCATGGGCTGCTGGCCCCTTCTGGGGACCCAACAGTCCTTGCTGCACGGATAGCAAACAGTGGGGCAGTTTGGAACCAGGAAGCAAGGCCAGTGATGGCAGCCCTGGATTGTATGATACAGTTTGGTTGAAGGTGATGCAGGCGTTTGTACCCAAGTCACTGCAGTGGGAGGGGATAAGCAGTGTTAAGGGGGGTGTTTTGAGTGCTAAGGGGTCATGAGTTTGGAGGTTGATGAGGGTTGAGGATTGTATATAGGGATCATTAAAACACGGCCTCAAACTTCTCAATATGCCCAGGAAACACCAGAATATAGAAAGTAAACCTTATGCCCAAACTCACGGTAAAACCGCATCTTCAATCTTGGTATCATTACCATCAGCCTTCTAAATCGCATGTACAACACAAGATCCTCTATGCAATGCCCGCTATAGTTTACATTACAACGACTCGTCATCATCATCGTCACTGCTCTCCTCGTCCTTGACGACAAGCAGGCATGGTTCACGTGAATGCCATATCCGTCTTTCTTTGGCACCTAACACAGCATCTCTCATGGCCCGCGAGTTTGCGCGCTGCCGTGTTGTTTCCTCTTCCTTACTATCGTTCTTGACGAGTTGTTGCAACCGTGCCTCTTCGACTGATGCGCTGATTTCGAATTCGCCTCTGCAGAAGGCAGTCATCCCAATGCTGATTTCTATGGACTCATTACCTGGTAGTTGTGGTAATGTTTGTTGCAAAGTACCATTCCAAACTAACTTCCTTGCAAGATCCAGGGACCCATTCTGGAATGGGCTTCGTATCGTTGGTTGGATACGAAGCAAGGGGAAGATCGGGTTCGACATTCGATTGCTGATCCGAATTTTTAGTTCCGTGAAGTCATCCGCAAGTACGTGATATTTGACGTGCCCTGGAGGCGAATCCTTTACAAAAAGATCGATGCCAATATCTTCAATCCTGATCGCCTCAATCATGCGTTGATTTAACCGAAGACCACGCAATTCAATATCTCCATTTCGGGAAGGTCCTGATTTTGTCGACCATTTGCCCGTAAGCATTTTGAGAATTTCTTCGCGGTACCAGAAAGCTTCACGGCTAGCCCTTTCAGCATCGGCCGATACTCTACCAGTACTGACGACGAACTGACGCTGCCGAGAGGGATCTAGGACCGGAATTGGGGCACACGGATCGGCAAGGAATACTCGTGGGATAGGGAACATAATCCTTGAGGACTTGCCTGGGAGAAGTTCCCGGTCAATTGAACTGCCATGGGCAATCTCCAAATACACTTTCAACTGAGACGGCCAGACATTCCTGAAATCTAGTACAAGTAGACAGTAGTTCTCTGGTGTGATATCCTTATCGTCATCATTGCAGGAATCTGTTCTTGCCCAAAGCGATCTTGGAATATTGCCAGTAAGTGGGCAAATATCCATTCTCGCCAGTTCTATGCTAGCGTTGACTGTGATAGTAAGGGGAAAGCTAACCTGCCGCGTATAGAATTTGTCCGGCACCTCCGTGTGTGGTATTCCAAGGTGCGTATAATCGACCTGAACAGTGCCATTTGTAAGTCCAGGTTTGCCCAGTACCTCTATCTCGAATGTCGCAGTACATCCTGGTTTTATATACGGCTTCTCGCCATCCTTGGCAATCCAGCGAAGTGCTTGCTTCCGTGCAAATATCAACTCGCACTCGTATAGCTCTGCGGGTGACGCATCGCGGTTACTTATGGCGGCTTGCAAAGGCGCTTGTGTCGAGTCCTTAAATGAAAACAACAACAGGTCTGCAGGGGTATCTATCGAGAGATTTTGCAACGTGATAGAAAAGGTTTGACGTTCGCCTTCCAACACCATGATAGCGGATTGCGAGAGTGTAGTCGATTTGATGATAACAGTAGGCTGTTTATCAATAACATGGAGCCCGAGGAATCCTGCATTTGGGGCAGCTAGGTTTGGTGTGCTTGTAAGAGCTTGGGAATCACCACTGTCCGGGCGACTTTTCGGCTTGAAGATAGAGGCTACCCCTATAGACTTAACTTTGCTTGCGATTTGTGGAGACCATGGGGTTTCAAAGATGGGAAATCTCCTTTCTCGGCAGCCGCGTACTCTGATTATACATCCCGTAATTTTCAACTGACCGGGTGATGTAGGGCTGCCAGAAACAGAAAGAATCTGTGTCCGGTAGGGTCCAATTACTGTTTGCTGTACCCCGGAAACAAACGCAGCGCCCTCAGATTCCAGTTTGATGCTTTCAATCTCCACATCGAAGTCATAAGGGTTTTGTAAAGTAACACGGAATACCGCATTTTCACCTGCTACAAGCAGATGATCCACGGCGGCAGTATCTGGCCTTCGTAGGAAAGGATTATATATAAACGGATTAACTTCCTTTGAGGCAGCTACCGCTGCCGCACCAGAAAGTTCACTTCCAGTGTGTGGTATTGGCGTTCTGGCGGTTGGCAGCGCCTCGAGCTCTACTCCTCGAACTAGGAATTCATCCCAATATTCGGCGGCAAGATCTTTCACGCCCAAGTTCCTTGCCGCGCTGAGCGTCCTAGAGATATTCGTGGCAAGTCTAACTTGTTCTTCCCGAGCCATTAAAGGGGCTGCATCTTCACTGCGAGGCCCAGGAGCAACGCCGCTACCAGCTGTCCGTAGCAGGTCCGCAGTAAATCGTAAGACTCCGTGAAAATCAGGCAAGGCCTCCGAAAGATTAATACACAAACGAAGAACGTCCATTTTCATATTTCTGCCGCCAAAGGAACGAACCGTCGCATTTTGTATTATCCTCGCTATAACGGCATCGTTAGAATCGTCCCGAGCCTCGGTCTGTCCAGGACCGTCATCGGACGAAACCACGCCATATGTTTTGCTCAGTAACCCAAGAAATCTATCAATTCCGGTTTCTATATCCCCTTCACCAAGGTCAAGAGCACCAGCACCAGTTGCCTTCCCATTCACAGAGTTGAGGGCTGCCAACCCAGCCGCAGGGTGGACACCCATTTCTGCGGCACCTTTGATCCTCGCCTGCACAAGTCCAGGAATTAATACAGACACCAGCTCACGCATGACCATGGCCTTCTTCCTATAGTAACCCAACAAGCCCAAGACGGAGGCTATTCCACTCAAAATTACCATTCTATCAACAAGAGAAATATGCTCAGGTGAAGAAGACGTGGGAAACGCGCGGAAAAGAGTTGCGGCAATATCTGTGCGGTGGGGGTGGATATTTAGTCGTGGGGGAGCAAGATTTGGGTGTTTCTTGAGCGGGGTTCCAAGAACCAGAAGTTGTAGAACATCCTCATTCAGGGCGCCGTCGGCAAGATGGACGGCTGCTAACAGCTTTGAAAATCGTATGACGCATTCGGAAAATGGAAATTGGGGCAATGATTCCCCAGTATTATTGGCAGCTCTGGTATAGAGATTCAATATCCGATCTAGTAACTCGGGAAGCAGTGCTGCCAGATTTTGTAGAGAAACAAGTCTGCTGGTAGTTGGGCTTTTTTGTCCGTCAGACTTCGGCAACTGCGCTGCCTTCTCGCCAGAAGCATAGCAGACCTGAGGGATTTGAAAATCCAAACCGCTCCATGCAAGCATCAGCATACTCACAAGAATATAGTCGAGCGCTTTAGCATGCCACAGGTGATCGAGGTTATATTTAGCAACGGAAACGGCCTCACTGAGGTCCCGCAATGCATCTGTCCATCGCCCAGCTTGGAGATAAAGTGAGCCAATCACGATATCTATCCGACCCTTTCCAATATTTCTAGATCTCTCACTAACACTCCCAGGCCCAAAACCTTGAACGGATACTCGATCTCGACTTGTATCTCTAACCGGCTCGACGTTCGCTAATCGATGGGGGATAGACTTTTGTGATGCCCTAGGATCCACGGCATTCGAGCCCACAATCTGGTCAAACGTCGTAGGGAGCTCAGATTGCACCCCATTTGGTGGCGATGTCGGTCGGGGGGAGGGGGAGCTAGAATCTGTTGCCCGAAATTGCGCCGGCATTGACATCCGAACATGGGATCGATCAGTGCTTCCAGCTGGTGAACTAGAGCCTGAACTCTCGGTCTGAAAATTATAATGGGAATTCCGTCGCGACATTGGGTCTGTTTGTCCCGCCTGCCAAGCTGCCCCATTGTGCGGGCGAGTCAATTGCGGCTGACTGGGCGACTCGATTGTGTTCAACACCTGAAGAGACTTTGCCAGCGTTGTCATCTCTGCCAACAGCATCGAAGAGATATCGCACATGATCGTTTTCAAGGTCGTTCGTTTGCATTGCGCTGGGGGAGGTACTGGGATGAGTCCTTCTGGCAGCGCCCCAGCAGAAGTAGAATGGACATAGTCGAATAGCAATAATTGGTGTACCAGGCATTTTGGATACCTGTCCCTGACCTCCTCCAAATCCTGATACAATTCCCGCAAGTTATGCTCTGGTCGCGGGGGCCCATTGCCATTAAGACTTCTTCTTACATTACCACGGTATGATACATGATCTAACTCTGCGGCATCCGCAAGGGCAATAATAACAAGTGGTTCGCGATAAAGTTCGAAAGGGGACAGGGCGACATGGGAAGGAGGAGGGTAAAACGTGGTGAAGTCGTACACGATCATGCCCGTCGGAAAGGCGAGAGGCGAGAACATGTCTAGTCATTATTAGCAATGTTTATAACTACATTGCCTGTTGTATAACAGATTTGTCCTTACTCCTGTTCGGACGTCCATCAGGACTGATATCTCCCAGCCGGACGACATTTTCGGGCTGTAACCGCTCCACAAACCCGAGGAATCTCGAACGCTTGATCTGGCCGATTGGCAAAAGCACTACTCGTACTCTTGCAGGAGCGATGGGTGACAGCTGGTCCAGCATTCTGACAACATTGGGGATGCGCCTAGCTGTCGACTACGAGCTTCAACGTGAATAGGACCAGACGACAGCGCGGCGCGGGGTTACTGGTTTTGGTTTCTTGTACAACGCATATTGTCGCAAAAGAAATAGAAGGGTCCCTAGAGAAATAACAGTGCCAGTGGGTTCTCGTATGGCTTTTGGAGGCTCATATAACAATAGGTCGCGTGCTGAGTTCGAGTGTCTTTCTTAGTTACTCGACATTCGCTACGGCGCCGTCGAGCTCGAACGAAAGCCCGAGGCGGTGTAAAGTACTGCCAGCATGTGCCGGGAGAACTTCGGCGGCTGAACGACCCCTATTTTTGAGGGCTAGAAACCCGAACGGGGGACGACATACCAAGTCTTCAAAATGGTACTCGCGACAGAATATATTAAGAGGCAGAAGCCGGGAACTTCAACGATATTGGTTAATCGGTATTCGGTTCGTATCTTGCTGCTACTAATATGCTACCGTCTATTCTCCAGTTTTCGGATTTGACGGACACTATCAGGTTCCTAGTTGACTCGGGGAAAATGAGTCCTGCCCTCATCACCCAGTCGGGAATTCCTTACTGAATTTGAGCTAGAAGTATTTTAATATGTCGGAGACGACTGGCTATGTATGAATGTTTAAATCTCGCTCTCCAGGATAACGTTGTATTCCCAAGTGGAGAGCTCTCTTGTCTGGTTCGAGCACAGTCTCGCCCAACGCATTCTGATCAATGTTCACATGATCATCTTGTCCCAGAACTTCAACAGCATCAACATAGTTTCTAGGGAAATCTCATTTTCCCAACTTTAGTTTCTCCCTGTCCATTTGCTCGAACACGTTCCATCCCCACTATCAAGCTTGAAGTTACAATTATTAGCTTTGTTAGCTGTAGTAAGGACATGTAAAAGGGAGACCGGGACTTAGGATGGTCCACTATGCGCGGCTTGCACAGGCCGCCATAAACAGGTGCTAATGCTTGCTATCCTCATCCAGTGATAACCACCGTACCCCCGAAGCGCTCCGAGTCTGCTGTGCCTTTGGGGGTTAGCCTGGTGTGTAAAAGATTATCCATCCTTCCAAAAATTGCGACTTTGATGACTTGGGAGAAAATTTAGTAGTGCGGCCAATATCATGCCACCACGTTTATGATGCCATTCTTCTCACCGACTTTCGAAATGGCACCGGTCACCAATCCAAATGGCTCTGGTCTAGAATCTCTGAAGTGTGCCAAGCCTGCACGGTGTTTTGTCTAGACAACTATTGACTAGGCCTGTGACCCTAATAAGGGGGAAGGTCATAACCTCGTCAAGGCTATCTAAATATGTTCTCGTATACTGGTAATGTAAGACGACTTCAACTAACGCCCACAAATATTAACGACTAACAAATTCCTCATGTTTATCAACTAACAGATATCATTGAACAACAGTTTGGCACAAGGATAACTAGAAATAGGAATGTATATGGACAAGGCCATCTACCCCCGTTTTATTTTCTGCCCATCTCAAGCGTCTCGGCTACTGCTGCTTACCGCCAGCACAGTACACCCATCACTAGTACCATGTAGTTAGGTCCAAATCATTCAGTGAATGAAGAAATGTGTTTCCAAAATTTCGAAGCTTACTAGTTGGGAAGCTGTTCGTTCAAGTTCTACCTTGTGTTTGCTTTGAGTGAATAGCATAAACTAGCTTTGCCCTTCAAATTCAGGTTCGCCTGTTTTCTTTTACCTTTAAGTGAATATGAGAATGGAGCTTTGCTTTAAATTCGACTACCTTGTTCAGCTTTGGACTGTCCAGACAACCGCAGGAACTCATTTTCTCTCCCACAGTTTGGTCGCTGGCCACTGACAAATGATGACGACCATCAACATGCATCCTACCAATTTGCTTCACATGTTGAAGGAAGCGGCTACAACTAGTCCAGATGGCAGTGTTGTGTTGTATCACAATGGCACACTCGACCAGCAGCCCTCCATAACCAGCTATCAAGATCTTTACCAACGTTCTCTCCTCCGATCCAGCCATTTGCTGTCTAAAAATAAATTTAGGAGTCACCCGATCGTGCTGCTTCACACAGACAATTATCTCGATCAAACCGAATGGTTTTGGGCTATTGTTGCAGCAGGAGGGATCCCATGCATGTCAACTGCTTTTACCAACGATCTCACGCAAAGACGAAGACATATCAGGTCATTGCAGAAACTACTAAACGACCCTTTCATCCTCACCACCGAAGCTCTTATTCCAGAATTTTGCAACCTGGATGGTCTCCAGCTGCACACCATTGTATCTCCGGATTTCACAGAGGATGCTCAGCAGCGGAGCAATGAAAATGTCCCCGGATTTGATAAACACCCAAGCGATTTAGCGATCCTGATGCTGACATCTGGAAGCACTGGGGACCCTAAAGCAGTTTGTCTTACTCATCACCAAATATTGTCATCCCTAAAGGGGAAGATCAATATCCATAGTACTACGTCGGGGGATGTGTTTCTGGGGTGGACCCCTATGGAGCACGTTGCCAACCTAGTCGAGGTTCACCTCCAAGCCGTGAGACTTTCCGCCAACCAGGTTCACCTACCTCGAGCAGCTGTTGTCGCCGAACCTTTACGATTCCTACAGAAATTGAGCGACTACCGAGTGTCCTACACCTTCGCCCCCAATTCCTTTCTTGCAAGCGTTGAGCGGGCTTTGGAGTCTCTCAGAGGTAGTGAGACATTAAGAGATCACGCAAGCTCTCATTATCTTACAGGTGGTGAGAGGCTGAAGCTAGATTTATCAAACTTAAGGGCGCTAGTATCTGGAGGCGAACCAAATCTTGTGAGTACATGCGTCAAACTTACAAGTGCTTTACAGAAATACGGTGCTCCATGGTCTTTTATCCGTCCCGGCTTAGGCCTTACCGAGACATGCGGTGGTGCAGTCTACAGCCTTGACTGCCCCTCTTATGATATCTTACAAAGTCCGGAGCATTGTTCAGTGGGACGTCCCATGGATGGGGTGAATTTGAGGATCATGAGAAGCAATGGAACTACTGCCAGACGTAATGAGATTGGCTCATTAGAAATGGCAGGCCCTGCTGTATTCAAGGGTTATTTCAATAATACCAAGATTGCAGCTGCAAGCCACACTCATGATGGCTGGTTCAAGACCGGAGATCTAGCATTGTTGGATTGCAATGGACGACTGCGACTCACCGGGAGAGATAAGGACATAATCATCATCAATGGGTGGGCAACCTCGTATCCATACCAAATATGTTTGCTAACGGTCAAAGGGTCAATCACTATCCACAGGCAATAGAAGCTGTTGTGGAGAGCGCAAATATCCCTGGAATTATCCCGTCATACACAGTGGTCTTTGGCCATCGTCCCAAGAATCAAGATACAGAAGTCATCTGCATTGTCTACTTGCCAGCCCACGGCCTCGAAGATCATTCTAGTCACGCCAACACAGCAGTTGCAATTTCCAAATCTGTCTTAATTTATAGCGGGATCAGACCGCACAAGATAATTCCTCTAGAAGTCAGTTTGCTAAAAAAGTCCTCATTGGGAAAGCTTTCGCGGGCAAATATTCGCAAGGAATTCGAAGCCGGAGTATATAAACCATACGACCAAACTCCGTCCCATGCTATTCAATTATGCAAAAACAACCAGACTTCCCTCATGATGACCCCGACAGAGCAAGCGGTAGTGGATCTGTATCTCAGGCTTTTACCCTCTCATGTCAACGAAATAGGACTCGACACGGACATCTTTCACCTCGGCCTCTCCTCCATCGATCTCCTAACTCTACAGTCACGCCTACAAACGACACTTTCCATCCCCTCCATTTCAATCAACACCCTCCTGTCCCACCCAGTTATCCGTGACCTGGCCAATATCCTCGAAGATTCAAAGCAGACCTCATCGGCATATGATCCAGTGGTGATCCTACAACCCCATGGCACCAAAACCCCGCTCTGGTTCATCCACCCGGGATTAGGAGAAATATTCATCTTTATGAACTTAGCACGGTATATCACCGACCGCCCAGTGTATGCATTACGCGCGCGGGGATTCCACCCAGGAGAACGGCGCTTTTCTTCTTTGGATGAGATGGTTTCTGTATATCATGACGCGATCAAATTTACGCAACCCCAGGGACCATATGCTTTTGCGGGATATTCGTTTGGCAGTATTCTCGCCTTTGAAATTACGAAGAGAATGCAAACTCCCCCTAAAAGAGGGTACCAACGGGATAGAGAGAACGATGAAGTTAAATTTTTAGCGACTTTCGACCAGCCTCCGCATTTTAAGCAACGTGCTAGGTCCTATGACTATTATGAAGTCCTTCTCTCCGTCGCATATTTCCTCTCGCTCATTAGCGAAGAGTACGCGTACGATTTCCTTCCTACTGCTCGCACACTTACGCATGAGCAAGTCTTGGATCATGTCATGGAGCTTGCGCCCAGGAGGAGAATGGAAGAGTTAGGTATGGATAGGCATAAGATCCATAATTGGACCTGTCTAGCATTGGGCCTGAAGAAGATTGTTTGGGACTACGACCCTTCTGGAACTGTGAACTGCATGGATGTGTTTTGGACCGGGCCACTTGTTGGTAGGGTTCCTGCTAGGGATGAGAGGGAGTGGTTTGATGGGTTTATTGGAAAATGGAAGGATTTCGTGCGAGATGTGGGTGAGATGGATGGTGATGGTGGAGGAACAATTGCAGGGCTGAAATTTCACTTTGTGCAAGGGACACACAGGACTATGATAAGCCCGCCTCATGTAGTCGGCTTCCAGAAGCTCTTCAAGCAGGCGATGCTTGACCGTGGCTTGTAAATAGGTTACCGTGGAGTTTGGAGCTTTTTAGAAAGGCATATGCTACGGCGTTCACGGTAATTCCATAGCGTGGTTGTCATGCTTGATAGAGGATGGAGTGACAAGAACTACACTCTAGAGAATAAAATGCTTTTAGTTCCTGAAAATATTTACGGTTATATGGGTATCGTAACTTGTAGATCAAGCCTTTCAAAACCAACTAGCAGCAGTATTTCCCCCAGCAGACGCAGGCGTAGCACTTGCATCAGTTTTGTTGCCGCCACTCAATGCCGCACGTCCCACGTCACTCTTGAAGATATCCACCGCACAGCTCACCTCTACAAAATCCTCCAGCTCTTCGCTGACAGTCTTGAGCTTCTCTTTCACGCTCAAGACTCCTTCATGCCCTACGATATGCCTCGCCGGAGGGTTTTCATGACCCCCAATAGCCGTTAAAGCATGCACTGTCTCCAGAACTAGGCTATCTCTGGCTTCGCTGGGCAATCGAGGGAATCGAGAGACGATTTCTCCCTTCCCGGAATGGCCGGGGCCCTTCCCTTTATCGGTGGCGGTGTCGGTATTGATGCGAGTCTCTGGATGTAGATTCACAACATTTGTAAGGATATCTCGGAGACCCGGCGCGGGGTTGTTGTGGCTCTCGTATTGGGGAAGTTGGGGGGCAAATATTATTTTGTTTATTAGAACTTGGATTTCTTTATTTGGTTGAACAATCGTGAGTTTGATGTTGAAGGGCGCTATTTCGTAGGCGAGAGAATCGCAGTAACCTTCCAAAGCCCAGGTCGCGGCCGAATACATCGACATGCCCGGTGTACCAATATGTCCTGTTATCCCAGTGAGGATCATGATGTGTCCATTGTGGCGTTCCCGCAGGAGGGGTAGTGTGGCTTTGATGAAGTTCACTTGGCCGAAGAAGATAGTTTCGAATTGGTCTCTAACTAGGTTTTGTGTTGCTGAACAAACCGAGAGTTCTTCGACAGTACCGACGACAGCTGTTTCTGATTAGATATGGTCTTTGGTAGGTAAAAATAACTTGCCTTCTGATGTGCAACATAACAGAATGTCTATCCGCCCAAATACTTCCACAGCCTCTGCCACAGCAGCCCCGCATTGGCCCATTGCTCTGCCATCGCATCGTATACCACGTATCCTATCCTTCCAACCTTCTCTGTCTTTCCGCCCACTCTTGCACTCGTTTATGAGTTCCCTAAACTCGGCGCTGCGGTCATCGTCTTCCATTTCGGAGGGTGGAAGCCCGGCAGCTACATAATCCCCGTGTGCCAACAGAAGCTTGATCAGGCGGACCACCAATGGCGACAATGCCGACGTCATGAACCATATCCGCGGTGAATTATGCGTAGCTATAGGCAAGATTAGTAGTGCTCTTGGGAGCTTGGGAGAAGGACTTACGAAAAGATGCAACAGGAATTACGATTTTCGAGGGGCCAACCTCGGACAACTTCCGCTCAGCCATATTGATATCTCATTTCCCAACCACCAGTCCAACTGGTAGGCTTCTAGATGGTCTCTAACATGTCGCCAACTATAAATCGGAGTGGCAGCCCATGTGGAATCGTTGAAATGGCGACAGAGTTGAGAGGCGCGATCATTACATTGCAGTAAATGCCGATTCAAGTTGTGATAGGTGGTCAGCTTAGGGTCGCGGATCATTGTTCCCCCGGGTTCATCGGCCCTCATCCCCCCGCCAAAGGAGACGTTGACCATAGCCTAGACACAGACATGCTCGGGATTTGAAACCCGTGGAAAACAAACTACTTGCAGGTTGATACTTTGCCTATTGAAGTCTGCAGTTATCGTTCCTAATGGCGAACTGCAAATGCGAGTTACAGAGTGAGATTTACGAGTACGTCGCTAGTTCATTTTGCAAGGCCAATAATAGCTTTCACGGGTGCCAGTTTGGATGTGCTGCACCATGAGCGACAATATTTTCCGGTAGGATCTACGCTGATGACTAGCCCATTAGGGCCTATGGACATCTAGTTCAATGCGTCAGCTCCGGAAGACGCCCGAAAAGGTATGAGGCCTCCCCTTGACAGCGGACCAAGGCATCGTTGATCGAGAACGGCAGCCAAAGAGAGCTACCGTAGTATGGGATCTTGAGACCCAGATGTCTACACCGCTCTAGTAGACCTAATCCAGTCAGGTCGAGGAACTCCGTACTTGTATGTATGCAGGGAGTCCAGAGAAAACGTCACCGGCTCTGCTCGCAACCCCTGATCTATACGAGTAGGTGGCCACCGTGGCCCTAGTCAACTGGCCCCCCTCAACATCCGTTATCGATCCTGTATGAGCCAGGATTTCCTCCTTCGCTGTTTATCCTCTCTCCTGCAAAAATATAAAAATGCTTGGCTCCCGTGGAAAAGAGAAATTTCGAAACTACCAATCAGTCCTGCCACAACTTACACAACCTTTCTGTTTCGTCGATTTAAATGATTATTCTAGCAGCTAACATAGAAGATCAGAGAAGAAGGAGTCCATAGAAAAATGCCTATAGCATTATCCGTTTGATTCAAGTGTCAAATCAAAGAGTTCACTCACTAGATGGTCTGAGAAACGAAGTAGCAATCGTCATCTCCTCTCTATTCTAGAGCCTAACAATATTTGTTTTCTAATCGCATTGGCTTTTCAGATTCTCAAGCTCCTCGCACCAGTCTCGTCATTTCTCCTTGCTTGGTCTTCTAAAGCTTCCCTTCGCCCGCCGTCATCGTCCACCTGAAGTCTTCTAGTCGAGCAAGCCAAGGTCCACCAGCCCTGGCGGTAAAACTGTTTTAGTCATACTCACATATTCACTATTGCGGAATGCGACGTTTATGGTTGGGAATCTTCTCTGCACCACTGATCTCGAAAGGGGATGGAACTGAATTCCTAGACTTATCTCGGTCAAATCAAGTTGCATATGGAAGTCGGCACACTCAGCCCATTTATGGGACTCCATTCTTGCTTGTTGGACAAATGATATAATTCTATGGTAGTCCCTCAGATTTTTGAGTAGCTTCCGCTTGTATCCGCATCAGTTTTCAATCACTTCAATAGTCATATCCTGCTATAGTCAGGAACGCATCTCACGTCACTAGAAACATCAGATGGAATGCATTTACAAAGCCCAAAGTAGAAACGTTGGATGAGGGTGTATTTACAGAGTTTAGGCCATTTACCTTATTTATGTCCCCTCATGCAGAACGACGCCCCGCCGCCGCTCTCCCAACATGCAAAAATATGTGCGGAGTACGTACTAGAATCTCTATATTTTCACAAGCATATACGCTCCATCATTTACTATTTAACTTTATATATAGATAAAGTTTTCGGATAGCTTAAAGGTTAATTTCAATTTTAATTTGGATAAAGTTTTATTTAATTGCTATAGCCTCCAAGCAATCAATTACGAGCGGGTTGTGTTACCAACCAACCATTCCCATGGTACCCTACTCGGTAATGGTGCCTGCTGGCCAGCCTGACGAGATCGTCGCACAACATACTTGTTCTAGGACATATTCCGGAGATAGTCGCCGATCGAAATATTTGCCTTCGGTCGTGAATGTTCAGTCCTTCAAGCTCGGGCTATTGTTCTCGAAGGATTTAATAGGATAAAATCTTAAACTATTCCTACCCAATTATATAATAGCCTAGAATAGTAGATCAACATTACCCCAGACTACCCTAGACAACGGAGTATAGAGGCGCCGTATTTATCGGAGTTCTACGTAGGTACAGAGGACTTATAAAGATAGCCACCTATTATCACTTTAAATCTTCTGTATCTCTTTAACAATCTCAAATATTGTACATCAGATTACCGCTCAACATGCAATTGACATCCCTTGCCGCCGTTGCGCTCCTTGCACACAATGTTTATGCCCAATCAATGCTTCGTTTTGCATGCTCACAGCTTGTTGTTGAGCGTCTTGACCCTCTAGTCAACCCCGGAGCAAACCCCTCTCCTCACCTTCATCAGATTGTTGGCGGTAACTCCTTCAACTACTCCATGCCTACAGACAGCTATGACCCAGCTGCGCTATCTACTTGCACATCTTGCACATTTGCAGAGGACTTCTCTAATTACTGGACCGCCGTTTTATACTTCAAGGCCCGCAATGGAACATTTAAGCGTGTTAATCAAATCGGTAATGGGGGTCCTCAAGGGAGCCTTGTCCAGAATGGTGGCATAGACATCTACTATATCCCACCGTATGATGGGCAAACCAAGGTTACAGCTTTCAAACCAGTAAGTAGAGTTTATATAGCATAAGTTACTAAACATGGGCTAACTGATCTTAGGGTTTCCGTATGCTTGCTGGAAACCAGATGTTACGTAGCGGCCAGAACGTAGAGCGTGGAATCTGCCACCGTTGCTTCCCCAAGAATGCCCAGCCATTTGGAGGTGCCCCTTGCAGTGGCAGTGATAGTAGTGCACTACCAAACGGCGTCTGCGAGGGAGGTATTCGTACTACCATTACGTTCCCAACGTAAGTGCTCGATCCTTTTATCTCATTTTACATACGTGGCTTACACGAATTTATCTTAGCTGCTGGGATGGGGTGAACGTTGACAGCCCTGACCATAAGAGCCATGTTGCTTACCCAAGCGGATCTTTTGAAATGAATAGCCCTTGCCCCTCGACTCACCCTGTTAAACTTCCTCAAGTTATGTACGAGATTTTGTGGGATACTGCACCATTTAACGATAAGAATATTTGGCCTACGGATGGCTCGCAACCCTTTGTCTATAGTCAGGGTGATGGGTAAGTTATTACTTCAATCAAGAATTTACTTCATTCTAATCACTTATTGTTTTATTAGCACCGGACATGGACAACATGGCGACTACGTCTTTGGCTGGAAAGGGGACTCCTTACAGCAAGCTTTGGATGCCAAGTGCAATCTTGACAAGTGCTCCAAGCTTACGTCTCAGACTCCACAGCAAGCCATGCAATGCACCAACAAGCAAACTGCCGTCGAGCCCGTGGATGGATGTGAGTCATTCTGCTCTAAATGGAATCATGGGCAGCTACTAACGGTGTATGAATTAGGGCTCCCACAACTTCCTGGAAACCTGCCTGTTACTTATCAGTGATAATTCTCATGGGTGAAGGGATTATCGGGAGCCGGAAGTAATCCATTGAGACCGTAAGGATGGATAATTTTCTAGATGGTAGATATACAATGGTAGACACTTGTAGAAGCTCGTAGCTGTCGTACTACAGAGCGAAATATTTGATTAGTTTTGCTTTCTATATATATTAAGACCTTAGAGCTGCCCATCGATCTTAGCTTCCATTGACATTTCACATACTGTTCTTCATTTACCTCAATAATTCTCCATTCCACAAAGTTAGCGTGTAGGGCATCGGGAGTTCTTTGTGTTGAGAATTATTATAATTGTAATATGTTCAGATAAAATTGCTTTATTCGAGCCTTTTACTCAAACTTTCAGCTTCAATATTGCTCCACAAGATATTCCCAGCATTTTCCCCCGGGAAGATGTATTGATGGCGTAGGTGGGCTCGATCTATATCAATCCAGGGGCGTCTTGGAAAGGGGTTCTGAAGAATCCAATTCTCGAGAGAGGAGAACAGATGCCAGGCCATTTCATGTGGAAAATTGCTGTTCATTCAAGGGTACTTACCGTCTAGCACGCTGAACAGGGGGCGATAAAGGCCAGATGCCATGGTACAAGAGTAAGTACTGGGATAACTCTATCAGGAATATGAATAATTTGATGCAATAGTTAGGTATCAGCTTTTCGGTTGCGTTTAAGAGCTAGGAATAGATGGTCTTCTACCGCGGTTTTCTAGCGGATTGATTTCCCCCAAAGTATTTGAATAGAACAGCGTTAATTTCATCTGTTTACTGAGTCTAAGACCATATGCTCACCGAAAACCCTAGCAGATAATGTATATATCAACCAAAGAAAAGTCTTCTTGCATGATGCTACTCCGCCATCCCCCTTGTAACTGGGTTGACATGTTGAATTTCGGGTCAAAATGTAATTTTTATAGTGTTAAAAGATAGCGAGAAAGCCAAAACTTTTTGAACTGTGTCCGAACCTAGAGATCCTAGCGTGGAGTCTTTGCAAATGATTCAATATAAGCAGCCAGTTTCTCGGCTCCTGCAATAGGTATCGAGTTGTAGTTAGAGGCACGAATTCCGCCAACACTTCTGTGACCCTTGAGACCGGTCAGGCCATTCTCGACTGCGCCTTTTAAAAACAATTTCTCTGACTCATCGATGTTTGCGTGCTAATTTGATTTAGTATAATAATAACCAGAGGCGGGGGAAAGATATGGCATACATGGGTTACTCTGAAGCAAATGTTCATTCTTGAGCGGACGCTCTTCTCAGGTACAATCTTGGATATATTAGCATATTTCCACACATAAGAGACAATTAGAATACCTTGTATGATTCAGGATGCGCCTCAAGGGCACCATATATGGCCTTTGCTTTCTTTTCTGAAACGGCTTGTTGGCCGTCTACCTTATCCGGATATGTAGCAAGTAGGCTCTTGAGAACCTGGCCTGCAATATAGACACTTGATGCTATTAGCAACTTTGATATCAGCTGGAGAAAATAGAGCTTACTCAAATATGCTAAGTGTGTTGTATAAACTGTTGTTCTTAGCAATGGTCTCATATGAGAGAATAGTTGGGCCAACGGGCAACCCAAGTTTCCTCAAGAGGGTTGGAGGTGGCGTGGCAACCGCGGGAGGTAGTAGGCTCTTCTTGATAATGACGACTGTAATACCAGTGCTTCCTAGATTTTTCTGTGCCCCGAAAAAGATCACCGAGAAATTCTTTACTGGTATCCGACGTGATAGAATATTTGAGGACATATCTGCCACCACAATGGGTCCGTCATCTCCGGCTGGCTTCAAGGCTTCAGGGAACGCTGGGAATTCCACACCATCCACCGTCTCGTTATCGCAAAAGTAAATCATCGCTGAGTTCTTAGAAAGTTTCCAGGAGCTCTCCTCTGGTATCTTCCCAAACTTCCCGTCATTGACGGTTCTTGAGTCCGCGGCTATATTGACATGTTCTGAACCTAGCATTCGAACTGCCTCTTGGCTAGCCTTCAGCGACCAAGACCCAGTGACGAGGTAGTCAATCTTGAGTTCTTCATCAACTGCTTTTTGTAGCTCCTTGAGTAGCTGATCTTCTGGGATCTCCTTCCCATCTACGATGCCCAGCTCGCTCAGAATCTTCTGTTTCCGCCTGTGTACCCAGATTCCTACCAAATTGCAGGCTGTCGCAAAGAATCCCCCACTTCCACCGCCTTGCATAAACATAATTTCATAGTCGTCGGGCACATCAAGATAGCTCGCTAGGTCTGCTTTCGCATTGTTGATGATATTCGTTGCAAGCTCGGAGCGATGGGAATGTTCCGCAATCCCCAAACCCGTATCATTGTAATTTAATAAGGCTTCCGCGGCCGTCTTCAAGACCTCCGTTGGCAGCAATGCCGGGCCTGCGCCAAAATATGTGACCTCTTCGCGGGTAGGCATCTTGTTCGTTAGGGATCGTTCTTGGGGGTTCGGTTGGCTCGTGGTAATCGTTGGTCTTGGAAGGGTACAGTTGAGTGTTCAAACAAGTTCTGGAGATCAAGAGGAGTTAGCAAGCCTCTTTATCTCAATGACCGGCGGTTTATGACTCTATGTTGGAGTCACCCTCTCCGATTGCGGAGGCGCATCTTCAGACAGGTGTGGTAGATTGTACGTGGGGGTTTATTGCCCCTCAATGGGAGGTTCTTTTGAGGTTTACAATCTTGATTTGTATACTTACTCTAGTACTCGCAGTCCAATTGCCCACTCTCTTCTGCGTGAAACCCTGAGCAAAGTTCCCTAAAGCCCTACCAATGCGTTCTTGAGGTTGGAATTGAAGTTAATTAGTGGGTCAAGATTATCAGTCCGCTCGCTCTGGTGGGGCAATCGCCATCCCGGAAACAAAGCAAGCCTTTGTCGAGGGTGTGTTTATAATTCGTGATGTGGAGGTATCACTCTATTTAGCCACGACAACTCCGGCATAAACTCTCATCATCCAAAAACCCCGCCATAGATGAAATAGCTTGGTCAGGTATAGTGCTGCACTGCATCTGTCCGCGGATACCCCACTGCTGCAATTGTTTTATAAGCTGCGCCAAGGTAAGTATGGTCTCGTTCTAATTCAAATCTTCATTCTGGAGCTTCCTCCTTCATTCTCTTCATCATGGCAGAATCTCCGCGTGAAGGCCCAAAGCCACTGGTTCTAGGGTATAGCGATGTGCATCCGTTCTCGAAAGTCGACATTGGAGACAGGAAGAGCGTGCAGGACCTCCTCAAAACGGTTCTCGATCCTTTACATCCTCACTTCTCGCCCTTGAAGGCCACCATACGCGTCCCCGGAGGAACAACGGTTCGGTTTGATAACAAGGCCGCCGAAATCGAAGGCATATGTCGGCCGATGTGGGGTCTTGCAGGTTTGCTTGCCGGCGGAGGGGAATACCATGGGACGTCTTGGTTCGTGGACGGATTGAAAGCTGGAACAGACCCAGACAGCCGAGAGTTTTGGGGCTGGCCGAGAGACAATGACCAGCGAATGGTTGAGATGTGCCCCCTGGGATTTACACTCGCCGTAGCACCGGTATTCTGGAATTCTCTGTCCGAAAGGGAACGGGAAAATGTCGAAAACTGGCTTGGAAACTCTATCAATCAGAAGACGATGCCCAATACCAATTGGCTCTGGTTCCGAGTCTTTGCCAATCTCGGACTGAAGAAAAACGGAGGCAAATACTCGCAGGAAAAGGTCGACCAAGACATTCTACACCTGAATTCATTCTACCGAGGTGGTGGTTGGTCCAATGACGGGCCTGAGGGCATCTGGCAACAAGATTATTACAGTGGAAGCTTTGCTATTCAATTTCTGCAGCTTATTTATTCCAAATTGGCTGGAGAGAGCGACCCCGCCAAAGCAGACGAGTTCAAGAAGAGAGCCCGGGATTATGCTCTGGATTTCATTCATTACTTCGACGAAGAAGGACGTGCTACACCTTTTGGTCGCAGTGTCGGCTACCGTTTTGCTATGGCAGGCTTCTGGAGTGCCCTTGCCTATGCCGATGTGGAATTACCTGCGCCATTGACTTGGGGCATTGTGAAGGGCCTTCTGCTGCGGAATCTTCGATGGTGGCAGACCCAACGGCACATATGGAGCTCCACTGGTACCCTGACCATCGGCTACTGCTATCCAAATATGTACATGGCCGAAAATTACAACTCTCCTCAGAGTCCTATGTGGGCATGTCTGGCATTTATTTGTCTAGCAGTTCCGGAGGACCATCCTTTCTGGACATCGAAGGAAGAGCCGTATCCAACCCACCTCCTCCCGAAGGTAAAACCACTCCCACACCCTGGCCATATTATCAGCTACCATGGCGGTCACCGAATGCTCCTTTCGTCAGGCCAGGCGTGCAGTTATCCGATGAAAGGTACTCATGCAAAATACGGAGCCTTCGCATACAGTAGCGCGTATGGGTATTCTGTACCAACGGGCTGTTTTACACTGGAGCAATTCGCGCTTGCTTCCCAGCTAGGGCTATCAGATGATGGAGGTGAGTTCTGGAAGACTCGTCGACTCTGCGAAGAGGCTGTGATAGAGACACATGACGATCTGCCGGTATCGAGGTCAATTTGGAAGCCATACCCAGATGTCACAATCAAAACATATCTAATTCCACCGGTCGAGGCAACGCCGAACTGGCACCTACGAGTCCACAAGATTGAGGCTGGTCGCGAGGTCATGACCGCGGATGGCTCCTTCGCAATCTGCAACGAGAGAAAATTAGATGATCGATACCTGGACCTTTACGATGCCGAGAAGTGTGAGGGTACCCTACCGAAGATCATCGGCAACTACGATCTCAACACGCCCGAGGGCAGTTCTCCTGGCGCAGTTGGTTCATTTGCGGTGTCCAAGGGAGCTGTTGGGATTGTTGACTTAGTAGCGGAAACTCCTCGTACAGCGATGCTCGTCAATGCTGACCCAAATTCAAACCTCATTGAGGGTAGGACCGTCATACCAACATTGCAACATACGATCAAGAAGGGCGAGACTGTTTGGTACGTAACTGCGATCTACGCTAAGCCGTCAGGTGAGGGTGTCTTGCCGGAAAGCTATCTGGATGGTTGGAAAAATAAGCCCACGATTCCGGCTTGGTTGAAGGATGAGCTTGCATCTTCATGAGTTTGTCTCACTGCTCTGGTGCCGCCACCAGATTCGCAAAATCCACCATTCATAGAGGATAGTTCGGTTGTCGAGCTGCGACAAGAGCTCCCTATCATCGAATCCATGTCTGCATCTAAATTCTCCTCCCCGCTTCTGATTTGAAGATTGAAACGCAGCCTCGCCCATGCAGGCATGCCTGTGGCGTGGTATCCCAACATCACGGTTTGTAAACACCTTCAAGCCACCTTCCCGGCGCTGTCAGCATCGGTACGAATGCCGAGTTGGGCGGGGAGGCGTTCATGTGTTCATATGATATACATACATCTATGTTGGATAATGGCATACCTATCTATGGCCGCTCATATTGCAGGCCTCATACGAAATATAAATGTTGTATATTCCGTGCGTCTATAGAGTATAACCGTGAACGAACTATCTCCTCGGCGCTCCCAGAACCCAACTTGCCTCTGCTTTGCAATATTCAAGACCCAGTACTTTCCTATCGCATGGTCCTATATCAAATCCACCCACCAACTTTCGCTGCTTCGCTTCGCACCTCCTGCCACCGTTGCTCAGCCAGGGAAGATTGACGTGAGGCCCTTAGCGCCCTCCGATAATTTTCCATCAATTAGGATCGGGGATTTGGACCGGATTATCTCCCACAGTAACAGGTGAGTGCGCGCATGAAGCCCAAATTGCCATCCGCGTCCTAAGGCGATCTTGGCCTTTACCCCAGGATCGACTAAACCGGCCCTGTAGCTAACGACTGGTGCACGCTACGCAGGTTCCGGCCACACGAGCCGATGTGCCAGCCCCCAGATTGCGGGGTGTAAACATATCACCAACACTTCGGCTCTTCTACGCCTTCTGCGCCTCTTGGGGTCCTTGGGCCATTGCCCATTGTTACCCATTATTATGGTCCATTATTGTCCATATTACCGGCCGGTGGGGCGCCCTGCAAATACAGGGATGGACTTTATCCGCGTGACCGTTCCTTCGGGTTTACCCGTTTGTGCTTGTTTATCCGCTTACACGGGGATATTCCAAAAGATATTCGAGCTTGGTTGGACAAGGATCACCATGGCCTTGCAGAAAATGATGCTGTCCTTTGGCCCATGGGAGCTCCGATAAGGTAAGGTAGGTAGGTCGACGGAATTAATAAATATTATCCCCCCCCGCCATTCTGTTGGTTTCTCTTTTCTCGCGTCCACGTCGGCAGTTTAAAGATTCCAGCAGCAGTGCGGCATCGACGACTTCGATTTCTTGTATAGATTACGACAGCGACGAATAGCGAGACACGATGGGTCTATTACAGAAGGTCGTGAAAAATGAGGCAATGAAGAGGTCAGTCTGGCATAGCTCGCGTCTGCGTGTTGAAGCTCTACTAACCACGATCCCAGTGATCCTCCTGAAATCTACGGTAAACACAAGATAATCAATTCGAGGAATGCTCGCTCACGAATATGAAGGATGGAAGGTCTTCTTCTTGTCTGCCAGTGCTTGCTTCGGCGGCATGCTGTTTGGCTGGGGTGCGTCCCCCGAGCCTCGTAATATTTATTTGCTCACAAGATGTTAGATATTGGGTCAATTGGAGGAATTCTTGTTATGGGCAGTTTCAAGGAGTGAGTTGGCTGAGTAGAATCCCTGTGCTGCCGGATGAGACTAATTGAGACCCAGAGCCTACGGTCTAAACAAATTGAGTGATGGCGATAGAGCAAATCTTCAAAGCAACAGTAAGTGCTCTGGTACATTGTCGCCCGCTCTTGCTAAACCAGCCAAAGTTGTTAGCACTCTCCAGGGAGGATGCTTTTTTGGATCGTTGATTGCATACTGGGTGGCCGATCGCTTTGGACGGAAGGTTGGCGATTCCCGACCTATTTGATACCCTCCGCTCTAACGGGAGTCTACAGCCAGCACTGCTCGTCTCTTCGGTAATCACAATACTCGGTATAATCATCCAATGTGCATCTGATGGACATGTGTAAGCTTTGCCTTTCTCCGACCGCTGCCTGCTAGATTGCTAAGTAATTTAGTGAGGCACTATATGTCGGTCGTCTCGTCGCTGGATTTGGGGTTGGAGCAGCGAGTATGCTTACTCCTCTTTATGTAAGTATATTTGGGTCTAAATTATATGCTATGTCTCTAATCATATATACAGGTCAGCGAGAACGCGCCCCGAGCTATCCGCGGTGGTCTCACCGGCATTTATCAGCTTTTCATTGCTACAGGTATGCATCTAAAAGCTGTTGGCGCAGTATAGATTAGTCTAACTTGCGGGTAGGTGTTATGCTTAGCTTCTGGATCAATTACGTTCGTACACCCCTAATATACCCCTACAGAGGAGAATGATATCCAATACCTAGGGCTGGATCTAATATTATTTTAGGGCACTCTTCAAAACTTAACTGGCAATGCCCAATGGCAAGTTCCGCTGGCACTTCAGGCGCTCCCTGCAGTGTGCCTCTTCATTGGCATAGTATTCTGCAATGAGTCGCCAAGATGGCTGGCTAGACAAGATAATTGGGAGAAGGCGACGGAGGTCTTGGGCCGGCTCAGACAGTAAGATACCAATTACTTCGCTGGCAGAACATCATTGTTAATTCCAGCAGTCTACCTGTTGACCATGCATACGTCCAGATGGAACTAGAAGAAGTAAGCATCCTTAATTCCTCACAACTTGCATTACGGTACTAACATATTCTAGATGAGGGACCAGCTTGAGAATGAGGTTCGTGGCACTGGGATAATGTGGGTGTTACATTTCTAACATTTCATACAGCGGCTTTTGATTGGTGGAGCTGGTTTCTGGGATCTACAAAAGGAGATGTGGACCATCAAAGGGAACAGAAACAGAGCTCTCGTGTCTATCGGGTTGATGATCTGCCAGCAGGTTAGTTTTACTAATATCCATGGAATAATTATTTCACGCACTAACACTTATAACAGATGACTGGAACGTGAGTTGCCCTTATAAAAAACGCTAGTATGGAACTGACATGTGGTTGAAGTAATGCCATCAATTATTATGCTCCTCTAATCTTCGAAAACTTGGGTATTCCGGTAAGGCAATTTGGATATCTTATCCGGTGTTTCTATGTTAACACTCAACCTAGAAAGCCCAAAATGGACTATTCGCCACCGGAATCTACGGCATTGTTAAAATGGTTACCTGCGCAGTATTCCTCCTCATCGCAGCAGACTCCCTTGGAAGACGTAAGTAATTTCATATCCTCTCAAACTATCTCAATTAACATGTTAAGGTCGGTCCCTACTCTGGACATCTATCGCCCAGGGCTGCGCGATGTTCGTAATCGGATTCTACACTCGCTTCAAGCCACCTATCAAGGGCGAGCCCATCCCACCCGTGGGCTACTTTGCTCTAACATGCATCTTCCTCTTCGCTGGATTCTTCCAATTTGGATGGGGACCATGCTGCTGGATCATCGTGTCTGAAATTCCTACCGCCCGTCTCAGAGCTATGAATGTTGCGATTGCCGCTGCCACTCAGTGGCTGTTCAATTTTGTTGTCGCCCAGGCAGTCCCACATATGTTGGTTAATGTTGGGAAGGGAGGCTATGGGACCTACTTTATATTTGGCAGTTTTTGTTTTGCCATGTTCTTCTTCGTGTGGTTCTTGATCCCCGAGACCAAGGGGCTAAGTCTCGAGAGGTGAGTTATATTTTCTTTTTTCAATTTTTCCTGGTTAGACTTTGACAGGAGACTAATACAATATGTAGAATGGACGATATCTTCGGCATTACCGAGCTCGTTAAGGAGAAGGTCCATGGTGATGAGGAAGCTCACCACAAGCAATCGGAGTTGCACGAGACCACTACTGCAGCTTCAAACGCGACCAGGAATGAGAAGTCGGGCACGGCACATATCGAGAATGATGAGGTACGGGCTGCTGCATAAAATGGCAAAAGTCCAGGTACATTTAGATGTGGGGTGCGCAACAATAATGATATGGGTCAACGGTGCAAGAGGCTTTTGGGTATTACTTTAGTGGTATTGCATTGTTATTCTAAGAGTTATCTGACGGTCATACCTAAGTAGTTTTTGTGGCTGTGTGGTTGCAAGTAGGTACGAAACAAGCAGTGCTTATTTACCCATGAACGCCCCCGATCTGCTTCTCCATCATTCCGAACTTTGACCAGGGTATGATGTCCCGATCTACATTTCACCCGTGCCACTTCGCTTGTGTTGTTTCGCAGCTGCAATTTTTGCCTTGGTCTCCCGCTTCACCCGCAAGATCTCCTCCTTCCGTTTCAACTCCGACAACCTCTCTTCAACCACAACGAGTTCCTCATCGAGTTCATTTTCCTTGTCTTGGAGCGTCTGAAATTCTGCATCACCGTCTCCCTTGATTTCCCCCATTACAATATCAGCATCGGCCTCGCCGATTTCTGTATTAGAAGCATGAGAGTTCGGTTGTCTCCTCTTGTGGCTTTGCTCTGCACTATCCTCATGCATGCCCTTGCCCGGGTTTGGTAGTCTACCGAGTATTCGTTGAAGCTTCATATTGTCGGAGAATTTCAATATAACTACATGCTGGAGCTTGGGTCCCTGTTGAGGAGAATTGTTGGACGAGGTTGCCATATCAGGGGCATCGGACAATATCTCAGGTCCGGAATCTGCATCAAGGGGGCCTGCTTCGATTGATAAAGGGCGCTTCTGAGTCTTATTGTTGATCTCGTATTCGGGTGAAATTTGGCGTTTCTTGAAGCACCCAAGGCTAGACTATTTTTCGTGGTATTAGGCTGTTTCTTGCGGTCTCAAGGGACTATTTACCTGAAGATTTGAGAACATAGTTTCTGTCTCACTCGGATTCAGAGTACACCACAGCTTCCACCGATCATGGATTTGTGGTTTGCTGAATAGCTGCCGCCGAACAGCAGAAGGATCCACGCCTGGGCCCGCTTGATATAGTTTTAATTGGAAGGTATTTACCATGTCACGTTCCTTGAGCGCTATCAGCAATTGTTTAGCACATTGTGGAGCGGCCCCCACATGAAGGGACAGACCTGAAGATCCTTAAAGCATCTTTCTCGGCTAGATTCGTCGATATAGCTCCATGGCTCACAATACAACCGTATAGGTGTCCTGAGAAGTGCCTCTTTCTTCAGATATTCTATTTAAAGTAAGGACAACGCTTCTTGGTTCTCGTGGGGGCCTACCAGCAGCTCGTGCAATAAAATGCCAGGAATACGTCTTGACTGTGCCCGGCTCGTAGAAGTATGCCGGCTGTCGCGCGAATTTCCCACCGCCAAGAGTACCTCCAGTTAAGCTATTCAAATATTAGTGGATAACTCTTATTGTTAAGGTCAAAGAATTACCTCACCGCATGGGTAATTCCCTCACTGTAAAAGAGATTTTGGTTGATTCCCTTCATCTTGGGGAGTTGTTCTGGGCGGAAGAAGATGCTTTCATGGGGTGCTTCTTTCTCCAAACTCAAGGCTCTATCTGAACCCAGCTCCGAGGTAAATGTTCTGTGTCTCTCCAACACTATCTCCAGTCCACCTAGCTCCTTGCAATTGACATTGTAATTCCTAGTCTCGACCCTGAAAGGAACTTTTGCGATTAGTCTAGGTAGCCGGATTCTCTGTAGGGAAATCATGAGAAACTAACCGGGCGCTAGAGAATAAAATGCCATCTGGACGTCCTTTCGTGGTTGGCAATTTACGATAGCTTCCGGAATACACTTTACACAGTAGACCTTGTCTTCTGCCAAAGCCGCCTTCTCAAGCGATCCATCCAGCAGGATACGAGCGAAGGTTAGGCCTGAAGCCTTATCCCCGATCTTGATCCAGATACGATCACGGAATTCTCCATGGCGGAATCCTTTTTTAAAGGTGACTTCCACAGCAAATGAAGTGTCTTCTGGAACAATGTGTCTGGTGACGTCTGTACTCGCCTCGGGACACTCACCAAGCGGCATGTACTCGCCGAAGTAGAGGGGACTCCGATCACCCTCAACGAGGTTTCTTAGACAAACCTCAATTCTTCCATCAGGATCCTCTAAGATGACCATGCTGGGCAAAGGTGAAAAGTTACTAGCCTTGATTTGCGGTTGAATTCGGCGCGCGCGAAGAGTGTATAGACTTATCGAGAGGGCAGAGAGATAGAGAGCGGAGAACGGTTCTCTTGGATCGGTGGAGTAAACCTTAATAGAGGAGTACAGTGTTGGTGTCAACGTGAAGGAGTTCCTTAAAAGTAGAAAATAACCGCGAAGCAGCCTTGTTGGGAGTTGGCCTGTCAAAATCGAAGGTGGCAAAAAAAGGGGAGCTTCGCGACGCGATTGCAATTCGTCCTGTTGGAGTCTACACTTACGCGTAAAAGTTTATCAGTTGCCGAATGCGGTATGTTGTAGGTTGCCGAGGGAAGAAAGGTGAATAGTGAATAGTTTAAGGAGAGGGTATGCTGGAGGATGAAGGGCAAAGAACGAAGGACAGCATGCATTAGCCACCGAGAGGGAAATGGCCTTAAGGTTTGGTACCGGGAAACTAGCTATATCATCACGTACCCTCATAGCCACAACCGGGACTAATAACGACTTTTCATTTTCCACATCCTCCCGTACTTTAGCGCATCTTCTCTATTCTAATTTTACACTCACTCCCCAGTCTTTTCCAAACTCTTCTTCACCTCTTCTGTCCTCGCAAGTACTGGACTAAAATCCAAGTAGACGTCGAACCTCTCGAGTACTGCGTTCCCTTTTCCCGAAGCCTCTTCCTCTGATAGTAGGTAGGCAACTCCCATTGCGGGAACTGTGACTTCCTTATTCTCTGGGTCTTGCGCTACAACGTATGTAATGTTGCACGCAAGGTAGATTTTGTTCGTTATCGTGTCTAGACAAAAACGATAAGTAAGTGGAAGTCAATACTGAAAGCAACTATGAAGATATTCCACTATAGTGGGGCAAGGCATACCAAATGACACGATATCATGGCGCATCCTTGAAAGAAGAGGGAAGGTCACATCGAAGAACTGTTTAATTTAACCCTTGTATTAGCTCCTCTGGTTTTAAAGGCACCAAAGTGTGTATATGATGTATCAAAAACCAACTAAGTTGGAAGGCTTCGCGAAAAAATGTATACCGAAACAATATTGTTGATTCCAACCACCGCTTCGTTATTTGCGAAGCGCAAATGGGCATTGGGAGTGAAGAACTCGTGAAGAGAACTTGTAGTTAACGAATCTGTTGAATTTTGAAACTAAAATTTGCGTTAGCTGAGAGTGGTGACTTAATTCCGGTCTAATCCTAGCCAAATGCGAGTGATAGCATAAAACGAGGGAGTACATGCGTCTTTTAACCATTTATGGATTTCATCTCGAGACTTATTTTGTAGTGCCATGTTGGCTAGAAGGTCTTTATAGAATAATTAAAGAGATAGCTGTGGAGTGATGAATAACAAAAAGTAAGAAACACGATGGTTTTATACTTCGCTTCCAGATATCAGCAAGGGGGGTGGGTCACGTGCCCGGACACTTCTCGGTCACAATTGCTAGTTGCTGAGAAATCAATACATTTCAAGCAAAACCGTTTGCTCAAATATGCGTAAAGAATGGCGTGATTTTAAAGAAATTGCCTACTTCAGAGGGGAGCAAATGGCGATGTAACTACGGCAAGCCACGATCCTCATAACCAAACCTTCCTTAGAGCTAAATATTGTAATATATTTCTTGCGTGGCACAAACGCGAATTGTAGCTATTGAGTAGCGATTAAGCAGGAATGACTGCACTAATACATATATAAGCATATGGTTATGCATAAGTTCAAGTATAGGCGCAAATAAGCTTGCAAGCATAAACATCGCAGTATTAGTATGACTATGTATATATGTGCAGGTATGTACATGCTTTATTCTACTTAATCCATTTCTAACCCCACTTATAGCTCTAACCAAGCTGCACTCATCGGCCAGCAGACATCTCAGACTAATCGTGGCAAGTGATCACCGTGATTCACTAACATGCCCCGAATTGGCAGTGGAGAAAGATGGTTTTAGCACTCTTTGTTTTTGTATTTTTTCCTCCTTTGCAATTATAGAGCCATTCTCACGAATTAATGTGATAAGATATGAATGAAATGGCTCCTAAATATATTAGTATATACCTTAGTTGGGGGTCGTTGGCTCAAGGACTTCACTTTTGCACATTTTTTTCATTTAGGAGGTAATAACCGTTTGAATATCTAGCACATTGGAGCGCTCTACCAGCTATGCCTTTAGTCTTAGGTTTGCCATGCTTCCTTCATTCAAGAGTCCTCTATCTGTCAAGACTCACGGAGCTTGGTAACGGCAGGGTGGCTTTTCGGTTGCCTTAGAATCTGCCACCTACATTGTACCGCCATTACAAGCGAGGATGCAATAGGCGAGAAAAAAGAATAACAACTATCGCGAAGGCAGTGAAAAAATGAGGCACAAATATAATATATTACTATATCTTTAGGAGGAGAGGCAAAAGAGTTCAGCCCGTTGTCGGTTGCCTACATCTCTTGTCGATTTTGTCGTTTTGTCGCTTTTGCCTGATCGATCCTCTCCAGAAGATAATTTGACCTGAACCACTTAGCCAAGTAGCCGCCTGTTGTCTTCCTTAATACCAAATCGCTTATTTTAATCTATATACCTCAGGGCAGGGCAGAGCGAGGAAAGGAGTCAGCCACATGACTAGCCTTTCACAAATTCTGTTATATAAAACTCTAGTCGAGCCTATGTTAATTATAATACTAGATGACTTGATTGAGCTGCATTCTCAGAATCAAATAATGACTTATCGTATGACTATTATAAGACAATAACTATATTAGTTAGCCAGATGATGAGGAGTACTTCGAAAACAGCCAAAGCAAAACATGATTCATAGCCTCAGTAGAGCTAGAGGCAATTGCCAAAATTCACCTTGATGACATCCGCATTCTTGCAGTCATCGGTAAGTAACGCATCTCATCTAGCTTCTGGACTCGCTCCCCTTTCCAACAACAACAGCACCAGCTCACCGCTCAAACAAGTCCCACACGCACCTAGACACCTTCAGTAACAGCCAGCTTCAACCCGTCCAATCCTCAACATCAACACTAAACTTACCAACCCACATCCGCCTCTCCAAAACTCCTCGTCCCTTCAAGATCCCATCAAAATGAAGCTCGTCAATCTCGTCGCTCTGCTTGCCAGCACCTCTGCCATTGCAGTAGCTCACCCAGCTACCCAAGACAACACTTTCGTCGATCAAGCACCTGTAAATGACGGCATCCTTGGCCGTGCGCTCTTCAATCTTTATGAGCGCTTGGTCAACAAGCTTCCGGGTAAGAATCTCACTTCCGACTCCTATTTCACTTTTAGTCACCTTCATTTAGCATCCAACACCGTTCAACCAAGCCCCAGACAATTACCCCCTTTCCCTCTTATATCACTGCCTTACTAATAGCATGGCAGCGATACTCCCTGATACCATTGACATCGCTCCCTTGAATGCCCGTGGAGAAGCAGGCTGCATCCCCCTGGGTCATGGAGCATTCTGCAGCCCCAACCTGCCTCCCAACTAAGGGTAGCTCGGGTCAAGTTACTGTTTCCGCGGCCGCTTTTCTCGGCTCGTTAGCAGTAACTACTCTTGTGCTCCGGGGCCTTAGCATCCATCTCTATTGCACGTTGATATCAGAGGGGCAGATGGTTGACATGGGAACCTCGGTGAAGGCCCGTTAGTCACGATCCTACTACAATCAAAACAGTCACTCAAATCTCCAAATTCATTTTCTGATGTGCTGGAATGTGCCTGTAATGTCTCTTATGTAAATCCCTGTAAGCTGCCCACAAATCAAACACAAAGCAGTACTCGAAAAGTATAACTTCTGCATAGACACTTCAGTTTGCCAAGCCCTTGGAATCGCAACTCACAGACCGGAGCCTAACACCCTTCAAAAGCAAACAAAACCATAAAGGTGATTTAACTCAACGCTCAATTATTTGCTATGGAAAGGGATATACATAACAAGCTCTTATACGCAGTGTGCCTGCGGAGTTGACGCCCGCTTGCTATGCCTAAAGAACAACTCCCACCCTTCCCAACTCATCGTACAACCTAGTCCAACTCGCCACCTCATGCGCGGCAAGTCCAAGTTCTATTAGCCGCCTTTGTCGTCTTGAACCAATACCCAACGTTACCGCCAACCTATAGAGCTGAAGAAGATACAGAAAGAAGAAGAAGTAATAGTATAAATAAAGGATAAGAGGCCCCGATCGTCTCTTCATGACCTGGACATCAGTCAATTGAAGCACTATACATTACACGGTCATTATTGTTTGACCCTCCCATTTCGAAGTAAATAACCCGTCTCAATCTAGCTCTATAGGTTTCTTTTCCGAGCCTTCAGGGCTCGGAGGGCTAACGACCGTCGTGGGAGTGGGTAGCTTCTCTTTTTCGTCGTCATTCGGCGCATCTGCTGTCTGCGCCTCGGTGTCTTCTTCCTGAAGGGCATCCTCTTCATCAGGGTGTTCGGATAGCGTAGACGCTTTCTCTCGTCGTCTTCGCCGAGCTTTTCTTTCCTCGTCGGCGTTTTCCCTTCTTCTCGCTCGCCGTACACTATCGCGTCGTTCGTTGTTCTCTGCATCATCAGTTCCATCCGTGCCCCGCATGCCTTGCAGGAGTAACGCAGCGCGTTCAGCCACATCATCTTCAGTGGCTTCTTTTACAAGGTCTGGGCTAATAGGGCCTTCACTTAAAGAGTCCGGACTCTTTAATGAATCTTCAATTGCTGGTATCTCATCCAGATCAGGGATCTTCTGGCCCGAAGCCACACGAACCTGGTGACGATTCTGCAGCCGCGCTCTTCTCCTTCGGTCTCTTTGGTCTCGTGCTTGCGGAGCAGCAGCTCTCAATTTCTCAAGGAGCGAATCCATGGCTCCAGTAGAGATTGGTGAATTAGGCGCGCTACTGTCAGACGATCCATTGACCTTCAATTGCGCATTCTTTCGCTTCATCGAAATCTCATTGCGCTTTCGAGTCTCCTCAAATTGGATGTTCTTTTCCCTTGACTTCTTCCATTCCGTTACGAAAATAGCCAACTTTGAGAAGAAGTCTCTTCGGGCATTTTCATCGGTGGGATCTTCACCGTAAAAGACCATTATGTCGTCATACGTCCTTATCATCTCTTCTAGATATAATTGCATCTGCTCAGCCTTTCGTCGGGCGTCCTTCATTGACCGCTGAACCACTTGACTAACACGGTCTTGAGGATGGAATTTCTTTGGATCACTCAAATTGCCAGAGTCGAGTGACATTTGCACATTCTTAATGTTGTCAATGTACCGCTTTGCGTCCTGCTGTAGCTGCTCGACGTTGAGTTTCTGAGCGGTGACAACGCCCATGATATCGTCAGTGAACCCTTCCCATTCAGGATATTGTGTTCGAACAATTCGCTCCACAAGATCTGCAAAGGTTGACTCATTCTTGTCGTCTTTAACCATTCCAAGTCGTGCAAGAGAACTTAATTTGAAACCGCTAGCTTGTTTGTTTGAGTCGTTCATATAGTTGCCAATGTCAAGGATCAGGCCCAGAACATTCATAAGAGATACAGAGTCCCGTAGCGACTCCGACACACTGACAACTTGTTTTATCTTCTGAGACACTTCGTCGTATTCAGGCTCGAATGTCCTTGTCAATGCAAGGGCTCGCATCCTCGATTTCCAGTAGTGGTGGAGTTCGTAAGAAGTCTGAAGGTAAATTTGATCTTCTCGAGTGAGCTCTGAGGGATCTTGCTCCCGGTCTTCGTTGTTAGCATTTGGCCCAGTCCAATCCCTACTATATGGTGCCATGAGCTTAGTGGAATTTTCGGGTACAATACACATGTCCTCCTTTTGCAAGAAATCCATCACAACCGAGTTGTCCAAAACCTCCTTGTCGCAATGAATGATCATCTGAACAACTTTTTCTACGGAATAGGACGAGAATTTTGAAAGAGAAATTTCTGAGCAAAGTCAATAATCGGTAATCAAATTTGATGTGGGGAATACTTACGGAACGTCCTCATGAGATCACTTGAGATGATTTGCTTCTTATCAGTTTTCTTACCAGAAGCCTTTCCAATTCGTTTGATTTCCTTAGCCATGAACAGTTTCTCAACTTCGTCCAGAACACCCTTTCGCGTTAATTCGGCATATTTCTCTTCCTTCTCTGCTGGAGTTGGAGCATGTGCTGCCCAATGGGTAGTCATAGGAGTGTCAACCTTCTCCCAATGGAGCGCTTTGAGTTTCTTCTTCGGCCTAGCGACTGGTAACCCAATACTTGGGGCAGCATTGTATGCAGGTTGTTGAGCCAAAAAGTTGCCTGCCATCTTGCCAGGCATAGGAGGGGGTGGTGGAGGTCCAGGGGCTAAGGGAGTGCCTGGCATTGGTGGGGGAGGAGGTGGAGGTGGTGGGCCTGTAAATCCTGGAGCTTGCCCTGGCATGGGAGGTGGCGGTGGAGGAGGTGGTGGAGGCGGTCCTGTAAATCCTGGAGTTTGTCCTGGCATGGGAGGAGGTGGGGGAGGTGGTGGTGGTGGTGGCCCATTGAATCCCTCGGCCTTGGGTGCCCCTTCATCATTAGGTGTCTTTGGTAAGTCCGACTCCAGGCTTGGATGAGAGGGGCCGGTTGTGACACCATCCCCTTCCTCGTCGTCGCTAGCATCATAACGTTTGATTTTGGAACTCATCTCATCCAGATATCCGGGGGCCGCCTTTGGTCGCTTCATCTCGATGATACGAGGCCTCTCGAAAACAGTAGCTTCTTCATCGTCCTCTTCTTCGGCGAGGATTTCCTGGGAATTGACAGGTTTTCTAGGTATCCTAGTTTGTCTGGCAACGCTACCAAGCATGCTATTCGTGAAATCCCTAGGAGGTGTGGCACGGTCTTCAGAGCCATCGCCATCCATTTCCTCGCGAAGGGCGCGCAATCGATCTGAAGGACCTGCAGCATCTCCCCACACTCTTCCTTCGAGTTTATATTGGGTCTTCTGCCTTTCGATTTGCATTTCAAGGCGGTCCATGAGTTTCTCCCGATCGAGGATTCCGTTCATCTGAGAAGGATCGCTTTCTCCTAGGCCAGCGGCTCCGCCCTTGGCAGCGTTCGAAGCAGCCACATCTTGGGCATCACGGAGCATAAGATAAAGCTCTCTGGTTTCAAGCTCGTTACGTTGGGCCTCCTTAGCGCGGACACTCTGCATGTTTTCGACCTCGCCCTTCAAGGCTTCTATTTGCCTTCGTTGGAGCTCAATTATTTGTGCTTGTTCCTCCATTTGCTTTTGTAATTTGGCGACCATACCTTCAGCACCGAGCTCAACCTGGGACTTCATTTCATCCCGCTCGGCCATTGCCGAGTCGGCAAGCTGGCGGGCTTCCAAAGCTTCATCAAGAGCTTGCCGTGCTTCTGAATCTGTGTGGAGCTTATCAAGCAAGCTTTGAACGGTAAAATTAAGGCTTTGCTTCAAGTCCATGTCCGGCAACCGCCTGTCCATGGCAACATAGCTAAGCATCGAGTCCACCAGCTGGAACAAGCGCAGCCGCTCTTCTCCGTCATTTTCTCGGATGAGCAATAGATGTTGCAATGCAGACACAAAATAGTCTTGTGTTCTGCTACCCTGGACCTTCTGCATGATAGCGTCGACAATCTGAACGGGGTCATTGAGATCTTTAACCTCGCCCTCTATGCTATCCTTCATGCTACTGTTCTCGCGGTCCAGGAGATCCTCATAATCGATCGCCTCGTTGGTCCGGAATCGTTCAATTTGCTTGTCTATAACATCATATTGGAAGCCCTCCATCTTCGTCAATATCCGTTTGATGCCGCATCCTGTGAATTGTGCCCGGATATGGACCCGAAGCTGTAGGTCCCGCTCCGGAGCATCGACGATCATATTGATCAAGAACAGTGTGGCAACAGCATATTCCATGAGAAGATTCTCCATCCCAATACCACCACTTCGAAGTTCTTCGCTAGCACCCACAAGACTACCCATCTTGCCTCGCCCATCAACTGTAACCTCGACCACCCGCATCCATGCGTCGAAACGGCTATTTTCTCCCTGCTGATTTTTGACATAATCCATAGCCTGGACAACTTTAAGATGCCCCTGGCCATCCGCCCAATGACACAGGAATGTCAAAACCTCGCTGACAAGCTTCCTTGTGGTCAAGCGTGGAGATATTAAGGACGTTGCCAACGCAACAATAACTGGTTGATGGGCCAATGCATCGTCTGCTCCAAATTTGTTGTTCATAAGAGCCTTTAAGCATTTTACAATATCATACTCTCGGTCGAGATCCTTATCACTCGTTGATCCATCGGCGGGCGCTGGGCCTTGGGCTTGCCGGCGATTAATCTTCCCAAGCACATTGGTGAGAGCTACCTGCCCTTGACACTCTACAAATGTCTTCACCCACCCAATAGGCTGTGTCCGTAAACTTACTGCCAAACTCTGTAATTGCTTCGCAGTAATGCTGTTATCCATCACCTTTCTGACGAACCATTCCGGTGTGCCTTCTTCCTCTGCATTGAGAAGCATTTCCATAGCATTGCCATACTGTCCTGTTTGTCTGGCCGTCGTTCGGCGCTTTTGCTCGCCTTGCCACTCCGTCAATCGGTCTTGGTGTACCAGCGTCCATTTTTTTGCAGCAGGATATGCCATCATTTGCCGCCGCGCTTGATCCGGCAAGTTGTGCCATCCTCGTTTCTGCATCAAAGCCAGAAACATCTCCTCTATTACTCTATCATCCGTGGGTTTATTGAGGCCATCCGGACCAACAGACGTCGACGAACCGTTGTAATAAGGAAGCTTCGTGAGACGATGGGATTCGCGGTGGGATGCTTGTGATGGTGATAAAGAGCTACTCGCAGCGGAAGTGGGCATAACTGTCCTCGATGAACCTCCGGAGGAGAAGACGCTCGAGCGCTCGGTACTCGAATCTACGCTAGATTGATCGAAAGAACTTCGCCCGTACGCAGAGGATTGGTTCGTAGAAATGGAATCGTATCTTGGATTGTACATTGCACTCGCCCCACTCGCCCTGCCTGGGCCCCATTGCTGCAACTGTGTCGCGCGATTTCCGGTAGATGACATAGTGACGTTTGTAGCCCCCGGTGGAGGACGGGGGCCCGATATATGAGAGTTTGTAGGTGTGGCAGCGTCGAAAGTTGGATATTGATGGAAATCTCCCGCTACCTTATTTAGATGATGTGGCAGAGGCTCCTTCCGGGCAGGCATATGGTCGCTCCTTGGTAAGTAATCCACCGGTATTGGAGACCTGCCGTCCGCTGCGACACTGTCATATGGGATGGATGTCATTACCCCCGCCATCATATTCAATCCTCTGTGGTCCGCGCCAGGCGAATCAGGCCGGTCCAACGATGCGATAGATGATCCTCGTGTGTGTCGCGACGTCCGGGATCCAACAGAGCCTGCCTTGTCGAGGTCTCCTCCCAGATATTTCCCGTCGTCGCTGACATTTCTCTTGTCCTTCTTGCTGCTCCTGGAAAAGAAAGATTTGCCGCCAGAAGACTGTCTGGATGACTTGTCCGCCGCTGACATGATCGACACCCGGTTTAATCAGGCGCTACAATCACAGTTATGCGATTGTTGTGGCTCCCTACTCCGGCAAAAACGTCTAGATCCAGCCTCAAACCGATTCCTCGTGCTCGTAAATGTCTCAGGCCCAAGTATATCACACCATGCCTCCTTTCAGCGGGGGAAAGTGTCTGCGATCCGCGGGAAGTTCGATGTGGTTGTGTCCAGAATCGCGCTGTCTAGGAGGGTTCAAGTTGGTTAGCATGAATCGCTGGATCCTGCGACGCTTGAGGCATCATCAGGATAAAGAGTCCATCAACAGTCCCTGGGGCTGTTGACAGTCGGCGCGCAAACTACAGTAAATGCTCGCTCACCTGGAAACGCCACGCAAGGCTTCAATTCGAATTGCGAGCCCGCTCCTTGTTCGATAGCAAATGTAAAGTTCTAGAGAATTGTAAGAATCGGTCGTGCTATCGGCGGCCCGGCTTTTGCCCTTGTCGGGATAGTAGTTTGTTTCTGCTTATGATCGAGGGCTGAAACAGTTCGTTCCTAAGCGTCAAACTCTCTGCAGCGCCGGCCGTGTGGTTCCTTGGATAAGGGTTCTGGAACGTAGGAGGAGGATGACGATAGCGGTGGCATCAGCGAATGTCGGATCATAAAACAGCAAACAAAGTAAACAGCGAAAAGAGTGTTTCTATGGCAGTCAACGCCAGAACAAGACTCCAGACGATGGATACTTGAATGCGCGGTTATTTTAGGGGTTGTCGTTGGTGTGTACTCAAGTGGTCCGCGGTTGGAGGAGTTGGGGCGGACAAGGTTCTCCTTAAACACCCCATTCGTCAAATACGCAGGAGGGAATGCCCCTGTAGTCGTCCCAGTGACATCTCTCATCACTCCAGCCTGAGTACATCTACATACAATACACCACCAGCACCAACAACAGCGCCAGTAATCGACTCTCATGAAGAACTCCACGTCATATTGAAATAATCATCTTTATCGTGCCTATTAATAATCCACTGCCGCACGCTATCCAGCAGAGCTTGGGTCTACAACAAGACCTGCGGCCACGTCTTTGTCTCCGGATGAATCCCGCCGCGTGGTCTGCCCTCACAAGACGCACCGAACCAGACGTTTATATTCCTCATCCAGCTCCAAACGCTGAAGTAAAGGACGAAGAAGACGTGTCTAAAATGGGGTCTTTCTTCTCGCTACTAAAGGTACAGTGATACCTGCAACCCTATCCATTAACTTCCTATGTAGCTGACATGCCATAGACCTTGATTGTTCCTGCGATCATCTCTCTCATCCTTTATCTCGTAATATCCTATGTCATTGTCCCGACATGGAAAAGATATCGCAATAGATATAGCAACTACCTGCCACTAGACACGATATCAACTCGAACTACGTCGTTGCGTCAACGAGTGCAAGGAGCGGCTGTCCGCTTACTGGTTCCATCCGCGTGGGCAGCCCGATGGGGAGATAATCGCTATACGGCCAGCGCACAAGATGGCTCAGGAAGCGACTTCGACGATGATGAGGGGGAAGAACTATACGATGTGGACGACAACCGCAGAGAGGCGTTGTCTCTGGATGCACGGCGAGGGGGGTATACCGAAGGGAGGCGGTTAAGCAGGGACTTAGAGGAAGGCTTCAAGGACGATAGCGATGACGAGGATGGAATATCGGATGACGAGCAGCACTGAAGTGCCTCGCTCTGAAATATGAAGCGAATATCATGATGCGCTTCATTTGGTCGACAATCCTTGTGTGGGAGCGATGCTCAACCTCGCCCATCTGCATTCCAGCCCTCGATGCCAAGGTGTAGAGACACTCCGGTACTCGACGGTACTCGAGTACAGCCATTCGCCCTCCAACGTTCAAGCCCAGCGTGAAGATGCCCATCTCTTCCCTTGGTAGTGCCCCAAGTGGTCAATATCGCGATCCGCACGCCCCTCACTTGCATCGCTTCCAACACCGGCGGCAAATGTATTCTCCATTCCCCTTAATTCCACCAGCTTTCTATTTTCCATCTGCAGCCCTGGCAACAACCATATCCATTTTTCCAGGCCGTACTCGGGGTTCGCATGGCTTCATAGACGGCCACAAACTCGATGATCACGCCCCATGACAGCAAGATGGTGACATCCTCAGTCTAGCCATGTGCAAATAGGAATTAGGAGTTGCACTGCAAGTAGTTCATCGCTTATAGTGGATGATGTCTGTCTGCTGTAGGGGAGGTAATATGCTTCAATGTAAGGCAGAGGTCGTATTTTGATACGCCAGCTAAACTAAAGCGTTCGTTTGATCATTGGTGGGTTATTTCTTGGTCGGCTGATATCTGCTGTCAGACACAAAACCATATTTGGGCTTAAGACTGACCAGGACGGAAAGCAAGATGAGGATGAAAGCCAGGCGCAGGGGAAATTGGACCATCGGTCGGGAATACAGACTCAGGGAACTCATCAGCACCCTCTCATTCTACATAACCAGGCAACATAGACGACCCACCCTTCAAATTACTTCGTGGTTACGTACCCAATTGTCACTTTTAGATATCTCCCGATAGATGTATGCGAATACCTAGATTTGGTTTATATAACGAAAAAGAAGACAAGTTTGAAAGAGGCATGTCAGCTACCTTATTGCACAATTACTCCGATCTTTTACCAGTTATGTACCTCTATAGCCTCCCCACTGTATCTTGGGTTATTATTTTAGATCATATCGGGCATCGTGTTCTCCGACTCCTGGTGATTCTCTCCATTTGGTTGATGATTTAACAGGCTCAATTTCATTGACGCGGCCAGCGCGATGTATCTTCAACATTTTACTTGTCTCCGGCGATGCATGGCCATCGCCAATGCGTGGCCGACAGCTTATTATTAAAATGCTGGCATTAGAGATCTCTTATTCTGTAAACTTAGTGGTTGAGCCAGGATTTCCAGCTGAGATCGGCAGCCAAGATGACTGAAGCTTTCGTACGAGGTGTGAGCGTCGCCAAGACTTCGTGCTGTTCAGCACCGGCACAGCCCCGACTAGGCTTATTCCTTCACCTATGTAGTTGGTAGGGTAAGTACTTATATTTAATTCTTGCTAGTAGGGTTGCGCAATGAACTAAGTGAAGTCCAGGGCTCTTGTTGGCTATATACCCCTTGGACCTTGCGTACTCCTTGAACGCATTGCTCTCATGAGAGTTGAATTGTGCCGATCTACTGTCATTATCTGCCTAGCAGCATTTCTAAGAGTCTATATGGTGTTCGTACGCTGCTGCATAAGTATAGTAACCACGTAATATTTCTGATCCTAGATCAGCAGACAAAGTATATTCTCGCCTAGCCTTCGACGTTATTCGAAATGAATTTGTTCATATTTATCTGGGCTCTGGCGCTGGCCCTTACAGCGCAAGCTCAGCTCAACATATGGACTGCCAAGCATGGTATGACATCTGACCAGTACGAGACCGCATCCAAAGATCTCGTCTCGCAAGGTTATCGGCTCAATTACATCAGTGGTTACACTATCAACAATACTGCTAGCTATGCAGCGATCTGGGAAAAGAAAGCCTCTACTGCATGGGTTGCCAATCATTCCATGACCTCAGCCCAATATCAAGAGAGGTATAATACATATACCTCCCAAGGATATCGACCTGTGCTCGTCAACGGATATACCGTCAATGGCATCGACTATTACGCCGCCATTTTTGATAAATCTTCGTCCGGCCCTTGGATTGAGGGACATGGCATGACAGACTCAGTCTATCAGACCAATATCGATTCCTATGCTAAGAAAGGCTACCGTGTAATACATGTTAGCGGCTATTGTGTCGGAAACGAAGTAAGATATGCGGCAATATGGCTGAAGACAGAGAACGCATGCTGCTCAGTTACGTACCATGGGATGACTTCCGCAGATTACGGGGAGGAATTTGACCGCTTAAATAAGTCTGGTTATAGACTCACGCTTGTCAATGGCTACCAAGTGGACGGTATCGACTACTATGCTGCTATATGGGAACGCAAGACCGGTCCTGTTCCCTATGCGAAACATGGCATGACCTCAGCGCAGTATCAAGACGAGCTTGATAATAGCTACTACCAAGGATATATGCTGAAAGTCATAAGTGGATATGATCAAGGTCAGAGCGATCGTTACGCAGCCATCTGGGAGAATGGGCCCATAAGCTCCACAGCTCTAGCAACCATCGACAATGACATCAACGCCTACATCAAGAAATATGATATTCCCGGCTTCTCCCTCGCTATTACCAAAGACGACCGGCTTGTCATCGCAAAAGGATATGGCCTCGCTGATAATGCCACCAATGTGATTGTTACGCCCAACTCCCTATTCCGCATCATGAGCATCTCCAAATCCCTCACTACAACGGCGATCATGAAACTCATCCAAGACGGCCACTTCAGCATAACCGATAAAGTCTTTGGCTTGGACTCCGTCCTCGGCACCAAATACGGCAGCACTATCGTCAATGGAGCAAAGCAATACAAACCTAACGTAACGTCAATCACAGTCCAGCAACTCCTTGAGCACCAAAGTGGCTTTGGCGCCAATGCCGACCCAGAGGTACTGCTACAGACCAAAACACCAGCTGAAGCTGTTACTGCGATTCTTGACACCATCCCATTACTCAACCCACCCAATACCGCCGCCGTCTACAGTAATTTTGGCTATCTAGTACTAGGACGCATCATCGCCGATGTCTCCGGCCAGGAATATGAGACTTACGTCAAGAACAATATCCTTACTCCCAGCGGGGTAACCCGTATGCAGCTGGCCGACAACTCTGGGCCCATTGCAAATGAGGTGACATACTACCCACTCGGCGCCAGCTCTGCGTTCCGCGTCCGCGAATTCGACTCCTTCGGTGGCTGGGTCGGCACTCCCATCGATCTGTGCAAATTCTCTACCCGGGTTGACCAGCTTCCTGGTCGGCCGGATACGATTTTGAATCCGGCCAGTGAGAAAAAGATGTTTGAGCCTAGCTCTCTCGACCCAGGATATGCGAAGGGCTGGATTGTAAACATGCCAGGTAGAGGACATAATGGGGCGTTCATTGGCACGGGAAGTTTCTTTATGCAGAGGACTGACGGCATGGGCTTTGCCCTCATAATGAATACTAATGCAGTCGGGGATGAGTATTCGGGTGTGATCAGGGGGATAGTTGATAAGGCCATTAGTAAGGTTAAGGCTTGGCCAGAGTGGGATCTGTTTTAAGATATAGAAAAGAATGTATTGGTATTAGCGTTTCGTCTTTGTAAAATTAAACTATACCCCTATGGACCACCTGTGTATTCTTTCCGTGGCTTATTTTCCCTGTAGAGCCCAGCTGCCAAGCGTGACTCCTTTCACTCCGGACCTTACTTGCCTACCATCAGCACTAGATTCACAATGGATAGATGCATTACGCACATGTCAAGCCGGCATATAGCTCATAGAAGGCTTAAGCCCCCACTATTTCCATATAGGTCTGAAGACGGCTTTCAATGCCATTTTATAACCACTAAACCCTCTTCACAGCACCTATGCTTATCTTAGCCCATAGCCCGAGTTGCCTTTCTCTGCCATCTTATAGTCGGAGTGTCCATTATAACTTATCTAAGAGATTCGCTGCATATGACTTAAGCCGGAGAGCCGTTTCTTTAAATGTGTAACCTGTAAGCTGTGGTAGTAAATCGCCGGTTCAGAGGCTCCGTCTCTATTGACTCGGTCGAAGTTGTATAAGCGCACTTGGGGCCTCCATTCTAGGCAGCGTAGAACACGCTCTCTAATTCGGTGTGTTACTTCTGGAAAGGTAGACTTAACTAATATATTATCCAAACGTTGCGACCATACGTAGTTGACACAATGGAACAATAGAAACCTTAGATGTGGACCGTCGAAAATAAAATATGCTTACTCAATGATAAGGTAACTACAGTTTCAGAAGCCAGGATTCACTGTCTTCCTCTTCGGGCTAAGCTTTCCACACTGTATGTAGCCTTTTCGATTCCTGGAGAGCTTACCCCGCCAGAGAGCTCTCAATACATCCGCCTCTTCTCTCCTCCTTGCTCGCCCCATTCCTTGTCCTCCGGTATATAGCATTCAACCTGAATGGTCTGGGCTGCTTCTTTTCCCAAGTCTGCTTTGCAAACCTCGAAACAAGAAGAGCAGTATAGCAACTCCAGCTAGATATACCAAAAGCTCGAAAGCAAGAAGGAGCAACGACCACCGGAACAGGTTGACCGTTTCCATACCAAGACTACACACCTAGGTAGCTCTGAAAGCAGATTGCATGCTTCTTCCTAAGTGTTTCGCTAGGGGGAAAAAGAAGGGTGTGAAGAGGGGGATCGCCAAGCATGGGTCTTCAAGGACAATCGCAAGAAAAACAGACTCTAGGGTAACTTTTCAAATTCAAAATTTCTTTCTGACACAGTACAAAAAATTCTTTAGTATAGTCCTCTCATCGATTAAGACGGCGGTGAACAGCAATAGGACGGCAATCCAGTCTCTGGTCACAATAGCTGACCGCCTATGCGAATTCTATTTCGCGTCCTGCCTCCTCGCGATCCCATTCTCATCCCACAACAACAACAACAATATCCTACTTGGCCGAATTGCCCGCACAACCACAGTCAACAACATCTGTTGACTCTATCTCCTGTCTATAGATACAGGACGTATCCTGTAAGTTACCCCTTTGCTTATTTGCGTCCCAATTGCCACCCACGCCCTGTTTCCAAGGCGAGGCCTCCAAGGCGAGGTCGGCAATCGTGAGGTTCGATCTGTTCGATCTGTTCAATCAGGTCGATCTGTTCGACCCACTGCATGTTGCGAAAGCATCACAGCTACCACCACACTTGTGTATCCATAGCCATGTTGCTATAGCCATTGAGAACACTGGTGTCGCCTGAAAAATGGCGACGATCGTGAAGTGGCTCTGGCCAGCATTGCCGGAGCAAACCCCCACTACCATGCTTCAAGCATGAGGTGTCAAGATACATAGTATCACAAGTCAGTGCTTGTTTGGGCTACCACTTGTCCCCTTTGAACATGTTCACTTTCGCGTTGTCTACTTGCCAGGAAACGCGCGAAACGTGACGGTCACAATTCATCCACCGCCGCCGCCGCGCCGGACCCCTTTTCATACTCCAACAGCACATCAGCAAGCGAAACGTGACGGTCACAATTCATCCACCACCGCCGCCGCGCCGGACCCCTTCTCATACTCCAACAGCACATCAGCAAGCGCGCCGTCATGTATTCCTCTTATTGCCACTGCCTATTTTATTGACAAAGGGCTCATTTACAATCGTTATTGATTCAAAGCTAATAAAGAATAGAAAAACCAAAACACAAGCATTCAAGAATTCAAGCATCAAGAGCTTGGAGTCCCACTGGGTTTGCACTGCCATGGCATACTCTGCTAGCTCTAGCAACAATAAATCATGGGGTCTTACCGTACCTGGAAGACCACCAACTCCTTCTGAAGGAGTAGCTCAGGTAAACTTCTTCTGAGCGCTATAAAGATGTGTGCTAACCCTGGAATTGCAGCAATATTCGCGTTTCGGACCGCGTGAAGGCCAGAAACTAACCACCTTCCCCAATGGTACATGCTTAGAATATGGACCTGATGTAAGCCAAAAAGAAACTTGCCTCAGACTGAGCTAATTAGTAAAATAGGACCCGATTGACGAATTTAATCCGAGCAAGCATCCATTTGCCAACCAGGTTGCACAAGTCGATGGGGCAATTAAAGATATCAGAGCTGTTCGCGACAGATACCAGCAACGTCGGAGAACCCAGCATGACATTACTACGAGTGGCCAAAGCAGTGATGCAGGTAGTGAAAGCACTTCTGTCGAAGAAGATCCATTCGATAACTTCCGTGCAATTCCTGCCAAGGAATCAGAAGTGCAGAGTATCAGTCTCGACTCGGGAGTTTACCAGCAGGTGCCCTCCAGATTTGGAACAGTCACCGATATGGCGTCTGTCTACTCTCATCCAAACAAATCAGATGTTCTAGGATTTGGCCACCCAGTACTCGCTGGCCCACGGTCTGGAAATGCTGGAAAGAGCGACGCGACACAGGCGGCCCCATCGCTTCCTCGCCAGGTGGGTGATGATATGGCAACATATGAAGGTGGAGAAGGCCAGTCTCACAGAGGGAGACGTCGACGGCCACGCAAATCTATTCCTATGTGTGATGGCAATGATGACTCAGATGATGAGAATGATGAGAATGGTGATGCTAGAAACGCCGGTCCTCCCAATCAGCCAAATGGGTATATCCAGCGACGTCCGGTGCCGAGAAACGTTGGCTATCACAATAGCTCAAGCCATGGAAACCCTGGCCTTGCCAACCACGCCAATACACTTCGTCCAATCTCGAGGAACAATGACTATCGCAATAGCTCAAACCAAGGAAACTCTGGCTTTGGAAACCAGACCAACAGGCTACGCCCGCAAGTCCCAGTACATAGCAACGTCGGTTATCACAATCACTCGAACAATGGCAACATTGGCTCTATGAATCAACCCAATGCGATTCGCCCAGTTTCGAGGAACGTTGGCTATCACAGCAGCTCCAATTATGGAAACCCTGGCCCTGCGAACCAGCCCAATGCCTTTCGCCCACAAGGCCAAATGCCTAGCAACGTTGGCTATCACCATGATTTGAACAGTTTCAATGCCGGCCCTATCAACCAATTCAATGTGCGCCCAATGCCTAGCAACGTTGGCTATCACAATGATTTGAACAATTTCAATGCCGGACCTACCAACCAATTCAATGTGCGCCCGGTGCCTAGCAACATTAACTATCACGATATGAACAATATCAACACCGGCCCTGACAGCCAATTTAATGGGCTTCTCCCGTTGCCTAACAACATTGGCTATCACGATAGTGCAAACTTTTTCAACATCGGCCCTGTCAACCAGCCTCACGCGCTTCGGCCCATGCCTAGCATCCCTGGCTATTACAATAATGCGAACAATTTCAACGCTGGCCCTGCGAACCAACCTAATGGATTTTTCCCGATGCCTAGCAACGTGGGCTATCACAACAATTCAAACAATCGTACCATGGGCTCTACCAATCAGCCGACTGACTATCGTCCGGAGCCTGGAGATATTGGGTATTCCAATTACATGAGAAATAACAATACCAATCGCGGCTACGAGCAAAATGATCCTTGCCCAGTTGCTAATGGCATTGGCTTTCGCAGTAAGATGAACCCTCATACCGCACGTCAGCAACAGCAACAGCAGACCATGAACCAATCACGGGGGGGGGAAATCAAGAACTTGCACACACAAGCTATTGACCGTGCTAGCCTTCCTCATCCATTGCGATCTAACCCTGTGAATAACTTTACTCGAGGAGCGCCGGTGGTTGAAGATCCCGTTGACAGACCACCTTCATTGCCAGACCTTACAACTGCACTTGAAAGACTTGACGCTGGGGAAACCGAAGAAAGCCGAGCATATTTCAGCCGTGTGGTCGATTTCTATTGTTCATCTTCCTTCGAAGGCTGGAACGGCGAACCAAGCACCAGAGGCAGCGGTGACACGGGACGCTTGACTGAGAGGGTAGCCCCAGCTTCTACAGAGCAGGTAGCGGAGGCAGTCGCAGCTGAGGCTTTATTAGACCTTCAGCGTGGTGTCGAGAACTTGCCCAGTTCGGAGCACTACCCTGACGGCCGAAACAATGAGTCTAGTGCCAGCGAGGAGGCGTTACCCAGTCCCGGAGACGAGTCGCTTAGTGAACAAGCAAATCAAATGCCATATTGGTACACTGAACCCCGCTCGGATGTGCCATCGAGTCTTCCATCGGCAGAAGACCACCCGCAATTGACCACGAGTCCTGATTCGCCAGAAGACGAGTCAAGCCCGGCAACACCTACCGATCAGCCAGCTGAATATAATTTTGGCGAGGTCGATAGCCTGGGTTATGCGGAATATGTCGAATATGCCACGCCTTGGAACCAGGAACTCACGCCCAGAGCCACCCAAGACAGCTTGACAGATGGACATTTCGGTGAAGCAACGCCCCAAACACCCGAACCCGCCCAACAGCCAGGAGAAGAAGGTATACTTCCAGATGGCCGTGAAGATCCGGGAGACTTTCAGGGCCCAGACAGCTTTTCAACAGAGACGGTTGAAGAATATTATGGAGGTCCACGAGGCGCTCAAATCCAAGGAACCGCTTCAGATCCAGGAGGGTTTTGGGGTCCAGATGGCGTTCTAAGAGAGATAACCCCTGAGGACTATGGAGTTCCACGAGGCACTCTAGCCCCAGTTCGTTTTGCAAATCTAGAGGGTCGTACTGTTGTAGGAGGACCAGCAATGGCAAACCCTGGCATGATCAATGGTCAGAATGTGGGGATGGCCAACTTTCGGCGAGCGATGCAGCATCCACCACCAAGATACAACTTACCAACACAAGGAAACTGGGCCGGTCCATCTAATCTAGGCATCCTCAATTACCAGCCAACTATGCCACACAACAGTGGGATGGTCCTCTACCCGCCATACCCCGTTCCACTAGTCTACAGCCAACCTCAGCTGCCCTTTCAACCTCAGCAGCACCTTCAACCTCAGCGGCACCTTCAACCTCAGCAGCCCATTCAACCTCAGCAGCCTCTTCGTCAGTTCGGACATGAATTGATTCATCCAGGCGCCCCCCTTGGTGAGGGAGCTCAGCAAAATAGGTCAAGAGGTGGTGTAGTTCTACGTGACCCAATTGGCCCCGTACGGCGTGTAGTTCTCCGGTCGCCCATTGATTTCAATACTACTTGCCGGTATCCGCGCAACATGAACGTGCCGTTCCAGAGAATTGGCAGTCATCCGCAGAATGATATGGGTTTTCAGGCTGGTAGAGGCGAAAGACGTCCCAGTGCCTTGACATCATGGACTACTCGAACTGGCCCTTTCCATGGCAACAACGTCATGGATCCTAGAAACACCATTTTCGGAGAGGAACCTGGTTTTGTCAGTCTGCCACCTTCGCCAACAGTGCAGAGTGGTCATTCAGCTCGTGGCAGAGGACGACGTCTGTTTGAGCGAAGCCGTGGATCAACACCCGGTGCCAATTCCAGTCGTCTAGTTGCTGCTCCTTCAACACCTGAACAGCGCCGAGCATCAGGCTCTGGCTCTCCTCATCAGTGGCGATAAAGCGACAGTGCCTCACTGGCCATAGGAGATCGCACCTCGGTTCTTTATCCTATTAAATGGTCAGCGATTGTACCGAAATCATGCGTATCAGCGCTATGAGAAAGGAAACAATTCATCAGTGAGGGGGATTTGTAATTTCGAATGAGGGGAAATTCAGTTCGGAAACGGAAACGGATTGATCCAAATTCAACTTGCCTATAACTTCAACACACTTGCCACAACACGTTGCTCTTGCTATTTGCTATTTGCTTTTTTGCTTTTTGCTTTTTGCTTTTTGCTTTTTCCGAGAGGCTCCAAAACCAAGCACAACAAGGATCAACAACATGTACTCAGGTTGATATCTTTCTCACTTGGTTGACAATTCCGCTTTCTTGCTTGAAGTTTGCAGCAATGCACACGAAAGATAAGGTTGCTATAACTAGCCCACACACCGAGCTTGTACATAGCGCCCCCTAATAGAGCTCACCAATTCAATTCCCGAGGTCCTTTGCATCGTGATTCGAATAAGTAAGGTTGAAGCTGATGATCGCAATGGAGCGAGGTCAAAACAAAATCCGGTTAACTCTCTCGAGCCCCTGTCAAGGTTCGTAGCGTCTCGCTAATCGTGCGATAAGACAAGGAGGGCAAGTTAATCGCGTCTTCCCATATCAAATTCAACGCGTCCCCCGCTTCCTCTCAAAATGCGATTCAAGACGTCAGTTCGGAATATTCAAACTTTCTCAAGTAAGAAGATATATATTGATTGCTATGCTTTGTCTAATAGATCCTCCCAGAGCTCACAGCTTCCCTCTCCTCCCTGGGGAAAGTAGCGTGGCTTCGACTAGACGATGATACCGTGCGCTTCACCATCATCCCAGAAACGGGGACCCAAGTATGGGCGTACGTACGACCCCATCTACTTCCATAACTACCTGCTAATAGGGAATCTATAAACAGCTCCCTATCCATAGACTCCATCTTCGAAGACTACACCATCCAATCCGCCGCGCCCAACAACACAATCAACCTCGAGCTCCCCCTCCCACCCCTCCATCGCGCGCTGAAGTCCGCTATAAATGCATCATCCGCCTCCATCCGCCTTACCAAGAAAGACGGCATGCCAATCCTCTCCCTAACCATCATCACAAACACAGTTAGCAGCGGGAATAGCGCCCACGGGTTCCTAAACGCCGCAGCGGGGAATCAAGACCCCTTCGGCGAGAACGGGGCTTTCAGGGAAGAATCCCTGGATGCAGGGAGGGAGAGAGAAGCTGTCGTCACGCAGGATATCCCCGTCCGGGTCCTGACTGCGGATAGCGTAGAGGGGATTCACGAGCCACGGGTTAGAGAGCCGGATGCGCATATCATCCTTCCGTCGCTCATACAGCTCAAAGCTATTTCTGATCGCTTCACCAAGCTCGCCATGAGTACTACAACGGCCGCCAAGGCCGGATCAGGGAATTCCAGTGTCCCGAAGTTGGAATTGGCGGGCAATATGCATGGCAGTCTGAAACTTAGTATTTCTACAGATGCCCTAAATATCGAGAGTGTATGGACTGGCCTGACGAATCCGGAGCTGGATCCGGGACAAGTCGCGGATGGGGAGGAAGGGCTAGAGGACCATCCTAGCACGAAGTTGAGGGCTAGGGGCCCGGATGCTTGGGCTAAAGTTAGGATTGATGGGAGGGATTGGGGGAGGGTTTTGAGCGTGGGGAGGCTTGGGGGCAGGGTTATTGCTTGTGAGTAGTCCTTCGGGCGGGCTGATCTGATAAAAACTAATATCGTTTGCGTGGATACAGGTTTTGCGGACGAACATGCGTTGATCCTATATGTTTATCTGGCGAACTATGAGGATGGCGCGGATGAATCGGTTCTGACTGTAAGTATCTCCTGGTTATACTCTATCATTATGGAATGTTGCTAATATTTTGTATTTAGTATTATATCTCCTCGTTCAGTGCCTAATCGCGGAAGGCTTGTTGTATTGCTATCTTATTTAGCGCTGGCGTTCGGGGGATAATACCATACTAAATTTATGTTTTGTTATAGCATCCAACCACATACACCAAAAAGAAATTAAAAAGTAATCTCCTTATTTCAAAATTCACATAACAAATCAGAAGCACACGCCGTAGGTACCTTACGCAACATATCCTTCACAAAATCTATACAAAGTTCAGCTCAAAAGTTTTCATTAAAATTTCATCTAAACCACAGCAAACATAAATTACAATAAAATATAAAGCAAAATCATATCTCATGCCTCCGCCCTCAAAATAGAAAATTGCAAATAATAAAAAAAAGGCGCAGATAGGTATATAAGGCGTTTGTCCCTCGCCCCTTCAATTCATAAAATACATTCCAGCCATTCCCGAGATGCCCCTCAGGGACAAAAAAAACTCCGTTTCTTGTTTCAAATCAGTCCAGTTGGTGGTGGGTTCGAACGCCGAAGAAATGCATGTGCAAGCCCGCTGCTGCTACCTCGTTTTAATCAATATCTTGTTGACGTAGGGAGGAGACGGATATAGTGATGTGATTGATGACAACGCCGGTCAACTACAGATCGTAAAATCTCATCTAATAATGGGCGGGGATCCAAATTATGTAATCGCTCGTATGTGGTGGTGGTGGGAGTTGGTCGAAAGAGGGAGCCGGGTTCTCAGAGGAAACCGCCTTCGCCGCCGAATACACCGACGCTGCCTCTCCATCCGCATCTCTTGTCCATGCTGCTTCTGTCGGCAGTGCTTCCCATCACGGAACCTCGAAATCGGTCCTCGCTCTCAAAGCCATACTCGCTGCTTGTTCTCCTACTGCCGTCTCTTCCCGAGGAGGAGCTAGCGTTCGTTTGCACGAGTAGGAGACTACTCGTCGAGCTTAATCGTTTCGTGAACTCCTGGAAACTTAGCCTCTTCGCACTAGTGCTGCTTCGCCTCTTCTCCTTATCGTCCGAGGGGCTTGCTTTAAGGTTGCTGCAGTCCTTCAAAGTCGGTACTGCCGCTGTGGAAAGGGAGCGGGGTGGGAGGGCCATGGAGCTTGGGCGACTAGTTCTGTTTCGTGAGGAGGTCGTGCCGGTGCGAGGCCGTAAACCGCTGTTAGCGGAGGGTCCATCGTGGAATGCCGACATAGCTTGGGGATTGAGAAATGGTATTGGACTGCGCGGGGTTGGTGGTGATTTGGGTCGTGAAGAGGTCGCAGGTGGGGCTCTGCCTGCTATGTAATCGAGCGCTCTTTGGGCTGGAGTCTGTATAGCGATATTATGGTCTGACATTTCAAGGCCATCATCATCGTCGTCATCCTCATTGTCTGTGTCGGGGTCGGATATTTCTAGTGTTTCGTCTAAATCCCACCCTTGATTTTTGTTTGATCCACGTAGATTTTCAACTGCCCTTTGCTTCTTCCGCTCATCCACCTCTTTCATAAGTGCCTCAAAGCGCGCTATGCTGCTAATCTTCTCATCTTCCTTATCTGTCGCTCTGTCACTGCCCGGTATATACCTCATCTGAAACGCTCTATCCAGGATAGTTTCACGCGGTACCGGAGACGTGGACGCAACCTGTCCCATTGGCATAACAGCAGAAGCAATGCTGTTACTACCCCTCGTATGCGAAGAGAGAGCTGAGGATCGCCCCTGCGCTGATGTCCAACCTTCGATAAATTGGGTATCGTATGCGGTGGAGGCAGGGGATGGAAGATCTGGAGGTAGGGTAGGCGAATAATTTTGGGAATGGGACGTGAACCCCATCGGAGGGTGTAACGAGCTTGCTTGGGATGAAAGGTCTGATCGTCGCGATCGGAGACTAGGAGATGGGGAGATCAGTCGTGTCGGCCTGTCTCTGTCTCTCGGCGACTGTGGATATGTATTCGTTGCTTGGCTCGACGGTCCACGTTGAAAATCCGATCGTCCACTAGATTCTAGGGTGGTTTTCGAATCTCTTGAGCCGAATGGGTTCGAAAACATGTTGAATAACGGGCTTGCGGGCGTGAGGGGGCTATCTTCGGGAGTCTCCGAGGTGAGTTTCGGTCCTATACAGCTCTGCCAGTTATATATACTGTGACGCTCACTTTCAACCGTTCGAAAAATGAGGGCATTTGCCCACGGGTCTTTGGACGACGCCAGTCCTGGGGTTCTACTCGACCTTCGCTTTCGTTGTTTGTCGGACGCCGATCCGGGCTTCATTTCAAGCACCAGCGTCGGCTGTGTAGGGCCTTGCTTGCGATGCTGTAATGTTCGCACCTCGCAGGATTTGAAGGCAGAGAGAGGATGCTGTGAGATAAATTCCCAATCGCCCTGCATCGATAAGCGTGTGTTTCCAGCGGCGTCCAAGGGGTAACCCACCTTTGCTTTGTAGACCGAGATGTATAATTGTCGTTCCTGTCCGTCCGGCTCCGACTGTGCAACGTCGACCAGACTCGGTTTCGAGGATGGCGACTTAAGGGCGCCTTTCCGCGCAGTCGAGGAGCGTCTCGAGCTCTCGGAAAGAATATTTGTTTGGGTTTTTAAATGCGCCCCAGTCCCGAGAACAACATATCGAGGCTACAGAAATCAGATATTAGTACGGCATCCGCAAAGCAATGTTGATGGACACCAACCTTCCACACAGCCCTCCCGATAATGGTGCTCCGCTCCGGCGGCGCCGACAGCATTCCTTCCATCAGTATCATCTTGCTGTGATATTATTGTTCTTGGGGACAATTGCTGGGGTTGCGGTCGGAAGATTCGGTCGGCAAGAAAGGTCGAACGCAGGCGATCAACAAAAGAAGAATGATTAAAACATAATAAGGTTGAAGAATCCGTAGACGTCCAACCACTGCCAGGAAGTGGTCCTTTTCTTTTCGCCGAACTCGACACCAGGAATCGCAATGCAATCTGCGATCTTCTCGCCGATCGGTCGTTTGCGACTGCAAACGGGAGGTGAGATGGCTCAGCACGGGGTCGGGTAGCAGCCGTACCGTACTCTGGACTAATAACTAACGTCTCCGCTGCCAATTCCTCGCCACAGCGGTCCGATGCCGATGTCTTGATCAACGTGTGGCGTTTTCTTTTCTTTTCCTCCTGTCCTGCTTGGTTGCTTGAGCCTGCAACATGTGCTGCCAGCGAAGGCACACGGCGACTGGGCGGCGGAAGTCTTGGACGAGTGGTTGTCGGGGCTTACAGCCACGGGGGGCGATTGATGTATGGAATGTTCGACGGGTGGAATGTCGCACTGAGGGTATCTAGCGGTGGTTCAGCCAACAGGAAGACTCCGAGGAGCAGCTGTGAACGTGTGCATATGCGTGTGGAGGGCTGGTATATGGTATATGGTGTATGGTGTTTGGTGTCTGGAGTCTGGAGTCTGCGGCAGAGTGCAGAGTGCAGATGACTGCAGATGACTGCAGACGAACAAGGCGCCGGGAGTCGGGGAGTTCGGAAGGAAGAGGGAGTTGTTTTGCAGTACCTAGTAGTAGGCAGTAGGTAGCTATTGGTATGTATGCAATGCACCTATCGTGAGTGAGGAGGGGAGTGTTTATGTACGGTTGCTAGTACAAAGTAGTACCGGCCGGTACTACGCAGGCACAGTAGTATATGCAGTTGATATTATATACTTCGTAAGGTACATGTATGCAGGCGATGCTAGTGGAGGAAGAAAGCAGGACGGGGGCTTGCTGGGGGGACTGAGAGTTCAAGATCTCCAGATATGTGAAGCACTAGAGCGTAATGCACCAGTGATGTACAAAGCCCGTGGACTTTCATGGGCTAATGGGTGAGTTATCAGGCCATGATAAACCTTCTTTGATACTTCATACCTCTCGCCGCTTCTCGTTCCTTTGTGCCGGTCGGTTGTACAAAATCATGACGACTGAGTGCTTCCACTCCTAGTATCCCACTGCTAGTACTTAGTACGTAGCACTCCTCTCTCGATTGCTTCAACATCCCTACAATTCCCATGTAACTTTCATTTCGTACTGGTACCTGCGCCGTTTCCCGAGTCAGGCATCGCTTCGTTCCCTTGCTGTCTCGCTTTCCCTTGTCTCAGATCCCCAAAATATCACCAACTCTACCTCTTGCAAAGTTGCCGCGGACGGATGGCCTCGGGGCGCTATTGGCCTTAGTACCGGTACTTCCCAGTGGTCCCCTCCTCAACATCGACAGAGTTGAAGAGACATCGGGACCAGCTTCTTTGATCTTGTCTTGCTCCGTTTTGCTATTTCATATATAGTTCTTAGATACCCCTCTCTCTCTCTCCAGCTTTACACGCCCCTTGTTGCACCCTGCATCTGAGATCATCTCAAGTGTCCTGCTTGTCGATGCTCTGCACTGCATCAAAGACAATATGCCCGCTAGGCGGCGCCCCTGAACTTGGCTTCTCACCCGCCCCTCTATTTGATACGCAGGGCGTACAGGAGTGCTGTACAGATCTGGCTGTCTCCACTGAGTCCACTCGTCTAGTCGTCTAAAGTTCCTTATCGCGGAGAAGTCAAGTTGTTCAGCTGTTCATGGGAATCGAATACATACGGAGATCCTGTATAGAGTGCATACCTCATCCATCGATCCCTCCCCACTCCCTGGTGGCCTACTCTACGGAGCATAGGAGAGTTCCTAGATCGGCTGCCAGACATCACCCAGAGGCTTAGAGCTACCTAGCTGCTGCAAGATAGAGTACACAGACCAGAGGCATACAGAGGACAGTGGGATGCGGAGAGTGTCCCATAAAGTGCCACTACTACTGCTGTCTGTTCTGCTTCAGGCTCAAGCTCCAGGCACATCGCTTCGCAAGGCGCTGCTGAATGGTGCGAACCTTTATGCGCTTTATCCGCCGGCCCCTATGGATCCTATCACTTGATACCACCAAAGTTTATAAACTGCATCACACCGCGTTGAATACAATGCATGGCCTCCCTTTGAATCGTGGTAGCAGAATTCTGCATTACTTGTATTGCATTGCGTTTAGCCGGCCCTGCCGCATCACCTTGTTCGCCGCCTGTCGCCCACTGCCGAATACTCCCTCATCTGCGAAATACCACCGGATATCGCGACGACTGCCTACAACTTTGCAAATCTCCCATATTACAACGTATTAGTCGCAGCCTGCTGCTTCCTTTCCGCAACCCGATGCCGTCTGTGCGGTCGTAGTGCTGTATGTACTGCACGCTGTGCAGCCTCGGTTCACCGTCCGATGTTTCGAGCGTGGCATGCTGGCGGACAGGCACCAGGGAAAGGGAAGGGCACTATCGATACGAAGTAGGTGATGATGATTTGATTTGATTTGATTATACTATGGCTATTATTATTAGATGAAAAGAAGGGACCAGTACTTCGTACCGCTTGGAACAATCGCTTTCCGCGGCCCGCGCCATGCAATGCCATGCTCTGCCATGCCATTTCATCGACGCTTTGGGGACTGGGAGGCCTGAACGCAGATACTCGAGGAGATCACCTCGGCCCACCTTCCAGGCTCCGTGCTATAATTATTCGGGGGGGGGACAAGTCCAAAATCACTGCTACTGCTTCAGTACGGTCGGGGTACTTGGTCGCAGACAGACCACTGCAATCCTTCACCTGTCGTGCGCAACAACACTTGGGGAGAAGTCGTACAGGAACCACATTCCAAGTTCCGCGCGTTGTTTTTCCCACTTGCACTTCGGATGCAGGATGCAGAACATTTCCTTTTCCCCTGCCCAGCCAAAACCACGCCGGGTCTTTCTGTTTTTCGGGGTCGTGTGGATTCCTCCGCACTTCTCATTATTGCTTTCCTCGTACACACCTCACACCTGACTACCTATGAGCCCTCACCGCACCCGCAAAAGGAACTTCCACCGCCCAAAGCGCCACTCCGCCATCAAACGGTTGTCGGGGACGGTGTTGCGGGGGGCATCAAATCAGCTTCTCCCATCCCCCCATTATTGTTTGGCCTTGTAAATGCCTGCAAGCATCAACCGCGGCCGGTACTATTGACAAGGCCGCCTTAATTGGCGTGCTCCAGGGTGCTGTCCAACCCGCCGAGGCCCCTGTGTTGCCACGTTTTAGTGTTCTTTGCTGCTGCGTGTTGATGGCGCTGGGCGCTTTCCCACGCGGAGTCGGCGAAGAGCGAAGTGACACGGAGGCTGGGATCTGGAAAGGGAACGCTTTGACCTGACTTTTCTGGAGTTCTATTATTGATGAGGAAGCCAGAGGGCAACACTGCTCGTGCCCTATTACCGCGCATCTCCATAAGGGCAAACATACGAGAAAATTAGAGGTGTTTGGTTCGGAAGTTGGCAGAAGCTGAGTCAATGTTTTCGATAAATTAGGGGGGGGGTCTCCTGATACGTGGGTTGATTTGTTGATCTGAACGGAGCATCTGGACAAGCAGTGATAGTTTCATTTTTTTATTTTTTTTTCAATTTCCGGGACTCGAACTTATTTTCCTCTTCATTTCCGAGGTTCATCCATTTCCTAGAAGTCTTTCTTTACGTCTCTCATTATTAATCATTGATTCTTATCAACTCCGAAGTTAGGATGTTACCCTAGGTGCATGACGATATAGTCTGTACACCCCCACGCATCTTGCAACAAGGAGCGACTATAATACTCGGGATATCATAGAAGTAGCCCTATATGCCCTCTCACTCGGTCACGAGTCACTCTTGACTTTATCCTGCGCCGCTGTGCCGTTTGACGTCGCAGCACATTGAGATCATGGGAGTTGCTACATCATAAGCTGTTGCTAACGGCTGTATCGTCATGGATCTATGAGCGGACGGATACCAATCACCCTACTCCATGTTGCGCAGTCTCACCAGAGAGCGAAATAAAGTTCTTCGATTAAATATGGAAGCGCGAATGACTCATATCTGACTCTTCTCTGCCTTTAAGACAGCTTGGACGGGGAAGAAACTCCGAAACCTTTCCGCATTGCTTTTCTCTCTCTATCACTGCTTGTCCAATCAATTTATGCTTATTCGCAAGCCCCCTCCTCAGGTTACCATTGCCACGATAACCATTTCTAAAACTATTATTAATACTTCGCAACTCTCCAATTTCCTCTACCGGCTATGAAATTAGAACCTATGGTTACTACTCGTTCACCCTGTTAATTCCTTGGAACTCCAATGTCGAATTTCATACGCACCGTTTATATCTGATTTCAGACCATTTCCTTACTCCCTAATTCTTCACCATCCTTCCTCATATAATGCTGCTAGTTACATCTCTGCTAGGTCCGTCGATTTTCATGATTTAAAAGAACAAACAATTAGCTAAGAAATTCAATATTACCTTACATCGTTCTTGTCAATGCAGGTTCGAGATATCTAAGTGCGTAACTCATAAATACATTGAATTCAAATAGGGATTTGTGACAGGCTCTCTCGAAAATGAGGATATTCATTAGCTACTACATCGGTGCTCGTCCACAATATAAACTAGCTGTCATGTCGCTCAGGTTGGAACATTCAGGTGTGACTAGCTCTACCTTTGGACCCTAACCGTAAGCAACCCTATCTTCAGCTGGTACCGCGTAGACGTACTTTTCCAGCCTCCAAGAATCCATGACCTACGGCAGAGTATAGAAGCAACTTCTGCTACTACGCTCACGAAGGCACTTTCCAATTATGCTAAGTGGCATGACGTGTCTGAAATATCATTACTTGAACTGTATACAGAGAAAGGTTACAATAATTGCGTATCCAGGATGCAACACTCGTTCAAAATAAGTGGAAGTTTATATTTATCGTTACCAGACAATGTATTTCCTAGGCATACCAAGCTTCAAGGAGTCTAGTGCTCTTGAATATCTAGAATATGGATGCCATAATAATACTTCATTTATAAATATCGGATATTCTATAACTACATACTACTACTTTCCTCAGTCCATGGCGTGGCCAGGTTTTCATTCAGCCCTGTTTACCTATTTTATTTTCCCTACCTACTAGTCTTTGCAGTATCAACAGTGCACCAGTTACAGCTTATATTGAAATCTGCTGGCCCCATCCATATCGCTAGCTTAGTTGTGGGTGCTGTGTAGTAGGAGTAAGAACACCACCAAACCAGCACCTGGGCACCTATACTTCAGACCCTTCGATTATAGAAATAAATTGAAATTAAAAGCGGTTGATCAGTGGTGAACAAGGGTTCTGTGGGATCCGTAGTGAAAAGAGGCGCTCATGCAGGGACTGATGAGGGATGCCCTGAAATTTTTGTTGATGAATCTGTACATACTTTCCTAGCTCCGCGTCAATTGCGATGGAACGATATCAGCGGGGCTGCTGCAGACATGGAGAACTGCGGGAAGAAAGAGGAGAGAGACATGCAAATAAGCAACCTTACCACAAAGCTGTCCGCAGCGGCAACATGATCACAATTACAAAAGCCCGCATCTCTACTTTCATCGGTTCCACACTAGATCATAGCTGACCATCGCCTCTAAAGTGAATTACTTGGCTTTTCATTACGCTGGCCGCCCCGTCGCAGAAATCTCCATTCCGCCCAGCTCTATCACCAGAAGCGAACTCTGGGTTCACCCTGGGTATATATAGATGGGACTCAGTCCTCGAACTACCTGTAAATTCCAGCTTCGCAAAGCTGTCCTCTAACTACACCCAGCAAATCCTTAATCCTTTTCATCTTAATTTTGACAGCGCTCGCACTATTGACGGCGCTCTCACTATTGATAGCAGCCTAGATACCGACAGCCATCTCTCCTATGCAGCTGACCCAGACTTGTCGAGAAGTAATTATTGGTCTACGTGTAGAGTGTTTTGTTTAGCGGCAAGGATTTCCACGCCAACAATATCAGACCTCAATATGGCAGATTATTGTGCCTTTCTTGCATGTTAAATCAAAGAACATGATAAGTCTGTAGGTAATCTTCGGACTCGGTATTTAGCATTAGAGATGATATAGCTGGAGATGTCTCTGCTAATATTTCGGGTGTGGAGGAATTTACATCAACATCCTAGTTAAAGATTCGGTTGACTTGGCTTCTTTAATTAATAGCCATCGACTATAAATGGCATTCTATTCCTTCCCTGCAGGGCTTTTCGTTCTATATTTTAGAGGAGTGACTTAGCTTGCTAGATAAGTATATGTCCGAATCGTAAAGTATATAATATAGTTATTTCACAATTCGGTATAAGGTATATCCTATATATGTGTGTGTGGAATAATCAGATTAATTTTGTGCTACCTTGCAACAACGTAGGGTTGACATCTAGAGTACTTTGGTGAAATGGAAAAGTTTACTAGCTGATTTCGTTTCATTTTGTATATCAGCGTTTTCAGCCGTATATCAAGCGGCTCCATCTTATAACCATCCAATATGGCCAAACCAAAATCTAACCTATGTGCCTCCCGGACCTAGAACTCCATGACGATGCAAACGTTATCCCCCACCCACGGACATCTAGTCCCCAGAATTTCCTATGATGCTATATCCTTCCCAACCCCATCCCTCAATTTCCCAATAATATCGTCCACGGCGTCCATATCCGCGGCATCCGGCTTCTCCGCCATACCATCCCAATTCCTCTTCTCCAGCTCGCCAGTTAGAACATCCATCGCAGGCTGATAATTCCTAACGGCCGAACTCAACGCATAAATAGCTTTCCTCCTCACGCTAACATCTTCCTTATTCACCTCATCCGCCGTCGTATCGTTATCACCCAGCACCACATGGAGCAACTTCTCCACTCCCCCCATAGCAAGCAATCTCTCTTGGCTGGTAACGTTATTCTGCACCGCCGTGCCGACACACCACGCCGCCATCCGGCGCAGCTCTTTCTCCTCGTGTCTTAGACAGTCCAGCAACGGCGTCCACAGCGCCAATGGCTCCAGGTTATTAGCATTGTCCAGGTTTTCGATGAGTTGCTCAAAGTTGTCGAAGGCGATGATCTTGTCGTCGAGGGAAAGTTCCGACGACGTGGATGTTATGGCGGACATGGAGGCGCGCATCAGGTCGGCGTCGCTGGGACCGCCGAAGAGCGAGTTTATGGCATCGGGATTGAGATCGCGGGTGGGAGGCGTGGAGTCGGCGTTGGGGTTTGCGGTGGTATTTTCCACGCTCCATTTAAGAAGTTGATTTAGGCCTGGATCCATGTTGTTTGTATCGGTTGGTAGCTTAAGCTTTGTGTTTTATTGATTAAAGGCTGAAGGCAAGGGGGTTTAACCGTTTGTTTGCTTTGGTGGTACTTTGGCGGTGCGAGATAAAGCTGCTGGTATTGTTTTGGTCGCTGAAGTTATTGATGGTGGGGTAGTTGAAGTGGGATGTGACGTTGCGAGTACGAGCAGTCGACGCCAAGTGATTTTTGTGTTGATGAATCGAACGTTGGATATTCAACAGAATTAGTAGAAGGCTCTACTAAATAAGTCTATGCTATCAGATATCTCTAGAGCGCCGCGTCGGTTTTGTCAGTCATGTCCCTATCTTCCACCTCATTCGCGAACCTTCCAGCAGGAACCTTTTTTTCGGTTTGTGAAAATCACTTAATACACGCCTGTATGTTCCTCGAGACACCCCAACCCACGGTCTGCCGACAAGCCAAATGTCACATCAGATGACGAATGTATCAAAATGATCACGACCGCTAGACAAGTATATTTCGTCCAGTCAAATAGCCTAGGCGAATGGTCTGTGAGACAAAAACTGTGGGAATATTAGGCGCGGTGCCTGTTGTCTCGATTCAACTACAGCTACTTCTACGCGACTTGCGTGTAGCCATTATGGCTTCATTGCAACTACAGCCGCCAGGGCTACCAAAAGTAAGTGTCATGGCTTAAAGAAGTACTCACGGTGCCTAGCCCTAGTGGAGGAGCCCATCCAAGCCTAGTTGATAGTGAACAGGAGTTAGCCACACCAGCAAGTGCTAATAATTCCTCGTAGTTAAAAACAGTCTGTTCCATCCTGCCAGCCTGCCATCCTACAAACGACATACCAAATCTCTCTGCTAACGCTACGAATAACAGGGACGGGGAGTGGTGCTTCGTGCGCGGATAAGGCAGTATTGGAGCCAGCTAATTAAGAATGCTGTCAGAGTACTCCATGGTCCATGGAGCCAAGTACACAGCCGAGACATAACGATCTCACCACGTTGGCTCTTCCAATACCGTTCTGCTTCCCTACTGTCTCGGCCTCGTACTTCCAATACTGCTTTTCTACTATCTTAGCCTCGCCGTCCTAATACTCCGCCCCTTATGTCTCGGCCTCGCACTTCCATATTGCTTCCCAACTGTCTCGGGAACCGAGAGAGTACGTGGCGAGCTATCTATCGGCTTCCGCATAATATTCAAACTCCAACAACCTAAGTAGGTTACAACACATTAGTGCCACCTTTCCTACATGGAAGCAAACCAGCAACTATCTATGCACGTATATGTCACATAAGAACAGGAGAACTCGATTTGTTACTTGTCTACTTTATTTGCTGGCTTGATTTATTCACATCGCGGTTCGTGGTTCAGACCCACTAGTTGACTGACCGCTCTGCCCCGTTCGTGTTGCTGCCTCTCGTGAACCTGTGCACGGTTTCTACAATTCCGAGCAAAGGGGTTCCTAAAGCGGTGTAATTGGTGCCGTTGCGGAGCATCTAGCTTTCAGGTGTGGTTTCTGTCTTTGTTACTTATCTTTGTTTCTTGCACCTCGTGATTCGCCCGACCTTCTTCTTGCATTCCAAAAGAAGTAACACAACCACCAAGTGGCCAAAATGATTCACTTCGATTTATCTGATCCTCTCGTTTCCGCTCTTGCTACCACTCAGCTTTCATTCCCTTCAGTTTTTTCAAACGGATGGTGTCTTATACTGCGCACGTTTGCATATGGTTACCGACACAGCCTCTAGACATCAGGGCACAGGCAAAGTCTCTCTCAATCAAAACCCCAGCTTCTTTTCTTTGGGCCTCCCGTCTACGGATTGTTGCATTCCCACCAAATTGGAACGAGAGCGAGCCTGTAAGGAAGCACCTTGGCGGGCTCTGAATTCGTCAGCGGCCCTAAGCCAGCCGTGAAGCACCGTTCATCGGCATACCTTATAACTTTTCAAATATCCCTCTCATCTGCATTCCTAGAGAATCAACCAACATTTGATTGAACCGTCTCTTAACACAACTTCAATCTTGACAAATTCGTCCTCAAAGAGATCTTTCAACATCATCTTCCTGGTCAGAAATTGCATATTCTCCACGGCACTTGACATTGAATCGCTCACATCTATCGATTAAAAACACTGGAGAAACCAGTCTCCAATTTCAAAGCCTGAAGCTTGGAGCGTATATACCTTGTTGTCAGTTTGATTATCAATCTTCACACTTCGCTGCGCAGTCAACCAGCCAGCTCCCCACCTTTCCTTGCCATCCATATTCGCACTCACCTACAAACCCGAACAAGGTAGACCCTGAAAAGAAACCTCCCTTTAACAAGCAAACCTTGATCGAATACTGACCAGCCTACTATTAAAGGAAACACTCCAAATCCGTATTTACGGCAAAGACAAGCGTGGTGCATCTCACGTATTGCTAAGGCAGAAGAACAAGCAGCAGGCATTTGAGTTGAGAGATTTGTAGAAATGGGGGGACGAACTCATATGGAACTCGCGCTTTCTGCGGGTGGTCACAGTACTGGTGACCGTCAAGATGATAAGGATTCTGGCTCGAAAAAGAAGGTTGTTGAGGGACAACAATGCCCAGCCTCTCATTTGTCAAAAGAAGACGGCTCAGGGGGACAGCCTCTACTCACTGGCCCTAAGTTAGAGGTTCAGCAAAACCTCTTGACCCGCCACAAATCTAGGAAGGAGAAGCGCCTGGCTCTAGGCGACCAGTCCAACAAGGAGGCTTATATAATCCAGTCTACGAGTAGCGTGGAGCATCAGGGTATTGTCCGGCCTCCTAGTGTTTCCCATCCTGGTGTGTTGGCCAGTTTGGCCCAGCCTGGCAGCGCTGACCGATCCCCTGGCAGCGTTGACATGTCTCCTAGGGTGGCCCTTCCTGGCGATGTCGACTGGTCCCCTGGTGCCTATGGTGTGGTGCTACCTGGCGGCGGTCGGTCTCCTGGTCATGATTACGTCTCTTCGGATCGTAAATCAGCAGAGCCGCCAGGTTCGAATTCTCGAACTGATAGCGTCAGCCCTTCTTCCTCGGAATCATCATCCAATCCGATCTATCATCTATGGAATTTTGATTGGTGCATGTCGCATCGGTCATGGCTAGCTCGACAATATAAACAACTCCTAGCCAACTATTTTTTCAGATGCTCGACTTGGATGCTGGGTTTGATACTGAATTGGATTTTAACGTCAACCATCGCGCTTATGATTGGTTATAGCATGTTCTACATAACATGGGTTTTGTTGGCGATAGTTTTATCAAGGATACCTGTTATTGGGCCATTGGCCCTTGGTGTGATGCGCTTCTTCGAAGGGCTTCTTCTCAACCTGTTCCCGCAGGGCCCAACGGCCACCGGAACAGATACAGCATGGCATTTATCATTCTGGAAATTCAACCCGTGGTCATATTTTAGTTCGACTAGCAGCAACAATATCACCGGTCTCGGTACTCTTTCCCCGCCCATCGGCTTTGACGGAATCGACAATGCCATAAATGCTACAAGACGACTCTCACAACTTGGCCTTCATATGCTACCAATCTCCGCAATCCTCCGCTACTCCTCTATGAGTTTGATTGGAGCTGGCGATATAATCAGTTCATCCAATGTTTACGAGAGGGTAAAACTGATGAAAGCTTATGAGAATCTCCAGAATGACACCAGTATTCTTGCAAGCACCCTGGCGAGCTATGACTCAAAGGCCAAAAATATGATCTATGAGACAGAATGGAGACTCGATACCACGCTTTCACATATCGAAACCCTCATCAGCGACTTAAACTTTACTCCCTGGTCAACATACATATTCCCTCTTTCAACGGTTGGCTTAATCGCTTGTATCGGTGCCCCTTTCCTTGCCCATCCTATATCTCCTCGACCTGCGTCTTGCGCTGCCTCCATCATCGCATCCGCTCATAGTTACTGCCTCGCATCTTCTGGATCTTCTTCCGGAAACTACCCTTGGTGCCCCTCGATCCTTACTATCTACTCTACCAACCCATCCAACGCTGAATCCGCAATACTCACCGACAAAGCCGAAGGCATCACAGTTGAGTTCTACAAGCTCTTCGATACACTTGATCTCTACATCAAAGAGCTCCTAGATATCGCTGAGCTTGCACTCGAAAAATCCAACAGCGTATCAGATCAATACTCTCAAGCCAACCGCATCCGCCTCGAGGGTCATAGCATAGTGGCAATCGAAATCAACGCCATGCAGATCAAAGCAGCTGAGACACCAAGCTGGGCCGGTTGGTTGAAAGGCCAAAAGTCAGCTGGCTTGCCTCTCAAAGATAAATTCCACCTCGCGTCACTGGAACGGCAAGAGTTCAATCTAAAGCAGCTAAAGGCAGCTCATCATAGCGCACATACTAGTCTCACGATAGCTATCGGGATTCTAGAGGATCTGAAGTCAAAGCAAGAGGATATGATGCGAGGAGTTCAGGGTGTTCGCCTGTTAGGTAGAAGTGGAGAGAGGGAGTGGAGTGTTTTGATTGGTGAAATCAAGAGGATGAGGCCGCTTGTAGTAGAGTTAGCTACGCTAGGAAACTATGCAAACAGGGAGAGTACAAGACTGAGGCAGGAATGGAGGAGAAAGTTTTCGGACTGCATAGAGGAGGAAAAGGCGAAGGAGACGCGGGAGTGGAGTGGATGGGAGGACTGTTTCTTTAAGGGTTTGCGAGGCGGAGATTGATTTTTGGAGTCTAGAATGGGATTGGGACCATGGGATATGAATGGTTTCTGCGGTCAACACAAATTGAATGGTGGGCTATAGTTTTTAAGTAAGAATGCAATATATAGACAAACACGCTACTCTGCTCGTTCTTCTCTACCGCCATACTTGGATAGAGTGTCGGATTCGCTATCCTCGATAATCATATCTTTCGCGGAGGTCGGTGAATCTTTTGATGGCATACAGCCGGAATGTGTAGCAATACAGATATCTGGGAGTGGTACTCCGTAGTTGGGCTGGGCTCCTTCAAATTACACATTCCACGACCGCATAGAACCGACGATCCCCGCCATCTTTGAAAGGATATATCCTGGTACGAAGTCTGAGATCACAGCTTGGAGTGCTTGGTATTTCCCTCTAATTGCAGAGGTAGTGAGATACAGGCGGCCACGAGATTCCTTATATATTACCCCTTCATCGCACATGCCACCTTTATCGTGTATCCTTCATGAAATAACCATCTGATATGGAGTAGCCGTTACTAACTCTCAGAGCTGCCCCTCCACGGCATGGGGGGTTTTTTAACCTGAAGCACCGGAGACACACTTGCGGTTCGAGAATCAAGACCCAGAAGCTTCCGTAACCTGCGGTGGCTGGGGACGGTTATGTATATATTATATTGTACGAAAGTATTTAACTCGACCTTGTTCTGGCAATGAAGGGATAAGATAAAGGGTGCTGGCATTTTTGCCGCATGGTAGGTCGTCGTCGTCGTCGTGGTAGACCCTTGCATAAGTACGCAAGCAGTCTGACATCGGTCGTGGCTGTGAAGGCAGTGAAAAGGGCAATACGATGACGGCCTGCTTGGCGATAGGAAGAGCAACATAAGAAATGTCCAGAGGGGGGTATCATCAAGCATAGGGTTGGTTCAAGTAACAGGGGCTCTCTTGACGCGCGTCTGGGGGCGATATGGCCGTGCTTCGTAGTAACATAGTTCCAGCACGAAATGTGAAAGGCTATTCTAGCACTCTAGACTGTGTAGGCAGTACTTCGTACTCTTAAGCGCTTCGTAGGTCGTGCTGTTGCCTTCCAAGGTCTACTCCAGCAGCCAAGGCACCAGAGCAGCGAGATCCTCTGGGGGTGACCTGTTGACCTGTTGGCCGGTTGACCAGTTGACCTGTTGACCGTTAACTGTTGACCTGTTGGCTGAAGGAGAGGCAGCAAAGGCGGCATCCTCAACCTCCCTAATAGTGTTATCTCAGGCTTTCCCAGCCACCTTTAATTGCGCTTCCCAGCCTTTCCACCGCCTATTGCAGTATATTGACTTTATTGACTTTGTATTGACTGTGTTGCAGTGCAGCCCCCAGCTTAAAGCAGCACTGTCGCTTGTGGCAGTCGCGCCCCACAAGAACTTCTATTCTAGTGACATCGACTCTCCTCTACGCTCGACTCTTGTCTTCTTCCTCCAACTTCTCTTCTCCTGAGCCTCCCCCCTAATCCTCCATCTGCTACCCTCCCATCCCACGAATCTTCTTATCGATCACGCTTCTCTTTCGTGATCTTTAGCATTCCCATTCAGATTCAGTCCTCCCGACCCTTATCGTCGCGAGCACTTTACACCGCCATCTTCCCCCCCAACCTCACCTTTCTTGTCCTCAACGCGTAATCAGCAACCATGGAAGGTAAGTGCTCGCTCTTGATACTCAACCCGTATTGCAATAGATGCAGCGCATCCTTCAGCATCAGCCTGGACGATTGTTAACAGTCCTCGCCCTCCTACAGAAGAAGTTGCCGCCCTCGTCATTGACAATGGGTAAGCTCCCCCGCCTTTTGAACCCCCAACCCCGAAATCAGCATGCCGTGGCAGTTGGATTGAAACAACAATGCGCTTCATCCAAATCTCGCCCTCCCGTTCCGAATATACACAACAGGTGATGGTCGCTGACTTCTCTAAAGCTCCGGAATGTGCAAGGCTGGTTTCGCCGGTGATGATGCGCCCCGAGCTGTTTTCCGTAAGTCCATATCCACCCTTGAACCACCTGTGCTAGTGATCGCATAGCTTAGGCTTTGATGCCTGGCAATGGTTTTGCGTACCCAGAGAATTGACTGTCCATAGCTTCCATCGTCGGTCGTCCCCGGCATCATGGGTAAGGCACTCCCGCTTCCGCCGTTTTCCCCCGCCAATTGCGGCGCACAAGGAGTAGAAAACTGACAAAAACCGTAGTATCATGATTGGTATGGGTCAGAAGGACTCCTATGTTGGTGATGAGGCACAGTCCAAGCGTGGTATTCTCACCCTGAGATACCCAATCGAGCACGGTGTTGTCACCAACTGGGATGATATGGAGAAGATCTGGCATCACACTTTCTATAACGAACTCCGTGTCGCCCCCGAAGAGCACCCAGTTCTCCTTACCGAGGCGCCCATCAACCCCAAGTCCAACAGAGAGAAGATGACCCAGATCGTCTTCGAGACCTTCAATGCCCCCGCTTTCTACGTCTCCATCCAAGCCGTCCTGTCGCTGTATGCTTCCGGTCGTACCACTGGTATCGTTCTTGACTCTGGTGATGGTGTTACCCACGTTGTTCCTATCTACGAGGGTTTCTCCCTTCCCCACGCCATTGCTCGTGTTGATATGGCTGGCCGTGATTTGACCGATTACCTGATGAAGATCTTGGCCGAGCGGGGTTATACGTTCTCTACCACCGCTGAGCGAGAAATCGTCCGTGATATCAAGGAGAAGCTCTGTTACGTTGCCCTTGACTTCGAGCAAGAGATCCAAACAGCCAGCCAGTCTTCCAGTTTAGAGAAGTCATACGAGTTGCCTGATGGACAGGTTATCACCATTGGCAACGAGCGTTTCCGTGCTCCTGAGGCGCTTTTCCAGCCATCTGTCTTGGGTCTTGAGAGCGGCGGTATCCACGTCACCACCTTCAACTCCATCATGAAGTGTGATGTTGATGTCCGTAAGGATCTCTATGGTAACATCGTCATGGTAAGTTTCGAAATTCAATTCGTTAGCCCATCCAATATGCTAATTCTCTCCAGTCTGGTGGAACCACCATGTACCCCGGTATCTCCGACCGTATGCAGAAGGAAATCACCGCCCTTGCACCATCATCAATGAAGGTCAAGATCATTGCACCACCCGAGCGAAAGTACTCCGTCTGGATCGGTGGTTCTATCTTGGCATCCCTGTCAACCTTCCAGCAGATGTGGATCTCAAAGCAAGAGTACGACGAGAGCGGACCTTCCATCGTTCACCGCAAGTGCTTCTAAGGTATGGTCTATATTTTATGCTCTAGGATCTATGGCTTGAACCCAGCTAACGATACCTTTGTAGCATTTCGCAGACCATTTGTGCCTACTTCACGAACTTCACGAATATGATCAAGACGAAGACTGGAGCGAGCCGTGTATCTCTCTTGTTTTGCTCTCGCCCGACATGTTTACACTCCGAAAAGTTCTGCTGGTAACGATCGAGCGATTGGGTGATCTCTTTCCGAGCGGGGGATATCTGGCTTTGCTGCTTCTCAGCTGGTTATATTTTTACTTGCTTGGGAGGAATGGTCAACTTTATCGTCTATCAATTGATCAATAAATCAAGAAGCTTTTTTCCACTATGCTTGCTATTTAGCATGTGTTTTTCGAGGTGTTTTCCGTTTTTCTCTCCGGCACGCAAATGGAGAGCTTCGATATTTCTAGAGAGCAATAAAAACAATTGTTTGAGGATGCGTTTGTCTGCCGTATGTTACCCTCCCTCCCCTTGATTTGTAGGTCCTATCTCGTGAACCAATACCCAGGTTCATATCCTATCTGAATAGCAACGAGGTTAGCTCATTCGATTATTGCTCGAGGTTCGAAGAAAAGGGCAATATGGGACTCCCGACATGTGATGACGAGAACGAGGCGTATAAGACTATGTACAGCATGAATTTTGTGAAGCTAGTATATAGGAACCGCTCCTTTCGATAACGGTACCTACCAACCACGTATATACAGTTAACCACCCAACCTCTCCCCTGAGGTTACTACCATCTCTCCACTCCTTCTCCCTAGCCCGTCCCATCATATACGGCCTCATTCTTAACATAAGCAAGGTAAATGTATGGTCTGATAATTGCTGCAAGACTTCCCACTGGGCGTATCGCTACCTGTCTGCAAGAACAAATCGAAGTAGCCGCTAGTGGCCGCGGGGCAGATTAGGAAGTTGAGTTCTATATTGCTAATTAGACACTGGGATATACTCTTTCATCTTACGCTCTTCTCTTTGCATTTTCCCGAGGCGGGGGAGGAGGGAAAAACTTACGACGCCCGTAACTGCTTCCCTGGCTAGTGATGATCGTATCCCCCTCCAATGCCCACGCCGTGGTCGACGAAGTCTTGTCAAAGAATAAAGGCTTGTAGCTCGCGCTGCTGGTGCCGATGTTTAGATACATGGATGTGTTTGTGCTTTGGATAGTGGTTCCGATATCGCTATATCAGAAGGCAGCATTAGCATTTCCATTGCCCTCTTCCCCTCTTCCTACTTTTACTATAACGTATGATTTGATGGAGGGATGTTGAATGGGACCGCGTACAAATACTCGCTCGTGGCTTCAGGCCCCATTACGGGCTCGGATTGGTTGCTGGGGAGCGATTGTAGGTATAGATGGAAGATGGGCGCCTGTACGCCGCGGAGCTGGTACGGCTTGGAAGCTGCTCGGGGGAGGACATCGGTTGTTGGGAGGGCGGTTGTGAGGGCCGCCAAGCTCAGAATTAGGAAGGAGAACATCTTGATGGATGGATGGTTTTATGTATATGTTGTGTAGATATAAATTTGGGAGGCGGAAATATATATGTCACTGGAGAATGGAAAAACGGGGATATTTGGAAATGCGGGGAGGGGATAGGATCTTATGTATGATTTATTGTACATATTTTTGTTTAAACTACCTAGGTAGCATACGGAGTAATGATCCGCATGCTGTACCTGGTAAATAGTGTATGCTATTGTGTTTGTCAGATGACGTGCGCCATATTAACTTTATCTTTTTCTAGCCGGACGGGATGGCGGGTTTCAGATAGAGGCTGAATTCAGCTTAGCCATAACAGAATCAGTATAGCAAGCTTATGATGCGGAGGTGAATGCCTAGGAGATTGGTTTCTCAAAGAGGAGTTCGGAACATGAAATACTGCATGTAAATTGATGCGATTCAGTTAGGCCGGACCGTGGTCCAGATTGAATGTATGGTGTGGGGTGTTCATGGTTTTGAGCCTCCGATGGGTCTAGACTTCCCATTGCACTTCGTAGGCGCACAATGCTAACATCAACTTATTGATTTAGGAATGGCATAGATAGCTCATTGTGGCTGGAGATATAAAATATTGCCCTGCACATTTAGGAATTAGTGTTGCAGTTGGTGAAAAGTATCCTCTGGAGGGACCGCATGTAGATTCATCGCAAGGCTGCTGTGAGAATCGACAGTAAGACCGCTCGTGTCCAATAAACATAGGCCCTATTCAGTTTTGCTCTTGCCAAACTTTTGAGCTGGTGCAAACTGGGTTGCTAGCTGGGTGTGCTGGAACAGTACCAAACGCCTGCTAGTGGTGAAGCTCCAACATAAAATCAACTTGAATAGATAGTGCAAGTAGATGAGTATTTAGAGCTCTCATGGATGAGTACTACGGGATCTCATTAAAGATACCCCCGAGCCCAGGAAAGAGTATATGGCCAAACGGAATCAATTCGTTGAGGCAGCAGACTTCTATACTCGGGGTTGAGATCACGAGCAGCGAATAATGTTACCGCGTTAACTGCCACTCTTTCCAAGCAACAGAAAACTCTATGAAGGATTACCAATAACTTGAAATAATACAACAGGCAGAATATGCAGGTGTAGGAAAGTATAGAAAGACTTATAACTAGAGAATACTAGCCTCTCGCCCGAGCTGCCACTGATTAAGAGCAGAGCCATTTTCCAATCCACCCAGAACATGGGGTACAGAGTCATTGAGAATAGGAAAGAAAGTTATAGGAGCTCCACTTGTGAGTCCCATACAACTACAAGCTAATGGGAAAGTTGGTAAAAGTTTGGTAAAACTCTTGCAATAGATCTAGTTTTGGGACAGAGCTTCCACACCTTGGGTGAGTAATTGCGAGTATTGCGCTGCTTGCAGCTCCATTCATACCTGATTCAGGGTAACCAACTTCTCAACGCCTAGGGGATATTTCGACACTTGCCTGGCGAAAGTGTTCGTCTCACGATGTTTTGCTGTTGCAAGTTTGCGTTGTCTGAAGCAGAACTCGAACTCGGAGGGCGTCGAACCGAACCAAACAAGCCTCCCGGCAGGAGCCGAGCGCAACGTCTCAAGCTCCAGGTCAAGCATTCACTCACTCATCCTCAGGGACGCCTCAAAGAATACAACGAAATCTATAATCCTACACGCACCACAATTCCACGACATCTGCGGATGGCTTCGACATCCAGAGGGAATCCACGCGACAGCGATCAATAGGACATGGCGCGGAACGGCTATAAGGACCTTAAGGACGCTCCCTATGGCAATGGCAATGCGTTTGCAGCGCCCCCAGACTTTGGATTGCCCCCAGGTTCAGATGATTACGATCCATTTGGAAAGAGCTACGAAAACCGATATGGAACCCCTCCTATGCAATCACCTCCTCCTCCCACGTTGCGATCTAATCCCTCGATGTCACGAACCTCTCCCCCCACGTCACGATCTTCTCCCCCGGTGTCGCGTTCGGCCCAATCTCGTTCACGAGCAGCACCGGAGAGTAGGGCGGAAAGGCAGATAGGGGAGGTTCTTGAGCATATCAAGGCAGAATGGCCTGCGATGTGCCAGAACGAATGCGTCCCTGTCCATATTGCACTTCAACTTCTGGACACGAGCTCTGTTGGCCGGGCACATGAGTACCGCCAGTTCGAAAAGACGCATAAATACCTACAGGATTCGCTCAAAGCCATTGTCCACGAACACCACCAAGGCTTCAATAGTTCGATCGGTACATTTCATAAAATCCAAGCAAGCATACAAGCTTCCCAAAAGCGTGTGCGTCAACTGAAGGAATCGTTAACCCAATCCAAGGCAAGTCTTTCGACTACGGACCCTGAACTACGGAAGCTAGGAGCTGCTTCAAATACATACGATGATTTGCTACATACCCTTTCAGAGGTGGAAGATCTGCGGTTGGTACCTGATCAGTTGGAGGCGCGAATTTCAGAGAAGAGATTCTTGACGGCGGTGGATATACTACAAACTGCGCTACGACGTATACGAGTCCCGGCTTTGGATGAAATAGTGGCATTGAGTGATTTGAGGACCTATCTTGCCAATCAAGAGACCGCGTTGACAGATATTTTGATCGAAGAGCTCCATGACCATCTATACCTAAAGTCTCCCTACTGTCAGGAACGATGGCAGACGCTGGCGAAAGAGCGCGGTGGCACAGGCAGAACCCAACTTGACAACAAATCCACTGTGCGGCCGTTTTACGAGGTTCTGGATACGATAGATCTCGAAGAGCCAATGGTGGAAGAGCCATCTAGGAATCCTGAAGCGGACACCTTCTACTATATTGGGTTATTAGTAGAGTCGCTGAACAAGCTGGGCCGTCTAGAGACAGCCGTCAATACGATTAAGCAGCGGCTGCCCGTCGAGCTCTTTGGTATTGTCAATGAAACAAATAGCGAGGTTGACCAAAGACATCCCAGCTCTCTACGAGGTGGTCTGTCCAACGCCCAAGGCAATCAAACTTATGGGAGTCGGGAGAATAGCATCCGCGCCGATGTCATATATGATCTTCTGTGGGCTCTCTATGCAAAGCTGGAGTCTATTGCGGAAAGCCACCGTGTATTTCATGATGCTGTGAAAGCAATTGTACGCCGAGAAGGGGCAGGGAACTCGGCGGTGCTCCTGGGAGGCTTTAAAGAGCTTTGGAATCTGTATCAGAACGAAATCCGGTCGCTATTGCATAACTATGTCACCACTGATGCAGACGTTTATCACTTCAACTCTCCCACGAAGCCAGGAGCCTCCAAACAGGATTCAAAGCGGGAACAACTATTTCAGTTTTCGGACGCCGACTCGAAGTCTGTTCAAATGACGACGGAATATCAAGATCTTGAAGGAATCATAAGGGCCGCAGTTCCTGGATTGATGTCGAAACAGGGCGGTGATGGCAAGAAGCAACAGGTCAACAGAACTGATAGCACGATAGGACGAAGTGGGTCACGGCGAATAGGTAGCACTTCTGCCTATGACGGAAAACCTGCGGGTATCGGAGCCCATAAGTCGCTAGTGGAGCCAAGTGTTTTCAATATGAGCTTGCTTTTACCTCCAACTCTTGGTTTCCTGCAGAGGCTGAAAACTATTGTTCCACCAGGCTCGGATCTAGTCACTAGTACCCTTACCTCGTTTCTAGACAATTTTCTGGTCAATGTCTTCCTTCCTCAACTAGACGAGACTCTGGGGAAACTCTGTGACTCTGTATTTGATGATTCGGATTCTTTCCAGGAAGATCCACAGTGGATGAATGTTGCCAGGCGGCCGATTTTCAAAGGCACGTCGGCTTTCTTTGCTCTGATCACAGCATTCTGCAAAATGCTTGACACGATACCTCATGATCAAGCCCTCAGTCAACTCATCATTACTCAAATGATGAGATATTATGATCGATGTTGTGACTGGTTTAAATCCTTGGTGTCTCGGGTACAAGACTCTGGGAGACTTACGCTCAAGCTTTCCGCCGTTCTAGCCACTGGACCAGGGGAAGTTCATGAAACCATGAAGAAGCTCTGGACCTCAGAAGGGGAGGATAAGCACCTACTCGAAAAAGAGACGGGCTTGCTTATCCTGCAGACTAATGAGAACCATCTGCGGCTAGATGATATCATATTGGATCGTGAGACCATCTCATCGCTATGTATTCTGTACACCAGCATGAAATGGCTCGCCATTAAGGTCGGCCATCTTCGTCACATCACGCATAATAATACAGACTCTTCCAGCAGTGCGATTCAAAAACCAGGTAATAGACGGTGGACTCTTGTGAATGATGCTTCGGGTTTGCAAGATGACCAGAATCCGGTCTACCTACCAATGACACAGGAGACTGTAGTGTAAGTTCTTGCTTGTTTATTTCAAATAGCACGTCTGACGAATTTTAGGGCTTTTGACTCTATAGTTTCATCGTATCAGGAACTTGCCGGCACGGTGCTTCTGACGCTGCATATGGAGATTCGCTGTCAGATAATCCACTCGCTTTCCGTCGCCCTGTCACCTGAATCAGCGCCCTATCTCCTCGAGCAAGTGGTCAATGATCCGGATCCGAAGATATTGAGTCTTAACGCCGACCTTGTCTCATACGAGGAAACGATTGTACGCTTCCTCCGTGACAAAGAGATAGCATTTGTGCGCACGGGCTTAGGGCTCTTAATTGACAACTACCTCGTCACCAACGCTGCGATGGTGAAAGCCATGAACAGCCACGGCTGCGGACGGATGCAACTCAACATCCTTGTCCTGCAACAAAACCTCAAGAACATCGAGGCGGAGGTGAGTCTTGACCGGGCCGCGAGATACTTCGACCTGTTCACCGAGGGACCGGATGCCGTGATCAACCAGGCCAAGGAGGCCAGCCAGGACGCGAGCGGTGACAGAGACTTGTTTAGCTATGACGAGCTAAAGACCCTGATTGAGTTGTGTTATAGCGAGCAGCTGTCCAGTCCGGAGAGGGGGATCAGCACGGTGGCGAAGAGGGCTATGGGGGAGCATATGTTGCAGCTGAGTGAGCATATGTGGCAGAGCTAGATCATAGCTAGAAAAATGGAGGCGTGTTTTAACTCGATGGGACTGCTATATCTCGCGTTGGCGTGGCGTCTGGGGCTATATTGTGTGTTTTGGGGCTCGTTAAATGGGGTGTGTTGGGTTTAGAGTTTATGAGGTTATATTTTTCTATAATTGGATTCCTATTATTCTACAAGCTTATTACACATGTTGGAATTTTCAGCCACACAGCCTCATCCCCACAACCAACGGCAACGGATTGCGTCAGGTTCGCCATTCGCTCTGGGTACAGTACTTGTCGGTGGCGAGAATCGGTTTTTTTTCTTCAATTATTCAAGATTGAGCCCGGCAATTGAAATAAAGTGGGGGTGCAGACCGCCCTGAATTTGAGTTGATCGACGGCACGAAACATCCCCAATTTGCAAAGGCGGACAAAATTTAATATCTATTTATAGCTTGTGCATTTTGATTTATGTATCCATAGAGTTATGTTTAAGGTTTAGGATTAGTAACTTCGCACATAATGTTGGAGTGTAGGATGTAGGATGCATATATAGCGCCAATTAAATCGAAAACTACGTAAGGGTAGGAGGAGGCACATGTACTTCGTATACATGTACAGAGAGGCTGACACTCAGGGTTGGGCAACTTGGGCTACTCGTTTCCAGTCAACGGCGCTGGACACGCCACTGCGAAACATTACACAGCACACAAACGCCTACTCAAGCAGCCACTGGGAATCCTCGAAGCCGCAGCACGGCGGCTTAGGTGCGAGGCGGTGGTGGGATGGATGGCTCGTATCGAGCTCCGCCGGAAGTACCGATGGAGTGGTTGGCTGGTAAATTGTAGATTTGTTTATGTGGGATATAGAATTAATTGTAGGTTTCCAGGTTCAAGAACAGCTCTCTGTCTTCTATCAGTGAAGCGCGTTACAGAATGAGACACGTGGGAGATTCAAGGTGACGTAAGTATGATATGTAGTGCTACAGTGCAATTATCCGCACTGATAGAACCCTTGCAAGAGCGAAAAGAAAACCGGTCATTTCAATTTATTATTAATAAACAGGGAGTTCTTATGCGAGATTACGCCGCAAAACAGCGACGAAAGTCAATTACCACGTCTCCGGAGTAGGGGGCTGTCTCCACTAAGGTTGGATACTAACAATTAGTTAAATGCTACTTTGGGACGGAGTATTTCCAGTTTGTATTTCTTCTAGTTAGCTAATCCCGACTTAAGCTTATGACATTTGCTCCGCCTGCTTGGGAAAGTCCTTCGACCCCCTCTGCTACGTAGTATTTCGTAGTGCCAACTGTCGCTGTCGAATGGCTAAAATAGAACATGCTTATTATTGTTGGTGTTTCGTTTTGCTTTGCTTTGCGATCTCTGATCTACCAGCACTTCGGTCTCTTTAGGGTTAGGTTTCCTTCGTAGCCAGGTCCCAAGAACGCACGAAGGCAGGACGCGGAAGCTAGTGAAGGGGCAAGGCAAGGCAAAGCAAAGACAACAGAGTATCTCCGTGTAGTGTATAATGAATGCAGCTCTTGTGGTTGCCTAGGATTGCATTTGGCTGGCATTATTATTGGCGTTGGAGCGTGTAGCATGTACTGTAGCATAGAAGTGGGACAACAAGAGCATGAGCAGGAGCCATAGGGGGAGGAGGAATACGTACCTTAGGTACAATACCAGCTGACTCTGTCTGTGTCTATCTCTCTGTCGCCCTGCTGAGTATTACACTCTGCCAGCCAACCAAAGCCGGACCTCCGCTACAGTACTCGTAGTACTCGTACCTTGAAGCGCTCTCTCTCTGTGTCTCTCAACCCCTTTTCCTGCAACCTTCAACTCAATTCACCTCCCTCCCTGCCTTGGAACTCAGGCGCGTCGCAGCCAATTGAACCCAGGGAAGGAGGCACAGACACAAACACGGACACAGACACTGACATTTCCCGGTATTTGCTCTCTGCACTGCACTGCACTGCACTGCTCTCGCTGCTCTCTGCTCGGCCAGCACTGCGTGCTACTGATTACTGGACTTCGTAATCCAATCCGCGAAACTTCATCATCTACGTTCCTTTTCGATCTTCCGCCCACGAACACACCCAACATCCAAGCCTCAACACCCAAACGGCCACCCACGCTCACTACCGTATTTACGTCCTTCGTTCATCCTCCTCTCTATCTCCCTCCCCCATCTCTCATCTCTCCTCCCTCCCTCCTCGCCCTCCCTCCCCCTCCTCCTTCGAAAGCACATCCACCGCCAACCAGGCCGAATCCAGAGTCCCTTTCCAAACTGTCTGATTCTGCCGTCACTGAACCATCGCCAGACATGGCGTCGTACGTCTTCCCCCTCTCTTCTCTGTTCTCGGCGCCTGCTGCTGCTTACCCCCTTATTCCCGCTGCTATCTGCCCAGCGCGGTGATACCGATTCGCACTCCCACTAACCTCGCGATGGCTACAGGTTCGGTTCCGCGTTCAAGTCCTTCTGGCATACCATGACCAGCTACGACCGACGTATGCTATTCTGGCCCCTGCCCCCCGAGTCCGCCCCCTTTTGACACAATAGACAGATTCCTCCTACGATTCTCCTTACCAGTCCGGCAGACACGTCCCCCTCGCACAAAGTCGACATGAACCTCTCACCTCCGTCGCAACGACTGCCTCGGAATCCCGCGGCGATGTTAGTTCCCCCTATCTCGAGGATGGCGGGAGGCATTCCACCTCGGCCCTGAATGGTAGCGCCTACCCTGGCTCGCCCACTACCAACCCGCAAAGTCCTGGACGCTCTCCATACTCTCCTGGCATGAGATCGCAGAATGCCTTGCAACACACAAGTACAAATGAGACGTTCGAGAATGTTACCCCTGGCGAGATCCAATTACAGGCTTTTCAGGAGGGCCTTCCTCCACCGCCCCCGGTTTCTCATTCCTGGAAGCGAATTGATCGGTGGGCCGAGGAGAATTACGAGGAATTGTTTGACAATCTCTGCGAGGGCTGCACAAATAATGATCTAAATGAATTGGAGCATCAGTTGGACTGCTCGCTCCCAATGGAAGTTCGCGAGTCGCTGCAGGTTCATGACGGGCAAGAACGCGGTGGCCTCCCAACTGGCATCGTTTTCGGGTGCATGTTGCTAGATTGCGAAGAGATGGTACAAGAATGGGAGAATTGGAAGAAGGTCAATCAGGAGTACCTTAACCAGCCGGTCAACTACAAGCCTGCAACACCGTCAAAGGCCCTCGGCGGAAGCTCATCGTCCTCTTCATCAAAGACCCAGGCCAACCAAGGTGGAAATATCCATTGGAGACAGGAATTGCTCGCTCGCCAGGATTCTCAGCCGCCAAATGCCATCCAAAAGGTGTACGCACACCCGGCATGGATTCCTCTGGCTCGCGATTGGGGTGGAAACAATTTGGCTATCGATCTTGCTCCTGGTCCGGCTGGGAAATGGGGCCAGGTTATCTTGTTTGGGCGGGATTATGACTGCAAGTACGTGATTGCGCGGTCTTGGTCTGCCTTTTTAGCTACCGTCGCAGACGATCTTAACAGCGGCAAATGGTTTGTGGACGAAGAGACCAATGAACTTAAATTGAGGGAATTCAAAGCAAGCAAAGTTGAGCCTGCTTATCTGGATATCTTGAGATGGAGAGCCGACCAAAAGTACGGACGCAGGGGCGCGAGACGCCGATCAGCGCAACCAGCTGGGAGAGCCGGAAGTGGATCTCCTGGTGGCTCACCATATGCGAGTCCAACAGCTGAGGTAGGAGAGCCTCGTGGACGTTCGATGCAACGATTCAGTGGAGCTTCACCTGTTGCAAGCCCCAACCGCCCAAATTACGGAAAGTCCAGTCCCCTAGCCCGGGTTACGGAGGAGACCTCAGCACCCAACAAAGCTGCCGCGGCTGGAATGCCAGCCGAGAAGCTCGTGGAAGTCGAGACACCGAGACCAAGTCAAGAGCAAAAGCCGAATAAAAATCTGGACTTATTACTAGCGCCCGGTACGCCAGACGATGACAAGGAGAATACCAAGATTGGGGAGTCAGATGAGGCTGGTACTGGGAAAGTGAACGGCAACGCAAAGAAAGCTACGGTTGAGGATGACAATGAGGCTGCGATGAAGACGATCGAGATATAACACATGTGTGGATGTTTCCTTTCACGTACCACCATCAGCAAACAGAACGAGGCGTTTTTTGGCGCAGAATAAGGGTTTTTCTTTTCTGAAATTCCTGGTATAATGATATGGCTCAATGCATGCTACAACACATTGGGGTAGTTCATTTTCTGTCTGTTGCCTTTCTCAGAAGCATGAGTAATGAATGGGGAGAGCAGCTGTCGTTCCAAAGTGCTCTGAGAGTAATTGAATTCTCATAGGAGTGCATATGGAGTGGACTCCTGGCTAGACTGGTCGGAGCCTAAATATTATTTTCTTCACCTTCTTTTGAAGCCACCGGTAATGGATAACAGCCAGGTCGTTTCGTCCTTTTTCCCACGCATACTTGCGGATTCTTGCCTGGGTTGGGATCTGCCGCTCTTGTTGTACAATTAGATGGATGGATGGGCGCAGTGCATTTTGTTTTTTTGCGTTAAGCTTCTTTTCGTTTCATTTCCTTCTGAGAATTGGCAGGCGGCGATGAGACGAGCAAACTAGAAATGGACCCTGTACATGATGGACGATGAAACAGATGGTAGGAACGGTGGTGTTCTCCTGCGGCCGAACTATTCAACGGTGAAGCGTACATATGTGTGGGATGGCTGAATTGAATGCAAAGCGAACGCAATTAAAGCGTATGTAGTAATGAGGCCCAAGGATAGCCACTAAAATAAATGGTATCCATTAAACTGAATTTCGCTCCTGATAAGCCTTTTACTTGCTGGTGAGCAATCGCTTTTGAGGAAGACGGATGGATTTCAAGGGGCCTTGCTTTAGCGCACGTGACGTGACTTTTAGTGGCTGGGTCAGGCAAGTGCGGCTCCGTCTCTCGGCGCAGCCGCGCAAGCTGAGAGAGCTCCAAGTCGACACTCAACCCAAGACGTCACATTCAAATCGGCCGTAAATTCCTACAGTTTCGGTGGATTGGAATCGAAATACAGCATCTACGGCATAGACAGGACTTTTAAAGGGAACAACGAGCACGAGGCAAGCACGATGTCGGAAGAACGTCTCTGGAAGTTCAAGAAGCCGGAATGGATGAATAGCATTATGGCTAGGAGCGCGGGGGTCTATGCAGCAGGCGCTTTGGTATGTGCTACTCTCTCTGTTGGATATTTGGGGTATAGGTGGTGGAGGGCGTTTTGTGCTCTGGATATGGGATTGCCAGATGGGGTTGAGGGTTCCTCTTCAGTTCCCCGCTATACATCCCCCCTTGAGTTTCCAGGACTCTGTTACTAGTATAGTGGAAGGATCCAGGCTAACATTGCAATTTATTGCTATAGTTCTCCCTCGCATTCTTCGTAATGGTCGATGCTGCCGTCTTCTCCCACTCCCCGCTCAACGGAAGCGACCCGCCCATCCACATCACATTCATCGACTGGCTCCCTCTCATATTCTCCTCGCTCGGCATGCTGATCATCAACTCCATCGAGAAAACCCGTCTCTCTGCCGACTCGTTCAGCTATTCGGGCTCGGGCGTAGCGTGGAAGGCGAGGGTGGTGCTGTTCTTAGGCTTTGCGTCGCTGGCGGGTGGCATGGCCGGCGGCGTCACCGTGTTGGTGTTGAAGTATGTGGTTCCCGGGACAGTATGGCCTACGCTTTATATGGGAGTTGCAAACGTGGCGAGTAATGGGCTGGTTATGTTGAGGTGAGTTATCCAACTTCTATACGGTTATCCTTGCATTGTGAACAGCTTGCTGATTTGCTGCTTGCCATGTATAGCTCGGTGGTTCTTTGGGTTAGCCAGAATATGGAGGATGAGTATGCGTATAACCTAGCTCTCTGAGCTGGAAGGTCTTTGGTGGGGATGAGATCCCCGAGGAAAGAGTGGTTTTATAGGCAGGTTTATGGAGGTGCAATGGGGCATCAACGAATAGGGAATTGAGTCGCTGCTATATGAGGTCCGGCATGGATAAGGAGCTTTCCGATATATTTTGTAACATCAAGCATCGTTCATTTTTATATGCTAAGCAATAGCGGGGTGGTGCTCAATGGTTGATATTTAGCCTCTTTCCAGTTGCTAATGAGGTGACTTAAATTGTGTGTACTTGCATACTTCTGCTTAGCAGTAGTTTTGGATATGAGGAGACGGGGTATTTTACTTCTTAGTATCCTATCATCTAGTGTTTCATGTTGCATCTTTTATATAAGACATATAAATTGCAAGGCCGTTTTGGATGACGGCACCCACGGACCACCGCGTTTCTGTCCGAACTGCTGCATGCCAGCCACAAAACCGCCGCGTCTCCCGTCCATTCAGCTCAACGTCACAGTTACAACTACCTACAACTGCAGCACACAATTAGTTATTTCCTGTCTCTCTTTTCAATTGTTTTATTAAACGGCCTATAAATTTTTATTTCTCAACCGATGGCTCAGAATACGCCTCAAAGTCCAGCGCTATAGGGAAAGCCCTCCAACGATTCATAACACATAGCTTTGCGGAAACCCACTGCCGCGCAACCACCAGGGAAATAATGGTTAAACCTACAATCCCCAAGCCCGCCCCGGGCCCAGGGAGTTATAACTCAATCGCAGCTCAATATGCGCGCGCGAAGGCCATCAAGGACGCGGAAGATGCTGCGAAAGTTGCGGCGAAGGAGGGAAAGGGAGTGAGGGAGAAGAGCCCGCTTGAGAGATTGAATGATAGGAAGAAGGCGAGGTTTTTAAGAGAGTGGGTTTGGGTTTTGGGGGCGTTTGTGTGGTTTTTGTGAGTATTGCTGTGCTTCTTTTTTGGGGTTGGTGGATGGACAATTAGGACGGGGAAGACGAGGATTTGTACAAGAAGAGTGCTGACAATATGGCTTGATGTGAATAGCTTCATACACGCGACCGGTTTATATTTCTTCACAAGAGGCTTCCTCCTTACACGGCTCGTGCTCGACGAAAAGTCATCATGCGCCCAACCGCCAATTGCGCTCAGCAAGCATTTCAAGGGCGAGGCAACTATCGAGGGGGGATGTTGGCATCCGAAAACGTTTGATAAGGCCGTGGTTGTCATTATCGACGCGCTTCGATACGACTTCACGGTCCCTCTGGAGAAATCAAAGGAGGAGCAGGCATTCCATAATGCGCTGCCGTTTCTGTATGAGACGGCCATTTCGCAGCCGCAAAATGCATTCCTCCTGCCGTTTATTGCGGATCCGCCGACTACGACCTTGCAGCGCTTGAAAGGCCTGACGACTGGGACACTGCCGACGTTTATGGATGCTGGGTCGAATTTTGCGGGCACGGCTATTGAGGAGGATAATTTGCTGATCCAGTTAAGGGATGTGGGGAAGCGGATTGCGCATCTGGGGGATGATACTTGGACTGCGTTGTTCCCTGGGTATTTCGAAGAGGGGATTAGTAGGGCGTACGACAGTTTCAACGTATGGGATTTGCACACGCTTGATAATGGTGTTTTAGAGCATATAATGCCGCTTCTGCAGGATGAAGAGAAGAAGGCGCAGTGGGATGTCATGATTGCACATTTCTTGGGTGTAGATCATGCTGGGCACAGATATGGTCCGAACCATCCTGCCATGACGGCCAAATTGCAGCAGATGGATCTGGTGATCAGAGATATAGTTAACGCCTTAGATGATGATACGTTGCTAGTTATCATGGGCGATCATGGCATGGATACCAAGGGTGACCACGGCGGGGAAAGCGACGATGAAGTCGAGGCAGCTCTTTGGATGTACTCCAAAAAGGGAATCTTTGGCCGCACCGATCCTTATTATATTACGCCTCCAGCTACAGCTAAGATAAGACCTGTCAACCAGATTGATCTGGTGCCTACGCTATCTCTACTACTGGGCTTGCCCATCCCCTACAACAATTTAGGAAAGCCTATTGAGGAGGCTTTTGCTGGGAAGGAAGGCAATGCATGGCAGAATCTCGCTGCTGTGGCTAGAATGGCAGCGGCTGGTACCAAGAGATATCATGCTGCTTATTACACTGCTCGAGGCATTGATGAGGTTACGACTGAGGGATCGCCATCTGCTCTGTGGGATATTGCAGAACGCGTCTTTGCCAAGCCTATGAAGGACGATTTGTTGACCGAGGCGTATGATGCGTTCTCCGCGTATCAGACAGAGACGTTACGGATATGTCGAGGTCTATGGGCACGCTTCGATGTCGGCAGCATGGCTTTAGGAATCGGAATCCTATTATCAGGCGTCGTGACGTTACTACTATACGCCAACGACAATGCTGAAGATGGAGCTGCGGTTGAGGATCCAGAGTTGGACCGAGCAGAGCAGCAGCTAGAGCTTGATAATTTTGCTAAGGGCATTGATACTCTAGATGAAGATGAGACTACGAGTCGATCTCTTGTTCGTGGTGCTTTGATTGGCTCCGGACTAGGCGCTGCTGCTGGACCAACTGTGTGGGTGATGAATGGAGGATCATCTCTGGTAGATTTTGGCCTGGCCGTCGTTGCGGTTGCTGGCCTTCTTGGTGTTTTATATCAAGAGGTGAGACGGAGGATGCAGATTAGCAATCCGCTACCAACGACCTTCTGGGGCTGGCTTGCAGTCACCTTTACCGTCAGTCAGTCCATTGGCTTTGCGTCGAACTCATACACAATCTGGGAGGATTCAATCTTATTGTTCTTCATTTCAACCTTCGGGATAGCTACGGCCATATACTCGCTACGGTTGGAGAAGGCTTCTGAACGAACCTTAGCTGTCTATCATTCATTGTGCTTCGTTGCATTGGGGTGGTTTGCCTCCTTTTCTAAGTTATGTAGAGAAGAGCAGATGCCGTATTGTCGATCTACCTATTACGCTTCCGCAACATCATCCACATCAGCCCCATGGCAGCTCGCCATCCCTTTCGTAATAGCGGTCTTCCTGCCATCTATTATCAAATCCTACTACGATACCAGCCGCTCATACGAAGGCTTCGCGCCAATATGGATCGGATGGGCCTTCCGAATTGGACTCACCCTCAGCGCTGTCTTTTGGACTCTTGATGCCGCAGATGACGGCGAATGGTTTCCAGACTATCCACCAGGCCTGCTGAAAAACATCCGCGTCCCTCTCGCCCAAATCGTCTTCGCCATGGCCATCGGTGCTGGGACAACGGTGTTCGGATACGCACCTCCCTGTGTCTCCATCCGTACAGCGGCCAATCCATCTCCCAACGCTCAACCGTCAAACACAACAGTCACCGTCCTAGGATTCGCCAACGCCCACGGATCCCGCTACCTCCTCCTAGTAATCAACATCCTCCTCTGCATCCTCATGGTTCAAAAGCCCATGGGTGCGGGAGCCCTCGCACTAATGACGTGGCAAACCCTCTCGCTCCTCGAGATCCTCGACCTCACATCCCTCACGTCCTCCCCGATCGGGCCCGTCGTCCTCGCTCTACTAGGAAGCTTCCACTTCTTCAAAACCGGCCACCAGGCAACCCTCTCCGCCATACAATGGGAATCCGCATTCATTCCAATGCACACGGTCCGTTACCCTTACGCCCCCATTCTCATTGCCCTCAATAGTTTCGGCGCGCAGATCATCGCCGCGGCAGCTGTGCCCCTCGTCGTCCTATGGAAGCAGCATCCTAAGCGCAAGGGCCTGTTGCGTGCGGTGGTTAGCGCATTGGCGTGGCATCTGGCTTATTATGCGGTGGTGAGCGCTGCGACGACTATGTGGGCCGGCCATTTAAGGAGACATCTTATGCTGTATCGTATCTTCAGCCCGAAATTCATGACTGCGGCTCTTGCCGTTCTGGTTGTTGACGTGGTTGGGATATTCGTAGCTTTGCTGGGAGTGAGGTATAATACCTTGAGCGTTGGTGACGTTTTTGGATGGGGTTGAAAAGAAAATGGGAATCTGAATAGGTTGCTTGGATAGGCGTTATCAACGATGGCCTTCATCTAGCCCCTATACAAAAACATATACTTGTATGAAGAGAGGACACAAGTCATCCCTCCCTCCCTCTATCGCTACCTTATACCACACTCATCCATCATCTCCTTTTTATTTATCTTTGCATAGCGCGGACGGAATAAACTTGTCTATATATATACTACATCATCTACTTCGTATCTTGATATAAATCTACCCATAAAATAAACCACGATGGAAAATAAAAAGTAGGAAACCTAAAACCCTTTATCTCTTTTCCTTCCCCCCATCTCTCCTATAAATTACTCAAATCGATTGGTTGATTAATTGATTGTTCCATATATTGTACTATATAAGTCGAAGTCTATCGTAGTGCTACCAAAGTCCTCTCTGCCTTAGAAGCTTAGAGCACCTAACCTCAGAGAGTATACTCTCTCTCAACCAAATTAAAAGTACAAAGCCCTATAGATATCTATTCGGCCTAGTACTTAAATGGGGTCTCTACCCGATTATCTCCTTCCCTACAGCTAGACAAACTATAGCTACTTACGTGTACTATCTATTAGGAAAAATCAAAAAACTACTAGTATAACACCGACGAGCCGCTGGGCTATTTAGTAAATAGGATAATATCTATATACACTTCTCTTGAACTGTAGCGATACTGGAATTAGGATTTCCACGTATACATTATATAGAGTAAATATAGCCTAATTTTACTTATATATAATGACTTCTGCTCTACCTCTATTACTAGAATCAACCGACTCTTTCTACTCTTTCAAGTTTTCAGTACCCCCAAAATCACTATGAGAGTACACTAGAGAGGAAATCTCTCCCGCCGGGAAGTAAAGGCTATATACAATATAGGGAACTAAGCTCGAAGAGGAGGACAGTGAATCTCTCGGAGTATTCCTCTTTCTTAGAGCCCGATCCGTGTTATAAAAGTACTGAAGTAGTAGAGGTGAAAACTCCAACTTTTAGAAGCGGATCATAACGTATTTTTGAGCGAGTTTAGTATAGAACTCTTCTCATTGGTAGTATAAAGCCTAATAGCTATTACATACAGTAGATATTATAAATCTGATATCGTACACGAATATCTCACTAAAATTGAGGTATTCAAATCGTGTGAATATCTCACTAAAACCGAGATATCCAAATCCTGCGAATATCTGACCGAAATTGAGATATTCAAAATCGTGGGAATATCTATAGTACCATTTCGTACTCTAACAACCCCAAAGCCCAACCAGGCTATTCTTGTCCTGGACCCGACAGGTGCTATCATCTTCGAAACTGCACAGGAGGGTAAGCTGTCCCCCGTTCCCGTCTTTCCCGCTTACTAGACACAGTCGTTTTCGCAGCAAAGAAACCAGATAATCAGCAAAATCCTGAGACCCCTCGCGTCCGCGAGTGGGAGGCCGGCCTGCCTTCGTGCCCACGAAATTACTCCAACCGGCCAGCTGAGAGGTAATACGCCAGGAAGCATTGTTTATATTCGTGCTTACGATTTGCAGAAAACTACCTGGGCAACTGCACTCCATTTCGGGAGTCTCCTTGGTATACTTAGAGAGTCGCTAATAAGTCGCCTAGGACACCTGTTACCCTCTATCCGTGGCGCTGCAATTACGTACCTAGCTAATGTAGCTTAAGGGGAAACGATACCAACGATTCCAACTTTGATAGCGAGGCGTATAAGTGGTTAGGCATCATCTTTACTTCAAACATAATTACAACCGGCGTAAACGGACACCGATCAAATAAAAACCCCGTGGATTTAACTTTTAATCGGGTTTATTAAGTGTGTGTATGTATGTATGTATGTATAGACAGAGTACAGGAAAATATTATTATGTAGTAAGTGTAGTAGTAGGTCCTTCGCAAACGCCAGCCCCCAAAACCCAGGTTGCCCACTAGTCCGCCGTCATAGCATGGAGCGATGGATGAAGGCCGTCCTGTCTGGGTGATATATATACAAATCCAAGTACCGTATGGAGGTAGTAAGGTGGAGGAGGGTGGGAATGCATGCTGCATCGCTCAGCGTGGAGCTCCGCCAAAGTTCGTTAGCAAGCCAGCGAGCAAGCAGACCATTGTCCTGTCATCAATCAACTATGTATCCATCCGTCATCTTCTTATCGAAAGCACGCTGCCTTCCGCGCTCCAATTCATTTTCATTTCATTCAGATATCTTTCTTCGAATTCGTCTCAGGCTCATATGTCCTATCATCCTCGCCCTCGATTTCCTTGACTAGTCTCTCCATCTCCCGAGATTGTCTCTCCCACTCCTTCTGCCCCATCTTGCTCTCGCGGCGGAACAACTCCTCGTTTGGCTTGCGGTAGCTGCCGCCTAGTCGATCCCACAGCGTGGTGTACTGGCCGTAGTTATAGTTGAAGTAAAGATGGTGCATGGTGTGACAAGCGGCGCCGTTTAATATCGGGCTGTTGGCTACGTACTCCCCGTCGTGGATGAACACGGTCCAGATCTGGACGAAGACGAAGAGCGCGAGGTATGCGAGTTTCTGGAGTGGGAAGATGAATGGGAAGACGTGGTAGGGCACGGATTGGAGGAAGCCGTCGACGGGGTGGAAGGCGATCGATGCGTAGGGCGTGGGCATGATCCACTTGTGGTGCGGCTTGTGCAGCGTCTTGTAGACCCAGGGGTGGTGCAGACCCCGGTGAATGAAGTAGACGAAGCAGTCCGTGAAGAGGAGGAAGAATGGGAATTGCAGCCAGTTGTAATATGGGAAGGGCTCGTCGGAGAAGGCGTCGTACAGTTTCGAGTAGCCGAGCACTTCGGCGACGAAGGCGGGCGTGGTGAGGATGGCCATGAAGGGCATGGCGGACGCGGCCTGGCGAATCTCCATTCGGATCTGGTTCTTGAGGAATTTGGGGTGCTTGAAAGTTGTCTTGTCGAAGATGAAGATGTAGGAGAGCGTGGAAACTATGAAGTAGATTGCGGCGCCACCGAACCTGTAGATATATTAGCTGCTGTTTTGCTTTCTACAATCGGAGGATGGCAGAGGCAGTTGTACTCACCAGGTAATCAGACACAGCGAGAGCGCTTGTCGATATACATTATCCCTCGTCCATTGCGTAGCGTACGCGGCGTCTGTGGGTGGAAAAGATACCAGTTGACTGGCGGGGTGGAATTGCCACTGCGACGCGCCCCGAGCATCCAGCATCGACGAATTGCTCATGCCATCTTTCAAATTGTAGGCAGCCGGCTGGGCTGGGAAGGCCGCCGCGTACAGGTAATCGAAGATATAAGTATCGCAGAACTCCAGACCGATATCCATTATGGGCGGTTGAGCCGGCGCGGAAGCGGCGCGGACTCAGAAAGGGGGTTGCGGATGTTGTAGTGGCAGTTAACTGAGCGGACGGACTCGACGTAAATGGGGGGTTCCGGTTCTGACTTTGCTGGTGTTGATAGAAGGGAGAAGAGGAATGCGAGTGTATATAGGAGGAGGCGGAGGAGGAGGAGAAAAAGGAGGACGACCGGTCCGTTAAGAAGATACCGTACGCGCAAGTTGGATCGGGTTTGTACTTTGCAGAAATACCGGGTGCGCAGGTACCACGGTCGTAACGGTGCTAAGGAGGGACTAATTTGCGGGATTGCGACGCGTGATTGGGGGGTTTTTAGGGGTTTGCCTCCCGACTAATTGGAAATAATAAGGTGTTGTTAGATTCTGGCGCCATTTGGCCGTGATCGGGATGTTTTGATCCGGGCGGTCTATAGAGGAACGGAGGAGCAGCAGTACGGAGGTAGAAGATGGGCTGTTTAGTGGCGAGGCAAGTTTATTATTATGGGGGGGAATGTTTACAAGCAGGCAGAGAGACACGAATACGAGTAAAAATAATAGGAGTTGGGATTCCATTTCCATCTTATCTAATCTAGGACTAATAATAATCTAATCTGAATCTTGACATTTCCAGACGAGGTGGTCACGTGAGAAACTGTTGACCGTTCTTGGACTTGTAGCTAGATTCTCTGCTGAAATAGTATGAATATACTATGTAAGCCAACTGAAGGTATTTCTATACTTTCTTTTTTACCTAAGACCGAGATTCTTCGTATCCAAATCCCGTGACGAGCCCCCTTTATCACCTACCGAAGCTAGGTTCCATTACTAAAGGTACGTACTATGTATAAGAGGTCCCTTAGCTTACTCTGTCGGTACCTAGGTATGTACGGAATAGGAAGCCTCTTATTATCGACCAGGGAATAGATTGACGTACTGAGGAAGACAGGGTAAGGTTCGTTCTACCTCGTAGCTGCGGTGGAATAATCAGCAGAATCAACACCCTCAAGAAGAGAAGTCTGACTCTGATGGGCGTTACGTTACGCTACCTCCTTACGAGCACGAGGGAGTGAGTAATAAGCACCTTAAAATAATGATACATCCTACATCTCTGGCACTATCTCAACACCTGTCACAAACGTATTTTACTTACCTGGTTACGTTCGGTCGCTTCTCGCGCCACAGGAAAATCGATCCTGCGACGCCCGGCTATATCGTAAACTGTACGTACAGTGCTCGTGGTATGTAGTATTAGCATACGAGTATCTTTTATCTCCCGCTGCAGGTCCCTTCCTTCGAGCGATGCCCAGAGATGCGAAATGCAACCCTAATCTGACATTTAGCAGTGGCTGGCTGGCTGGCTACTCGTACGTATGATGAGTCGGCACTCTGCTGAAGAAGGTACTTACTCTGCTCGATTAAGTCTGTTCTGGTGATGCTTGGTCTAGCAGCCTGAGTAGGCACTGCTTGCACCAGTAGATGGAACTGAGCAGCTCCGGAATCGTGGGTAACTGCTTGTTGTGGACGCGCGAGGAGGGAAGCCAGGCTTTGTCCTCAGCTCGTGCTTATACTTATGCTCACGCCCATCTCTCTCATGCTTATTACTTCTCTTGCGGCAGCAGCAGCAGCTGCAGCACCACATCGGCTAGAATGCTGCATTCTGCTGCACTCTCGGCCCTGCGTAACTGCGTAACTGCACCGCATTGCACTGCAGCTGCAGCGGTGCAGCAGTGCAGCAGCATGTATGGCGCTGTGTTTGCCCGGTCCTGCCTCGTACCGGGGCTTGCCTTGCCGGAGCAGGCCATGCGAAGAATAACAATACAGCGGGTGCGAGCGGTGGTTGTATAAAACAAGTTGATGCAGAGCAGGTCGTATTGAGTAAAGAGATGCATGAGTGCCCAATCGAAGAAGAAGAAGAAGGAGGAGAAGAAGAAAGGAGAAGCGTCGCGCAAAAGCAAGGCAATGAATGCAACACCGCAGCCCAGCCCAGCCCAGCGCAGTCCTCCGTAACACAAACCGGTGATGTCTCCACGCCTGTATGCGGCTCAAGCAACCAAGCACTTTTTTCCCGTTCTTAGACTCTGGCACGCCACGCCGCCGGAGGCGTGGGACGAAGTGGGAATAGCACGGTATACCGGTGCTGTCTAGTCGCTACAATAGTACTATACAGCGAAACAGGATATAAGATACCTTACTCGTATGTGCGGTACCATACCTAGGTAGTAGCCACGTACAGTACCAGTAGCACACTCCAGCAGTTCGTACCAGGCAAAAGGTACGGAGGATGTACACTGTACATGAACCTCTGCACCACCCATCATCCATCCTCCGTTCTCCGTCCTCCGCCCTCCGCCCCTCCGTGGTTCCAACATTCCAGCTGGTGCCATGTGACTCGGTAGGGCAACTGCCCCATCCTTTCACGTGAGATGCGGCGCTCGTGCTTGCTCCCCCTTCCCTGCCCCTCTTCCCTGCT